CTTACGCGAGATGTCGTGACCGTGAACGTGCAGAGGATGAGCAGCGAAGAACTCGTTGCGCACGATGAAGTACACCCATTGATTGGCCTGGCCGAGGACGATGGAGTTGCGGACCGAAGCAGTGCTGTTGGTCGACTCGACACCGTTGAGGAGGTTGGGGTTCTCGGCAAGCGTCTGGAGAGTGGGCTCGGTGTAGCTGACGTTCATGAAGTTGTTGTTGATGAACCACTGAACAACCGATTGGTTGGCGCTGGGAGTAGCAACACGGCCAGCAGGCAGGGACTTCTGGCCAGCAGCGAAGAGAGCAGCTGAACCAGCTGTCTTCTCAAGGTAAGGCACAAGCTTGGCAAGGGGCTCATCGTTGCAAGTAGCGAATGTGGCGTTGGTGACATTGCCGAAGTTGTTGAGAGGCAGGGTGAGCTGAGCATCGGCGTACTGGATGATACCGTTGGCAAGAGACAGACCAGTGTTGCGAGGCACTGATGGGCAACCAGTCTGGGTGACAGCGCGCAGGAAGTAGTTGGCAGATGGCTGATCAGCCTTGAGGACGATATCGTAACGCTGACCAGGGGCAATGTTGAGCCAAGTGGTGACATACGGCTTGATGGGCACGAAGTCGGCAGCGATGACCTCAAACTGATGGTTGTCGAAGTGGACGGAGTAAGCTTCCTGAGCAGCACCGTTAATAATGCGGAACAAGTGCTTCTTGCCCTTCTGAACCTTCCAGAGAGCGTGCTTGCCTGTGCTGAGATCGACAGCCTTGTTGTTGCCATTGAGGAGGTAGTTCGATGTGACAACAGCGGCTTGGCCGAAGTGAGCAATGCGGTCAGCTTGTGCTGCAGCAGTGCCGGCTGGGAAGGTGTCAGAGATGAAGACGTGACCCATGTCGATATCGTAATCAGCAGTAGCAGGGCCGTGAATGATGATGGGACCACGGATACCGTCACCGTACTGAGACAGCAAGTGAGAGTGGTACCACGCAGTACCGTAGGAGCTTGCGCGCCATGAGTACTTGCGAGACTGGCCTGGTGCGACAGCGCATTCAGAAACACCTGGAACACCGTCCTGGTCATTGGTGCCTTTATGGTGAATGCCGTGCCAATGGATAGTGGTGGCGTTGGTGGTGAGCTTGTTGATGACATCGATCTCAACCCAGTCGCCCCAGTTGCACTCGATGACGGGACCAGGAGACTGGCCGTTGATGGCGAAGCTGAGAATTGGGCCAGCATCGTAGCTGAGAGTGGTGTTGGTAATCTCGAGAGTATACTTGCAGGTCTTGCCTGAGTCGTACTCCTTGTAGTAGTCGGTGTCAATAGACTTGCCATCGCACCACTTGGATCGAGAGCCGGGGCTGTTGCACTTGTTTTCTGGGAGACCTGAGCCAGGCTTGGTGCACTCGCCATCGAAAGGTGGGAGATCTGTGGGACCGGTGTGGCCGCCAGTGCCTGTGCCTGTACCTGTGGCTGTAGCAGTCTTGGTCCAGTCGTGCCATGGAGCGTGAGGCGCTTGGTTGTCTTCGAATCCTCAGCAGCTTCACTGCTCAGCTTGTCGAGCCAGCTCTGCCACAGATCCGCATCCTCCTTGGGGCCCTTGCCACTTCCCGAGCCGCCATGTCCGCCATTACCCGGTCCATAACCGCCTGGGCCACTTCCACCTGGGGTGTTCGTTGGAGTGCAAACGGGAGGCTTTGTTGTTGCGGGACAGATAGTATGTGTGTTCGTGACAGTCTTGGTGATGGTAACCTCGCTTGCTGGTGCGCCAGCAGAAGCAGAAGAAACCTTCAAGATGGTGGCCGCAGCCAAAAGAGCGTGGGTTCGTCCGAAGACCATGGTTAACGAAAGGACGCAAGCTTAACCTGCTTGCAACAGGGAGTGATACAAACAAACAGAATGCAGAACGATGAGAGGGAAGAGAAGAACCGCTTGCACATAGGCAGAATGGGAGGTAGTAGGTTTTGTGGGCAATACGACAGCAGTCGCATACACTCAAACAGGACTAGGCGAGGAGACGGCGCCACTGGGACATCGCGAAATAGTCCACTAACACGGGGATAGTTGGGCTAGTTTGAAGATCTCAATCAGGAACAGCCAGTCTGTCGGTCACTGGCGGCGGTGCCTGACATCAGTCAGATGTCGGAGGCCGGAGCCTGGAACCTGGGCAGCTGATGATCGAGCCCGTAAAACATCGAACAAAGGAGCGTCAACACCTCGCAAACGTCTACTGGGGGTGTAGATTATTCTGGGACTCACCCACGGAAGCCAATGACAAAGAAGCTATGACTAGCAGTATATGTGACAAGCGAGGACGCGAGGAGATTCAGGCAGACCGCGCAGTACAGCGCTTGTTCGAGCATACTGTGGAAATTTGAGCGCAGCAAAAGGATGGACGGTTGTGACGGCTGAAAGCAGAGAACAGGGAGGAGAGGAGTGGACGAAGTTCAGGAGGAGTGGGTTCAGGGGTCGTTAGAGAAGTCTTGGTCGTTGCTGCAAGCTTTGCCAAGCGAGGGTTCCTTCCCCCAATGAGATGCCAAGCAGGGGTAGTTGCACATTTTTAGGAGCTTTGGGCTTCGCGCGATCCACGTGTGGGAGTCTTTCTCTTCGAAAACCCATCTTGGCCTTCTCGCTTCGTTTCCGCTAGCGACTCGTGCTAATGTCATAAGCAATCAAACAGCGCCTTGATGTGACACATTGCAATCTGTTAGACGAGCCTGCCCCTGGATCTGGGACAGATCCTGCACTTCCCACCATGAACCTCAAGATGGGTTCATGCAGCGATGATGTTTGCTTTGTACTGCGGTTCAATCACACATGGGACGTGGAATCGATTTCATATCCCTTGAAGTTTTTGCAGTACCACATCGACGAAACTTTGGCAGCGAACGTGTTGGTCCTGCAGGAAGCCGCCCAATATAACCGTTTCAGCCTCGTAGCCAATCATACACTTACGGTGACATCGTTGCTGGAACCTCACGGCGAGGCTGATTTCCGGGCGCTCAAACAATTCCCTCCAATTGGATCCGCCTTAAATACACTCCATCTTTATCAATAACACCTCCGGACACAGCCTCACACCGGTTGCCTCTCCCACATAGCACGCGCTTTCACAAATGCACAACGTCTTGTTGGCATGGTCCGACTTCGGATGTATAGTCGTAAGGTGTAAGAGCGCATGCACCTCCGTCCCGCACACCGGCGAAGGCAAACAGAGCCACACAAAATTGTTCGACGTTGATCGTGAAGGGTTGACGGCGTGATGCGCATCAACAATCGTATATGGTAAGATCTGCCGTTCGTTTCGAGAATCCTTCGCTTCCGCAACAGAAGCGTCGCAAGGCTGATACGTCGGTACTCCGACGTACCGTCCTTCTTGATCTGGAGTATGCACACGAAAGTTCCGATTGACGTCTTTACTGTAATCACCATAAGTCCTGGAGTTCCGATTCTCTATTTCAGCGCCTTTGCTGGAGCTCGAGGCGTCCACAGGTCCTGTCTTGCTGAGATTGCGGGGGCTGATCGTGCTATTCGTACGAGAGGTACACTGACGCCTCCTTCATTGTTGATCGGTCCCGGGCAACGCAGGCCTATGCCAGGATGAGTGGCCTGCCCTGTCAGAACGATGCAACGACCACGGCAGAGGTTTGCATAGCGCGAGTATCCCATGATACCTCAGCAGCCTCTGATTCACAGCGATGCATGAACACTTCGTTAGTGCGCTAGAGTTTTGACGATCTGAGAAATATCTGACCGAACGTGGCCTTGGGCGGTTCTATCAGAGCCACCTCTACCGTTGCCTGGGCAGGGTTGGCAGCGCTCTGGACCGATAGGAGATCCTCAGTTACCGCATTATCCTCTGAGCACGTCGCATCGACGGGCATCTGGTATGGGGTAGGCCGACAGGTCCAATGGGTGGCGAGGGCTTCCCAGCCCCAACGTCTGATCTTGGCGCAGTCCAGCAACACGTTGCAGACGGGGTGTACCTGCTCGTGCTCGGAGACAGGCCTGCGCCAGTTTCTGTAGTCAACAGCTTCCGGATCTTCAACCACCTGCCAAGGTCGAGCAGGCTCGGACTTCAGCAACCGGACCTGGATGAACACGGGTTGGTCTTTGTAGATGAAGGTACACGCTCCGAGTGCCTCGTTGTTACGCACTGTACCTCCTTCGTCCCATATCGCCCATTGGAACCCTGTAGTGCGTGCGTTGGACACGTTTGCATGCTCAGGGGACTCCGTCCGTTCTTTATGCGTCATGGTGGCTGCGAACCATAATAAAGCTCGATGCATCTCGATCCATACGGGATGAAAAGGGCTCGGTCTTAGGGATCGTTGCGGTTCCTGCACGATTGCAGCCTGCAGCTCGAGTTTCTGTAGCCCGGGCCAGCTAGCTAGCAACGTTCTAAAGCACTCTACGTCGAAGTCCGCTTTCAAGACCGACTCAGTCCGTAATCGCAAGCTCAGGCACTGGACAGTCGCTACAATTTTGTCGCTAGTCCGTGCTGGCGGACGAGATAGAAATGCTTCAGCATTGTTGAAGTGGAACCAGAACTTCTTATTGAGTATATCGTTTCCGATCTTGTGCAGCTTGGTGTGGACGCTCAAGATTGCCAGCGCGTGGTGTGGCAGGGTCGCTAGGTTTGTATGGCCTTGCAGATGGCTTCCAGTGAGTGCCCCGGCAAATCTGCACCTGACAGCACGTCGAGCCGCCCGAGCAGTGCTGTCCCTAGCATTGGGTGACAGAAACCAGAACAAGGGTCTTCGCGTGTGCCACCATACGGGCACCAAAGTGGTGACTGGTTCGCTGAAGGGCTCCCCAGGATTGCAGAAGTTGAGATCGCCGAGTAGATCGCCCGGATCGGCTGCTCTCTCTGCCAGCTGTTGCAGCAATGCGGCCGTAGGCTTTCGTCGGTACGCCCACGACAAGACTTGGTCACAGATGATCTCTAGAACTTCGGCAGGTAGGTGGATAAGCTGCGATCGACTTGAGCTGTTGCCGGCTGCTGTCTGTCGGCAGGAATACATGCGACTATACCGAGTCTCCCTGTCCATGTCCGCCATTGTTGCGATCTTGCAGGCCTTTACTGATTGGGCAATGGTCGGCAAGCCGTAGATCGCCTAATACGTTGAGAGCAGGGCGCGGTGCAGTGAGCAAAAGATGAGTAGGTTCCAGAGAAGCAAGAGCAGCAAGAGGAGTCGCAGCTGGATCTCGCAAGCTCAACATCTTGAATTGGACAGGTGGGTCCTTAGACGATCGTGTGCTTTCAACTCTCGTCGAAGCAAAGCTACCAGCAAACTGTCGGTCCACAGTGTTCAGCTGGCAACATCGCCATTTATTTAGTGTGGGTTGCATTTTCTGCCTCTAGACACCCACAAGATCCTGTTTCTCAGTGAAGGAGGCCACAGCCTCCGCCGTGAGAAGCCCACGCGCCGGACATACAGGTGTAACGTCATTGTCATAAGAGGTATGTCGGTGGTAGGTGCTGTAGTGCGTCGAATGCCGCTCATCAACGATGGGAGATTCGTGCTTTTATGGCTCGATGGTGGAAAGAGACGGATACACCGACAGTTGGAGCCCAGCCGGTGGAGATGAGAGGAGACTCCCAATGACTATAGCACCAGTCAGCTGCCGTGCGTAGGTTGTGGGACAACGGAAGATGACTGGACAGGAGCTCTTTGATATCAGATAGCCCTGCAAAGAGCTGAGGGAAGGGGTGGAGCGGAAAGTTCCAAAGTACCTCAGCTGGTTTCCGCTGCCTATCTTGTGATGTCGGTACCGCGGACGAAGCTCGCTCCGAGAAACCTGATGGAAGTGCAGGAAGGGAAGCCGGCCTGCCTTACTTGGTCGTGTGGACGCAAAGTGATCAGATATTGGCAAAAGGCGCATGTTAGACGTTGGCCGACTTCAAGGCTCTTCTTGATATTTTGAAAATTGCATTGGACTCAGGCTTATAACGTGACTCTGTCAAAGCTGTCAGAACGTTGCAGCGGCAATTGAGTCCCCATGTTCTTGAACGTTGGTAGTAATAGGACACGCGTGAGCGAGCTTCTGGATCGGATATATTCTTGTCATCCGGCTTGAGTTGAGCCCGGCAGGGAAGTTGGCAGGCGCACATGCTTCACCTGGAGGTCCACCGTGGCTGCCGACAATTGCACTTCTCAGTCCGTGCAAGTCATCGGGCTCGAGTTTTGTTTGCTGACGCTGATCCGATCCGGAACCAATTAAAAGAACCAGGAGCTGGAAGATATCACCTCGCATCAGATGGAGTATGGAATGAACTGTATGTTGCAATGGATTGAGTCAGAACGAGATACAGGTATGTGACCTACTATCTTCTCAACCGCAGCAAAACATTACTGCTCAATTACACGCGTCGCTCCTGCCTCACAGCTTGCTCTGTCCAACAAGCATACTCTTGGCCTCGTTGATCTTCGCAACAGCCTGGTTGACGAACTCGTCGACAATCTCCTTCGCTGACTTCTCCTCCGTCACGACTGCAGAAGCCTTGCCCATAAGGAAAGGCCTGGCATTATCCATCATCTCGTCGCTCATATCGTCGCCCATAGTCTCGAAATCGTGCTCTACAGGGATTGTACCCTTCGCCGTGAGCTCCTTGATCTCAGCCTGCCTGTTCTGCTCCCAGTTGTTGATGTACTCATTTGATCGGACACGTAGTGGGCGACCAGTGAAGATGATGGTGCGGACATTGTCGTCGAAGCCAGCAGTCCTGACGGCTTCCTTGTGTGCTTTGGGAGCACCGGCCTCTTTCGAGAGAACGAATCGCGTACCGACCCAGACGCCTGATGCGCCCAGTGCAAGCGAAGCTGCGAGAGATTGGCCGTTGAAGAGACCGCCGGCTGCGACGACTTGCACGGGTTGCTTGGTGAAGGATGAAGTTTGCTTGGCACACATTGCAGCAACTGTAGGGATGAGGACGGTCGTGGGAACATCGCCGGTGTGACCGCCACCTTCGCCACCTTGAGCACAGATAATGTCGACGTTAAGGTCAAGGCACTTTTGCACGTGCTTCGGGTGGCCGATCATGTTCATGTAAAGGATGCCATTGGCGTGGAGTTTGTCGACCACAGCCTTTGGCGGGACGCCGACAGCAGAAACAAAAAGCCGTGCACCAGAGTCGATGATGATGTCAACGAGTTCGTTGAGTTTGCCCTTGGTGTAGTCGTAACTAGACATAGTTAGTCTTTGTTCTTCAGAGTATGGAATGCCCGTTCGTACTTGGTCTTTCTGGCACTGCCACCGACCTGGGGCAGAAGTAGATCGACACCAAAAGCACCATTCTTGTCCTTGAGATGGCCTTTGAGCTCAGCGATCTGTTCTCTCAGCATGTCTGGAGTATAGCCGACCTGTCCAATGTTAATGATCTGCACCGCTTTGCTCTGGACAACATTTGTTCTTACACCGCCAATGACACCTATGCCGCCAGCATTGGTGACGGCAGCAGCCAGCTTGGGACCTGCTGCCACGTTCATACCAGCTAGCATCACTGGATGCTTGATCTTCAAGAGATCGGTGAGGGTGGTCTTGATCTGCTGTGGGGAAGCCATGGTGTCTGAAGTGTACAATGCGATGCGACGAAGCGGTCTCGAAGTCGTAGGAGGGGTTCTGAGAGAAGCAGCAACGAAGATGTATTGATGAGACGGTGTGCTGAAGAGAAAGAGTGTAATCAATTGTGGGAGCGCAGAAGAAGAAAGGATGCAACGCATGCGCCGCCTTCAGCGGACCAAGCCCCAGGATTGAGGATGGACCGAGGTAGTTGGCCTGTGCAGCCAATGGTGCTCTGACTTACCTCTCCGCTTTCTAGCAGAAGTCTGGAGTAGTACGGCCGTGACCCGCTGCCGGTCACAAGCTCCACGTAATGAAGCAGGGCAAAGAATCTTCGTACTTCGTAGTATGATTCCGATGGTGGAGGTCGCCTCCTTTGCAAAGTTGCTGACCTGTCGAGCCTGTTTACTGATCTCCGCCGAGCGGGCCGCAAATCGTCCACATGTCAGAATCGATGCTGCAACGAGGCTCTCACTCAGCCTTGTCACAGTGGAGTCATGTTCTTGAGATTTTGATCTGCTCGTATCCATGACACCTTGAGAGACATGTATGCTCGACGAATTGTCTCTGTTGTTGAAGCTCGTCGTCGATGACCTCGACGTTCGCCAGCCATGTTGTCCGTCGAGCTCGCATCCGAAACCATGGACCGTTGTCGAAATCTGGCCCCAGGATGCAGCGACGACGTGCTCACCGAGCGGCAATTGCCCTCGGCAGCAACATGGGAAATCGAATCGCCAACATCGAAGCCGCCCTGCATGAGATGAGACAGAGATTCGCCATCCGGAAAGTCAGTCCGCTTTACGAGACGAAGCCGATGTACTACGAAGATCAAGGCTCGTTCATCAATGGCGCTTGTGAAGTAGAGACTGATCTCGACCCGATCAGCTTACTGGACGCGCTACAGTCCATAGAGGACGGACTGGGTCGACAACACACGATCAACAAAGGTCCGAGACCAATAGACCTGGACGTGCTTCTGTATAACAAGCAGCAGTTTCAGCATGAACGTTTGGAAATCCCTCACAAACTCATGCATGAACGGGAATTTGTGCTCAGGCCGCTTAAGGAGTAGGTTTCTGCTCTTCTGCTTGTTATCAATCTCTAATGCGTGAGAAAGCATTCTCCCGTATGCTGTCGTCAATTCATCGGCTCTGCAACATCCAAGCACAGTGATGGACCTCTATATTGGACTGAAAAATCGAGACGAGACCATGTCGCCCGTCACAGAAGTCTCACATCGACTGCCGCTCATCAGATCTATGGACCCGAAGCGGCCGACATCCATAATGGCTATCCTGAACATCACGCCAGATTCGTTCTCCGATGGTGGAAAATTCTCGAGCAGGGATCAGAAGGCTCTGAAACCAAACATCGGAAAGATCATAGCTGCCGGTGCAACGATCTTGGACGTCGGCGGACAAAGCACTCGCCCTCACGCCAAACTCATCAGTGCTGAGGAGGAGCTAGAACGCATCCTGCCCGTTGTTCGTACCATTCGCAAAATGCCAGAGGCTGATGGCGTCGCTATCAGCGTCGACACATTTTACTCCGAAGTAGCCAAAGGTGCTATTGCAGAAGGAGCCGACCTGATCAACGACATTTCAGCGGGACAGATGGATCCCAACATGCTTTCCACCGTGGCAAACTTGAGCAAAACCATTGTGCTGATGCATATGCGCGGCGATCCAAGCACAATGACGAAGCTAACAGACTACCCCCACGGTGTGGTGGAACGCGTCGCGCAGGAGCTATCCCTGCGCTTCCAAGCTGCGTTGGATGCCGGCATCGCACCATGGCGCATCATCCTCGACCCAGGCATTGGCTTCGCCAAGAATCAGGACCAGAATCTGGAGCTGCTCAGACGATTGCGGGAGCTACGTGAGCACCCAGTGAACTTGTCCGGCCCGCCATGGCTTCTCGGCACCAGCCGCAAGGGCTTCGTCGGTAAGGTGACCGGTGTTGCTGATGCTGCGGCGAGACAGTTCGGCACTGCTGCTACGGTCACTGCTAGTATTGCGGGCGGAGCGGACATTGTAAGGGTACATGACGTTAAGGAGATGGCCGAAGTGGTGAAGATGGCGGATGCGATCTATCGGTGATTTGTGCCCTGAAAGGCCAGGAATGGTTCCTTCGACGGATGGGCCATATCTGACACCGGATGCCCCTCTCGACACGCCGGTTGACAACAGTTCTACCATCTCGTCCCAACCAGACTTCTTTCAGTCACGGTCGCCTAGGCGTAAGATCTTCATTGCGAGCGAAAGTCTATGACTACATATCGCGAGAAGAGTAGCATAGCTTGCAACAATAATGCTGTCGTCAATGTCCTTAGATACGGAAGTCGAGATTCTTGTTGCAGTGATTCTTGTTTGGTTGAATATATATGCTTGAGATGACCACCATTGAGGACCTCACCACCACCATTCCTGTATGGTCACCAGATACAAAAGCAGGTAGGCACCATACCAACGCCGCCACTGTTGCTAGCGTGTTTCCAGACCACAGGGACTCCTCAACTCAACCGGAACAACATCCCCTTAGCCCACGCCTCCTCCAAAATCCCCAACGCCTTCACACTCTGATGATTCCTAACACTCTCGTCTCCGCCCTGCATTACTCTGTTCCGCGTCCCCACCACCGCCTCCTTCAACATCGCCACACCCGTCGCGCCCCAGAATTGCACGATTCGCTCCGCGCTGTTCTCTAGCATGAACTTCAGCAAGATCAGCTGCCCGATCTGGATCTCTTGGGGCGGTGTGTTGACGATCAAGGCGGTTGATTCCCAGAAATGGGTTGGTGGGAGCGGGTTGAGCGCGCGTGTCTTGCTGAAGTTTCGAAGGGAGATGGCCGCGTAGAGGGCGCCGAGGCCGACGAGGCGATCATAGTGTCCTGATTCGGGAATGAATGATTTTTGGCCGGAGGCATCGGGCTCGCGGCGCCAACACAGACGAGCCTTCAGCAGTCGTGGTCGGTGGAGTGGGCGTGGTGACGCCGAAGAGTTGTGGCGCGCAGGCGTGAAATTTCGCGAGCAGGATTGAGATTAGTGATGCTGGGTGAGGTGAGGGCGGGTTTTGATTCGGGTCTGGGAATTGGAGAGCGGCTTGGCTGAAGACTTGGGCGATGAGGACGCCGGGGGCTTCGGCGGATTTGCCGTTGTCGACGCAGGAGGTTATGCTGAGGGCGATGACGGCTTTGGAGAGGATTGAGAGGACGTATATTGTTAGGCTGGGGACCGTGGGCATGGGATTGGTGGAGGATGGGAGTTGAGTGTGTGGTGGAAGGTAGTCGTTGACGGGGGCTGGTGGGGAGAAGGTGTCCTGGAGGGAGAGTGTGACTACTCTTTTGACTTTTGCCATCTGTTGAGGCTGAGGTTAGCTCTGGTGTTTGATAAGGGTATATGGTTCGACTTACGGCTTCTTTGTTCTCTGCCGGACCGTCGATGCGTAATTGGCCCACGGCTTTCTTGATCTCTCGCCGCATCTCGCCCACCTTGGTTTTGAACTCCTTGACTGATTTTGATTGCTCCCAGAAGTCAACACGGAACTTCTTCAGGCGTTGATGAAGCGCAAGGTACTCTTGGTGGTGAGTCTCGATGTGTGCAGGTACCGCCTGAGAGCTCGCAGCAGCGGCAGGCGAAGCCGAGAGTGCAGATGGAGGTGGCAGTGCGGCGGCAGCCTGAGCCTTCCGTTGCTGTTCAAGCTGCTCTTGTCGTGAAGCTTCATCTTCGGCGTCTTTCCTGGCTTTCTCGGCTTGCTGCTGTTGCTCTTGTTGCTTACGCTCATCCTCTTGCCTCTTCGCGTCGTCAGCGGCCTTTCTTCGCTGCTCGTCCTCTTTGCGTATCCGGTCTGCTTCTGCCCTCTTGGCAGCTTCTTCTTTTTCGGTCTGCTCTCTTACCCTTCGCTCCTCCGCTTCTGTCGCTTCTTGTTCTGCTCTAGCTTTGCGCTGCCTCTCCTCTTCTTCTTGCTGTTTCCTTCGCTCCTCTTCCTGCTGGCGTCGACGTTCCTCCTCAATATGGGCTTGCAGAGCAGCCTCGGCTTCCTCTCTGACCGAGTCCCGACTTGCCTTTGACTCTCTCAAGCGAAGCTCATCTGTTTCCGCCTTGATCCTTTGCTTTGCATCAAGGGCTTCCTGGAAAATAAACTTTTGGTGGTAGTAGACCTTGGCATGCTGCTGCTCTTGTAGGTTGAGGTTATCGAAGAAGTTGACCAGGTCATGTTGCGCGGGCGAGCGTGCTGGCGACTCTCGCCTTACCGAGGACTCTCTTTTCATTAGAGGGCTGCTCCTCTGACGAGGTGAGCTGTACAGTCCGTCCGTGTACGGAGACTGGCCTCGAGCCATCAATTTGATATCACGTGATATCCCTTGATTCGCGTCTTAAGTTTCAAGAAGACGCGTGTCCTTGTCTGGATTGAGTAGCACAAAATGTATGCAACGAAGTTCGGCCAGTCGCTAGGAGTTTCAGGCGATGTAGGGTAGTGCTTATGCCCGTGCTCAAGGCACTTGGCACATCGTGATACAAAGACGTCGTGAAATGGTTCAAGAAACTGGATTGGAACAAAGATTTTGTTACTGAGACCAGCTGATCTGATGAAGTCTGGCGCTGTTCGTGGCTTGGTCGCAAGGTTTTACAGAGTGGTCGAGAATGAGAGACGTCGTTGTCGAGAGGTTGGGGTGTTAGAACGTCTGACAAAGAGTTCGTAGATGAAAGAAGCCTTCAAGCAGTCTCGAGGAACAGACATAAGGTACTTTAGTGAAGGCATCGAAGTCTTGGCGTAAATGTGAAGCAGTGGTGCGGAACCATTAAGCAAGTGTCGAGCCTAGCCTATGCCCATCTCCCGCCAGTCTCACAGCAACAGCCAGGCACCCACACCACCATAAGCATCCCAGGTTAGGCCTGAAATAGTGATGTGGGGTGCTAGTGAGGTCGGCCAAGAACTAGCCTGTAGGATGGAGAGACACCTCAGCCCTCCGCAGTTAAGCAGCACCCTCACTATCAAATAATACGTCCTCACCATACCTCGTCGACACTCTCATCATCCCTCCACTCCTTGTCATCCCATCATCCACCACTCTCTCTACGACATCGTCCTTCTCGCATTCTTTGAGAATCGTCAATCGCAGACACTGCTCCGAGTTACACTCTCTTGTATTGAGTAAAGTGAATACTTTCGCACACTGCGCCTTCCGCCTGTCAATCCCTCCCCTACCGAACTACTCGAAAACTCGAACAAGCAGGTGCTACAGGACATCGTTGCTGTTTCCCAAATTGTGCTCCTGCCACAAGTCGTCGTCGGCAGTGACCATATTCTCATTAAGACTCGGCCAACGCTCTGTCTGATCTGATATCTCCCATACACCACAGCTGCAGGCCGCTGCTTGCAACAGTTCCCGCCAACGCTTATCGGAGTGTCACTCCTGCTATCAAGCATATCACCGGTCCCTTGACCGATAGTATCTCTTCGCTGCATTGATTGCCAGTACTGCCACAGGTGCGTATCCTACCCTCGGTCTCACTTCACTGCTTCTGGCCCCCACCACCTCCGTCACCTCCGCATCCACCTTTCGCAGATAACTGCGTCCAGTAACCATTGCTGACCATTGTCCATCTTCAGCTCGTACCTTCTCGCAGTCCTTTCAAGAGATCGTCGAGCCGTCTCAGCCTCAACGACCCTCGATTCCACTTCATCTCGTCCGTACTCCCCCGAGTCCTCACGAGCAGAACCCCACGATGGCTCAATCGGGCCAGGGTCAAGCCGGCGGTGTGCCTGGGCCTGCAGGACGCCGACTGCACATTGCTCATCGCAGAAGCCCGTCCGAGCTGACCCCTTTGATGAGTACGTTGCTCCCACATCTGATTGGACTCGAGGCTGATAACAGAAACAGTGGAACAACTCGCTCTTCAGCAGCAAATCGAAATGCTTCAGCAACAGCAACAGCAGATCGCTGCGACTCACCAGCAATATGTGAACATGGGCATGATCCCTCAGCAGCCACTCCAAGGCATGCCAGGGTACTCCCCTGTTCAAGGCCAGCCCAACATGGCCAACATCTCCCCTAACCAGAACTTCCAGTTCCCACAAATGCAACAAGGCATGGGTGTTCAGATGAACGCCCCCACACAGCCAGCTTCCCATCGCCGCAATCAGTCCGGCGTTCCTGGAATGGGCCCTCCCCCGCGCCTTCTTCCGGAACCGCACAGTTCGTTGACAACAATCAGCAAGCAATGGGTCAGAATCGTGACACCGGAGCTGGTCGCGGCCGTGGCGGCCCACCAGGAGGTGGTCACGCTCGCCGACATTCTCTTGCTCTCCCGGAAGCAAAGAAGGCTGCTGAGCTGGCCGAGAAGAAACGGACCACAGCCGGCTTCCAGTTCCCTGTTCCAGGCAGTGAAGGTGCCACAGATAGTCCATCCACGATGACGCCCACGGACAACGTTTTGTCCAGTTCAAGTCCTTCCGCAGGTGGCCTTGGACTCCAGCGAGCAGGCAATGCTCGTGTGACAGGCCATGGACGCAGCCAGAGCATGGCCGTTGGCCGTGGCGGTGCTGGCGCTGGACGAGGTGGTGGCAATTTCCAATTTCCCCCTCCATCAGATGGCCAGCAGACTGACAGTGGCATCCAACGTCGCGGTAGCCAAGGTGGCCACGCACGACAGGGCTCTCGCAACTTTGACGGCAACTGGCGTCAACCTCAGACTCAACAGCAAGATCAGGTCCAGCAACCAATGGGATCGTTCTCTCAGCCTCAAGGTCTGAACCCAGCCACGAGTGGGTTTCAACCGGGTCATCGTGCTCGAGGATCGGTCAATCAGTCAATTGGCTCCATCAGTGGGTTTCAGTACCCTGGTCAACCTGGCATGATGCAAATGCCACAAGGCCAAATGATGATGGCACCACAGATGTACGCCGGCCAACAGCTCAACGCGCTGCAAATGGCCCAACTGCAGGCTATACAGAATGCAGGCCTTCAACTGCCACCTGGTGCAAATCCTGCGATGGGTCTCCAACAGCAGCAACAGCAGAGAAAGACTCTGTTTACTCCTTATCTTCCACAAGCCACTCTGCCGGCGTTGCTCAACGATGGTCAGCTCGTTGCTGGTACACTTCGTGTCAACAAGAAGAATCGGTCCGATGCGTATGTTACTACCAACGACTTGGACGCTGATATCTTCATCTGTGGTAGCAAAGACCGCAACCGTGCTTTGGAGGGCGATCTCGTTGCTATCGAACTACTGGACGTGGACGAAGTGTGGGGTCAGAAACGCGAAAAAGAAGAGAAGAAGAAACGCAAGGACACCACCGAGATGCGTCATGATCGCGGCAGCAAAAGTGACAACTCTGCCGTCGAGACGCCTTCCATCGCACCTGATGGCAGTATTCGTCGTCGTGGCAGCTTGCGACAGCGTCCCACACAGAAGAAGAACGACGACGTCGAGGTCGAGGGACAGAGCTTACTGCTCATGGAAGAGGAAGAGATAAGCGACGATCACAAGCCACTTTACGCCGGTCATGTCGTTGCTGTCATCGAGCGTGTCGCTGGCCAGATGTTCTCTGGCACCCTTGGTCTGCTCAGACCGTCTAGCCAGGCCACGAAGGAGAAGCAAGAAGCCGAACGCGGTGCACGTGACGGCAATGCCCATGGCCGCACTGAGTCTCGCCAACAAGACAAGCCCAAGATTGTCTGGTTCAAGCCGACTGACAAGCGTGTGCCGCTCATTGCCATTCCTACTGAGCAAGCTCCTCGCGACTTTGTGGACAAGCACCAAGATTATGCAAATCGCATCTTCGTTGCTTGTATCAAGCGATGGCCGATCACCTCGTTGCATCCGTTTGGTACGCTCGTTGAGCAACTTGGCGAGATGGGCGATCTCCGCGTCGAGACCGATGCTCTGCTCCGCGACAACAACTTCGCTTCTGACGAGTTCTCCGATGCCGTAACGAAGAGCGTCGGCTGGGAGGACTGGTCTCTCGAGAAGGAAGATGAAGCAAGCTTGGGTGCACGTCGCGACCTCCGCGGAGAGCGTGTCTTCACCATCGATCCCACCGGCAGCAAGGAGCTGGATGATGCCATCCACATCAAACAGCTTGACAATGGCAAGGTTGAGCTTGGTGTACACGTCACTGATGTGGCTCACTTCATCAAGGCGAATTCTCTCGTTGACCGCGAGGCGAAGAAGCGTGGCACTGGCGTTTATTTGATGACCCGTGCTGTCAACATGCTGCCGCCTAAGCTGACCTTTGACGTCTGCTCACTTACGCCTGGCCAGGGTCGCTTGACTGTCAGTGTCATCATGACAGTCGACGCCTCTACCGGCAAGATCGAAGGCGAACCTTGGATAGGACGAACTATAATCCAAAGCTCTGGCAAAGTCACGTACGACGATGTTGATGCCATCGTTAAGGGCGCTGGCACTACTGAGCTCGATAAGCCAACCTCGGACGCCGTGAAGACTCTGCACAATGTTGCCACCAAATTCCGCATGGCTCGGTTCGGTAATAGGTCGACTAACATTCCTCCTCTCCGCCTTATCTACCAGCTCGACGATGAAAACGTTCCCGTGGAACAGAACATCTTCAACTCGTCAGCAGCGCACGAAATTCTTGAGGAGATCAGCTGCAAAGCAAATGCCTTCGTGGCGCAGAAGTTGTTCGCTGCGATGCCCGACAAAGCATTCCTCCGTCGCCAGTCTCCACCCAACCCGCGGCGCTTGGTGACATTCGCCGAACGCATGACCAAGGCTGGGCAAGAGATTGATGCCAACAGCTCTGGCACCTTACAGAACAGTCTCTTCAAGGTCTCCGACGTGGATCTTCGCAAGGGCATGGAGACCCTGCTGGTCAAGACCTTCCAGCGTGCGAAATACTACATTGGTTCCCAAGTGCCAGAAGAGGCCCGTCAGCACTACACCCTGAATCTGCCTCTTTACACTCATTTCACTGCGCCGACCCGTCGCTATGCGGACATCGTCGTTCATCGCCAACTCGAGGCTGTCTTGTCTGACGGCGCGATCGAGTTCACCGAGGACCTCGAGAACCTTGCAAAGACCGCAGAGCAATGCAACAACAAGAAAGACTCTGCGCAAGCTGCCCAAGAGCAGAGCGTCCATATCGAATCTTGCCGAATGATGGACAAGAAGAGTCAGGAAGTCGGCGGTGATCTCATCAGCGAAGGTATCGTCATCTCCGTCTACGAGTCAGCATTCGATGTGCTCATACCCGAGTACGGCTTTGAAAAGCGTGTTCATTGTGATCAGCTTCCTCTGAAGAAGGCTGAGTATCGCAAGGATGAGCGTGTACTCGAGCTCTACTGGGAGAAGAATATCCCTTCCTCCGCATATGTTCCCGAAGACGAGCGCCCTCGTGGCGCAGCCAGCACCAAGGCTGCCACCGATTCCGAGTCCGCACGCCAGCGTGCTAAGGAGCGCTACGAGGCTCAACGCAAGCAGACCGACACCAACACTGTGTCGATCCAAGAGGCCGAAAGTCTTTTCGATACCGATGACGAGCTCGCTGAAGGCGTTGCAGGTGTATCTCTCAACGCTAACGGTCGCCCTACTCAGAGCGTTCCTGGATCTCCTGCTCGTAACGGCCTCTCCGAGCAATCCCGAACGCAATCTGATTCCAAAATCGCCAAGCACAGCGATCTACCAGAAAGTCAGCTCACCGACAAACAGAAGTACTTGAAGTACTTCGACCTCCGAGAAACCGATGGCGAGAGCATTCAGGATGTTCGGGAACTCACTCGCGTTCCAGTCATCCTGGCTGTTGATCTCACCAAGTCACCACCGTAAGTCATCTACCCTTCCTTCGTTGTCCATCACTCACATTTTTCAGTTGTTTGACCATTCGTTCAATCAACCCGTACGCACTATGAAGTGACGTATCGATACCATCAATTAGCTGCGACGCGCCCCTAAGATTGAGTATGTACAGAGGTTGTATAATCTAGACAGCCTGGTCCACCATTGACTTTTGGCACGAGAAGAAGATTATCAGCAGGTGGCGGGATAGCGGTCACAATAACGGTCACAGTTCAGCGAATAGGTTAGCCCAATAAAAGTATTGCAATATCTCACTATCGACTTCTTCAATGATCTGCACCGAAGACTGGTCACATTCGACAGCGGTGCTATTTGCATCGTATGCAATTGCTGATGAAGCAACAGAAGCAGGACTCGAGGCAGATGAAGTAAGGTGAGTCGCTATGCAGATCCTCGCCTTGTGATACGCTCATCTGGCAGCAGCGTACATATTCCGCCCTTTCTGAAGAGTCGTATTTCAGATACGCTGGCGGTGAGCTCGGATCACGAGCTGCTCTTCCGCAAGTCGAACCACCCACCATGTGGGGAAGTCGCGATGTGAAGAATTGCACGATGCCGGGCCACACGATCAGTAACTTCTTGTAACAGTCTTTCAGCTTCTCCTTTAAGCAGAAGATGCTCGTCGACACATGAGGGCGCTCCTCGATACATGACCGAGAAGTCACGATGCACTGCTCTTTCAAATTTTTGCCTTTCGTGGTTACGGCCGTAGATGCTGTCCAGCATCGAAATTATCACGACCGTCTCCACAAACGCAACGCGATCGTCGTCGACGGCAGCGGTATATGTCCAGCCCCTTCAGTCACTACTGTCCTCGAAGTCCAAGCTGCGTACTACCATGAGCCGTTTCCCTACAACACTGCCATCGAGCCTTTCAGGAATGGCATTGCCTTCACCGTCTCGAACGCTCCTACGGACGTGACTGTGACCGGCTATGTTACGGGCACCCGCGTTGAGACGCATTCACCCTCTCCAGATATCTCGCCGAGCTCGACTGGTCCCGCTGTCAACACGATAAGTGTCTCTGGACCAGGTTCACTGCTAAACAGCGAAATCAGCTCGCCAACAGCGGCAGAAGCGCAGAGTTCGAGTATTAGGAATGCTCCTCGATCGAGCAGCACCTCCCAGATACCACAAGCTCTGTCTGCTTCGTCACTGGACCCGACTCAAACCACATCTCAATCAGTCACTGTCGCGGACCTTACCTCAGTTGAGCAGACTACGCCGACACCTACGCTCGAGACATTGAGGATTGGGCTCGGGCTACCCTCCGGGACAGTGAGTGATCTGCCATCCGGGTCGTTCCTCCTCTTAGCGTTCACGTCTCTACCTCCAGCGGCCGCTCGTCGAGACAAACGCAACGCAAATGATGCCAACGTTATGACTCAGCGCCCAGCGAAAGAGCTAGAGAGGCGTCAAGAAAGCACGGCGGATCCAGTCTTTGCGGCCGATCTCGCCAACCCCACAGGAAGTCCCGACGCTCCTGGCCGCGACAACTGCGATGATAGCACTCCTATGATTCTTCAGCGAGGCAGCCTCCTTAATTCCGGCTCTGCGATCGCCAAGTTACCAGATGAATCCATGCCTCTGCTCGGATTCCTGGTCGATGACCCCGTCGACGAGGTCAATACCACTTTCGCACTCATCGATGGCTTCTTGAGCTGGATCACGCCCTCGAACGAAGTAGCGGACTTTTTCAGCTGTTCTGGCAGCCTCATTGCCGCGTTCGGCGATGAGGTGCCCGACTCCTGTACGCCTGTCATTGTTGGTGCAATCAATGGCACGGCGTGCTCTAGGGTCGTCGCGCAGACATGAAGGCCGGACTCCGTTTTCGTGGCGCCGCTACTAGATCCGACAAGCACCGTGAGTGGTGAGGAGACCACGAGCAGTATCGAAACAGCGACAATCGCGACTCCGGAGCCGAGTTCGTCACCAACGGCAAACACATCTGCGATATCGAGCTCGACAAACCCGCCTGCAGCAGCCGCCGTCTCAATCTCCTCGTCAGTTTAGGTGTCTTCTTCTGATCCTCCCTCGGTGGACCCGCGAACGTCGAGTACTACGAGTAGCTCTCCAATTACAACGATCGTACCAGTACTTACTGCCGCTTCCGACACAACCACTTCTCCGCCTGCAACGCGCGTCCAAACATCGTCCGCGGCTTCGGGTGTATCCACAAGCTTACAGGCAACGAGCAGCCGGTCAGCTGCGCCATCAGCTACTTCTTCTGCGACATCAGAATTCCCTGCAGTCACCTCGACGCCGATCTCCGGTTCTACTTCGATAGGATTTATCAATACTTTAACGTCCTTACAGGAAAGCGCCAGCCTATCTAGCTCGACGGTGAGTACAAGTCTGGCCGCCTCAAACCCCAGTACAGCATTGACGACAACCTTGCGATCAACACCTCAAAACTTAAATTCATCATCAACCATTTCCGCGTCTGCCACTAGCCCTACCGGGTATCTGAACTCCCCATCGACCGACTCTTCATCTGCGATCAGCTCAAGCTTGTCTTCGAGCGTCAGCTACGCGAGTAGTAGCGCCACACCTTCGTCGAGCGTTTTCACATGTTCGAGCGCCATGCCGTCAGGCTGTGACCCGTTCTGCGCCCTCGGTGCACCCGATCTATTCAACAACCGGAACCTTTCAGGCCAGTGTGGCGATGCGCTCTTACCAGCAATCAACAGCTCGCCTCTATCAAGACTCCAACAAGCGCAATTGTGCTCTTTCAACAATGACACACGGGGCGCTGATTTCTGTGCTTGTTATAGTGCAGCTCTCTTTTGCCCCAGGTAAGTGGCTGTATAGCTCCTCAAAGAAATCGGCACTAAGTTATCAAAGTAACGGCACAGTTGTTTCTTCGGCCGGTTGTGTGGATTCTACAAACAAGCTTCCCGTCGTGTGCAACTCGATGTGCACTGTCATCAATGGCGGTGTGCTCGCCGACAGCAAGAATCAATGTTTCCAAAGCCTGGCTGGTAATTTGTACAGCGGCCTATCAACCGAGCGCAAGAGTAGTGCGGATGCGTGCTTGGCATCATTCAATGCTAATGCAGCGGCTCTGTGTGCTTGTGTCAGTTCGGCTCTATTGTGTCCAAGGTAAGTATCTCTTTCTGCTGAGGCTGAAGCAAAACGAACAGCGATAACACTGGCCATAGCTCGAGCGCTTCTTCATCGACCAGGACAACGACAACGACGAGCAGTGTCTACACTTCACTGGCGTCGTCCACTTCGATCAGGACAACAACAACTATTAGCACTGCCCCAACCTCATTGTTGCTCTTCACATCTGGATCTAACACTACATCCACCAAGACGACAGCAACAACTACAGCAGCAACTACTTCGGGGAGCCCCTCATCTCTGCTGCTTGCGTGCTTCGAGTCTCTGCCTCAAGACTGGCCTCCGTCCTGCGACGCAGTGAGAGACTTTGGCGTTGTCTCCAGTAGTATAGGAGCCCAAGATCTGGCCAGTACAGTGTCGCAGTGTTTGAATGAGGTAACGCCAGTCATTGCTGGTATCTCTCCAATCCGGCGAGGTCCAGCGCTCAACTGTCTGGAAGCGGGTCAGGTCACTGTTGGCACTAATGGATTCGACATTTCGTTTTGTTTGAGGAGCTCAGTCCTGTGCAATGGAAATGGATGTAAAGGGAAATGTTGATTGTATAGTCACGTAGGTACATAGATGTCAGGCAGCAGCCGGCAAGATCTGAAGGAAATCCAGTCGAAGTCGATGACATACATGAGTTCCTTGGGGAGTGCTCTGAACAGACAAAAGCCTTGAAATGGTAGGCTATCTTGGAGACAAGCAAGCCTTTTCGAGTCGCAGGGCGGCCCAAGTCGTGGTTGCCTTTCGGTTGCCTCGTTCGGCAGGCACCGGACTCGATGACCTCGACGATAGTGTTCTGAACCTAATGTGAAGGTACTCTCACTCTCCTCCGTCGTGACTTCCTCTATAAATGATCATCACCCTTCCTGCTCTTCACATGCTTGAAGCGTCACTATCTCATGGATTTGCCCATAGAGTCCTCCACGTGGGACTTTCGTCGAGTACCTTTTGCTTTCACCTGAAGATCCGAACATGCTATTTATGACAATCGAGGACTACGGTATATACTTCTACTCTCCGCTCACTTACCACACAGAATGAACACGCTCAACTACCTCAGCGCCCGCCTCCAGCGGCGCCGCTGTCCTGATGCTGGGGCAACCTTACAGCCGGAGATAGATGAGTTCGCCAGGCTTGCAGATCTCGTCGAACTGCAACGATCCGAGAACCAGCGCCTTCGTGACCAAGCGCAGAAGGACGAGTCCGAGTTAGTAAATCTTAAAACCCGCTTCGCTGATCTACAGAAGTCGTTCCGGGAGGCCTCTAATCGGATCGAGTCCATGACGGCTGAGGCTAAGAACTCCGAACAAGCCCATCTACGCCAGCTACAGCAGTTCTACGGCCAAACAGACCATGTCAAATCCCTGGACACCGCCCTAGCGAAACAAAGGAACAAGAATAAGGCACTCCAAAACCAGATCAAGGCTCTGGAGGGCGCTGTAGCGAATGCCAAGGCAAAGACTGTCGAGCTTGCGCCCAATACCATGCAGCGGACAAGGAGAAGATGGGACTGGTGAGTGATGTCCACATGTTGATGCAAAATGCGAAGTTGACCCCTTGAAGGCCACCCTGCGTAATGGTCTGGTCGCCGAGGCGGTGCAGATGCGGGCTTTGCTTGCCGACGCCCACTTCGAGACTGAACGATTGAGATACGCCGCCAGAGGCCGCCTGGAATGGGAAATGGAAGAGAGAGACGAGGAAGACCCAGAGCCAGAGCTGAAAGCCCCCAGGCTCAGGAGCACGCCAGAAGCGCCGTATGTAGTGCTTTTGGTAGATGGTGATGCATACCAGGCAAGCATGAAGTCCTCCCTGGCGACGAAATTCACTAACCCTCGCAGTGGGCACCGAGCATATTCAGACAAGGCGGTAAACACCACCGACCGGGCACATTCGCAGGTAAGTTCATACACGGTGCACCAGGGAGGCCTCTGACAAGTGATCAGCGAATGAGATCTACCAGACCATTTCCGACGACATCGCAAAGAACCATCCGGAGATCGGTGCTGTCTACAAGATTGTCGTACGTGTGTTCTTCAACGCAAGAGCCTCACAAACCAGACAAGGTACATACTCGCAGTTCACCTACAACCCTGTGGAGTTCCGACGGCAGTTTGTGGAGACTTTCTTCCTGTTCGACTACATTGATGCTGGTCAGGGCAAGGAGCGGGTGGACTACAAGATCCGGGAGAACTTCAATCTGTGTGTCACCGATCCACGCTGCCGCCATATCTTTCTAGCCGTCTGCAAAGACAACAGCTTCGCCCGAATGCTCGAAGGCTATCAACACGACGCGGCACGGCAAAAGCTCACTCTGGTGGCCCCTGGCTACGTTCAGTGGGAGTTGTGGGATATGCACTTTCGAACAGTCGTCTGGGCGAACGTGTTCCGAACACAACTGATGCCGAAAGACTCGCTCGAAAAGCGCCGGCGACAGGTGTTGCAGAGCAGTCGGGAGGCCTCTGAGGCATTGCAGTGGGATACGGGGCTTGGTCACACGGGTACAGTGAATAAGATGTTGGCCTCGAATATCATCTACATGCTTGATGAACAGTGGCAGGACAAGTTGGAAAACCGTGCCAGGGAGTACTCTGAGAGGTCCCGAGGCGTATTTGCTCACGAGATCTGCAGCAAGCTACCGGTCTTTGCTGGGAGTGTGGTGGAGGAAGTTGACTGATGAAAGGGCCGCTGAAGGCCTCTTGGAAGGTGCGAAATCTGGCTGATGATCTCCACGACACAAAGCAGAATGATCAGACAGCAGCCGAGATAATGTCTTTTGTTGCTCTTGGCAACAGAGCAAACGGACAGCAACGCTAGGCATATTATCAACTTCAAACTTCTAGCTTCTCTGGTTGCTTGCTCCTAAGCTTCCAATCTATCCTAACAACTCGATTCGCACGCGCTGCGTCCACGACAGCCATGGCCGACAAATACCGCCCCCGATTCGACGTCAACGACCGCACCAGAACCATCCAGGACAAAGAGGAGTACTCCAAAACATATGCCAATCTCCTCCGCGCGTACAACGGTCTCCGACTGCATCAACAAGTCCTTCCTCAGGGAGATGGAGAACATCCTTGGGCGGTATGGGTGCTTCAACTGTTGGTTGAGGAAGAGAAGAATAGAATCCCGAATGAAAGTGACAGAATTGCTGTTGCTTCTGGCACTGAGGAAGAGCAAGTTCGCAACGGGCTTCGACTTATCGCGGCGCAGTTGCATTATCTCGAGTTGGAATGGCCGGGCCGTCAAACGCAACGAGTGAGAGACATGAGCAAGGAACCTACCAAAGAAAGCCCGAATCCGTGGAAGACAGTGCCCAAGACTGCCGAGCCGGTTGAGGAAAACGAGTTCAGGGATAGGATATTCGACATGGGCATGTACGAGCTGAGAGCGCAAGAGGATCGACTCACACGACAGATCGAGGAGAGCAACGGAGCGGAGGCAGGCGTTGTGAAGAAGCTGCGGGGTTTGAGGTATGTTGTGCGACAACTCATGGAGCAGCGTAAGCAGGTGGACGACGAGCAGGGGCTAGTTTGGAGTGTTGAGGATCTGGATCTTGTGCCGCAGGGGACGACTGGGGGAGCATTGGGTGGGGAGACTGCTGAGAACTGGAGTGATTACGATCTGGACGACGACGTGGACGAGGGAGACGCCGAGACCGATGACGATGCGGGAGATCTTAAGCACGACGATAACGACACAAACAAGAGCAACAAGGCGGTCAACAGCGATAATGGAGGTAACGGATTGGAGGACAACGACGATGACAGCGACAAGGAAGATGGTGGTGTGGACGTCAAGGCTGTCGATCTGATGAAGAGCGAGGACACTGCTCGAATCAAGGAAGATGACGACGAGTCCACTTTGGTCGATGAACTCTCTGATGCAAAGGCAGAGCAAGCCACCGTGGTGGAAGATTACTACGAGAGTGATGCACCTCAGACCATCCTCTTTGAGGCTGCTGGCGAAGGAGTTCGGGTTTCTATCGCGGGTGCTCTGCCTGATGGAGCCAACGGCAGTGCGACTCAGGAGCTAGGAGGTACCGGCGACGAGTCAGAGCAGACCACCAGTAACGGCACGAGCAACATGGACGACAAGAAGCTGTCGGAAGCTACATTCGGTGAAGTTGCTGGCGCCTTGGGTAAGCTTACTGTGGACAACGACGATGAGGACGCTGCATCTTTGGGTAGCGCAAGCTGGTCAGAGTTCGCACATCGAGAACCAGGCAAGTGGAAAGGACAGTGATGTGGTCGACGCGAAGGACGACGAACTTAAGTCCCTGGCTGCAGCGGTAGCAAAGTCCATTCTGTACCAGACGGCAAGAACGGCATCACGGTTGCCGGGGACGTGCTTCAGCAACTTAGGCCCTGTGTCTGTAGATCGAACCCCAGAGTCAACGATCGAACGTCTGAGATGAGGGTCATGTCTAACTTGTCGTTACCAATTGGATCAACCTCGGAAGTGTTGTGGGAAACAAACTTGACTGGCATTAGACGCCGTTGCCGAGAGCAGCACTCTGATAGCGCTCATAGAAACCAGCGATATTCCGGCGCACTCGGCCCATCCCTCAAGATCTCAGACGGGATATCCTTCGCCTTGACCGTCTTCCCATGCCTTATATCCCTCCGCTTATTGTCCGTAATCATCCACGCACCCAGAATCAACGTCAGGAGACACCCGCATCCGCCGAATGCAGCCGTTGTGATCAGTGCTGGGAGGTACTTGGGCGCGTCTTTGTTCTGGAAGATGTTTGAGCCTGGGAGTTAATGATTAGTGATTCGTACAACCCGAGCGTGGGCTGGGAGGATACTCACTGACGACACCCATCAAGTTCGCCACCGGCACCCCCAAAGTAGTCAACATCATGCGCTTATTCTCATCTGCAATATTGTTGTTATACCACACATCCAGAATCACACTAGGCGCACTCGTCCCCCAAGTCATCATAAAGCACGAGTAATACGCCACATTGATATTCTCCTTAATGTCTGTAGTAGCATAGATCGCAAACCCGATGAACGTGAACGCGAACCCCAGAGCAATGAATGGGAAACGCAGGCGGGTGTAGTCTGAGGCGAAGGCGAGGATGAGCAGCATCGCTGCGCCGGTGATGTTGGGCGCGACGGTGTAGAGATTGGTCTTCACCGTGCTGTACCCTAGGGCCTTGGTGATGACGGGAAGGAAGAGGGAGACGGATTGGAGGGGGACGCCGAGGCAGATCTCGATTCCTGTGTGTGTCAGGTTAGTTCTGGTGATGTGGACGTTGGGGGTGTGGGAATGCTTACCGAGAATGATCCAGCTGGTTGGATGCTTCAAGATACCTAGAGCAGACTTGAGGTTGAATTTCTCGCCAACGACCGAGGAGGAATCGACTTGGATGCGATAGAATGCCAGCTCTTTTTCTTCGGGAGTCAAGGACTTGGCTGATTGGGCGTTGTATGGTAGATACCAAAACGCGAAGAGAGCGAATATCATCGAGCAGCTGTTCGTCTCCATTAGTGATGAGCATGGGGGCATGATTTTGATTTGAACCCACCTGCCCTCGATGATGAACAGATACCTCCAATTCGCAAGGCTACCTGTATGGATTTGGAATACTCCAAAGGAGAGCAGACCGCCGAATGCAGACGCAATCGAGGAGGCGGCGTAGAACAAAGCCAGTCTCCTAGCCAGCTCGCCTCTTCTGTAGAATGTAGTTTGGTAGTAAATGACTGCAACCATCAGCACTGAACGCTTTCGACCTTGAATTGCACATACCCAGCGGAAAGAACGCAGATTCAGCCATCCCAAGGAACCACCTCAGAGCAAGTAGACCACCGAAGTTCTGTGCCGCGACGACCATGAGAGTGAAGAAGCCGAACGAGAACATCATGCACGGTAGCACCCTGGACGGACCATACTTCTTGCCAAGTATACCTAGGAACGGGGCTGTGAGCACATATGGGACGAAGAAGACCGATAGGATTGTGTTGTAGTCGTCGCCGTGCAGGCCGAGATCCTTTTCGAGGCCTGCTGTTTTGGCGTTGCCGAGGTTCGATTTGTCGAGACTGTTGAAGAGGTACATGACAGCGAGAGCTGATGAACGAAGCGTCAGCTTACTTATATTGGACACGAAGCAAGAAGTTCGTGGTCAAGCCGAAAGACACAAGTGCACATGACTTGCGGACAGACCCAAATCGTTCTTTGATTTCCTCTGAGATGCGCAGTGACACTTACTGGGCAGTATCCTTAGGTCAAACTTCCAGACCAGTCGGCGCTCAGCAGCTGGATCGATGGCCATGCTCGCACTCATGCGATGGTGTTCCCCATCCGCGGTGACGGCGTCGACGCCATCACTGAGAACCTTGACGTCTCTCGTACTGCTCACGGATCCTGATCGAACGCCGCTGTTAGTCCGAACGTCCTTGTCGTCCATGACTGTGCTGTCTGTGGTCTGTGGTGAGAGGGCATTAGGTTGTCGGAGGCCATCGCTGGCTTTTGTATATATCTCTGTGAAGTTTCAATCATCCTGGTCATTGAGACGCGCTCATAGGCTGCACGCGCGTATTGATAGCGAGTGGTCCATTCGGAGCGACTTTTCCAAAGATAAGCCCCATGCAAGAACGATAAAGCTGTTCGATAGAAGCATATGCAGGGAAAATAGCCGATCGAACTTACAAGGCACATTCTGTGTGCTGTAGATCCAACAGCTCGGGCTTTGATGTCTGGCAGCCACCAGAGGGACTTAAAGCACCGGACGGCAACCATGTTCGGTGTTGTAGTCTCTGAGAGGTACCTCAAGCTCACCTAGCGTGTGACGGTCGATGTGCGAATTCACTTCAGATGCTGAATCATGTAACGAATAGTGAATACATTCTGGCCGAGTCGGTAGAATAGCCACTTCACGCTCGCCTCGAAATTCACCTCGCGGACGGGGTATAAGTGAGAGTCCTGCTGTCGACTTTCTTCTTCCTACTCTTCCCAACGCAACGTCTGGAGAGAAAGTCAAGCTGCAGTTCATGCCATGCCAAGATAGCATCCATTGCTACTTGATGGGGTGAGCTACGATGAAGTCGGATGACCGAACGTATCTGTGATTGTCTCAAACACGAATTGCATTCTCATCTTGAGAGCAATTGCGATGGAAGCAGGTCGACGTCGATGACAGAAGCATGTCAAGCGAGACAAGCCTGCTAAGAAATCTCGAAGCTTCAAGGCAACCTCGGTCCCCATCGCCACCGAGCGAGGGGCAAGAACAGGCGACCAGGCGTTCACTGCCGGTGCGGACGCGGGCTGATCGCCTGCGGTCACAGGCGCGTCATACAATGTTCTCGGATCTTTTATTTCTAATCTGAACTTGAGATTTCTATTCGCATCGCCGCTGACTCAAGTTGCATCTCTGCCTCGTCCCTACTATAGCCTGACCATCTATCGATACACATCCTCCAACCCCGCTCAACATGGCTCTCAATCTCCCCGCATGGTATTACAGTTCCCACTCCCCCAGCACCCGACACCACACAGTACTAACCACCACCTTAGGATCAAGAAGAACGGCCACCTCCTCCAACCGCCCATAAATAACTACTGCGTCTACCATCCCTCCTCCCCAGAAACATCCGGTCTGACCGTCATGGTCCTCGGCGGCCCCAACGCGCGCACCGACTACCACATCAACGAGACCCCCGAATTTTTCTACCAGCACAAAGGCAGCATGCTTCTCAAAACAGTAGACACGAGCCAGACACCGCACAAGTTCGTGGACATCCCCATCCATGAATCCTCTCTGTTCCTGCTGCCAGCAAACACGCCACATAATCCTGTGAGGTTCGCGGATACGGTTGGGATTGTGCTTGAGCAGGCGCGGCCGGCGGATTCGGTGGATCGGATGAGGTGGTATTGTAAGAAGTGCGGGGAGATTGTGCATGAGAAGAGTTTTCATTGTGATGATTTGGGGAGTCAGATCAAGGAGGCCGTGCAGGCGTTCGAAGGTGATATGGATGCACGGACTTGTAAGGAGTGCGGGACTGTGAATGATAGCAAGCCTGGCCCTGGGGAGGTGGTGCAGCCGCCGCGGTTCCCGGAGGATTGAGGGGTCAAGGGCGAGCATCTTGAGTGCGAGGCGCTTGCGGTGGTCGCAGAGCGGAGAGGTCTGGCGCGTTGTGAACATCCTCCGCCCTTATCTGCACCGGGCGATATTTCTTGGGCGCCACGACTGGCTTGGGTGGAGGAAGGCTCGCTGCGGCGCGAAGTTCCTCGTCTTCCATCTGCAGCTGGTCAAGCATGTCGCGCGCTGCTATGAGGGCAGCTTGAGGCAGACCAGCAAGCTTTGCAACCTTCAAAGCATGAGAATTGCGATTCACGCCAGGCTTAAGCTGGTGCTGAAAGATGAAGGAGCCAGATTTCTCCTCAATTATATCTGTACAATATCGACCAATACGCGGCCACGAGGCTGTGAGATCAGCGAGTCGGTGGAAATGCGTAGCGAATAAGGTTCGACAGCGATTGATGTGATGGAGGTGCGAGAGGATGCCAAAGGCAACAGCGATCCCGTCTTGTGGCGTCGTACCTCGACCGACTTCGTCCATGATGGCGAATGAGCGAGCCGTGGCCTGTTTCAGTATAGCAGCGGTCTCGAGCATTTCCACCATGAAGGTTGATTGGTCTCGAAACAGGTCATCAGCGGCGCCGATGCGAGAGAAAATGCGGTCGACGACACCAATCCTGGCGTACTCGGCAGGTACATAGCTTCCGACTTGGGCCAAGATTGTGATCAGAGCATTCTGTCGCAGAAACGTGCTTTTTCCAGCCATGTTCGGCCCCGTGACGAGCCAAATCTGCTCTTTAGCATCAAGAACGCAGTCATTGCTGATGAACGTCCGTCCCTGCTCTTCGAGACCCAGCTTGACAGTTGGGTGCCTGCCTCCGATGATCTGGTGGTCTGTCGACGTGTCTACCACAGGCCGCTTCCAGCCTTGTTGCTCTGCCAGCGCCGCGAACGAAGTTGCGACATCGATCTCGTCCATGACAGCCGCATTACGTCTTAGCTGGACTAGGTTTGCGAAGACATCTTGCCGAAGGTTGTGGAGGATCCGCTGTTCCTCGTTCCGAATCTTGATTCTTGCTGCATCCATTCTGCCGCCTAGCTTAGACCAGATCGGTAGGTGATATGTTTTGGTGCTCTTGGTAGAAGAGATCAGATTTGCCTTCAACTCATCAAGAGCATGCTTGTTGAAGTCCTTGTTGCTGCGAATGTGGCAGATATAGCCTTTCTTGTCTAGGCGTAGAGACAGCGACTTCGCTTCTACCTCGACCTGAAGTCGGGCTGCCAAAGCATCGCGTTCCTCCATGAGCGCATCGAGCTCTTGATGTAGCAGACCAATCGCATCACTGGCACTCCTCTTCATGATCCATGCATCGAGCATGTCACTGTCAGAGAACCGATTCTCAGCGACTCGAGCTTTGCGTCGGGCATTCTTCTGGACAAATTCACTCGGATCGGCGCCCTCGTTCTCAACTGCGTCGACCGCTGAAGCAGTTACTTCGGCTTTCTCGTCTTCTTCTTGGCGATGCAGTTGCATCAGTCCTTCCTCGTCGATCGAGTTACTGATATGCTCGGCTAGCAACTGCGGCCCCTGCAGGAAAATCCGCCGAGTTAGCGGTGCGAGTGGGCTGTCCTCACTGGCACCTGTCGACGCATCCAGAAGCGCTTTTTGCACGAGCGCTGTCTCTGCGATTGACTTAGCCAGATCGACCAAGTCGTCGGGGTCGCCTTTATTCATTGTGAACTTTTGTACAAGTCGCTGAACATCAAATGTTCGTCTCAGTCGCTCGATGAGATCTTCTCGTAGGTCGTTGTTCTCTATGAAGGCCGTCACGAGGTCAAGTCTTTGACTAATCTCCTCGACTGACGCCGACGGCTGCACGAGACGTTCACGAAGTAATCGCGTACCGCTGGAAGTCACAGTCTTCTTGATGGCATGAATGAGACTGCCTTTTCCGAAGCCGTCTCTTGATGTCTCCAGAATCTCCAGGCCTCGCAGACTGTATCGATCGATCTCCATGAGGTGACTGTCGTCCCTCTGACGTGGCGGCTGAAGACGAAGCTGGGTGCGTTGTAGCTGCTGCTGGGCGTAGTCAAGCAGGTGGTGTATCGCTTGCTTCTCCTGGTGTGAGAAGGTCTGCTCAATATCAGCCGAGACGGCCGTCTCGAAACAATGATTCCAGTCCTGTAATGAGTCGAAATTCGACACGCGGTTGTGATAGGAGGCCAGCTCGTGGTGCTGACCAAGTAAAGCCTGAATCTCGTTTTTGACGTCGGCAGTGGCGGAGTCTTGCAGCACGATTTCTCGAGCAGATATGCGTGCGATGGAGGATGCCAACAAGAGCCGAGGGGTCTTTCCCGTCCAAAAGTCGCCGGTAGAGAGGTCGATCCAGGCCAAGCCTACATCGTGATCAGCCTTCTCTTCGCCATCAGCCATACTCGTTGGTGCAGGCACGTGTACTGCCAGCAGGAAGTTGTTTCGCGTCGTGTCCATAAAGTTCTCGTCGATCAGCGTGCCAGGCGTAACCACACGAACCACTTTCCGGTCGAATCTGTTGCCTCCAGACTTGATCTTCCCCTCAACGTTGTTCGGGAACTCTTCACAGATCGCAACATGCTGATTCAGCTCCTGGACCAGAGTCTTGAGGTATCGATCGAGCTGATAGAACGGGAACCCTGCCATGGGCACAGCAGGGTGTCTGGCAGACATTCTGTACGATACTTTCAGGCTCATGGCAGGACCAAACTCGGCTGCCTGGTCGAAGTACATCTCGTAGAAGTTGCCGACTCTTGTCACGACGACACAATTCTTGAATTTGGCCATGTTGTCGCGCACGCCCTGAAGTGTGTCTGGGTAACTGGGGTAGTCCGGCTCAACTTCCTCCTCATTTTCGATGTCTTGTAGTGGCTCAAGGGCGCCCTGCTGGATACTGGCGATGGCTGAGGCTTTCTTCGTTGCTTTCGTTTTTGCGCCTCGACGAGCGTTTTTTATGATCGTGCTGGACGCTGAACGGACGTGACCGAGGAGAGGTCGTGCGCCACTGGCGCGCAAGAGGTGGCTTACATCTTTGACGATGAGGCTAGCCGCAGCACGATGCATGTGTGCATCGGCCTGCGACGTTGCCGGGTCTGAGGACTCGGATGATCAGCTTGTGTCGTGCTACCTCCAACAGGATACGAAGAGGGAGTGGAAGCAGATAAATCGTTAATTGGGCACTTTGGTAACACGCGCTTGGACGCGATCATGAATCTCCGGGAACTTTGGCACGTGCACATAAACCCCAACCTTCCGCTTCACTTCAGCCTGACCACGCCCCATAGGGCGAGGCAGAAAATTACTGCACTAGGAGCGACGATGGCTTGATGTCGGTAAGCGTCAAGTCGTGTCCTCTCGACACGAGTTTCTCTCGACTCCTAGCGCGACACAGACGGGAGCCGATGGCCTTCAATCGTGGTTGTTCTTTCCTCCTAGTCTATAGGCCAGATGGCGAGCAATGTGGCCATTGTGTGACCGGTCAACGGATTAACTAAGGGTGTTCATCTACGAAGCAGTCTGCGAAGTCGATGACCGCCACCGTTTCAGTGCATTGTGAGACTCGCCCAGGAAACCTTCTGATCTGTTCTCGTTTGCACTGATGTGGCTGACGGAGCGACCATGGCCGAGGCCTCACTCACGCAGTTCGATACATCAAGCACGACAGCCCGACCTTTGGAGTACACATATGAGCCCTTGAACGAGGACGAATTCCGTCTGCTCACGCTACTCCCTAACACTAGCAGTGCTGGACCTGTACGATTCCAACTTACGAAACATACAGTCTCCTCGCCACCAGAGTTCTTCGCTGTATCTTACGCCTGGGAAGATCAGGCGCGATCCGAAGTCGCTGTATGCGAAGGCGCAGAGTTGTTCATCACACCCACAGTTGAGGACTTACTCCAATCTATGCTTGCGAAAGATGAACACGGACCATTCTTCATTGACGCCATTTCAATTCATCAGTTCGATGCCGAGGAGAAAGCCGCCCAAGTCAGGATCCTTTATCTTCACTTCGCTCATGCTGCAGCGGTCATTGTATGGCTGGGCAACTCGTCCATAGCCATCAACCAGTGTATTGAGTGCCTTCTTATACCTTTCGATGATTTCCCACGTGGAAAGGGCCCCCACCCTAACACTGGTCTCTATATGCACACGCCGGAAATTGGCTCTCTGGCTTGGTCTGGTCTCTATGAGCTCTTCGAAAAAGGCTTCTGGAGGCGTTTGTGGCCTCTACAGGAACTAGTCCTCAACACCAATGTCGAGATATGCTGTGGACGTGAGCACCTGTTCTCTCTGGAAAGTTTGTGCTGGTTTGCAGAGTATCTCGTCCAGACTAACGGAATACTGGTGAGGCAATGGGCAACGAATATGTCTCCCGCCAGTGGACATGCTCTAGAATTTCTGCGAAGGATTGAGGGAATGCAGACGGAATGGCGAGAACACTCTGGTCTTGCCGCTTCCTCCCTTATCGAGTTTTGTCGAAGCCGTGAAGTCTCCCTCCAAATTGACAGAGTCTTCGCTGTCCTTGGTCTCCTCTCCACCGCTAGTCGGTCCGGAATCCCAGTTGACTATGCAACAGCAAGCATTGAGGATCCGCGTCAGCAGTTCCTTGGCCTCGGTCTGGCATCTTTTGCGGATGATGTCTGCCTGACAGGTTTGCAACAGGCGCGGATAGGAGGCCCGTCTTCTATGGTCCCAACGTGGTGTCCTGATGTTTCTCAAGCAGTAGCGTACCAGCCTCTGCACGACATCCACGAATATCAAGCAGGAGGTGAGAGTAGCCAGTGGCGTCGCCAGCGCATCCCATCAGAACGGGTTTGGGACAGGCCCTCCGTTTCAGGTCCTCATGCCTGGCTGGCCTGCTCTCGAGACCGGCAACGAATTCTCATGAGGGGTACTGTCGTCGGAATGGTCAGAGAATGTGGGTTGAATCATAGTTACCAACGCGGAACGCATCTTGTCCATCAAGAAGACGATGGGCTTTCAGAGAGTCGAGCAATCGCTGAATCTGAGCGCCATTGGCTAAAGTCGTGGGCAAAATTCTGTCGCCAGAACCCAATACAGGTCGATGACCAGGTCAATTGTGATGCAGATGAGGTGAGCGCTTACCGTCGGCGTGCATACCTTCGCTGTCCCGTGGGCAATGCACCGTTCGTGCCCAAAGAGAATTCAGGTACATCTTTATACACACGACAGTACGATCCGCCTATTGCGCGACTTTCTGAGGGACTGGCAGCTGCGCTTGATATCCTCGATACAGATCCTGCTACTAACCTTGCTAAGCTGGACTCCCTGCCAAGCAGCCCTGGCGGAGCTTACTTACTCAGTCTGAGGTTCTTCATGGCAAACAGGACACCTCTCAGAGCATTTGGAGACATTGACGATTCGAAGGAGTGGCTTGGGATTGGCCCCGGGGATATGCGAGAAGGCGACTATGTTGTGGTCTTTCGATACGCTCGAGTTCCGTTCATCCTCAGGAGAAGATCCGGAAGCGGCTTCGAATGCAACGCTCGATGGCATCTCATCGGCGAGGCTTACGTGGAAGGCTTGATGGAAGGAGAACTCTTCGAACAGGCCGATATCGACGACGAGACATTGCCTTGCTTCTGGATCGAGTGAGCCCAGGTTGATCCACCAAAACGCTGCATTCTATAATGTTACACAATAGCCCAACACCACCCCCTACAGCTCGTGATGCCTCGCAGCACCGTCACTACCAGCGGCAACATTTCCACTGCCTTATTCCCATCCCTCGTAGCATGACACACCGCCGCCGTCCCAACCTCCATCCTGTACACACACTTCTCACTCTCACTAATCTTCCAAATCTCATCCTCCTTGGCACACGCCAACACGACCCTCGTACTCCGATTCGGCCCATTCCAGCAATGCTGCCCGTTCTCATACTTCATCACCACTCTCTCGCCCCTCCCCAACCCCTTCCCATCAAGCCCAACATCATCATCCACCTCTTCAACATCGAACCCGACAAAGTTGCCCATCGTCGTGCCTGACCCGCCTTTGCGAGGTTTCTGTTGAGTTTTGCCCATAAAGCACAGCTCGTAGGTGTATTCACCGGAGTCTTTAGTGATGCAGGTGTCTTTGAGGGCACGAAAGATGCCTTCGGGGCCGTAGTCTTTGTCGAGGTCTTCTTGGTGTTTGGACAGGTTGCGCTCTGCGTCGGACAGAGATTGGCCGGCGGCGTCGACGGATTTCTTGGCTTCTTGGACGGCTTTGCTTTCGCCTACATCGGTGGTTTTGGATGGGAGGACGCCGTTTTCGATGAGGAGCTGGCGGATGCTGGCGACCTTGGTGTCGATCCAGCTGCTGACGCCGGGGGGGAGGTAGGATGTGAATGAGTACAGGGCGGCAACGTCACTGTCTGAGGAGTCGTCGGACTGGAATTCAGCCCAGTTAATGCCGTTGGAATCGCTGTCCTCGGCCATGATGGCGGCGAGGTCGCGATCTTCGGCATCGGACCAGCTGTCGGTTGTCTCGCGGGCGGCGTAGTCTTCCCAGCCTTGGACGGCGGCTTTGACGCCGGCGTCGTTGAAATTGGGGTTGCGGTCTTCTTTGAGTTTGGTGAGGAGACCTTCGAGCTCGATTACACGGGCGGACATGGAGTCGCGTTGTGACTTTGTCTTTTCGAGGCTGGAGCGAAGTTCTTTGATGCGTTCTTGGGCTAGGTTTACTAGGATTGGAAGCTTGCCTCCTCCCGGGGCGCTGCCGCCTCGGACGATGCGCATCTTTTCTCTGTGCTCGACGTCTGCTAGATTGGTTTCGGCGTCTTTAACTTTGACTTTGACTGCCTCCATTTTGATTTGTAGCATGTTGATGGCGTTCTGAACCTCTTGCTTGGCTGTGTTCGCTTGTGTGGCGAGTTCCTTCTTCCTCTTCAGTGCTCCTTGTAGCGTCTTCTGCCGGATCTCCTCGTGTTTGCGATACTCCTTGCCAATCTCGTTGCACTTGTCCGGGCATTTGATGCCGCCCACTCCGCCGAACTCGTCAGAGCCATCGCAGCAGACATCATAGTCGCACCGTCCGTCGTTGACGGACTCGAAGCGGATGTAGGAGGGAACGTGGCCCTTGTTCTTGCAGTAGAAGCCTGGTAGGGCAAGGGAGGAGTTCAGTGTCGCGGCTGCCACAGTGTCCGGGCCCGGATGGTACTGTGGCGGCGAGTAGGGAGACAAGAATGAGCAAGCTGCTGTGCCGGGCTCGTCTGAGCCGTCGGGACAGTCGCAGTAGTCATCGTTGACGCGGGAGAATGGTATTGATATCGAGGGGTTCGAGATGCATGTGAAGGTGTCTTTTGCTGAGGGCTTGAAAAACTTGGCGACTACAATAGACAGCAGAGTCAGTGATCATGGTCCTATCCACTTAATGCAGCGTGGAAGCCCATTAGAGCATAGCATTTATTGACATGGAATATCTCACATTCAGGACCGACTCCTCTGGGTCGCGAATCAGAGGAGCGAGTTTCTGCAGCCGAGGACCTCAGTGGGTAGAGTACACCCAGCAGCAGCACTTCAGACCGGATGATCATTGTGGTGCCGTGAGCTGTTCCCAACGGAGTGCTGTCACGAGGGTGCCAGGGAGTAGGAGTACCGCACGCCTGGTGAGGCCACAGCACACGCTTTCGAGAATCTTGAAACGCGGTCGGCGAGACTGCCCCTTTTGTTGGTCCCGATGGGTTAGCCTCATCAGGGGCCCGCAGGGCGCGCCGGGGGCCTCCTGAGCCTTTGCCTACACTGACAGCACGATAGATGCAGCGTGCTCTACTTCAGTGTTTTCTTGAATGTCATCCATTCACTCCGAGCAGCACGAGCATTGTGAGTTATACGTGAGACAACTTTGGGCGCGTGCTATTGTGACTTTGCCATGAGATGGGCTTCGCACCACCTGAAGTCTTTGTCGCGCAACGCCATCGGAGGTATCGAGAGCACACGCTGTGTGCTCGTAATCCGTTGATCCTGCATGGTCGCGATCGTGCTCGCAAAGGCCGGACGAGATGTGGCAGAGAGCGTCCTCGAGTCTCGACGAAGGCATAGCTATCCTCCTGTGCAACGCGACCTCGGGAGACTTGACCGTGTGTGAATAATCCATAGATCCATGCTCCCTAAGCAGGGCCTATCTGCTGCAGTCTGGACCACCGCACTCGTTGTTATTGGACAAGGATGGCCTTCGAATGCAGATCGTACTCACGCAGTGCCTCCTAGCCAAAATCCCCAGGTCGAGTGCTCAGCCACAAGCACTCAGCCTGACGGTTATTCGAGTCCTCAGTCAGGGAGCAGATAACCCACAGGCTTACCGTCGTCGGACTCAGCGTATGATGCCATTTCCCATCAACACACCCAACAAGTGTGCACATGGCAGAGGTCATCGGCATCGTCGCCGCCGTCTTTCAGATCGCGGATCTGGGAGCACGGCTATCGGTCAAGCTTTACACCTTCTCGCACAAGGTCAAGCACGCCAAAAATAGCGTCGAAGCTATATCGAAGGACATTTCTATGACTGGGAATGTCTTACGACAGCTTGGAACGGAGCTTAAGAAGGAAGAGTATGCTAAGCTATGCACCGCCGAGGCATTGAAGGCCGCCCAAAGCCTTGTAGACGAATGTCATGGAGTCTTTAGCGACATCGACGCCGCTATGGGGAACGCGAACAATCCCGCTGGGATCGGTGGCAAGGTGGTGATGAGCTTCAAGAATCGTCTGAGGTTTCCATATGTGCAGCAACAAGTCGAAGCACTTCAAGCAAATCTTGATCGCCTGAAGAACTCGTTGCTTGTCATGCTTAACGTGCTCATATTGGCAGGTCAGCTCAAAAGGTATTGAGAAATCGCCCTATGAGTGACCGATGTTTACCAAGCGTAGTCAAACCGCACTACCACTGCTACAGGAGCAGAAAGACCTGCTCACTGCCCTTCACCAGGATCAAAGAGATGCACAACAGCGATTCGAGGACCTCACTAAACGGCTGGAATCGGTATCAACGGCGCCAAATGCGCAACAGCAGTCCGTCGCATCGGTCGCTGACCAAAATCCCACCACGAGTGTTACCCCAGTCATGTCATTACTGGCAATCACAGAGCCTACGCCACCACCAGTACTCGCGACAGCAATGACAACGTCGACTACGACCACGACAACGACGAGCACTATTCTAGCAGAAAGCCAAAGTCCTGCAGTTCCGTTCGACAAGTCCGATATTGGCCGATCGATCGAGGTTTCTGACCATTGCCGGCTGGTCGAGACACTCATTGATGAAATCAACCTCCCAAAGTACGAAATCAGATCTTCGCTTCGGGACCAAGCACAGGAAGCTGTTTTCAGACACCATTTCGATTCCTGGAAGGATCACTTTGGCCGGCTCGATATCGCTTCTCTCGAGGCTTGGGCGAGATACCAAAGGATCAAGCATGCGTGGATGGGAATGGCTGGCTTGACAGGGTCAGTTGCCTGTCTCACAGGCATAGCACCTTTGCATTTCATGGCCCGACAACAGCAAGATCCACCGCCAGTCGCGAACGCAGTGTCTGCAGACCACTCACCAGGAGTTCATCCCGGAAATTCCATTAGATCCACCACAAGCGACGTCTCCGAAGACAGCCCGATCATCATGGAAGCCGTCGATCCTGGCAGTCCGGGAGTCTCCGACGAAAAGAAGAGCCCCGATACTTCTCAAGCCAAGATCGAAGGCAACGTGCTCGCTTACATCAACAACGTCAACGACAAGGTCGATGCTCGTCTTCTACGCGAAGCTCTGGAAAAGCACGGCGAGTTGAGATATTTTGATGTCTCTCAGATGCGAGTATGTCAAGCCCCATGGTTGATTAGTGGTGCATACTGACGACGGACAGAACTGTGCTTTTGTCGAATTCGCCACCCCTGCTGGCTATGCTGCAGCTGTTGCTGCAAATCCCCACGCCGTTGGAACTGAAACCATCACGGTCGAAGAGCGCCGTCCTCATCCAAATGCCTATGGTGGTGCCAACGACTTTCCGGGAGAAACCACATTGAGTGACGCCGACGACGAAACCTCGATCGCATCCTCAGTGTTTTTCGAGGAAATACACGGGTATATTCCCAGGTATGCCGAATCACTGATCAAGCGAAATCCTTGCCTCAGAGACCGGGTCTGGCGAGACTTTATTAAAAATAACCCCAATGCGATTGCAGATGCCAGCGAGAGTAGATTCTATTTCGATGAAGCGGAGGATGTTTTCAGGAAGGGCAACATACCAAGGACTATTTCATGTATAAGAATTGGTGTAGTGCTCCTGATTGTCGGAGGAAAAAAGTCAAGTGAATATGAGAGGCTTTTCGATATCCTAGCAGGAGATGTAGTCGACAAGCTGCAGTCCAATTTGTTTCAAGCCCGATGCGTCAGTCACTACATTAAGCTACTCAAGGCCAAGGGGAAACAGGCCCAGTCTGCCGCAAGTGGCTTCCGAGCCGCGCAACGTGGATGGTCGCCGTCGTTCTCACAAAGGACTCTCCGCGAGTTTCACCCATCGCCAGACTCCGTCCAGGGGGACGCTGTCGAGCTCAGCGACAATGACCAGCCGTCGACATCTCTTCATGGACATGAAATCGAGGACGACAACGGCGAATGGGAAGACATTGATTCAGATGGTACCGACTATTCTGATGTGGACGGCACAGATACAGCGCCTCTCAAACACCAGTTGAGGGACCACGCAAACGATCCACGCTGGGTCAAGCGAAGACTGCCTGGTTCAGGGCGAGACCGGATGCTTGATTCATGGCGCGCCCGGACAAATGGTTTCGTGACGAGGCGACGTGCCTCTTGCCCTGCTATGGAGAGCGTAGTAGTTGCAGAAGCAGACGATGACATGGTTGAAGTCATCGAAGAACATTCCGAAGAGCATTCGTTTGACTGGGGACCTAACAAGAGGCAGATGAGCCACAGGACTGTCGATCCAGCTAGCTTTGGCGATCGCGACGCCATGAGTCGAGGCTCTCTACCCTCCGACAATGTCGAGGTTCCGGCACCGAGGAAAGGCATAACGAAGATGCCGAAGGGGTTGATACATACGCAAGTGCTGAACGATCTGGCTATGCCTATCACGAGGAGGTGAGTCTGCTAACGTGTGGATCGATCTTGATTGCTGATGAGACTTAAGGACGAGAACAATATCATCATCAGTAACGCATTGAGTCCGGAGAATATCGAGGCAGTACCCACATTGTCGAAGCTCAGAATCGCGCGTGAAAGTAAGTGAATCCCGGTTTCGCAGATTTGTCAGGAGACATGGTACTGACCTTTGAAGCTGTGAGGAGACAACTCAATGCGGCACCGTCCTCCAGGCGGAGCAGTGTACCCCGGAACGGGATCGCATTCGACTGCACGTTTACGACAGACGATCCAGAGGTTGAGAGTAATTTTGCAAGCAATGAGGACATGGATACTGCAGACGGACCTGTTCGCAGCTACGCGGGACTTCCATTCCCGCTCCCTCCTCATGAGAATCCAGAACCCATACCACCGAGCACAGCAGACTACTCTTCGGCCACCTGTATTCCAGGTCAAGTGGCTGTCATGCAGGACGAGCCGATTCCAGCGCTGACAACAGCAACACCAGATGTCCAAGCAAACGATGACGCGACTGTTGAGGATCTTCTGCGCCAGTATACCATCGTCGAAGAGGAACAGCTGGCACGGCTGCGGGCCCTCTGGGGACTGGCCCTCGACGAGTTTGCTGCCCAATGGGATTAAAGTGGCCACGATAGGCTACCCCGGTTCGGCACTTTCAGGAACCTAGATTCCAAGATTCACAGGCAGGTTTAGCTTCAGCAGCTTCTGGAAAATGACAAGCCAATATTCATCCCTATTCCCGCCCAACATCCCCCTTCCCCAAAACCGCACTCTCCATAAACGGACTCCGTTCCCTCAACCTCCTCCCATAAATAATAATCCACACGCTCGCAACACTAATCCCCAACGCCAGAAACCCCAATAAACTACTCGCCCACTGAAACCCCAACGTAGTATACATACTATAACTACTCAACGGCAAAAACGCCGCAAACACATTCTCCCCCATCGCCGCCGCCGCAATCGCGCTACCGGCGTACTTGGCGTAGCTGTCCAGCACATAGTCCGCTATAGCCAACACGACGATGTTGATTCCCCACCCGACCATTGCCAGCCCGATGGCGGGCGCGATCCAGGGTACGGAGGGTGTAGAGCACCAGCCGTACACGAACATGCCGCCTACCACGCCCAAGAAGCTGGCGACGATGGAGACGTAGCAGCGTGCTTCTGGAATGGGTCGGCCGGGGAACTCGGTGTTGCGTTTGGCGGAACCGAAGTAGATTTTAGAGGAGACGAAGACGAATGGCCAGCCTAGCAGCTCGCCGATGACGATGGCGCCTTGGATGTAGCCTGCTTGAATGGGGCCCAGGTTGGGTACAGGGTGACGAAGACTTGTTCGGTGGACTGCGTGAAGAGGTATACGCAGCCGACCACGAAGGAGGACCAGAGTACGAAGGTGGCGAGGACGGGTTCGGTGAAGAGCATGTACAGGGGTCGGCTGAGGGAGATTTTGAGCTTGGTGAGGATGGGAGTGTGGTTCAGGCAGCGGGAGGGGAGTCTGGCGAGGTGATCAGGGTCTGCTTGAGCTGACTTTGCGTCCCTTGCTGCCCGTCTGGCGAGGATGGCGGCACCTCGAGTCTCCTTGAAGAAAACGATGTACAGCGGCATAAGCGCCGCGCACCAGATCAGTTGAAACCAGCTTAGCCAGCGCCAACCGCTGTGGCCGCCGATGCCACTGTGAAGGATCGCAGCACCAAGCACGGGTCCAGTGCTGGTGCCTGCGAGATATGCCGTGATGAAAACACTGGTCGGGATGGTCCTCGCTTTCTCGTCTTCCCAGATGTTTGTGATGACGCCTGCTGATGTGTTGGCGAGCACGCATGCTGCTGCGCCGGCGAAGAATCGAGCGACGATCATCGTCGCAAAGTTTCGAGCCAGAGCTTGCGGGACGAGCCATATGAGGAAGAACGTGTAGGTGCCTAGGAAAGGTATCCTAGAACCAAAGTCTTCCATGATGGGAAGGACTAGGAGGACAGAGCAAGCGCCGCCCATCGTCCAGGCTGTGGTCGGCCAATACGAATTGGGGAAGTTGGCGTCGCTGTAGTTGAAGTACTCTGAGGTCTGCTCATGGGCGACCGTGATCATCGTGCCGTTCATCATCGCGACGAAGGTGGCGAGAACGGCAAGGGCAGTGATCAACCATTTCCTTCGATGCGAGAAGTTATATGGGTTGGCAGGGTCGTTCGGCGTTGACCACTTGAGCGTTAGGGTTGATGCTGTTGTGTCCTGGCGGGAAGGTGTCGGCCGATCTACACAACGACAAAATCAGTATGTCTGGGTGCAGAAGTCGCAGTAGGGACGGCAAGTAGAAGCGCCATCTGTGTCCAGGCCGTTCCTTGAAATGAAGCACAGACAATGGCGAACGGCATGATGACTTACTGGGTCGTAACGACTCCTCCCCATGAGCTGCCGGCACCTCGACCTCCCCTTTCTCTTCATCATGGTCACCCATTCCAACCGGTACGACAGTCATCCTGATGCTGTGGTTGAGTGAAACGACAAGTGCACACCCAAAAAGCCATCATCAATGACACCCGCCGAGCCATGGCTAGCTCTTATTGCTCGTGATGGCAGGTCCCGCATTACCGATCATAGCATGAAGTGGCCATTGACGGACATAGCCGTGGCAGACTTTTGCATATTTCACGTGGTTCATGTTAGGTAATATTGATGCTCGGCGGTGATTTCGGCGAATGAGGTCACAAGAGGGCGTCATGTCATCGGAGGTGGTGGAATTTTCATGTTGGTGGGCGCTCGGATCCGACAGCTCCAGCTATTTGGGGTCGCCATCGCGCTTACCTTACATCACGCCGCTGTTCGGAAAGGGCAATTACGACTCGTGCATTAGTTACATGCATAGAGCCAGCTCAGTGGAAGCACTTGCACCATCGCGTACAGATTACACTGAGCGTCGATGATGCTGAGCGGTAGATGAATTTGTTGTGGTGAAGTGCTTAAGACCTATCTCCGCGAGCTGCCTCAATTTCTCCAACGCTGCAACTACCTCACCGACCATCGTCATTCCTTGAAGTAGAGTAAGAGATTCGTGCATGAACGCCATCAGGTCAAGACGGTAACGACTGCATTAGCAGCGCATTGCGCTTTTGTCGCCCTTATCGCGGGCCGGTGCGCGCCAGTGAACAGAATGTCGGCCTCACTACCAGGGTCGCGTGACTTGCCTGCTTCTCAGTATGACCTGTCTACATACTGGGGACGAGTTAAGGAATCAGCACAGATAGCAGACCCAAGGTGAGAATCATCGAGAGTGCTGAAAAGGTACCGCGCCTTTGTCTGACGAGCGGTTTCGCATCTACATTGATCGACTGACCTGACCCTCAATCAGAACGCTGTTCGTATCCGCCGATGGTCTCGAAAATGCCAAGCAACTCGTTACACTCTACAAGACTGGCAAGACGAAGCAGATGACTCCAGAGCTATGGGAGGCTAAGAAGGTCGTTGACTCGACGTTACATCCAGGTGAGCAGCACGGAGCCTGCCAGCAAGCGAATGTGCTGATCGCTTCTTCTACAGATACTGGGCAACCAGTCTTCTTACCGTTTCGAATGTCATGTTTCGTTATATCGAATCTTGTCGTGACGGCGGGTATGCTCACGCCCAATATGGGAACTCGAGGCACTCTGTTCTGGCAAATAACGAATCAGTCGTTGAACGTGGCCATCAACAGTGCCAATGCCAACAAATCGTCTGCAATGACTACCGCCGACCTGGTCAAGAACTACCTTGCGGCCGTCTCAGCATCTTGCACAGTCGCGCTTGGATTGAACGCCATTGTGCCTCGTCTGAAGGGCGTTAGCCCCAATACACGGATGTTGCTCGGCCGACTGGTTCCATTTGCCGCTGTCGCTAGCGCTGGCGCTCTCAACGTGTTCCTCATGCGTGGAGATGAGATCCGGCGAGGCATTGATGTCTTCCCTGTCCAGACGGCCTCTCAGAAAGCAGAGCGCGAGAAGACAGGCGACGAAGTGCCCAGTCTAGGAAAGTCCAAGAAAGCAGCAACACTAGCTGTAGGCGAAACGGCAATATCTCGCGTCCTGAATTCATCGCCTATCATGGTTCTCCCACCACTGATCCTTGTCCGACTACAGAAGACCGAATGGCTGAAGCAGCGGCCGAGAATGGTATTGCCTGTGAATCTGGGTCTGATCTTGACGACCAGCATTTTTGCGCTTCCGCTGGCGCTGGGTGCATTTCCTCAACGACAAGCTGTGAGCGCAACTTCGTTAGAAGACGAGTTTCATAAGCGTGGTGGAGAGGGCGGACTGGTGGAGTTCAATCGAGGTCTCTGAGGGGACATTGAGGGAGAATTCATGGTCACAAGTCGCGGCGTGGCTTCACGTCTGAGCATAATTGAGGGCCTAGCCTGCAAGTTCTCGGAGAACGTAATTCCTGTTAATTGCAATAAAAGCGAACAGAGCGAGCCGCAAACTAGAACGCTTTGCGATCATTAAAGGCGCATGTACCGGAGGATCGTGGCAGTGTGAAGTCTAGCAGACAGGGAAACTGATCGCGAAGATGTCTTTGCACCGTGCGAGATCTAATCCGCGTGCAGTAGACTTCAGAGTCGTCGCAGGTTGTTTGCTGGACTTGAAAGAGACCTTCTCAAGGTCAGCCTTGTGGAGTTCTCGGTACGGGTCTTGGCGGCGCGCGGGAAGAAAGAGGAAAGCGCCGCCTTTCGTTCCTCAAGCATATCACCGCCAACGAACATCTTTGTTTGCGCACACCATTCTTCCTCGCACATAGAACATCGCGCCCCGTGAGCCAACAGCGAGCAACGATCGGACGAAATCTGGCTCGGTGATCTGGCCACAGTTTCTTCTGACAGACTGCGCAGCCTGGCCCAGAGTCTCCACCCAGTTCACCGACCGTCTCCTCACCTTACGCAGCCTACAGCGCAATTACTTTGTCAGAACCGGGCCAGTCGCGCACAGCTTCGAAGACGACGGTAGTCACTCCTGCTTGATTTGTCGAGTAGTCGAGTTCCCAACTCCGGCCACCTTTCAACAGTTGCATCCGCGTCTCACAGGCGAGCGACCTCCCGAAAGATATCCGCTTGGGAATTCGTTTGCCTTTGCTCGAGCTAATCGCTCCGTCCTTTATGCAAGACGATCATGCCTTGCTTTAAGGGACTAGCGGTGAGCATACATACACCCAATGGCCCGCTGCCAGAATACTCTGTTCAAAAGCAATCAAGATTATCTCGCATCAGCACATACATCCCAGTCCCACCTCCTAAAGTTCCCACCGATGCATCGTCGACCAAGCCAGAGCCTTCATCCTTCGCCATTTCGATAACGTTGCTCACGCCAGGTCAAGATGTCCCTTACTCAACACCCAAGTCGAGCATCACAGATCCGAATCCCAAACCACGAGTTGTTGGAGGATTGCCTGGTCACGGCGACGAGCGCGGAAAATACATAGGTGGCATCGGCCCTTACGTGCCTTTGACCACAAGTCCTAACGAGACGATCGCTGCATACATCTACTTCGATGGTCGTGCGAAGGAGGAAGTTGCGACTCTACTCAGAAAAGGTGAAGAGACCTGGGTTAATTCCCGTTGGGTCAGTGTACCAGACTCGGAAGGTGGTGGTCTTGCCGAACGAGAGTTCCTCTTTCGAGAAGTTGGACTCGAGCGATGGCTGAATGGCTTGGACCTCGAGGGCAAAGATGCTGCCGCTACCATTGAGAAGCGCAAACAGAAGCTCGAGAGACGTCGACGGAAGAGAAAGGAGAAAGCTACCTCAGACGACGAAGCCAATGGTGTCAAGACGGAGAGAAGGAAGAGCACTCTGCGTTATGGAGCAGACGGTCAGCTGGAGAACATATCAGACGACTCAATGAGCGACGGCTCTGACAGCTCTGACGACGAAGAGCTCCAAATGCCCGAGGCATCAGGTCAGATCAAGGTTGCCTTGTTCCGAGTACTGGCAAGTGGCGAGATCAAGCGTGGCGAGTACTCTCCACAATTCGGCGCTCATGATGATGATGAAGATTCCGACAACAAAGAGTCCAACGGGGACAGCAAAGCTGATGTCGACCATACCACAAGTTTTGCGAAACCTAAGACACTCGATCCCAAGACCATCTCGACCCAGACAGTCACCGGTATTGATCCGACTGACAAGCCTTACGCTGTTTTCACTTTCCTCTACCGTGGCGAACGACAGCTGCAGAAGATGGGTATACTGAGCGGACCGAAGGGAGACAAAGCGACACCTGCGTCCAAACGCAAGAGCTTGATTGGCGAGATCCCAAAGCTGGGGCCGTTGAAGAAGGAGGGAACTGCTGGCTTCTCCCAATTCCGTGATCGAGATGGCCGCAAGAGCAAGAGAGACGATCCTGATGAGATGGAGAGCGATGAGGACAACGAAGAAGGCAACATCATCGGCAAGATGGACGACATCAACGACGCCGATGTCAAGAACCCATCTATGCTGTCGCCAGAGGATGCTGAGCGGACCGGTGCAGTAGCGGAAGCATCCGGAAAATCAAGGTACGTGATCCGTCGCCTTTGAAATTTCGTCATGGGCTAAGATATTATCAGCTCAAACGTCAGCATTCTGCCGAACCTCTCAACAGCAATGGTGCGAACGAAGCGAGAAAGTCCTCCAAATCCGGATCTACCTCTAACTCTCCATCTTCTACACCCAACTTAGGCCTCGATGCCTTGGGTACTTCGCCTGCACAAGGTCAATTGGCAGACGTCAAGAAAGAAGATGAATTCATGGTCGGCAGCCCCCTCAAGAAGCAACGAAGCAGCATGGCCGACTTTGACGATGATTTCAAGCGCCGACTCCAGAGAGGTCTTGCAGCACAAGCGATTGGCGATGTTCTTGGATCCGGCAGCAAGGATTCGGGAGTATCTGGGTTGCAATTTGGGGCGAGTCTGGGCAAGAAGCCTGCCGACAACGACGATGACGAATTATAACGACAATATCCAACTTCTTGTGCATATTTGCGTTCAGCCTGCTTACACATGACCCCAACCATTGTTGGCAACCCTGAACCAGCAGGTGGCTAGTCCATGTGGACCTACCTGCTTGTCTCCTACAGGCTGTCATCAACGGAGATCAATGTAGGTCGGATCCTGCATTGGATGCGGCACCGGGCATCAGGAAAGGTGGCGGACGCTGTCAGTGGTGGCAGCGCGGTGGAGCAACACGCTGTGATTTGGTGTTGGAGGCGACCAAAAAGGGTACGACAAAGGGCCGGGCGCGCTGCCACTGAATAACGCCATTCTGTCAGCCTGAAAAGACCCAGATAGTACCTTTGGCCAACTGTGGATAACATCAATCATAATCGTTCTCTCCGATCCATAACACTTCGAGCACCTGTATTCTGCTTCTGGCTGCATCGTACACGCTTAGCCATGCGATAGCTGTTGTGTTGCCTTGTCGACGCCTTATGACGCAGTTGGCGGGATTTCTGAGTCCCGACACAGCATCGCAATTGCCCGAGTGAAGCACAAGAGTTCTTCGCCGTCAATAGCTCCTGTTCGACCTCGACATCACCTGATACTCTTCTCTTATTGTAGTATGTCACAAAGAGATACACGACTGGTCGGAACTCTGATGCTGAACACGACGACATCATCACGCGTGCTTGATTGGTTGGATGCCTTTTGCGAGGCGCGTCATCGCTAGCGGAACGATCCTCCTTCGCGTACTACACAGCAATAGCGTGACGACCATGGCAAGACGCTACTAAACAGATTCTGCGTCTGTCTTCATGTACAAAATACTTCGACATGCCTCCGTGAGAACAGGAGCTGTAAGAACGAACTCTATTTTCAGTTGCCCTTTGCCTTTATACCAGGGTTGCAGATCCTACCAGAATCCACGCGCCAGGATGTCCGTGACTCGGTCGAAAGACCCGTTGGTATGGATTGATTGCGAGGTATGTTTGAACTATGGCCCCTCCCCGAGTGCCACTACCATGTACTCGTTTCTACCTGCCATACTTGGACCAGTGACCTACCCAACGACAACGAACAAATACTCATGCAAGCAGATGACCGGCCTCGATGCCACAAAGGACACCATCATGTCCATCGCCTGCTTTGTGACTGATGCCCAGCTCAATGTGCTCGACGAAAACGGCTACGAGACAGTGGTGCATCACTCGTCTCAGCAGTTGTCCACAATGGGCGAATGGTGTACTAGGACACATACCGCTTCAGGCCTCGTCGACCAGTGCGTTATGTCGACAACCGACGCACAAGCTGCTGCCACTAAGACACTGCGATACATCAAGCAGCTGGTCCCCCAACCTGGCAGAGCTCTTCTGGCTGGCAACTCGATTCATGCAGACAAAATGTTCCTGATGCATGAGCCATGGAAGCAGATACTCGATCATCTTCACTACCGACTTCTGGATGTCAGCGCTATCAAAGAAGCCGCCAGACGATGGGCCCCTGATGAGGTGCTGGAGAACGTCCCAAAGAAGCAACTCAAGCATGAAGCCAAAGCCGACATACTTGAAAGCATCGAGGAGGCTCGCTACTACCGAAATTTATTTGGAGGCATACGACAGTCGTCATCGTCACCTCCTCACCTTGTTGGCTCTCAGAACTCTACTTCAACACTGGACAGTGCGTACGGAGCCAACAATGGTACACCAGCATCATTCCTGCGCAAGGACTCGTATGGCAATACCATCACGCAGGAGGCCGAACAGGTCGAGGCAACGCTCAAAGCTAAGCGTAAGGCTGGCGAGATGGAAATGCAATATCCTTTGGTCGATGGTAGTCGTAGGCCGAACGGCCGAGGCCTGCGGACGATTTCTGGTGGATTACAAGCCTCCAACAGTATCGAGTCGGTGGGCAGCGATCAAGAGGGCTTCCGGACTGATGTGCCGTGATTCCTGCTCGGTACCGCTTTGCACGAGCTTCGGATGCCAGTTGGCACAACGTATGCAGGGGCATCGCGAAACACCGACGCGAGCACACTATCACCATATTGGTACCTACTGAGCTCATTCTTGCCGAGTCTTAGGTACCACGACTCGCGCCTCCAGGGACTCAACACTCTGCATCGTCGACAGAGCAGTCTTCGTATACAGGTGTATGTTGGAACATGCCAAACCATCCCACGGAGCCAAGGCGAGCTTTGGTGTCTGGCGAAGGCAGTTCTCGATCAGCCAGCAGAAGTTCTACCACTACAGGCCGTTCCCAGTTCCTGAAGTACGATCGAACATCCTCGCAAAATGTGGATACTACACTGTGCAGAGACCAACCAGATTTCCTAGGGCGAGCGTTGGAGTTAAGGCCGTAAGTGTGGCCAAGCGATTATGATACTCCAAGACATCGCTACCGGGGATGTACTGGTCGGGGAGTGGAGCAGATGCAAATATAAAGACAACGAACCCCAACGGTACAGAGCTATGTCTGTGTAGCTTGCTTTGGTAGTCGCCGCATCAGCACGACTGGCACACTGCTTCGAAGGATTAAGGCGATATGGGTGGCCTTAAGCTTGTGTGACATATCTGTCTCGACAGATCCATCCTTTCCTACAACAGACCACATACAAGAAAGACCACCATCTCTCTGGAGCTCAATGACAACAAGCACTCCCATCAGTCAGGCAGACGCAATGGCGACAAATGTGAAGGTCATTGCTGGCGACCCGTCGCAAGGCAGGACGAAATCTAGCCCGTTCGAGCACCCATACGCACTCATCCCAACCCCTTCCCTCCCCACAGACGGCAGCAAGCCCCACGGCGCCCTACTTAACGCCGTCGAAATGTTCCTGGTGCACAACATCCTCATTCGGGCCATCAATAGCATCCTCTATCACGCACCCCTAGTCAAGCTACACGACGACATCAAAGACTTTCTCCACTTCTGTGAAGTCTTCGTGGACTTTACAAATTTACACCACGACAGCGAGGAAGAGCATATCTTCCCCGAATGGGCGAGGGCCTGCGGTCAGCCGGACATCATGAACGAGAACGTGGCGGAGCATACAACTTTCCATGCTGGTCTTCAGGAGCTTCGAAACTACGCCAAGCAAACACGAGACGACACGACGAGACACAGCAGCGAAGAGGTCATACGTATCATCGACTCCTTCGCGCCTGCCTTAACGACACACCTACGTAACGAAATCCCCACCGTCCTCCAAATGCAGCAGTACCCCAATGGAGACGAACAGCGGAAGATCTTCGCCAAGGGAGTGGAGAAGGGTGCCGCACAGGCGGACAACACGACGCAGATCCCGTTTGCGCTGGGCTGTCATGATGCTGGTTTTGAGGGCGGCAAGCACCGGTTTCCGTCATTGCCTTGGTTCGTTATCATGGGCGTCGTGTGGTGGTACGGCGGAACACACAAGGCGACCTGGAGATTCTGCCTTGCGATCTGTATAGTCGGCCAAAGGCGGCGGAGTTTTGAGATTGTTGTGAGCGAACACACCCGACGGTAATCGTCCCACCTGGCAGCAGGGGACGCTACCAAGGCATGACAATGAGCCTCGTCGCCGATCATCCTGTTGAGAGAAGAGAGAAAGGATAAAGTCGAGGAGAGGGCGACTACTTATGCCTTCTCGACAAAGTGAGGAGCCGGTGCATCCCGAAATAAGCACTTCACTGAGTCGGCAATCGGCCATTCACTGTTCTTTGTGTGATTCAGATCGGTTGCTGCTGGATGTGTTCAATTGAATACTTCTCACTACCTTGGGGCCCGGTCATGAACCTCAGCTCCATCAATAGTTTAGGGCTGAAGGACGATCTCTGAGGACGCATGGAGAAGGGCAGGAGTTTGATACAAGCTGGAACTCGGAGCCATCCAGGAACAAGAACTGTGGTCTGTGCCTGTCGTGGCGACCGGTATGTGCAGCTCATACCACTGAGACTTGTCGCTGTCGCGGCTATGGGACGCTATCTCGGCGATTTACGAAGTCGGCTCAACCCACTGAGTCTTGGGTCATTCCCACTGAGACTGTCACGGATCTTTGGAGCTGTCTCGGTGTTCTGCACGGCTAGCTCACGCTGTTGAGTCTTGAGACTGTTGCAATGAGACTGTATCGCTTGTCACGAAGCTGTCTCGGCGGTCTGTACTGTCAACCCGACTCACTCAGGCTTTGTTGCTGTCGCGAACGTCATGGGGTTGTTTCGCGTGCATTCCGATTCAGCCCATGTCACTGAATCCGAGACTGGCGGTACACATGACATCTTCTGGAAGATACAGAGACATCCCAGGCAGTTCAAGGGAACCTCCTATTCAGTTTGCGCACGGACCAATTATCTTCGAGACAATGTCGTCGATTGTTTGACATCGACAACAAAGACAATCGAGACATTGACTACCAAGTTACTCCGACCTCGAACAAAAAGATGGCATAGAAATCTGTCATTAACCTTTGTTGGGAACACAATGATACCGCACAAGACCGTTCTTTCTCCTGGCGCAAAGCAAAGCATCGAGATCGAAAACCAAGGCAGTCATGTCTTCAGCATACTACAACAGGGCTGGACAGCAACCTCCTTCTGACAGCAGCAGTCATAGCAGTGGGAACAGAACTATGCCGAACAGAAACTTCTATAGGCGACAGCAGGGTTCAAGGACGAGTGGGAGGATTGAGGATCACAGGCGGCAAGATGGTCGATACAGGAACATTGAGCCGGACACAAGGCATCGGCAGGCACTCCTGGATCCTCGCCACGACCCTCGACATGCCATGCACCAGCAGAGGCGACATGCTTTCCAGCAGCGACAACAGCAGCAGCAACCATACCAAGTGCAGCAGCAACACCGTGGCCTACCACAATACACTGGTCCTCAGCTCATCCGCCCAACACGATTTCACACTCCTCACGTACAACTCCCTCTCCCTCCTTTGATACCACATCAACGTCGGGCAAGCAGCACTCCCAGCGTCATTCAATCATGTGCACCTCCTGACCCCTTCTACAACGGCTACGATCCTGTCCTTGACCACCGCACCTGGGCCCAACTTGACGCACTCGACAACTGGTACTGGCCAGAGACATGGGCGGGTTCAAACCAGGACTTCATCGACTACACCGAGCGATTTAGGCGACCGAGATCAGATCCTCTTGCGGGCACTGGATACATGCTCGACATCGAGAGGTATGGTGGCCAGCAAGCAGGGGAGTTTGTGGTTGAGGATCCAAATGTTTGGCCTCATGTTGTGTCGCCTGATGTCGTGTCTATTGATGAGGCGGAGCTTGAGCAGCTGGGGGATCTGCAACAGCTGATTGACGTTGGCGATAGTGAGCAGGTCGCCGATTTGGGCGACGTGCAAGCGGGCGAGCAAACGTGGGTGGAGAAAGCGATGGATGCGGAGCGCGATGAAACTGCTGAGGTCGATGACAATGTGACGGTTCAGCACCAAGATTCCGAAGAAGGTCTGTTTGACTAAGGCGCTGTTGCGTCCGGGGCAGGTCCGTGTAGTCACGATCAGAAGTTGTGAATGGTCGGCTACTCTGAAGAGAATCGGCATAGCATAGGGCAACAGAACACTGGTTGTACACTTGGGCAGATCGGAGAAAGATGCCTATCTCGTACCTGTATAGACATAGAACGACGGGCTTTCTACCTATATCTGTGAGAGACATCTTCGGCATTAGACTTTCCTCGTAGCAATCAAATTTCATTGTTCGGAACAATCTTCTTGCTTTTTAACTTGAGTGGTGGTCAATCTCCTGGACAACGGGTGGGCAAACGCGCGAGGCTGGCACAGTGAGGGGCAAGCCCGCGACCGCCGGCGATGCCCCGTTGCTGACTTAGCGAAGTACTAGAGCCATCAGACATTGTCCCCAAAGAGGCATGCTCTCGTCAAGGAGGTCCTCGTGCATTACTGTGGCTTATTCATCCAAGTGCTGCGTGATGGAAAGGAAGGAGAGGATTTGCTTAGTGACGTGGTGGGGCAGTAGGGACTCGAGCATAGCAGGAGCTACCCGGAACCCTTATTCGAAGGAAGCTACATCATATCCGTGCCCCTCCATCGAGAGATACTTCCGTCCCGACTTTTTGTAAACAATTTCTTCAAGTCCGCGGCGTTGCTTCACTTCACTTTGACACTGCGACTTTGAGCTTCCCTTCACTACTGCCTGACTCTTCTCTACTCCCGGTAAGTTCTGACACTTTCGCGGACTCGTGAGCCATATCCTTCGAGTACTTCAGCCACAGGTAGTTCGCACCTTTCAATGACAAGACGTCCAGAACTGACTCTGCACTTTCAGTCCCAACACTTCCCTCATCATGGCTTCCTTCGCCCAAGCGACCGACCTTAATGCCTGGAAGGCACTGGTCGAGCACCACGACAAGGTCGGCCGCAACATTGTCCTCCGAGATGCATTCGAGCAAGACCCATCCCGATTTGAGAAGTACACAAAGACCTTCAAGAACGTCGATGGCTCCGAGGTTCTGTTTGACTTCTCTAAGAACTTTCTTGCCCAGGACACACTTCCATTACTGGTCAACTTGGCCAAGGAAGCCGGTCTCGAGGCCAAGCGAGATGCCATGTTCGCTGGAGAGAAGATCAACTTCACAGAGAAGCGTGCTGTCTATCACGTTGCGCTCCGCAATACCAGCAACCAGCCCATGGCTGTTGATGGAAAGAGCGTCGTTGAGGAGACCAACTCGGTGCTCGATCACATGAAGGAGTTCTCAGAGCAGATCCGCTCCGGTGAGTGGAAGGGCTATACTGGCAAGAAGCTTACTACCATTATCAACATCGGTATCGGTGGTTCAGATCTGTAAGTGCTCCTCTACGTCGCTGTTTCGGTTACTGACTTGCTTGTAGCGGCCCAGTCATGGTCACAGAAGCTCTGAAGGCATACGGAGATCGGGACATGACTCTACACTTTGTCTCGAACATCGACGGCACGCACATTGCTGAGGCACTCAAGAACTCAGATCCCGAGACGACCCTCTTCCTCATCGCCTCCAAGACATTCACAACAGCTGAGACGGTCACGAACGCCACCACAGCAAAGAACTGGTCTTGCAGAAGGCCAAGGAGGCAGATATCGCCAAACACTTCGTTGCTTTGTCAACCAATGCTGAGGAGGTCGAAAAGTTCGGTATCGACACCAAGAACATGTTCGGCTTTTCAGACTGGGTTGGAGGACGCTACTCGGTCTGGTCAGCCATCGGTCTGTCAGTTGCAGTCTTTATTGGCTTCGACAACTTTCACGCATTCCTGTCTGGTGCCCACGCTATGGACCAGCACTTCCTGAAGACGCCCCTCGAGGAGAACATTCCGGTCATTGCTGGTCTGCTTTCAGTCTGGTATTCGGACTTCTTCGGTGCTCAGACTCACCTGATCGCTCCCTTCGACCAGTACTTGCACCGATTCCCAGCTTACCTGCAGCAACTCACCATGGAATCGAATGGAAAGGCTGTAACCAAGTCTGGTGACTATGTCAAGTACACCACAGGTGCCATCTTCTTCGGCGAGCCTGCCACAAATGCTCAGCACTCATTCTTCCAACTTCTTCACCAGGGTACCAAATTGATCCCAGCAGACTTCATCATTGCCGCCGAGTCACAGAATCCAGTCGAGGGCAACAAGCATCAGCGTATGCTGGCATCCAACTTCCTGGCTCAGGCAGAGGCCCTGGCCATCGGCAAGACCTCAGAAGAAGTCAAGGCAGAGGGTGCGCCAGATGAGCTGGTCGCGCACAAGACTTTCCTTGGCAATCGCCCAACCACTGCTATCATCGCCCAGAAGATCAATCCGGCGACGCTAGGTGCGCTCATCGTGTACTACGAGCATATGGTCTTCACTGAGGGTGCGGTCTGGAACATCAACAGTTTCGACCAGTGGGGCGTGGAGCTCGGCAAGGCGTTGGCTAAGAAGATCCAGAAGGAGCTAGAGACCGAGGGTGCTGGTGATGGACATGATGCGAGCACGAGTGGGCTGATCAAGGCTTTCAAGACGAAGGCTGGGATTAAGTGAGGGGTCCGGGTCTAGCATGACGCATGCAGCGGCTGCCAACTACCACGGCTATGAAGTACTTACATGACGTGACAATAGCAAACATTTGTGGTAATGGAACGGATATGGACGAAAAGCAAAGCGACAGATACAGCGCCTGCTTCGATGCCGGGCAGTCTTATATACCTGCAACGGCAAAACAACAATGAAGATACGCATTCCGAATCATTTACAGAGTTCATGCGGAATTGAAAGTACATGTTCATGCCAACCCAGGTACGAGTCTGCACCACGGTCGTTGTGATATTGAAAGTCGTGTGACGCAGGCACATCGTATCTCGATCAGTCATGTGGGTGTTGAACCTCATCAGCTTGTCTCTTCTAAAGTCTCTATGCATTGGTATACCTGTCTAATCTGAATCCTCCTCGTCCTCCTCGTCCTCATCATCGTCGTCATCATCATCGTCGTCTTCATCAACATCCTCCTCCTCTTCCTCCGGCATTTCATTGCCGAACTCTTCGACTACCCACTGACACCACTTCTCAAATTCGTGCCGCCACTCCTTGAGCATCGTTGCCTTGGCCGTCTTCCCCATATACCCCTCGTTAATCCCCTTCAGCCACTCCGGAGTCTTTTGGTCTTCCACCGCAGACCACTTCAGCGAGTTCTCCGCCATCACTGCTAACCCTTCGAGACCGAGGTTGTCGAATGCCATGAAACTCTGCCAGAAGTCGTGACTCAGCCCGTTCTTGCCGTGGCCGAGGATGGCGGGGTCGTCGTTGCACAAGCTCATGGACACACCTCTGCTGAGAAGTGCGGGCATGCTGTGGCCCAGGATAGAGGATGACAAGCGGAGGATCTCGTTGCTGATAGGACAATTCTCAACCAAGATTTTCTTCTCCTTCACCATGTCGATAAGTAAAGGGTGCTTGTACAGCGAATACCCATGCCCAATCCTCCTCGTGCCGAGCAGGATAGCATCAAAGAGGTTATCATCCGTGGTGTTCCCATCCCCCAAGCACTCCCCCGCGTGGAAGAAAAAGGGGATGTCGACGCCCGCTTCCATGCAGGCTTTGCGGAACCAGAAGACTTCGGGCGTCAGGTCGGCGAGGGTGCGGCCTTTGTCTTCTTGGCCGACGAAGTCGAAGCCGCTGATCAAATGCGGGTGGATTTGTTTGAGGCGGATGCATTCTTTCATGGATTGGATCACGGCGCGGGTGTCGAGGGCGCGGATTACTGTCCAGATCATCCGTGCGCCGTGGAAGGAGGCTTGTTTGGCTTGTTCTGTTTGAGAGAATTTGGAGATTTCCTCGCCGAAGACGGTGAAGAAGTGCTCGTAGTTGTTCTCCGGGTCCGCGGTGGTGTGGCCGGCGCGGCGCCATGTGAATTTGAAGGCGGCGCGGAGGTCGACGTATGTGATGCCGTCGGCTGCGAGTTGGCCTAGGAGGCGTTGGAAGCCTTTTCGGAAGATGGGCTCGTAGTAGAGGAGTTCGCCGATCGCGATGAAGCAGCTTTGGAATTTTCGCCAGACGGCGTCGAGGCCGTGGTGGTGGCAGAGCGATTCCTCTGCGGTGACGGTGCAGCGGCTGATGACCCATTTCTTGAAGGTTGTGCCGTCGTCGGGGAATGTTCGCTGGGCTTCTCGTAGGGGGACGGGCGTGCCCCGGATGTATTTGTCCGACCAGATGTTTCCCTCCGCGCCTTTCTTGCCTAATTTCTTGACTTCGTCGTCGGGGAAGTACCGTACTTTGGGGAAATTCCTTTCCCTCTCGCTTTCGTGCTCAACAACCCATCACTCTCGCCCTCGACAACGAAACACAGTCCTCGCTCAGCTAAACACTGCTCAACAAGCCAGTCCACATCCACCATGGCATCCAGATGCGCGTGAAGCAGCGCTCCCTTCGGCATCCGCTCAATACACCGCCAGGTGCTCGTCCTCTCCATTCGTGAGCGTGCGAGCGTGAACATCATGCCGGGGTAGAGGTTGCCGCCATTCAGGTCCATTAGAGATTCTTCGAGGTCGTTGGTCCATACTTCCTTGAGCTCGCGCTTGCGGAGGGCTGAGAGGATGGTGGAGGCGCGTTTCGTCAAAGGAGAAGATGTTGATCTGAAAGTGGCATCGTGGCGTTGTTTCTTCTCAGTAGCGATTAGGGCTTGGCGGGAGGTGAGGTATTTCTGGATGAAAGGGTCAGAGGGGGAGGGGATGCCGTTGCCGGCGCGGTATTCTTCGTCGTCCATGCTTGAAGAGGTAATGGAGGCAGCCTCGTCGTCGTCAGAGAGTTCTTCTGGAGGAGGTGGTCGTTGTTGGGGGCGTTTTGGGGGCGCCATGATTTTGGCTCTAGAGTACTGGGGTCCTTGGGGTCCTTGGGGTAGTGTCTAGTGAAGAGGGCGAGTGAGATTACTGACACACGTCCACGGGTGTATTTGTACTTCTCCTCGGCGGTGGACTAGTCGATGTGCATGCCTGAGTTGCCTATCTGAAGAGGAAGCGTCCAAGAGATATCGACATGAAGTAAGTTGAAGTCTTGGCGGAAGGCACTATACGAAACATATCGGAGTTATCCGAATTAAGGTACACAAGGCAAGTACATGTTCCTACAAAAGATGTCCTGTGATCGTTTTGCCTGCCAGGGAGGCCTCTATGTCCAGAGATCTTGGGTTCCTGAAGTAGATATGCTGTCATATATCTCTCGCTTAAGCGTCACTTGAGCATTGACAACCAGTCTATGTACTTCATGATTCTAAACTCCAAGGAGGCCTGTCAAGCACCCCGTCTCGCACCGCCAGTAGAGAACACAGTAATCTGCTTCTTCTTCTTGCCCTTTCTGGCACCTCCGCCTGACAAGGCGGCTGCTTGCGAGCCACTCGCCTGGCTATTTATGCTAGCCTCAACCAACGCAATGTCATTCTCGGCCATGAGGTCCCTTTCCCAGCCCTGAAGCCAGCCGTCGTCTACCGGCCGAGGCTGCTCGATGGTAGCGATAAGTGGTGGCGAGGCGGGTCCTACGACTGCGGCCGTGCCCCAGACAGTTCGTGGTGCGTCTGGACTGGTGCCGGGTGTCGTAAGCGTCGCGAATGAGGAATGGGTACGATGATTTGCCCACGGCGGACTTGAGCCTAGTGCTGAGTCGACAGAGCCCACCTCAGCGCTGTTTTGTGTGAGGGGGATGAAATCGGTGTCAGAGAAGCTCTTCTCTGGCCCGGGCGGGCGCTGTCGGCGTATGTGGGCCAATCTGGCATCTTCTTCGCGTTCTGCACGCATCCGATCACGTTCCTCGCGTGCTTCTTTGTCTGTGTTCCGCTTTCTGCGTCGTGAGATGTCATCGCTGAATTGCTCGAGAATGCTCGGGTGGATGATGTCCGTCCAATCACATTCGAGGAAGCTGACCTCGCAGCCATGGGGTAAGTGACCAATGTACTTAGCCCGTTTGCGGAGCTCGTCGTCAACGATATGACCCATGGAAATGTGTTCTACGCGAGGCAGAATGGTCGTGGGAAATGCTGAAAACTCGCCAAAGGCCGCCTTGAGTATCCGAATGTCCAGCGGAGAAAGATAGAAATTTGGGAGGGCACTGTAGAAGTAGAATGGCAGCCGGGCGGCCTTTGTCGGATTTGCATGCGTCGACTGTTCTGGCTTCGGGTCCGATGTACTGGTGCTGATGGAAAGGTTTCTCGTTGCTGCTGTCAAGACGGCCGGGGCGGCCTCTGGCTCACTGATTTCATCTTCCCACGAGTGCAATACAGAATCGGCGCTCGCAGGTGCCGGCACGTTGTGTGGTGGGTCGCCCATACCGTCCAATCGCACCTTAGCCTCCCTGATAGCAGCTACAGCCTTCCGTGTCCAGGTGGTCTCATCGCCGAACATGAGCTCATCCTCTTTCTCCTGAGCATCAAGCTCTGAAATCTCCTTATCGTACTGGTCCTTCATGTACTGCTCACCTCCCTTCATAAATCGTGCATAGTCCATAATTTCAGCCACGTGATACCATGGAATGTCGTCTTGCTTTCCGTAGTTGTCGGCAGCATCCTTCGGCAATGCCAGAGTGCTCCCGGGCTCTCTTTTCAGTAGCTTCAGGCATACGTCGCCACCCTCCATGAGCTGACTTGCTTCTTTGTCAACTGACCAACGGACGGGTCTGGTCTCTGAAATGTAAACGCTATCCTCACAGATCGGGCACTTCTTCCATCTAGCCTTCTTCTCTGGCACAGGACTAACATCGTCTGTGGAATGCATGTAGCGGATCAGACAGGGGAGGCAGAAAATGTGACCACAACGGGCCATTCGAGGAGCCACTGGGGTAGACAAGCATATCGGACAGCTCGTCGACTGGGTCTCGGCAGATCCCAGTACCTGGAGGACTGTGTCCCATGGAAGATGAACGTCGGCATCTACGGTCTGAGTGTGGTATTCGCGATCCGGTCGGACGATGAAGCGGTAGTTGGCGTGTACATATCTTGCCTTGTCCACGACATGATAGCCAGAGCCTAAGCCCCAGGTTCGTGTCCTTGGTTGGTGACGATTATGATGATGTTGATATTGAGGCTGTTGGTATGGACGCGGCGGGAGCGTAAAGTTCATAAGATGGGTGATAGAAGTCTGGCCTTTACGGCTATTGAAAGGCCTCCCGGACATTATTGCGGACTCAGCAGAAGCATCCTCGTCCGCCAACCTCGCTCGTCTTGAGGCTTTGTGCTGTTTCCGTAAGGCTGATTGTTTCGCGCCTGTGACTGATGACGCGTTGATGGTGAAGAAACAGAAGCGTTGGAGGCCGCCTGGGCACGTTTGGATATGTCGATATTGGGTGTCTGATTGAAGTTCTGCACAGGACCGACGGGAGATAGCTTGTTCGCCGCTGCAGTAGACATAGCCATGGGGAGGGCTCTGCGGGTTCGAGGGGTTTATTCTGTGGCGCGGTCGAGGACAGCAGTAGAATGGGTTGAGCTCACTGCTCGATTTCCCATCCAGAGAGAGGGGAGGAAGAAGTAGCAACGCTGCACGGAATAAGACAAACAGCCACCGACGGCCGCCTCGAGCGAGAGCAAGAAGGCGACTGATGGAGGATAACTGAGGTCGAAATGACGGAGGCGTTGCTCTGAGTCAACTGGAAGCCCCGCCGCCGAACAAGGGCCAAAGCCCGCCCGAGCAGCAGATTGAAAGAGCCGTGGGCGTCATTCGAAAGGGCATCCCCAAGCAGTGGAGAAGTTCGGGCAAAGCAGCGAGTCAGACAGGCGATTTTGACAACTGCGGTTCTGCTTCCTCTCTTCTTCATCTCCCGATCGCCGTTGATTTCGTACTGATTTCTTTCCCAAGGCTACGGTGACCGCGTGCTCGTGGGCCCGGGTTCTTGCACATTGACATCTCGAAGCTTACGAGCTATCTACTGTATTGCTAGCATTGCGAACTTGTCTCAGGCAGTCTTAAACCTGCCCATCGGAATCTCCTCTCAGCCGACCGAGAGACTGTGCAATTCCAGCGCGGCGCCAGTCTTTCCAACAAAGTTCCAGCCCCTAACCTCATCGATCATCACACCCGTGGACGCCTTCAGTCACCCACTTCACACGACATCAACATCACTGCTACTGCCTATTAGCATGCGTCGCCCTCCAGACCCGTTTGCACACTACAATTAGACAACACCGCGGCATCGGAGCCGCTCATCAAACGCGCCCGCTGGGTTTCTCCGACCATGACTGCGCTAGGCGGGCGATAGCTCTAAAATTCCAACACACGCCATGAATCCGAATCAGATGTATGGGCAACCTATGCCCATGCAACCGCCACCTCGCAGGCATGATGGCAACTACGCTCCTATGCCCCCTAATGTGAGGCCTCATCCGGGCTATCAGCCTCCTACTACCACCCACAAATAGCGCCGATGATGCACCAGTATCCTCAGCAATACGCGCCAAACTGGTATATATACCAGCAACAGCCTCAGTATGCGCCGCCCATGCATCAGCCCAGGCCTCATTACTACCAACAGCCGCCTTTACCACAGCAGCACTACCCTCAGATGCCAATGTCAGCGCAGCCGCCCATGTCGCACCCTTCACCTCGGTCCACCAATACATCGAGCTCAGCACATCAACAGCCGCTGCTGACGCCCGTCTCGTCATCTTCGGCTGCTACACTCCAAGCAACACCGTCGCCTCCTTCCAGTACGACGACCTCCCTCAGCACACGTAAGGATGTGCCTTCACAACCTCCGTCACCACGACCCCAGCGAGTGCGGTCGCCATCTAACGACCCTATACCCGATTCTGAGCGCTTCTTCCCTCCGGTGAGTTGGTCGTCAATGACTGCAAATCAAGTGCTAACTCGTGCAGACGCCATGGTACTCTTCTGATAGCGACGACTTCCCTCCTCCAGCTCCTCGGCAGAAACGCCGCGTTCTGCGATCGACACTCGCCAGCGAACCTAGAATGTATCCTGTCGAGGAAGCCGACCCGGGGGCAGTCGAGTCTGCAGATACAGCTCCAGAAGAAACACCACCACAAGTTAGCACCGAACGTGATGAAAAGGCTGATGTGGGGACAATCACCCCGACTCCCATAGCATCGGACGCGCCATCAGAAGATACTTCTACACAACCTACAACACCAGCCTCGAGTGTGCCCACACCATCTGCAAAGTCTCAGCAGACGCCCACACAGCCAAAAGCTCGTCCAGTCTCCGGCCCAGTCATTCCCGCTCTGCCACAGAGTCCGACCGCAGTACGACGAGCGCACCGCGACTCTGTTGTTTCTACGCAATCGAAGGCATCTGAGGAGCCTACATTGGCTTCTCAGACCACAGATTCAACAGCTACTCATAGTACTGATGTCGCAACCTCGCAAGAGACTGCGAATGCTCCAGCACCAGCAGCCCCCAAACCGAAGCCGAGCTCGTGGGCTAGTCTACTGCGTCCGGCTCAGACTGCAAGTGCGGCGCCGTCTGTCGTGTCAGGCTCATCATCAGTCAACGGTGGTCTGACGGGCCGAGGCGAGGCGCTGGCTGACGCCTTGAACAACATGAATGTCTCGAGTGATGTACCCAGCAAAATTTCTTTCATCCAACCACGTGGGCTCGTCAACACGGGCAACATGTGTTACATGAACTCGGTAAGACGAATTCCAGTCCTGCAGAGATATCAGCTGACTTTTTCCAGGTTCTACAAGTTCTTGTGTTTTCACTACCGTTCTATGATCTGATATCAAAAGTAGCGCAGCGATCTGCGCATACCTTCAAAAGCGATACCCCTTTAATTGATGCCATGTAAGTCAACCCTTCTCGACCTGTCAACCCAAAGCTTATGGAGTCAGAATATTGTTCATGCAAGAGTATCCTGTGCTCGACTCGGCGGCGTCGACCGAGCAACTTCGCTCACGACTGAGGCCGGATGATTACGAAAAGTACGGCGACTCCTTCATTCCTGAGTACGTTTATTCTGCCATCAAGGAAATACCTCGCTTCAAAGAAATGAGGCGCGGTCATCAGCAAGATGCTCAGGAATTCTTGGGCTTCTTGCTGGAAGAGCTGCACGAGGAGTGCGCAAGAAGTATGAAGGGCGGTGCAAACAGCAGCTCTGGACGAAGCACGCCGGTTGGTAGCGTCACAGGAGTACCTGACGCAGGTGTTGATTCTGAAAGCGGTTGGATGGAGGTTGGCCACAAGCAGAAGCCGGCTGTGACTCGATCATCTGGTGGAGTTGCAAACGACTCTCCGATCACCAACATTTTCGGCGGCAAGTTGCGCTCGGAGCTCAAGGTCGCTGGCAATAAGCTGTCAGTGACATTGGAACCATACTCACCGCTGCAGCTGGATATTGGCAGCCCCGAAGTGAGCAACATCGTCGACGCATTGAAAGGGCTTACTAAGCCTGAGAGCATGCAAGGCGAATTTCAGACGCCCCGAGGGCAGAGAAACTCTGCTACCAAGCAAGTGTTTATCGAAACACTGCCGCCAGTGCTGATCTTGCACCTCAAACGTTTCCAATACGACAACACAACGAAGCGTGCAGAGAAAATCTGGAAGAAAGTCGGTTATCCTTTAGACCTGGAAATACCCAAAGAAGTCTTCACCGTAAGTGCACGCAATAAGTATGCTGCACACGGCGGACTACCGAAATACCGGTTGACGGCAGTCATATACCACCATGGCAAGAACGCTAATGGCGGCCACTACACGGTCGACATCCGTCGTCAAGACGGTAAGGAATGGATTCGACTGGATGATACTCTCATACGGCGGATCCGCAGCGAGGATGTTGCGGAGGGCGGCAGCGAAGAGGATCCTAAGGTCCTCGCTGCTGCGCTTGAGCGACACAAACAGGGTAACGGCAGCAGCAATCGCTTTGAGCAGATTGAGCAGGATGATGAAGAGCGTGAGACTGAGACAAAAGCGTGGAGTCAAGTCAATGGGCACTCGCGCACCAAGTCAACTATGAGCGCCGTGGTCAATGGTACGGCAACGCCTGCTAAGAGCTCCGGGCCGCAGACACCACGGGAGAAGTTTTCGGTCAAGGACAACAAGGTGGCGTATCTCCTGGTCTATCAGCGTCTTACAGCCTGATATGATAAGAGATGGACGATGCATCGCTGCAAGCATGTGAAAAAGCCACGAGTGAGCATTCAACATTCATCAGATAAGGCTTATAACCGTATCTACAACTTGTCTATACTATTTCCCGCCCATACGAGCTACCTCGTCAAGAGTATAGCACAGGCAAACAGCACACGTTTTCGTGGGATAGCTGCATAATCTACAATGTGCTGCCCGTCGCATTGCTCTCGGACCAGTATCCTTGGTCAATGTGTGCAGTACTTTCTGCTCGGTATCAGGCAGGTAATGCGACTTCGTGGGCTTTGCACATGTAAATTTTAGCTTCGAACATGACACGCCCAAAATCCGAAAGCCACGAGCTCGGTCCTTATTCAAACTAAGCCGTAAGTAGCTAAATGGTGGGCATCTTCTCCAAAAATAAGGTCTACGATTGGTCATGGAAAGGGAAGCCGCACCGCCGGAGACTGAGAAGTCAGGGAAAGAGCATGTGATCTCTGTGATGCCGTGGTGACTGCCCCCATCTTCGGTTCTCTCTCTATGAGAAATCAAATTGGAAGCATGTCGCTACTGCTTTCAGTCTCAGCACATATTGCGACACCCGTTTTCACCACCTGTGTCATGCTGTGTTGACGCCTCCGTCGCCTACTACTCGCGTTCCCAGGCCTTTCGTTATGTAGTCACCCAACGCTCGCTTTACACCTCCCAAGCACACACCGACTCTAGCCCTAGGGCTCCCTCTCCGAATTTGGCAACACTACAGATACCGTGTACGACCCTCCTGCGACTGCACATTGAGGTGAAAATCGAAAATGGAGGCGCAAAGGCCTGACAATGTCTCATACGGTGTACCGCCGCCGTTCTCTCCCACATCTTCACACCGCTCCTCGGCAGACCTACCAAAACCTTTAGCAATGGACTTGGACATGACTAGATCAGACCAGGACCGGTCTGTGAGAGCAGCCAGTGTCCTGTCGGGAATGTCGGTCGAGGATATGGAAGCCGCAGAAACGTTGAACAGCCTACAACAGAGCCTAACGAATCCCTCGGCGCGAACACCTACCAAAAGAGACTCGTCACAGTATTCACCCACATCGCAACATCCCTCACAACAACTACCACCCCCATTACACGTCCACACCACCACCACATTCGACAAATCACAACCAGAGCCCTTACTACGGCTTTTCACGAGTCAATACCCTCTCGCCGGAAGCCTAGTCAACGGCAGTCTTTCCGCATATAAGATGACGCAATCATACATTCCAGGAGCCGAATGGACAGAACGAAATGTCGGCCTCCCCATAGCCGGCAAGGTCGCACGAATATCAGGAGCAGAAGCAGGTCTACGATGGTACCTCAAGCCCCGACAGGACGGCAAGTCTGCCAACCCATCCACTCCAGATGTCGAAAAAGGCCAGGAGGTCCTACCAGCATACAATCCCGGCGACCGCTCACCGCCCTACAGTGAACAAGAAGTCCTCCTGCTCCAACAATCTCAGTCATCACATCCCCCGCCAAACTGGCGGCAACAACTCATCATCTCGACCAGCGGCCTCGGCGTGGCTATGAGCCAAGAATCTTTCAGAAGTCTCCGATTCTGCCTCGGCTGGCTGCGTTGGGCGAACGGTCGACTCGGCGAGGCCATCCAGAACCTCAAAGTCTTGCTAGAACGCTACGGCGATTCTACGACCGTTGGCGGTGGCACCTCGCCCTTGTCACCGGACAGCATGTCAGATCACCACCACCACGATCAGCGCCAAGCACAAGTCGCCGCGCGTGTGGCCGCGCTGCGACAGGATGTAATCAACACTCTGAAGCAGGTGGTTGGGATCGTGTCGCAGTACGCGGGTGGCGCGTTGCCAGAAAACGCAAGGAACCTAGTACAAAGACACTTGACATCGCTGCCGCAGCGGTTCAGCATTGCTAATGCGGCAAATCAGAGCAATGGTGGTCGTCAAGGTGGAGAGGGAAGCGGAAATGAAATGGCGGCAAGCGCAAGCAGGGCGATTGTTCTGGCGCAGGAGGGACTGGACATGATGACGCAGGTCAGTCGGGTTGTGAATGATACCTTGGTCAGTGCTGAGGGGTGGTTCGAGCGGTTGGGAAGGGGCCAGCAGCAACAAGACGGCGGCATGGTTGTCCTGGGTGAGAAGGATGCAGCAGAGGGAGATGAATCGAGGAGCGCGACCGTGTCAGGGGATAATCAGGGCGACGTTAAGATGGGAGATGTGATCTGAAAAGGTTTCGAACGCTCAAAGCATTTTGGTTTCAAAAGAGCAGAGGTCGATGTAAATGTACAACACAAGTACTGTGTATGTAGTAAGAGGTAGCAAGAACGCAAGAAGAACGATTTGATGACCACGACGAAGGCGTTTCGTGATCGATGCGTTATTGTGAGGGCTTGGGATACCAGGATAGCCGGTCAACCGGTCTTGCGAATATATCTTCACCAAGAATAACTAGGTAGGCTCCTATCTACATTTTGCAGACACCTTCACTTAGTTTGCATTGAAGTATATAAGTAGTGAACCGGTTCTGAGTTATACAGTATAGCTTCTGCGACGTCATGCTGCTACATGTCACTGGCATGTCCGCACTCGATTGCTTCCACAGAATTTCTTGCTGGGTCATCGATGGCATGGGCATCTCGCTATAAACGCCAATACACGTTAGTTTGCTTGCCTTGCTGGACCCGGCAGCTCGCCGTGCCGTGGTGTTGAAGTGGAGGAAGTCGAAGTACTCGCAATCTCCGGGGACGGTGGGCGGGGGACGCGGTGGGGAGGTGGTGGCCCAAAGGGCCAAGTCGGCATGGCTCAGGGAAAATGGTGTGGCTCAGGGCATCTCACCACCTCAGGCGAGCGGAGCGAGCGATATTCTGGTCACGCTGCAGGCAGCCATTATTAAGAAACGCTCTTTGGATGGAACGAAACAGAGAGAGCCAGCAAGCAACAAGCTAAGGTAGGTTGCCCGGCTCAACAGCTTCGAGGAGCACCCACTGATTCTATATCTGTCTGATTGCGGTGTGAGTCTGTCCTGCCATGTTGCCAGGCTTAGGAGCCTACAATCCCAAATCTATGGTTTTGAGAAAGTCGAAAGACTCGACGTTGGCTCCGGCGGAATGTAAAAACGCTGTGTGGTACTGTGGGGACGCGATCGAGCCTCCTCAGCTTGCCGTGTTGCGGGAATCAGAAGCTCACAGTGTTGGGCCCGAGGAGATCGAAGGACTCGAAGCTGTTACTAGATGGGGTCGAGGTTAAGCTGGCCATACCATGCCGTGCTGCGACGCAAGTCGTCCTGCAATGTTGGTGGACTTGGACGCCCGCGACACCGGCCCCGACGATTCGAAGGAGTCGGTATTCTTGCAGTATTTTCGACCTTGCTTGCCATGCCATGCCGTACTGCTGTGCGAGTTGTTCAGATATTTTGGTACTGCGATGCAAGTTCTCCCGCCATGTTGCCGGACTTAGAAGCTTGTAGTGCTGGATTCGAGGAAGTCGAAGGGCTCAAAGCTGTCTCTAGCTGGGTTGAGCTGCAGTTCTGGGTGGCAATCTTAGAAGATGAAAAGCCCGAGGTCTAGTCTCTCCCGCGTTCCATGCCATGCCGTACTGCTTTGCAGATTGTCCAGATAACATATGCCGTACTGCTATGCAAGTTGTCCCGCCATGTTCGACAGACTTAGAAGCTTGTAGTGTTGAACTCGAGGAAGTCGAAGGACTCGAAATGGTCGTGACGGGTATCGGACCGAAAGCCAGAACCATGAGACTCAACGACTTCTCAATCCTCGGCCAGCTCATCCAGTCTTCTGCCACTTCGTCTCATCCCCACCATCGCCATTTCCCTCATCCTCGCCGTCGTCGTCACGGCCTCGCACCGTGCCTGCACCCGGGCCTAGCGGCTGCTCAGCCGCATCATCTTCGTCTTCGTCCGCATCCGGGAGGAAGTTGCCATCCTCATCCACAAACTCATGCATATTCTCCGCCGTGATCCACCCGCCACTTCCCGGCATCGGCGGCGGCAGCCCGTCGTCGCCAACGCCGCCGCTTATCGGGAATGCCAATCCTTGTCTGATCAGATGACTGCCGCCAACACCATCTTCATCGTCACCATCACCCATTTCCTGGTCTTCGACCGGATCAGGATGTAGATCCGCACATGCTGATAATGCGGTGAAGAGCGCTTCCGCTGGTGTCTGCTCGGGCTTGTCTTCGTTCTCGACTTCCTCTTCGCCGATGTCTGCTGCAGCGGAGCCGGGTCCTTGCGGTGGGGCGGACGCTGTAGGGATTATGGTGAGGGAGATGGAGTCTGGTTCTTCGTCGTCTTCGGAGTAGGCGTTGCCTGTGGACGGAGGGAGGAGTTGCATGTAGACGCCTTGACTTGCTGTCGGATCGTCGTCTGAGGAAGGCAGGCGCTGGATGGCGTGCAGGGAGATGGTGGGGTAGGAGATTGAGAGGCCGGCAGAGGCTGTGGGGGAGAAGAGGTATAGCTTGCTGGGTTCTAGTGTTAGTGATTGTTGTATGGAGGGGCTGTGGGTTGCGGTGTGACTCACCTAGAAGTCACCCATACGTCTACATCTTCGAGGACCCGTTGGGATTCGTCTGTTGCTGTGGACGTCCCGTTTGTGGGCGCATCGCCATTCTCGTGTGTGCCTTTTGCGTCCTTGAACAGAGGGTGTAGGAGGGCATTGCTGCTGAGATCTCGCTCGAGCACGATAATCTTGCTGCGGTCGCTGTAGTAGTGGAGGACTGGAGGGCCAGAGTAGAACGAGGCTGGTGTTGCGGAGCGGTGTTCGGCGAGCGGGATGAAGGTCGAGGACTGTGGGGGCTCTGTCAGGGCTTCCATGGCTGATGCTACGTGTAGGGAGTCGGATTATGGTGCAGCTGAAGCCCGGGAATGAGTGATGTTCGAGAATACGGGAAGGCGTGCATGCAGCAGATCGACTTTGCAGACGTGAGAAAATAAAATCGGGCGACTTGCAGCGGTTACGTAGCTGGGGTATAGGATTAAAGATTTTCAAAAGACAAGTGAGGCATCTCTGCAAGGTGAGGCGGTGCCTCGAAGTTTGGACTTTACAAGGATGGAAAGGATGCCTTGTAGACTACCTGGCAGGCACATGCAGAGCAACGCCGACGTCGTCCATGACAATCATATTGAGCAGACTGTGATCTTCAGGAGCGACTACTGTTGTGCTCATGGTTCAGGCACACGAGGCCGTGGTCGCAATCCTCGAAGAAGCTCGCCCCATCAAGTAGCAGAAGATGCTATCCTGGCATGGCATATGAGCTGACGCGGTCCCACGTTTGGGAGAACAAAGGGAGCAGACGTCGAGGGCAACGCAAGTATTTATACCTCACCGGCAAAGTGAAGATGAAGACCTCGCCCCATTAAGTAGCAACAGATGCTACTTTGGTATGGCAATGTGCAGGTCGACCTTGAAGACTGGTGATGGGGAAGGAAGACAGCTAAAAGTTGAGGGCCACGCGACTAATTATATCCTCTCAATGGAGTCAACAACCGCGGCAAGCCGAAACATTCACTTCACTGAGTCGCGGGTAAGGCTTCACTGTTGCGTTGCATGAACCGGAGTCAGGCTGTTCCCCGGGCTTTCAATTGAGCGACCTGAGCTTCCTGACTGAGGCGTAGTGAAAGTGACTTGACCTGACAAGACGCTGACCTCTTGTTGGACTAGACAACCACCCAAATATCCAGTTCGTCTAGCAAAATCACCTGAGCCTCACTAGCGCCCAGCAATGACTGTAGGATGTCGAAGCGCCTCCCATGTTACGACTGAAGAGCCCTTCAATCCGAATGCAGCGCCTTGCCGAGACTCCCACACATAATGTTGATCGCCCTCCGTCCCTCATCCATCACTGCGTCCATGGCCATGAAAGCTATCCAAAGGTCAGCACACTCAGTCATCACACAGCAATGATCAACTCACGATGAGGCATTCCCTTCATAACACTGACGTCCGCGGGGACACCAGATTTCCTGAGCTTTCTGGCATACTCCTCCCCCTCCCACCTCAACACGTCCAACTCCCCCACCAGCACCACCGCAGGCGGCAGCTCCGCCCACTGCCCCTCAAACAACAACGGACTCGCCTCCGGATCCGCCCAGCTACTCGCATCCGGCAAGTAATGATTCCGATACCACAGCATCTTCGCCGCCGACAGGGCCGGTGTGAACTCGCAATCCTTCCACGTCGGATTCGTGTCGACCGTCGCAGTATTGTCTGTGACGGGCACAGTGAGGAGCTGGAGGCGGATGTTCAGCTTCGAGTTCAGGTCGGGCCGGAGCACGAGTTTCTGGGTCATCACGGCGGCGAGGTTGGCGCCGGCGCTGGAGCCGCCCACGGCGTAGCGATTTAGGTCGAGGTTGAGGAGCTGACGGCCGGACGAGAGGGTCCAGAGGAGGGCTTCCCAGGTGTCGTGTACGGCGGCGGGGTAGGGGTTTTCTGGGGCGAGTCTGTTGTGGTTGGTCAGTGATCCTGCTGGCGTTGGACATGTTGGCTGATGGCCTACCTGTAGTCGACAGTGATAACCACACACTGAGCCCGGATACACATATTCGTACATGCCGAGTTCTCTGTGTCGATATTGCCCAATACCCATCCACCTCCATGAGCATACAGCATCACTGCCCAGCCCGTCTCAGGCGGCTCGCCAAACGGCGTGAAGCACCTCACGCGCACATCCGGGCCCTCGGTCTCCTTCCGCTGGATGGAAACATCCTGCGTCTTGCCAACGGGGAGAGGATCGCTGCCACCGGGGATGATCTTGCCGCCGGTCCTTGATGCGGCGATGGGCTGGTAGTGTACTTGCTGGGCGTTGAGGAGATACTTTTCGTAGAATGCTGCGTATTGGGGGTTGAGTCTGGAGGTTATGGAGGGATGCAGTGGGTAGGGTGGTTGTGGGTATGGGTTGTGATCCATGGACATGTTGTGCTACTTGCCGAACAAGTAGGGTGGTATGAGTAGTTGGCGGGAAGGACAGACTGGTAGCTAGGAATTGGTATCACAAAAGCGGTTGAGAAGCCAAGAGTCGGTCCATAGTGTATAGCAGGGGAAGAGCAGAAGGACCAGCATCCACCACTCGGCTTCACGAAGTCAAAAATCGGCGGCACTCACGCATAGCTTTCTCTCCGAGGACGGGCCAGTCAAGCTTCTGCTTCATCCTTACTTGTGTTGTCGATCCGTGCTGTAGTGTCGCGTCTGGTCTGGAATTGTGCCATCAACACGGGGGTAGACGCATGAGGGGGGTCTGTGAGGATAGTGGATAATAGATAGTGGGTTAGCTCCAGCGGTGAGGCATCTGATACCTAACAGACGAATCGACCCGAGTCCAGGGATCTGGATGTCGTGCTAAGGTAGTTCTCTGAGTCTGTTAAACGGCACAGTCTATCCATTCAAGGCCCCATTTCCGAACCACTGTCTTCCGAGCTAACTTCTGACCGCTGAGTGGCAGATCTCGGCGGCAAGTACTCTAGTCGCGCTGACATGGACTAGCCCTCCAGCATAGCTTCTCCTAGCCTTTCTCCAAGAGAGATGTTGATCTTTCGCAGAATGGTCGGTGGGGGTTGAGTTTTTGAGGCAAGATGTCAATGAGGGGTCCTTGCCCACGTTCCATCGCTTGAGGATCCACTGGAATTTCATCTTTCGCTATAGGATTCCCGAATGCCCTTCGCAGGGCGCGTCTGGGTAGCGAGTGACCGTTGTGCTCCGGCTATCGCCAGGCGAGCAGCAGCAACAGCTGCAGTGCATGCAGAAAATTTAGTAATCCAGAGTCAGACCGAACGCCCAGCGTCCAGACATCCCGCTGCTGCCAAGGGCGTATATCACACCTAAAGAATACTTGAATTGATCGACAATAAATTCTGAAACTCGTTTCCCTTCCATAAGAACACATTGACCATCTCCGACTTTTTTCTATCAAGCCACCAGCCTCACTTCCAACAAGCACAAGCCACCATGTCCTCCAAAAAGTCCGTCCTTACCGATAACGCCCCCAAGCCCCTACCGGGCATCTACAGCCAGGCCATCGTCGCCAATGGCTTCGTCTACTGCAGCGGCCAGGTTCCCATGGACCCTTCCACAAACAAATTGATCGACGGTGATGTCCAGGCTCACACGGTATGTTCTGCTTCATCATAAAACTACCTGCCTATGACCACCGCAACGCCACCCAAGCCACCAAGCCAAACCCCTGCTTGTACTTTCTACTACACGTTTTGTGTTCAGATCCGAATTTCTGTGTTTGATCTAATGTCGATCGATTCTCTTATTATAGCATCAATGCATCAAGAACCTTGCAGCCGTGCTCGAAGCGGCGGGATCTAGTATCGACAAGGCGGTCGAGGTCAATGTGTTCTTGTCAGACATGGCTGACTTTGCGAAAATGAATAAGATCTACATGCAGTATTGGGGGGAGGTCAAGCCGGTGAGTGTTATCCTGCCTTCTCTTCCTTGGGGAGTGTTTGAAACGTGGCGAGGCAACGTCTTAGCATTCGAGTCCCGAAGATTTCGAGGCGACTGTGTGGGCGCTCCTTGCAATGCTTCTGCTTGCTGTTCTTGCTCTCTCGTAAATATCACGGGTTGCTGGGCCTCTCGAGCCCGTCTCAAGGAGAAAGCGCCCAGCGACCAGCTCTGGCCTGCTGTGCAGGCATGATCCCTTCTTGTCCACCGTTTCTAGACTTCATGAATCATCGCTGACCCTCGACACAGGCACGAACGTATGTCCCCCCAAATCTTCATGAATCAACACCTTCCCAAATAAATCCGAATTCCAGGGTCTTGGCCTGCATTGACTAGTTTGACTGACACCTGTCACAGCTGCGTGGCTGTCAAGACGCTGCCACTCAACACTGACGTTGAGATCAAATGCGTTGCAGTCCTGTGAGTGGCTCTTCTGGCCTATCCACCTGTCAGAGCAATATATGCTTGGAATGCAACCCCATGTTGTGCGTTTCCACTTGGCTCCGTCCAGTCGGTACCCGCAGCTGACTCTCGATCATCAGATCGGATCCAAAAGCTCGGATATAGGTTTCGAATCCTATAGTGGAACCAAAGCATTTCAAATCTTGCACGACTTTCGTTTCTCGCTTATCGTGCATGAATCTCGTGGTCACCAGATTCGCCGATCGATCTTGCTGGGCAGGTAGTCTGATGAGATCCTGATCGTGTCGTCGACCTCATGTCAGCCATGCGTAGCCCTGGCCACGACTTGGGGATCAATTGCTATGAGCTTGCCAAGCGTGACATATGCTTCTTGCAACAATTCCCATCGACAGCCGGTTAGTGCTCGCTGAACTGCAGTCATTAAGCCGCCATTGCGGTTGGCGCTCGCCATGGGATGCGCTGTTGTGCCGCTGCGTAGTGCATTCATCATGTGAATGATGTACTCCTCTGCTGGCAGATAGGGTAAGTCAGATTTTCCTTGGGTGAGAGTCCCCCACGACCAGACGATGAGTGTCGCTATATTCAGTTAGTACGGATACAGCAGAGGAGAGAAGACGACGTACCGTTGTATAGACACCATGGTCTCAGAGCAATGTTATCCTCGGCCGCTCTATACTGGTGACGAGAAAACAGTGTTTCCTGAATCATCATGAAGCAGTGCGACAGAGTCTTCTTCGCAACAGGCTTAGCAACCCAATGCTGAATGCGCTGCTGAGCTCGTGTAAAAGCTGCTGGTGTAATGTCGTTACCTGTGAGTGACGGCGATCCAGCTAGAGCGCCAGTGAACACATGAAAGTCGATCAAATTGACATGCAGGCACACGTGAGCAATTCGCTGCAGCGTTCGGGCCGCCTCCAGACACAATGACGGCTCTTGCGACATCAGCGAGAATGACCAGGTCTCGATGGCCCTATCCAGAGTTTCCTTCCATCCGTCGCCCACCTCTGACTGTGTACCGCTGTGTGTGCTTCGTGCATCTTCGAGCGATAATTTGGTAGTGCCCACGTCCAAAGCTGTGGTCTCTCTTGCTTCCATGTGCTTGGCCAGAGAGAATATTCCGTGCAATATGATGAAGCGCGAGAAGGCACAGAAGGCGGAAGACAACGGCATTCGAGCCAGGACTGCTCTCAGTGTTGGCAGGAACTCGGGCATGTCTTCTTGCCTTGCTTGTTCTCGCTTCCATCTTGACGCGGAAGTGGCATCCCACAGGCGATCTGGACAAGGCAGGGGCAGACGAAGATCGCTGACCGACAGAGCTGGTGTATGCCCGAAAATTGAAGCATGTTGGGCGTCCATCACAAATGCAAAGTAAGCAGCACGAAGGCCGAGCTCTCGATCGATCCACGACCGCCATGCCTTGTCCAGCGAAGATGGTTCTTGAGACGTACCCCGATCTGCGGAATAGGAACTACCACGTCTCATCAATGTGATGATCGCGCTATGGAAGATGTGCGCCATCTCGTGATGCTTGCGAGTCGAAAACATCTTCTGCTGGGCCTGGCATAGCAGTAAGGCTTGCAGGCACCATAACGGTGCTGGTGGGCTGAAGGCTTCTGAGTTGAAGATCAAAAACCGCAGACTATCCTGAATGCGCTCAGCAGTCTCAAAATGAGACTCATCAGGGCTTAAGGTCGCTCCCAGTGTCAGAACGGCGATCATCAGCAGCGGCGGCACCATCTGTGGAGTGAATGTAGGTTGATGTAAGATCGGAAAATGTGCATTGTAGTTGTTGAAGTAGAGACTGCAAAAGTTCTGCATGCTTTCAGCTTCGAAGAAGGAGCTCTGAAGGATGGGAGCAGGAAGAATCAAGTCCAGTGCTGACAAGACTCCAGCGCGCACTTCATTCCATTCGCCGACCGGCGTAGAACTGCTGGTATCATGGCCCTGGAACGAATTGGTGCTGCTCGGAGAGAGCGAAGGCGGAACAGCGTTCGACCAAGGTGCGGTGTAGTAAGCATCGGCATTTGCGTCAGTGAGTTGGTTACCGAACAGCCAGTCGAGATCTTCACGAACGCCCTGAACATCGGTCGCTGGGTCGAAGAAGACTTGATGAGTTCCATTCGAGTGCTGGATCAGATCATGATGCGGAGCTGATGTGATTGGTGGCGGAACATAGTGATGCTGGACCGGCGGATGTGCGGGCGCCGGTGGTGGAGGCTGTGGGAAAGGTGGAGGTAGTTGCCGATGAGCTGGCGGCACTGGCGGCGGCGGCGGTGCACCGAGTGGTGTGAGTGGTGTCAAAGGCAGCGAGTTGACTGGTGGATGTTGCATGTGTTGCTCTGTAGAAGCATGCTGCTCAAGATGTTGGCGATAGAGCTGGTGCTCATCCTGGCTCTCCTGCTCCGCGAGCGTGGGTAGCGAAGTCCTGCCCGCATTCGCGGGCATGCCCTGTTCATGGCGCTTCTCGTGTCGATTTAAGAGATCGCGTCTTACAAATGTCTTGGGACATGATGAGCAGCTGTATATTCTCTTTGGTTTGTGATTCAATCTGTGCCGGTAGAGATGCTCAGGACGCACGAAGCTCTTATCGCAGTCGTCGCAGCTGTAGCGCTTCTCCGCTGGCATGGCGTCAGCCTTCACAGCAGGATCAGTTCAGTACTCGCGACAATCGCATGCTTCAACCTGAGGATCGCTTGTGACAAGTATCGACGCTACTTGCGACGAGAAGTGGTGGTGTCAATGGTCGGTTGAGCACCAGGCAGGCAGGCAGGTCGGACGGCGGCGGCTTACATTGAGCGACCTAAGCCCTAGAGATGTGGGCGATAGAGTTCGACCTGCAAGCCTTCCTTCGCTATCGCAGCCAAGAAGCAAAGGACCCCTCTATCGCCATAAATGAAGGGTCTCTAGCTACGTTCTTCGCCATTATTGATTAGCTAAATGACGATCAATATGAGGCTCAGGCTCTGTAGTCTACACGTACGAAGTAGCATGAAAGCACGTTTCAGAACACGAGCGGCGGGCCTTTGTATAGGTACCTCGTGTTTCTTCCAACATCACGCCGATGTTTTCCATTTCAGCCATCTGGCCTCGGTAGTTCTTCTTACACCGGGTCATCACTACAGTGCACAATATGGCCGGATAGCACAGTCCTAATGTGTCCAAAAATGCTGGCAGGGATGATAGAAATACATTCACTCAAGCAGTGGACCACGTCCCTGTGCCAGGTGAAGCGACACAAGCATTGAACGTGAACGGTCCAAGCCGCGAGCCGACAGTCGCATAAATTTGACTCGGATGATTTGCAATAATCCGACGTATAAACCTCGAACGTTGGGCAGCACTCATGTGCAATTACGTAGAGTTACCATGTAGTCAAAGCCACGGATATGGTGGTACTGTAGTCGGAAGCACGTCGCCGACAAGCGCTATACGCAGTCGCTTCACATATTCCATACGCCATTGTTGCCATGCGCACGAAAATCTCATGGAAGAATCCATTGATATGTTATAGGTACAAAGTAAATCCCGGAATCAATGTATAGGTAGTATGCCGCAGATTTGGGACACACACATAGAAAATGAATCGTGGCCCAGAACCTATACCGCGTTGCCCACACCCTTCGACTCCCTCACTGATTCAGAATTACCCTGAGACATATCCGAATCCTTGTCGTGGAACGGCCGACGACCTTCGATGTGCAGGCCATCATTGATGATCGTCTGAGCCGGCCCGACCTTGCTCTCCCAAGAGTGCTCGCGATCGTCTCCAGGGATTTTGAAAATCATGCATGCCACCCAGTAAGTCAGACCACCCATCAGGAAGCTCAGGACCCAGCCAAGCGCGAACATGTGATCGGCGGCATCGCCAACGTTGTGTCCGAATGTGCCGGCGAAGCCTGGCAAGGGCAGTATGAACCCAATGACAAAGGCAACGAATGCTCGGACATTGAAGCCGTTGAAGAACCAGTACCGCCCGAGTCGCGATCGAGTATAGAGGTCTTCCAATTCGATATTTCCGCGACGGATGATGAAGTAGTCGACGAGCATGATTGCGACTACGGGTCCTTGAAAGATGCTATAGCCTCCCAGGAAGTTGAGAAAGCCGTTTGCTGTCGCCACGATGCGCCATGGAACGATCGCAAACGCGATCAACAACATGAGCAGCTGGCCACGGATGATGTTGATGTATCTGGGTGCCAGACAAGTCATGTCCGCGCCGAAGGGGATGAAATTGCAAGCAATGGACGTTCCGAGAGTGGCGAAGGCGAAGCTTGCTGATGCAAAGAAAACGCCAGCTCGAGCTGAGGAGGAATAGCCTTGGTCAAGGATGCCGTTCAGCAGAGCGTATGGGTTCCAGTATGCTTCCCCGTACATGTTCAGCACAGCAGACTGATTTTGTTAGCCATCAGCTGTCAAGTGTAGAGGATCGTCACTTACGGTCGAAATAATGCCAAACGCAGCACAAAGTGTCTGCCCAATGGGGAGTGATATCAGCTGGCCCCAGAGCTGAGCATTCTTTGTCTTGGAGTATCTCGCCAGGTCGGGCACCGTGACAAGGAGTGCCGAGTTGGCGCCCATGACAGCATTAAATTGTGCGACGATACCCCATGCCAGGACAGTGGTCGAAGAATAAGACGATGATGCTTGCAAGTTTCCTGAAGAGACGCCGCCGTTCTTGTTCGTTGCCCAAATGACTATACCAAGTCCGGCAGCCGGCATGATGACTGACTTAATGGAGAACAAGTGGTGATCTTGGAGGTATGGATGAAGAGGAAGGGAATGGTGAAGCAGAAGGCCAAGAAGAAGCCGATCATCCTGGTGTGGTCAGCGCATGTCGCGTTGGGCTCACGCGCAGTATACTTACTCCTGCGTGGTGATGTGTTGCGACAATGGAATCGTGTTCTTGATCTTGGACCAGCCGGGGAAAATGCATCTCAAACAGATGCTAATGAACTGACCTATCGCATTCATTAGTCGGCACTGCTCCCTATCTGCCGCGCGGATGAGCGTTACCTTCAAAGTACCTAAGCGACCGGTCAGTCATGCACTGTGACGCATCCCCAGACTCAAGCGAAGAACTCACAATTGCACACCACCCCAGATAATTCCAAGCAGACTTCTGAGGATGACAACAAAGTACTGCCCATAGATGCCGAAACTTGAACGAGACAACACAGGATATCCAATGTGGTGCCTTGCTGCCGCACGTCCATTGAGGACGATGATCACGGCGGAAAGTAGATTTGCGAAGAAGACGACCAGCAAGGCGTCTCGTATTGATGCGCCTAGGGTGATGAAGGCGGCTCCGACCGACCACGTACTGACATTCCAGCTTTCAGACCACCAGTAGGCAAAGTAACTCCAGATAGTCCATCGCTGCCGGATAGGTGGCGATGGTGCAAGATCCTCGTTGATTAGAATTGATGTCGAGCTGCTCAGAATGAGAGATTGGTGGAAAGCCGAGGGTGAGCTAAAAGCGTGCTTAAAGCGTTGGAAGCGCGTACGCTTGACTTCTGGCTCTGTGGAAGACATCACCGACGAGGTTCGATGTGTTCGCAGGAGGGAGTGAAGAATAATTTTTAGTGGCGCGCCTCCAGCATGTTATAGACCCAGGTACATGCAGGGCCCCCAAATGGCCTCTTAAGGAGGTGTTGTAGTAGAGGAAGGTCTGGACGACAACAGCGAGTTCCTGAACGTTTCGGCCCAGGTCCAAATGACAACACTCTGCAGATAGCGCCAGAGGACGCCTGTGGCTTGCGGGGATGTTGTTATCGAGCCTAAACTCCATCCAATGCTGAGAGCTTAGCTGTTTGGGGGTATGATCGGCGCCCGGCAGGGAAGCAATCAAAGGCCCAAGAAATCTAGCAGGTGGGATATCAAGATGCCCACTGCCCGTGCAAGGCCATCGCTGCCCTCGTGGGGTTCCCGCCATGAGGCGTATCTTCAGCGCAAAGGACAGATGTTGCCCATCTTGTTATCAGTGGGGGATAATAGCACTGGGGCGACCGAAGGGCTAGAATCTCGCAGCGACCTCGAGCATAGCGACCGGGACCTGTCTGTATAGCCAAGTCTGAACAAATCCACCGAAGTCGGGCTCAAATCCGGCCGGGAAACCGCCACAGTGCCATTTGTCTTGACTGAGAAGGGCACAACTTGTTGAAGGTCTGTCACAAAGCCAACGACAACATGGCTGAGTCGGCAGGACCCAAGGAGTCGATTGAGGGCGGCAAGGCCTGGTACAATTGCGATCCGCCCATGATCTTGGGTGAGCAGTCCAATGGACTGACCATAAACGAATACTAAAGCATGGGCAGGTGAAGCTCCTATCTACAGGGCAAGTGACTCAACGCTGCATTGGGTCGACTGTCTAGCAGACCCTGCTGAACTGCACATCCTCAAGGTCGACCCAGATACCGGCGATGCCATCGGCAAAGCTCGTATACTGCAACTTGAGGACAGTGTGACCGTGGCCTTCTTCCGTCGGAACAAGCCAGGCTACATCTGCGCATACTATCAAGGCGTGGCTTTCATGGACGAGGAGACTGGCAAATTGGAAGTGTTGAAGGAAATCATTCCGACCAAGGACAGAGAGCTGTTCCGCTTCAATGACGGAGGAGTTGATGCTAAGGGTCGTTTCTGGCTCGCCGAAATTGACCGAAAAGCGTTTGCTTATCCTGCGAATCAGTTGCCGGCGAGTTACGGAGAGCCAAAGGGGCGACTCTGGCGATATGATCCAGACGGGAGTCTGCATGAGATGGAAAGTGGTATCATTTGTGGCAACGGCTTGGCATGGTCGCCAGATAACAAGACCAGTGAGTATTTCCTTGGTCATATTCTCGGCTCTCCGGACTGACCATGTCCCAGTGTACTTCAACGATAGTGTCGCTATGAAGGTGTTTGCATACGATTTTGACCTGGAATCCGGAAGCATATCCAACAGACGCCTATTCATCGATCGACGGAGTACCTACGGCGAGCCTGATGGTATGGTCGTTGAGTATGTACCTTGGTCTGCCTTTGCGGAGTCTTACTAATACTGGTCCAGCACCGAGGGGAATTTGTGGATCGCAGTCTTTGCAAGTCATCGTGTAAGTCACAGTCGGGTGTGTTACCTGATTCTGAAATTCACTAACGACCACGCAGGTCATGGTCTTTAGCCCATCAGGTGAGCACCTCAAGGATGTCGTATTCTCCGCCAAAAACATGGCGTGCACGACCTGGGGCGGACGCAACCACGACATTATCTTCGTTGCAACCGGGAAAGACCGTAGTAAAGGAGCGAAAGCGGACGATGAAGGTGGCCACATGTTCCGGTACAAGCCGTCAGATGGCGCTAAGGGCTATGCCAAATTCGAATTTGATGGTTGAGCGAAGGCGACCGTTTGTTTTGAAATGCGTTGTGAGTGCTCGGACTGGAACGGATCAACTCAAGACAGTTAGCATAAGTTGGTGTACACGCTCGTGCTGCCCAGGTGTAGCCTTGCAACTCGTTTGATGAGCCTGAACTGACTCTGAAACTTTCGAGAAGCAGTGAATACCTCTTAGCCGGGTCACTGAGTGATCGCTTCGCGTCGGCCTTGATCTTCACTGGGTAGAGAAGGTATAAGTAGTCGCCTTGGCCTTCAGGCCCATCGTCCTGCTCTCTCATATAGACACTACTGGACCCATCCAACACGTGTCATACCTTGGTAGTACCTGCTGCTGCCTGCTGGGGCGAGTCCAATCACAGTATTCGTTCCAATAGATCCTCTGGCGATGATAGGATGCAAAACGCTCGTGATTGAAGAAGGTCGACGAACATGAACCTGGGTAGATAGTTCTCAAGGTGAAGGAGGCCCAAATGCCACCGAGTCATTTGAACTACGTAGCACCAGGAATGCGCGATCAAATGACTCGGGCCAACTGATCTGCATCGGGACTCGTTGACTACGTCGCTCGAGAAAGTTATCAGCATGCGCCTTCACCTCTCTTATGGCCCATAGTCCTCACATATTATGGCAGTGGCAAGACCGGTGAGGTTCCTAGGGGCTCTATCAATTCTTTTGGTATTCTTCTTGATCTACCAATTGACGCGATCGGTGGCTCCTATACCACCGCCGCCGTCCCAGAACAATGGGGACACCATCGAGAACATGGAGAGGGATCCTCTGCTAGACCGTGCGCAACCCATTCTTAGACTCGTCAACCAACACTGACACCCGACCAGCAATAGGAGAACCCCCCGAACCCCTCTGGCGCCACACCGATCACGACTACTCTCCCAACAACCCCAACTCCCCCCGACTCAATGCCACCCTTCTCTCCCTCGTCCGCAACAGCGAGCTCCACGAGCTCCTCCCCACCATGCGCCAACTCGAAGAAACATGGAACCACAAATACAACTACCCCTGGTCTTTCTTCAACGACGAGCCCTTCACCGAAGAATTCAAGACCAAGACCGCCGCCTTGACCAAAGCCAAAGTCTACTACCACGAGATCCCCAAAGAGCACTGGGACACACCCGCCTGGATCAACAACGACCTCTACGAAGAGTCCGCAAAGATTCTCAAGGAGAACAACGTGCAGTACTGGGACGTGCCCTCCTACCACAAGATGTGTCGCTGGAACAGCGGGCTGTTCTACGAGCATCCTGCGCTGAAGGACTTTCAGTGGTACTGGCGGGTCGAGCCGAAGGTGCAGTTCTTCTGTGATGTCGACTATGATGTATTCCACTACATGCAGGATCACAACAAGACGTATGGGTTCAACATCAACCTCTACGACTCGCCCGAGAGCATACCTACGCTCTGGCCGGAGACGATCAAGTTTCTGGCCGCGCACCCGGAGTATTTGCATAAGAACAACGCGATGGCGTGGCTGGTCGATAATGAAAGGCGGCCGGAGCACAATATGAAGGCGCATGGGTATTCGACGTGCCATTCTGGTCGAATTTTGAGATTGCGGATATGAACTTCTGGAGGAGTCAGGCGTATAAGGACTACTTCAACCATTTGGATCGAGCGGGTGGGTTCTTCTATGAAAGGTGGGGTGATGCGCCGGTGCATAGTATCGCGCTGGGGTTGTTTGAGGATGCGTCGAAGATTCATTGGTAAGTTGACACCGTCCGAGCCTCGTTGCGGCAATGGTCTGATTCACGGGCTGACGAATTGGTGTTCAGGTTCAAGGACATCGGCTACAACCACGTGCCGTTTTTCAACTGTCCGAACTCGCCCAAGTGCAAGCGTTGCAAGCCAGGCCAGTTCTACGCTGGAGAGTCTTGGCTGCAGAGGGAGGACTGTCGTCCAAACTGGTTCAAGTATGTTGGCACAGGATAAGCGTACTCGCCCACGGAGGCTCGACTGCTGGCCATAAACTTCTGAACGACGGCGCCGCTCTAATCGCAAGAGCCATTCTTCATCGAGAACACGGGCGGCACAACTGATCGCGACAGCGTATACTGCCGAACATTCGACGTTCGAGTGGCCGCCTATTCTGATATATTTGGCATCTACACAGCGGTCCACGATGTGCGGATGGGCTGGTCTACTTCCAGGTATGGACCATTGTGGCGAGACACAGGTGCTCGTCCAGCTTCCAATTACACTTTGGTCTGAGCGAGCAACAACTTGTTCACGTGGGCTATAACGAGCTCCGGTGATGGTTGCAGGCAAGGAGGCATCATGTTGTCGGAGTGTCTGCACTGCAGTCCGGCAGCTGCTAGCTCTCAATACACGACACGCTACAAGGAACATTGATATCGGCATGCTCGCAGGTTGAGCCGCAAACAGCCACGAAGGACGAGAAGAAACAACCTCTGAATGGCGTTCGCAACACTCCGTGCTCACTTTGGATTGGCATTCATGGCTGCTCGATCCTTGGTTTGGGAGGACAGCAAAATTGTACAAAATCTAGCACATTGAATTTCGAGCGGTTGGCATGGGAGGCGTTTTGGGATGGATACATGGCTGCGAGTGGCAGACTTCGAATGCAGCCGAGCGTAGATGACAAGGGCGAGCCTTATTGTACAAAAGCATTCTCCACCCAAAGGTGGCATGCCGAATTGGTAGTCTTGAGCCATGTGCTGCCAGTCAGTGCATGCTACGAATCGCTTGCTTACGTAAACTTCAACATCTTGTCACTAGACCAACCACTACCCTCCTCAGCCTCTTCCACAAACACACCCTCTCTCTTGCAGTAATCAATGCCTCCCATCCCTCCACCACCCACATCAGCATCCCTCCCAACCTGGCAACCCCGCGTCGTCTGCTACCAACAGACCTACCACCAAGACGACAAATACATCTCCCTCCTCCCTCTCATCACCAACGGGCCACCAGCCATCACCCATCTGATCCTCTCCGCCGTCCACATCAACTGGGACCCCAACAACCTGACACTGAACGACCACCCACCAACAGACGCTCGCTACACGCAACTATGGGACGAAGTCGCAGTGTTGCAAGCCTACGGCATCAAGGTGATGGCGATGTTGGGCGGAGCCGCCAGGGGTAGTTTTGCAAGGCTGGACATCAGCGAATCCCGCACCGACATCCCCATAGCACGCTTCGAGAGCTACTACGCCCCCTTCAGGGACCTCCTCCGCCAACACAACTTGGACGGAGTCGACCTCGACATCGAAGAGGAAATGAGTCTACCAGGAGTAGTCCACCTGATCGACCGCCTCAAAGCGGACTTCGGCAATGAATTCCTGATCACGCTGGCGCCCGTCGCGACGGCGCTCATGCCCGGTCGAAGACCACACCTGTCCGGCTTCTCCTACCACCTGCTCGAAGCCGCTCGCGGCAGCTCGATAGCGTGGTACAACACGCAATTCTACAACGGGTGGGGCGGCATCGAGGCACCCTGGGCCTACGACGAGATCGTTGGGCAGCAGGGGCAGAACGGCGGAAGGAGTCTGTTCCCACCGGAGAAGGTGGTTGCGGGGATGCTTACGAATCCGAGGCACGGCGGCAGTGGGTACGTGCGGCTGGAGCAGACTGCAGTCGTGTTGAGTTATCTGACGGAGAAGTATCCCCGATTTGGCGGGGTGATGGGGTGGGAGTACTGGGCGAGTTTGCCGAATGAGATTAATTGTTGGCAGTGGGCTTGGTGTATGCGGCTGATGCTGAGTATGAGGGAGTTGAGAGACGCGGCCATCGTCGTGAACATGGGACGGAGTTTGGCTGGGCTGAATGTTGATCAGGCGAGGATTGGGTCCAGGTGAAATATTTCTTGGGTAACTCGAGGGCAGTGTATCGCATGCAAGAGCACAGAGCAGCCACACTGTGCGGAGCTATCTACACAACATCGAAGACAATCTCGCCCTCGCCCTCAGGCGCCTCCCACCCATCCCAATACCCCTGCAAGACCTCCTTCGTCACATCATACGCAGCATCGCCCTCCTTCTCGCCTCCAAGCTACCGCGTCTCGCCTTCCTATCCTCGATTCGCAACCACAACTGTTCGAAATCCTTGCGTCGATGATAGACCAATAGCCATCTACCTCCGGCGTTCTCGATGATCTGCTTGAAGGCGTCTCGGTCGGATTTGGCGTAGAAGGAGCGGTCGAGGACGACGTCCCGGTTCTTGTTGAGGAGGTCGGTCAGTTGTGCATTACAGAGTGCCTCAGCCTCGTCTTGGTATGTTGAGTACAGAGAGGGGTCGTAGTCGACCTTGTAGCGGCCATGAGTGGCGTAAAGAGTGCCGTCAATGGAAATACGGGTGAAGTGTGGGCGGCGGTCGGTGATGGCGTGGGCGAGTGAGGATTTGCCTGAGCCTGTACGAGGCAGGTGAGATGTCAGTATTGCAGTGTGCATTGAGGTTCTGGCTAGGATATTGCTGATCTGTAGTGAGGGTATCACTTACCTGCTATTCCGCACATCATTACGACGATTGGTCTGGGGTCTTCTGCTGTTCGGACGAGTTGCGGTACGATAATGTTCAAGATCTCTGCGAGCTTCGCCTTGTGTGCAAGTCGTTTTAGCCGCTCGAGCCGCTCTTCGAGAGTATACTCCAAGCGTGGTACGGATGGATCGAGAGTGCGCTGCGTGTTGACGAGACTCTGTTGCGTCTTCTTCATCTCACGCTGTAGCTGTTCCACGTCCGGCACGACGTCCTCCGCGATCCGTATGAGCTCGTCTATACACACTTCGAGCTTCGCGATTTGCTCGTTACGTGCGCTGTCTCGTACATCTCTGTCCTTTTGGGTGGTGACCATATCCTTCATGAATTTCGTGCACATCTTCTTCCAGTCTTCGAGTGATAGCATGTCTTCATCTTGAGCGGCTGCATTCTCTGTTGCCTCTGCTATGGTGATGGAATCGGTTGGCTTGTCAGACTGGCGCTCTTGCCCAAGGGCATCAATTGCTCTGTTGTCGTCCATGGCGATCTCTATCTGGCGGTCTGGATTGGAGATGGGAGTCGTCTCCGGGTCAGTACATTCTGATTTCGTTCGAGCACCATTGTCAAGACGATCGCTGTCGGTCATCTCGAGAGTGGCAATGTCCTTGTTGGGCCGTGGATATTGAGGCGGAAGTATAGGGGTAGGAAACACAGCGTAATCGTCCCAATAATCGTACTCTTCCCAGTCGCGGGCTCTTGGAGGCCCGAAGGACTCACGGTCTGTTCTACTTGTAGAAGAGGTATTCTCCGCTGCGTCTGCTGTGGTGATGATAGCAGGCGACTTGTCAGGCTGGCGCGCTGCCTCACTGCCATTAGATGCTTTCTTGTCGTCCATGAGGATCTCTACGCGGTGGTTGAATGTGATGCGAAGCAGTTATTCGGGTGTGGTGCCTTTCGGGGAAATCTGAAGGTTGTATGTCTAATTGTGCAGCCGAAGTCAAGGTGAAGTCATGTGGTAGTTGTGACTCACATGTAAGTTCTCGAGAATGGCGAAGAAGGCACAACATTCAAATCGGAAAGTAGCCACTTCCAAAACAGACAAGGCAACACAAGGCAACCCGAGTACGAGGGTTCACTCACAAGGACAAATGCTTTTACTGTACCAATAATCACTGTATGAATCCCCATCCATGCCACCCCAGTAATGCAATCCACGCAAGCAAAACAACCACCGCCTCAGGCCTGTCCTTCATTTCTTGCCTGACCACCGTCCTTAGGTTTCCTAACCCGCCGTCCTGCCACTCGCCGAGCCCATCCGAGTCCTTATCAGGCGGCTCTCGCTGCCAAGATTCCGTTTCCTCGGTATCGATCGTTGAATCTTCATCGCCTTGGTATTGGTGAGACTGATGGCTCGGACTCCTGGTGACGCAACAACGTGGCGCTCTCTCAGTCTCAGCTCGAACAGCTGGCGGTGAAGGGTGTAGGGTAGTGTACATGAATTATAGAACGAAACCGATGCCGACCCAGTCCAAAGAGACAGAGAAAACGACGTAGAGTAGAACAAATAGAAGTAGGATGAGTTGATAATCGAGAGCGATCCGAATCGAGACAAGACTTACTCGTCATCACTCTTGATGTGAGAGTCGTTGATCTGCGACTTGTCAAAGTCGCTAGCCAGGCTCTCGACACCGAGGTTGGTGTCGGCGGTGTTGTCGGTCTCGAGGGATTCGCCTTCGCGCTCGATGGCGGAGAATCCGCCGGCTTGGCGGCCGCGGGTGCGGCTGGCGTCGCGGAAGTCGGGGATACTGCGCTCTTCGAGGTGCCATTGCTTTGAAGGATGTGTGTTAGAGATATGCTTCTGGCATGGGGGAGAAGATGGCGCAGAGGAGAGACCAACCTGAATAGCACGAATAATATCCACAGCCAATTGTCCGTTTCTTTGCAGAGCCTTCGCCCAATGCACCGGAATCTTGTCCGACGTCGTGAGCTGTCTCGCGACAGACGAGACCATCATCTCACGCATCTCATTGTCCTCATCGGTTTCCGCATAGATGTACTGCACCCGCCGAAGGCCTGGGTACGTAGACGTCTGGTGGTAGAACTCTCTCACAAGCTCAGTGACATCCTCACCCAACTTCTGCATCTCGAGTTTTTGTGCAAGGAGGTAAAGGTCGAGCAGTGGACCTAGGTCCTTCTCCTGCTGCGGCTGACGGATCGCTTTGGAGTAGAGCCAGCCTACGAGCAGCTCGAATGGGTATTCGTCCTCGTCAGGTAAGCCGTAGCTTTTGGAGCCGCGGGACTTCTTGGAGGGGTCTTTGTCGTCGGCGTAGAAGATGCGGGAGAAGAAGGGGGAGTGGTAGCACAGTAGGCGTTCGTGCAGAGGCCAATGCTGGGACTCGGAGCCGACGTAGATGTCGACAATGGAAGATGTCAGGAGCCTGGTCGTCGTCAGTACGGGCAGAGGTTGAAAGAAGGTGGTACGTGCTCATGGAGCTTCTTCTCTTTCTTTTCTTGCTTCTGCGGCTCCGTCTCGTTGTCCATTGTGATTAATTGTTGGTAGAGGGTCTTGCTGACGAAATGAATTGCTGGCTGTCTCGCAACGGCTTCAACCGAGAACGACACTTACGCACGAGCTTCCTGCAACCAAGCGCACCTTAAGAAGAGAATGAAACTGTCCTACCTTCCTTACCTACCTTCCTTCGATCGACAGCACATGGGATTTATATTGAGGCTGGTACTGCAAGTGACTGTGGCTACGTCAGGGAGGTCAGCCACAGGCCCATCGCAGAGCACATTCCAGCGAATGCGAACCCTGTCGGATGGGAAAAGTGCGTCTTGCGACAAGGATATGTCAAGGATACAAGGGTGCTCAGCTGTTCCAGCGAGAAACCGGTTTCGCTTGGAAAGAAGAAACGAGAACTCCGAACTCCACCAAGACAGCCGAGTTCGAATTGTGGGGAAACCAGGAATGCCATTGTTTGAAGATGGCAAGAACTTTTTGACTTCTATCCAAGTATTGCTGTAGTGTGGTCCCATTCACTGTGACTTGACAGCATGGCCGTTAGCTCGACCGTTGAGCTGCTTGGTCCCGTTGAATTCCGCAGCTTTTGGCGTCAGAGGTGGTGCTTTCAACGTGCCAAAGGCTAAAGCGACGACGCCCAGCATACATGATCCGCCTACAGTGTAGGCTGTCTGCCGTCCAGCCCACCAGAACAAGCTGCAGAACAACACAGGTCCCATAGCCCTTCCAAGTTGGCCCCAGCTTCTCAGTGCACCCAGCACCTGTCCTCGATTGGTCTCCTTTGCCTCGAAGCTGCCTAGACTGTTGAGCCCAGTCACAACCGTGGCAGATGTTACCGCCAGGAACACTGCCGCTCCATATAGTCCTGATATGCTCGATACCCGAGATAGCATGAAAAATGATATTGTACAGCTTATCACGCCCAAGCGGACCACGGTCAAAGGTGGTAGTCTGCGGACCACTGAACCCTGAAGCAAGCTCGCAATCAGGCCCACCACCCCCAGAACCCGTCCATTCACCTTCGATGGTGACGGATGTCCAGGGAAGATTTCTGAGGCGATCAGAAATGGTAAAGAGAACTCCATGCCAGAAAAGGGCAGCAGGAAAAAGAAGTGGACCAGATTGAGCAGCAACGGCTGGTTCGTGTGCTTCGTCTTCGGAGTGCTTGACCCAGACCTCTTCTCCTCCGTTTTCGCCGCCGGTCGAGTCTCCGGCAGGCAGAAGTACAAGTACAGAGTCTCCACCACAATAAGGAATAGCGAGAACCCTGCCGCGACCGCGAAAGGATTCGCCGCGACCATAGTCACATTCGCCAGCGCTGCTCCAAGGGCTGGACCGAACGTGAACGCGACGCTGAAGCAGGCGCCCACCAACGCCATCGTCGATCCACGCTGGCTCTCATCGCTGATGTCTGTAGCAATCGCCGTAGCCAACTGAACGTTGCCCTCGCTCAGTCCGCCCACAATGCGACTGAGCAGGAACGTACGGAAGTTGACTGCGACGCACCACAGCGCCACGCTGGCGATGTTACCGCACATGCTCCAGAGCAGTGCCGTCCGACGTCCATATTTGTCGGAGGCCTTCCCGATGATCGGGCTGGCGATTGCCTGTAGCAGAGAGAACAAGGAGCCCAATGCTCCCCCTAGTAGTACAATGTCATATTTCTCGTTCACTGGGAGGCCGAATGCCTTCTTGTAGGCATTCAGGTATCGTAGGACTTGGTTCAGCGCCGAGGTTGGGTGTGTCTCGAGGCCGCGGTAGAATGAGAGAAGTGAGGGAAATAGTGGGAGGATGAAAGTGAAGGAGATCTGTTACTGATCAGTAGCCGTTCAGCGAGCTCATTCGTACCGAACTCACCAAATCAAGAAGCAGCGAAATGAAGAGCACTCGCAAGATTGACTTCCGCTTCGCTGGCTCCATGGTCTGTTGTGTTTGCCTTTGTTTGAAGGAATGCTTCTACCGACGAAGTTTCGGTTCCCTTTCTAGATTTCACTCGCTCTTATAGAGCGGCCGGCGCTCTTCTTATGCAATACGTAGATAGTAGTACAATTGATCAAACGCGAGGACAATGATCCAACGAGAGTACATCAGAAGAAGCAGGATTATGGATCAGGGGAAATGCGTTCGCAAGGAGAACATGCTCACTCGACGGACAAGACGCGGCGGCGGAGGCGCTCACTCTCAGGCAGTGAAAAGTGGAAGGACCTGATTCGTCACGCCGCGACTACTCCAATCGTGTCTCCGTAAGGCCGGACTTGGGCCTCTACACGGCGCCGGCGTCTCTTTCTCTTCTAGGTAGGTGACACATCGAGAAGACGGTGCGTCATCTGCGCCGCTACTAGAGTGCTGCTTTCTGGGCACCGTCCCCACGATCTGGGGCAGATCATGCGTACCGAACTTTGCGACCCTTAAGGTATTTGCACTTACGTAGCAGTACCTAGGTAGGGCTTGATCTGACGTCCGGCAACTGATCTCCTCATCTGCCTCTCATCGGTAGCAGACTTCGGCTGTGGGCCAGAACCTTATGTGAGCATACTGCTCACGATCAATGTGTTGAATCCATCATATATATGCAAAGGCTTCCAATCGCTGGGTAGGTGAGTAGGAGCAGCAGCCCACATAGCGCCATCCATCCATACATAAACCACAATCGCGTGACTCAACATGGATCCATCCTCAAAACCAACAGACCAAGGCGTCGACCTCGCCGCCCACCCAAACGCCAAGAAACTGGTCGAACGAGCCTCCGAGTTCCTCCAGCAGATGGAGAACCTGACACCAGGCAAAGACCTCGAAGCCCGCCTCAACCGCGACTACGGCCCAGGCAACGAGTACTACGAAGACTTCTGCTCGCTTATCCGCTCTGGCCTCAAGAACAATGAAGGCTGGTGCGCCACCATCGAAATGGACGGCCCCAAATACCGCCGCTCCAAAATCTCCCTCCCGACCCCGCAAACCCGCTACTTTTCCATCACCACCGTCTACATGGAGTCCCAAGACGAATACTCAGGCCAATACCACCAGCACCCCTATGGCGAGATCAACTGCGTCATCCAGCTCGATCCCGAGGCCGAGCTGAAAGGTATGCAGGGGTGGCAGGCAGCCGGATGGACAAGTCCGGGGCCGGGGACGCATCACTATCCTCAGGTGAGGAAGGGGGCGCTGGTGGCGTTGTTCTTTTTACCGGCGGGGAGGATTAGTTATGAGGCGAAGCCGGGGATGCCGCAGCCGATTGCGGTGTGAGATTTCGATGGGGTTCATGGGGTATCGATGCACTGGAAACGGTTCGTACAGTCGGGAACAACAATGCCATCAGGATTCTGCTCGTCACGGTCTGGGATAACGATTCGTGTATCAGAAATATAATCTCTCACTACCACAGCCCAAACCCACCACGGCCCAATAGCCCCTTTCCCCTATAATGCGGCGACGGACTCGTAAGCACGTACTCCCAACTCACCTCCCCATCGACCCACAGCGTATACTTCAGCATACTCCGCTGCTGACTCCCATTATCATCCCCATGAGCAGCCCTCCCTCTACTCCCAGGACCAGCCCCCAAGTTCTGAATATCCACAACCCCAACCTTACTATTCCCATCCGGCACATACCTAATCGCAACATCCTCCCCATCTACCTGCCTGAACGTCCTGAACGGCAAATAAAACATACTCAGCGGCCCAACACTGAACTCATGTGGTCCCGCTTGCGGCGCGGCGCTGTACAGCACTTCTTCCTTCTTCAGCTCCACACCTTCGTCGCCTGTGAGGTCTGCGCCGGTGTCGACGACGACTTCCTCGGTGGCGACGGGTGGTGGGAAGCGGATAGCTGCGAATTCGTGGCGGTCTCCGGAGAGGATGACTACGCGGATGGGTAGGGAGCGCTCGGCGGAGTGCATGGCGCGTAGGATGAGGGCGCGTTCGGTGGGGAAGCCGCCCCATGTGTCGCTTGTGCCGAAGCGCCAGTTTTTTGTGAAGGGGACGCTGGAGGCGATGATCTTCCAGTGCACTCCTGCTGGAGGCGTGGACGAGATGAAAGCCAGCAGCGAAGCCAGCTGCTCTGGTCCGAGCATCGAGTGTGCGTCCGGCGAAGGGGGTGGGTTTGTTCCTGGAGAACTGTGACTTCCGCTAGAAATGTTTGGTTCCGGGTCGGTGCGGTATCGGCGGGTGTCGAGCATGAAAAATTGGGCGGGACCGCGGGTGAATTGAAAGTAGGTTGTGTTTTCGCCGGAAGGCGGGTTGTAATTGAGTAAGGAGGTGGGCGGCGTGGGAGGATTGACGGAAACGTGGTAGTGGATGAATGGGTCTGAAGCGGCTGGGAAAGGTTCGGTCTCGTTGCCGCTGGACCAGTCGTTGGCGATTTCGTGGTCGTCGAGGGTGTGTAGCCATGGGAGGGGGGAGACGAGCGGGAGCTTCCAAGAAGGAGAAGCGTAGGCGCGGCGGTATTCGGCACGGTAGTGCGCGATGGATGACGAGAGGCGGAGGGGAACGTCGATGTAGACGAAGTCGCCGAGGAAGAGCATGAATGCGGCAGGGGATGGGAGAGAGCGGAGGACATTGGAGAGGTGTTCGAAGCCGTGGATAGCTAGGGAGTGCGAGAAGGGCCGATAGGGGAAGTTGGCTTTGATGCAGGAGGATGTGAGGAAGACGAGGCTGTTGGCTGAAGGGGAGTGGGGTGCCGGGGCCGTCGTGAAGGTGCCGGAGAGGTCATTAGAGAGGGAGTATGTGTATGTCGTGTCTGGGCGGAGGTTTGTGAAGGACAACGGATAGGTGTAGTCCGTATCAGAGTCGATGTAGTAGATTCGATCTGTTGCAGTCCATTTTGCCTCGTCGAGGCCTTTGATGTACGCGTATACTGGCAGGTTGGCTGGGTCTGGCTCGCGGAAAACGACCTTGGCTGATGTATTATCGACGAAGCCGACTCGTGAGAAGCGCAGGTTGTTGACTGGATGGAGCAAAGGCCCTCGGAAAACCAGGTCCAAGCAGAGAAGCGCCATGAGAATGTTAATGCCGATCGAGACATAGCTCAGCTCCGGCTCCCTCCAATTCGGAATCCCCCATACGACGGTCTTGAAGACCTCCTTCTCATCATGATAGATGGCGGGCTCATGCTCATCGTGCGGCTTCTCCTTCTCGTGCTTGCCGTTGCCCAGAACTCGAGGAAAAGCTTCTTTCAGAGTCAAAGGCCTGCCAAAGGTCCGAGACTGAGTAAAAGTGGTGGCCAAGTACACGGCAACGCTGGTCAGAATGAGTGGCGGAAAGTGATGTCCAGGTATCTGTCAAACATCAGTCTACCCAAACAGTAATATTTGGTGATAGGCTTACCCATCGCAGGAAGCAGAACGTGCACAGCCTAGCAAGCGTTGAGCTCACCGCAGCGACCCATTCCGCTGGTGCCAATGCCATCAGGCGACCGTGGGTAATTATTTGAACGTGTACTTCTCACTGCTTAGCAGCGAGGCGGAAGCATAGTCTTACATAGCCACCTGTGGCGCTACATACACAACCCAGTATCTTGTCGCGAACATCAGGTTTCTTGAGTACCGTGCATAAATCTTGAAGTGACGTTGTTGGAATGCGAAACAAGCTTCCCGGCCAACCATGGGGCAAGGGTCTGAGCTCTCGCGGCACTGTGAGTCTGTGAGGCGCCCGCGGCAGGCCCCGACGGGAGCGAGCTGCTGATAAGAGCGTTGCTTACAGCATCACGACACCTCCATACCGCCTTGCATACAAGTCATTACATGCCCTATACCTTCCCTCCAGCCTCTCAGTATCGGCACGAGAAATAGATCGACGAAGTATCTCTGAGATGTTACAAAACGAAGCCTCGGACAGCTTGCCTGACTCGCCGACTTCAACTGTCTTCTGCTTCGTACCACGCGGCTCGTTCGTTGTTATCACAGCTATCGTCCTGGCAACACTGGGAGTAGGGACAAGTCATGTCGAATACGACTATTGTCGCTCTCAACATGGTTGGGATATGCGCGATCCTTGCAAGCCACACGCGCCCGACCTTGTCTTGCAAAGGCATTGGATGGGCTAGGATGTGCGGGCCAAGCACCAGAGCAGGCGATTGCGCCTGCACAACATCTACAGCCTGATGGATTCGTCTTTCATTCAGTAAGTTCTAGAGCCATTTTTGAAGCTGTTCGATGGAGTGTGCAAGTCCGGAGACTGTGGCATCAAAGACGCCAAAATCAGCTCCTGCCAGCGGCTCAGAACCCGCGCTTGCCCCGCCTATAGAATCTTCATCCCGGCCTTCTACTTCCCACGATCAGTTTCGTGCTGCCGCCCACGTAAGTGGCAATAGTCTTCCTGGTGGTCATGACAGGTCTGAGCAGTCGCCGCAGCCGCGTGACCATAACGCCGGCAAAACACTCCAAGAGATCTGGTCTGATCTAGTGGGCTTCTGGTCAGAGTCTTCCCATAATCGGACCTTTGATCCCGAAGCGGAAGACTTCAATTACTTGCAAGACTGGCTCAAGCATGCCATGAGCCGATACCCGAGCTTATCATGGAAACTGCTGCTCATGAACCTGTGCGCAATTGCGGCCTCTCACGATCCATGGACAGGAGAATTGCAGCCAGAGTTCACGATCATCACGTCCGCGAAGTCAGCGAGAGAAACGCAAATAACAAGTTCGGATGCATGGCGGTCACTAGCCTCAGCTAATAATGGCGAGAATCTACACTCGGCTGGGAAGCAGCCAGTATTGATTACGCTTTTCCCGGACCCAGGCTTCAATTTCAAGACTTACGGAGCTCTCTGGCGTTCGATGGATGTCACCCATCCCAAGGAATACGGGAAAGTCTACCACCTGATCTCAGGCCTTTTGTATGCGACTATATCACTGACGATTTTCAATACCGGTGTAAGTGCTTTCGCCGCAGCACTTCGATACCTGGACGCATGCGGCGTTTGCGGCTACACTCCACCCTTGGTTCCAAGGTACTCGGCTCACGCCGCGCTGTGCTTAAGATCAGCTCGTCTTTTGCTGACACTCTCGAAAGGGTGGCATTATGATCTTGCCAACGGGAACCTGAATAGTCGCCCACTTTCTCAAACTGGTCAGCCTGCCCCCTTCTCGAATCGTATTCAAGCACCTGCAGCTGACAAATTCTAGTGGTCCTGAGCATACATCAGCATGTGGATGACTCAGGCGGAGCTGACGACTCGGGCCGGGTATGGGCCCTGCTGACAGACTTGTGCTCATCACAGGGCGACTGGGAGGGTGTAGCGAAGCCTAGTGAGCCCTCAGTGGGCGACAGTGCTAGTTCAGCAGGAGCAAACGTCCTTCTGGTGCCAGATAGCCACTCAGATCCCGATGATGCTTCGCAGGGCGACTTGCATATCTGGGATGGCCGCGCGCTTAGATCAATCACATATTATGTGGCACTGGCGTGGCTCCGACTACACTGGAGTCAACAAGCTCGGCATCAGGCATCAAGCGACACTTCCCGCGCCATGACTGACCTCAAAATTGCTGGGACGAACTTACAAGGCTGGCTGGACGCGTCAGAGTCATCCAGTCAAGCCAAGCCACCAACTTGCCCATTGGAAGAGGCTTTCGCCCGACAGTATACGAACGCCCTAGCGGAAGCACAGATCTTGGCCGAGGCCCTCACCTTCGAGAGCACACAGCTCAATATCCGTGAAACGCAGAAGGGCATCGAGTTAAGCGAAAAGAGTCTACGAGAAGCCCATGCGGTTGGCCGGCTGACGCAGCTCGCCTTCATTTTCCTGCCTCTCACGTTCATAACCGGCATCTTTGGCATGAACATCACAGCTTTTGGAGGTGGGGCGCCCATGTGGAAGTTCTACGTGACCACGTTCGCCATTCTGATTCCTTTCTGGGGAATGGGGATTATGACGACCTGGGAAGACGTGGAACGCAAATATTCGAGCTTACATCGTCGTCCCGTGGAGGGACAAGACGATGGCCGACAACCGAGGAAAGAGATGCGCCGACTGATAGAGCTCCCCGTCGTAACTCTGATCTACGCGTGTGCAGAACAGTCTCTTCGGTGTTATTCTACTGTTTACATCCGAAAAAGCTTTGGAAGTTGTTGGTTTCCTACTTGGAATTCCCCTCTCTCGCAGGCGTAGGGGATTGGTGATCACGCCGCCGGTATCACGGGCCTTTGTGGTTCACGCGGACGGTTGATCGGCGCCGGCTCTGGGAAGACCGACCAAGTACAAGACGCCACTATCGTGAGAACGACTTAGACCTCGAGGACACTTACTGTACCAAATTCCCGAAGCAGCGGATCTGTAGGATGCCGGTCGCCTCCATATTGGTGCCATACACTCCACCAGCACACCAGTCATAGCAGGTATGGTCGAGGTGCAAAAGTCGTAAGTGAGGAGTCTAAATTGCTGTTGGTACACTCGCGTAATATGGTTTCGTCAACGAACCACCCATACAACATGCGACAATAAATTCAGGCTGGCAGAATAATTGACGGCTGGATGGCGTCGGCAACCGATAAGGACTGTCATCCAACAGCACGTCCCTCAAGCTGGTCAGAACAGGCTTTCGATACAAGGAGCAGCAGTAATAATGCCCTCTCCTAATGACTCAGACTATCTTCCAAGGTCTGTGCTAAGGACACCAACTTCTGTGGTTTCTGCAACAATGGCTCTCTAGGTAGATATTTACTGCTATTCTCTATCAACGCTTGTGCTCAATAGTGATGATATGTGCAGCCCAAGCTCATCAGATCTGCTGGGCATTGCACCTGCCCTCTTGTCGTCAAAATTTCGAACAAAATCCATGTGACATGGTCTTGCGTATGTTTGCAAGTCCATTGAATATGAATACTCATGTGCTCGCAAGGACCCATCAGTCGTTCCTACCAAAGCGCCGATCGAAATCCTTAAGCACGGCCATGACATTCGCCGCATCGATCTCCATAGCCGGACGGCGGGCTCCCACGGCATGGCCCTTTCCAGGATGCGGGAGCGGGCTATCCGAAGCATGCAGCTTCGGCATCCAACTCGTGATCTCTGCCGATGCGCGCTCGTACGCTGGGTGTCGGGACAGGGTCGTGTAAGCATCAGCGCAGGTCAATGTGACAGTGCTGGACCGAGCAGCATCAGAATCTTCTCTCGACTCGTTTCCATAGGTTGTGCCAGTCTTGGACCGTGCATTGGCGCGGGTCTGACGAGCTCCTCGACGAGGAAGTGGCACCGCATCAGTGGGGTCACCTGATTGTGATTGACAGCAGCCTCCAGACGCCGTGCGTCCTCCACAGCAACCGGATGACTGTTGACCACCTGCAGACTGAGATCGTGAAGCAGCGAGCGACTTGCAGAACAGTGTGCTGTTTGGATCGGCACGGCATTGCGCGCACGTGCCCGGACCATTAGCACATGGATTGTCAACAGCCACACCTCCTGGTGGCGGAAGAGAGGCGCTGCTCATGGACACATCGCCGTCGGAGGGCGGAGGTGTGAATTGAGACAGTGGCAGGCCACCGCGATGATTAGAGGCGGTTGGTCGTGCTGTTCCATGGGCAGCTCTTGCTTCTTGCTCTGCCTGCATTTCAGCACAGATACAAGGTGTGCCATCCGAGCAGAACCCGCACGGATCTGCCACGACAGTAGAGGTCGACGGTGAGACATCTTCTGCACTAGACACAGCCGGCCGTCTTGCGTACAGAGACGTGAAGTCAATCTCCAGGGATTCTTGAGGCTCCATCTTGATTCTCTTTCCCGTTTGCCCTCCAGCAGATGAATGTGGCCTCTTGGCATGACCTGTGGTTCCAGAGTACTCTTCCGCAGCTACAGCGTCGAAAGCCTCATCGATACACTGACATCTGGACTCCAGAGTGCAGTTGCCACAACCCACGCTTGTGTCACCAGCCACACCGGCAGGCTGTGTATGATGAGGTGACCTAGCAGATCGGAAAGCAGCCAGCTCGCTCTCAAGCTTCCGACATCGCTCTGCCCAGGCTTCGAGCTCGCCACGATACTGATTGACTTGCTTCTCAAGCAGCGTGACCTGCGCTTGTAGGCCTTCGCATTCCTTGTCATGCGTGTCTTCGATCTCCTTGATCTGATCTTCGAGCTCATTGACTCGTGCCGCGCGCCTTTCGCGGAAAGCCCGCTGTGCTGCTCGATTCTGTGCCTTTCTCTTGCTTGGGGGAGTGTCTGTTGCGGGCTTCCTGCCGGGCTTGGGCCGAGGCGGTATTATCCATTCTTTGGATGTGAGACTTAGCGTGCCTGGTGTTGGCGGTTGTGGTGAGCCAGCCGAGCCGGTTTCAGTGGGTTTCATGAGGAGAGAGGGCCGCCGGATGATTTCTGGCTTGACATCAGTGGCCTCTGCCGGCGATGCTGCCGCCGGCGATGTTGCTGTGCTGTCTGGCATGGTGTTGTGGAATTTGACCGTAGTTGAATCGTAGTGTCATAGACCAAAGCTTCGGTCAGACCACCTGTCGGGTTGTGTTATGGGCTGTCGCGGTCATGCTCTGAGACTCAAATTTGACGAAGACATGGAATGACTACTCTGTATGAGCTTGAGCGAGCAGGATGAGTGCCTTGAACTGCTGCAGTGGGAGGACAGTGGCACGAAGGATGGAGGGGTGAAAACCTGAATCTAATCAGATCGCCAAGATGATAAGCAGCTGGAAGGGACCCTTCCGACACCGATGTCGGGACGAGGAGGATGAAGACGCGCTACTCCGTCCCACGAGCTGGAACATGTTTCTGCGTCCTACTCGTACTTGCCCAACATCATGTCCAGGTGCTCGACGGCAGTATGGTTTCCATGTTCGTCTGTGACGTGTGGCATATCATGAAAACATTAGGAGGAGTGACTAGGCCCAGGTCGTGGAGCTCATAGGTGAGTACGTGCCGTCGGGATGCCGCTATCTCGAACAATGTCGGGCATCACCGACGTCAACCCGTAAGTCACAATTATGTTCGAATTCGTCGCCGTCGTCGTACATCGAGCCTTCTGCTCATCTGTGTTCGGCGGACTGCTTGCAATATGTGTGTATACAACAGATATATATTGACGTGGCCACTACCGACCATGAATTGCTCATCACAGCTACACCAAACCGACGTTGCTTAAGACAGGCCTGATAGCCTTCACCATACCGCAATGCCTGGACTCACTGTACGACCTGGCCCAGTCAGTGGCATGGGAGCCACGATAGAAACCACGAACCTCGACAACCTGAGCGACAATGATTTCCAGGAACTCCGTGAAGCTCTCTACCGCCACAATGTCATCTGCATCAAACAACAAAAGGGCTTCTCATCGCGCGCCCAAGCAGACCTCACACGCCGCTTCGATCCAAAAGCAACTTCCTACGGCCACGGTAAAACCATCGACGCGAAGCGCTCCATTCTGCACCCCGACCTGAAGACAGTCCCCGCCCACCCCGAGGTCCAGATCATCGGCAATGGCCACATCGCTGAGTACGAAGGCCTCCACGACTTCAAGTTGAAGCACCCACACCACCGCACATTCCACAAGTCCGCGATTCCAGACGAGCTCGACCTCGACTACACCCGCTTCTACCGCTGGCACATTGACGCCGCGCTCTTCGGCTCCCTCAACCCACCACTCGTCACCTCCCTCTTCGCCGAAAAGGTCCCTGCCGGACGTACACAGACCGCGCTCTACGATGATGACAGCGACCAATCCCTACAGGTCCCCCTTGGCACCACAGCGTTCGTATCCAGCTACACCATGTTCGACCTCCTCTCCCCAGCACAGAAAGCCTTCGCCTTAGGAACAAAAGTCGAATACGCACCGCACCCCTACGTCTGGATCTCGACCGCCAAGTCCCGCCAGAATGGGCTGGGTATGGTTTCCGAAGGGCTTGAGACGCCTGTCTCTGACTTGCCTGCGTACGAAGAGTCTGACGTTCAGATCTTGCCTATGGTCTGGCAGAACCCTGTAACGGGCCAGCTTGCGCTACAGATCCATCCCTCGCCAGTGCGGAAACTGTACTGTGCTGATGGGCGCGTCGTGGATGATCTCGAGGAAGTGCGAAGAATCGTCTATGAGCTTCAACGGCCCGGTATTGCACCGGAACACGTTTATGCGCACGATTGGGAGGAGGGTGATCTGGTATTGTTCAACAACCACGGTGTTCTGCATAGCGTTGTTGGTGCCTTCCGGGAGGATGAGGTCAGGCTGTTTCGGCAGTGTAACTTGGCGGCTAGTAAGCCGCCGATGGGTCCTGAAGCATTGGCGTAGAGCGGGTATGCAAGTCCATGGGCCGTTTCGTGAAAAGATAGCGTTTCCCAATTCAGCACTTCATCTATTTGACAATACTTTTTGTATGATTTCCCTCAACGGTTCTACAAATTCCTCGCATGACCGCCCTCCTGACATCCCATATCGGCCCCCGACCCACCCATCAGACAGCAAACCTGCTCCGCGCCCTCAGCTTCTTGCCAATTTTCCACAAGACCACCTGGCCAACCGCACACACAATGGTCAGCCCCGCCAACAAGCTCACACCACCCCTCACACTCAACGTCTCCAGCATCGGTCTCGTGAGCAACACCGCCGCAAATGCGAAGAGAGAGCGTGCCAAGCTGTTGGCCGCGAAGATACTAGCCGTGTATGAGGGGTAGATGGAGGGGATGTACAGGAAGATGGACTGTTGGGTGAAGAAGACGCCGGACATTACGAGGGTGATGCCCAGGGTGGGCACGATCCAGTGGATTGAGGGGCGGGATGTCCAGCCTGGGACGATCATTAGTTGGGGCGGCTGCTGTTGGTGTGGGTATTGGAACGTAAAGACGTAGGGTTGGAAAGGTACACACGTACCAAAGATGAAGAGGCCTACTGGCATCAGCGGACCAGCGAGCACGCCACTCCATAAGAAGTTCTCGAGCTCGCCCAGAGTGCCAGCCTGGAGTCTGGGCAAAACGCGTCGCTGCAGGTACAAGACTTGGATGACGAAGGCGGTCCCCACGGAAGGCGCGGTTGTCAGGAATACGAGAGATGTGGATGTTGGTGAGAAGTTGTAGACGGGCGGATAGACTTGAGGAAGGGACTGATGGGGCCAAGTCAGTAGGTCTGCACGCTGTACGTTACGCGAGAGACTGGGACAGGGCGGACCTCAAAGAAGGAATACACCAGGCCGTAAGAGAGGCCCGTATACACGGTGGTGAATAGCACTGCCGGGTCCTTGATGTTGATCTCCCATGGCTTGACCAATGCAAACCACAACGTCGAGCCGACGGCCATATGCCCTTGTTTGAGCATTGACTCTGAGGTGATCCGAGTATCTCCAGTTATCTCCCTCAATCGCTTCGCTCGTTGGTATAGGATTGTGGGCGCTGCTGTTTCGGGAAGCAGGAAGAACATGAGGAGGTATGCCGGGCCGAATATTATGAGCAACTCCCAAGCCCAGAACTGCCAGCCTAGGGTCGGGAGGGCGTGTGCTGATATGACAGGACCCAGGGAGGGCCCTAGCGTGGCGATGGCAGCGAATAGCGCGATCTGGATCGGGAATACTGCCGGTCCCCAGATATCGGCTAGCGAGGCGGGGACTGTAGCCAGGGAAGGAGAGCCCACGAAGCCGAGAAGGAACCGAAGGACCATCAATCCAGGGTAGTGGTCGACGAGTGCCGTTGGAATACAAAGCACGACAAAGAGTCCTCCAGATACAATATATGGCGGATTCCGGCCAATTGCTGGGACTTCGCTTAGCGGCGAGAAGAGAAGACAGCCTGCACCATATCCCAGAACGTAAAGTGCCAGTCCCAGCTCTGCTTTAGTTCGGCTGACGTCGATTCTCGCAATGATCTCGTCTTGACTCGAGGTGTACAGTGAGGAGCCGACATAGATCCCGAAGACGTAGAAACTGTGAGGTCGTTAGCGCTGAAAGAAGTGCGGCTTGAGATTGCTGACTTGAGCACCGCCGTAGCAATGGATTTGTTGACGAATGACCAATGCAGTGGGTTTTCAGGATCATCTGTGCTGCTATCAGTATTGAGCAAGAAGACTTGTGTTTTCCAGTAAACCTTTGCCATCGAATGTCACGAGGATGTTGCCCTGTTCGTCCGGTGTTGGGGCGATATGTTGCAATTCAGCATTGTTGGATTTTGTTTGTTGTTCTTCCTCACTTCGCTCGACGTTGCTTCCCGAGAGCAGCTGCTTGAAAAGACAACCGGCGAACGAGCCTCGGAGCAGGAACGTCATTGCGAAGTGGTGGTCTCAGCAATGGTGTTGAAGGGGCACTTCGGCCACCTGGCATAGCAGAAGTGCATCTTATACCTACCAAAGCCGTCAAGCATCCTTATGACCTCCATCGAGCTGTAACTTCATCGTCCTTCACATAGGTGTGCCCCATTCTAGGGGCTAGAGATGGAATCTAAACCTCTGCAGTCGCTCGGTGGCGTCCAAGCTGTTTTGAACAGGTGGAGCGGATGCCATCACCTATATTCCAGTCTGACTTGCTGTACCGATGGGTGGCTAAATCGGATCGCTCTGGAGACCGCGCTGCTGTTCATGTGAGAAATGGCCGTGTGGAACTTGAGGGTTTAAAGCCGTGGTCGAAGGTAGCTCCTTCCGCTATCCTGGCGAGAGTTCAAGCGGTGGGAACTAAACTCAATGCAGTAATACTCATACGATCCGGTGGGATGAGGGAAGCAGCGGAGCTCTCGGACTTTGGCAATGAACGGCATCCTGAACTTATATTGTGTTGTAGCTGCACATCATGCTGGCGGAAACTATGCCACTTCCATCGGCTAGCTTAAGGAGACAGTCGCCTGTAAACGCCCTCTACATCCACAGCCGCAGCACCATCGTCTTGACACCGCGCATTTGCCGATCCGTGAAGCGACGGCCATGAGCAGCGATCCGACGTCTCTCAGAAAAGCGTGCCAAAACTGCACCAAATACAAACGCCGCTGCGTAATAGAGCTCCCCAAATGTCAACGATGCCGTCAAAGAAATCTGGACTGCAACTACGATCTTGAGCCGTTGATAAGAGTCAGGACCACGACCAAGGAACCGTACCGAAACCAAGCCACCCACGATCAGCTAAACTCTTCGCGAAACGATGGTCCGCACATTAGTGATCCTTTTCTGGAGTACATCTCTTCATTGCACATGAGCGAACGCATGTTGGCATTCTGTCAGCGAGAAAGCCTTGAATCTAACAAACAGCTGGCGAAAGCATGGACCGGAATCCGAATCAAGACCGAGATCGACACCACGAATTGTGTTGTTCGTGAGCTGCGTCGTCTGCCTGAACTTGTGCAAGATGGTGGCATGGCTTATACTTTCGTTCATCCTTGCTTGCAGCGTATGGCGTTTGGCCGGCTTTCAACTGCCGCCTGGGCTAGGAGCTCTCACCATTTCTGGACCCTGCCTGCCCTCGACGCTCGAAGCGTGTCCTTGGTTAGACTTGTTACCGCCATTTCGAGTCTGATCATTTATCTCATCCAGCACGCTTTCGAGGAGGACAACGACCGAAGATGGTGGAAAGCAGCTGAAAATGTCTTCTTTCCCTTATTGGCTAAATGGCGACGTGTCTTGTGGGAATCGGCAGCGAGCAGAATGCCGCACGGTTTAGGACGCTGGCAGAGCTGGGCGCTAGCAGAGAGCATCCGGCGAACGATACTGATGTCTTACCTGGTTGATGGGGCGTACAGTGCGTTGAAGCAAGGTTGGTGCTTTCATCAGCTTTTCGTAGAAGCATTGCCGTTTAGTGCGGAGGGGCCTCTATGGCTCGCACAGACCGAAGTACAGTGGGATGATGTGGTCGCAAGATCGGAATTTGGCATGGCTGCGACAAGGCTTGTGTCTGTCCATGAGTTCATGGGAGGCTTTGTGGACAATGCCTTCGATCCTGGAGATGACCTGTTCCAGAGATTACTTCTTATACATCATCATGGAAGGAGGTCCGTGGAAGAACGCTGGACACACAAGCTAGGAGGAAGCGTGTCGTAGAATGTGGAATATCTGGTAAGTGCCGTGTCTAGGTGTCGAGAACCAGGAGGAGATGGAGTTACGTCATTCCATCGTTAACCTTCTAAGCCCAAATTGGCAGTCATTTCTTTCCCAGTTGGGCAACTACTTCATGATTCTCCTCAGTTTGAGATACAGCATATTGCAAGCATTGCTGCGAAACATATCATAACATGCTTTAAGGACTTCTCGCCATGAGTTTTGCAATGACAAATGCTGCCTGGCATTCAATACACCTTGATGTAGCAACACATCCGCGGCGCAAGTTGCAGCTTGCCACGCGGGGTACCTCAGCTTTTGCAACTATGTCATCTTGGTCTGTACCTTCCCAAGTACAAACACTATATAGACATCGAAGAGATCCCTCCCTCAGTCAACTTGCTACAACTCAACAATCACAATCAACATTAAATTCGTAAGCGTGTCACTGCCCGTTGAAAATTGTACCGCCCACATCAACCACGCAACGGCACCCAAGGACGTCATATAGAAATACACCACGGCTCAGGACTGAACAGTCTATAACTTTCGCTTGGACACCCTCTTCCATCATCTTCGAAACATGGCTCCAGCGTTCGAGATCCCGTCAGAAGGCGTCAAAGGAGGTGACGACAAGGACATCACAGCTACATGCTTCTGCGGAGCTGTCCAGATTCAATTCGTGAGTCGACCATCCCAGGCCAGTCATCTACAAACACTAACCATAGCACTCAGCCCGTCGACAAAGTCGTCGATACCTTCATCTGCAACTGCACCGACTGCCACAAACTCACCGCCTCAGCATTCGCATCCAACTTCATCATCAAGGAATCCGACACAATCCACACTCGCGGGAAAGACAAGCTCTCAAAGTGGAATCAGAACAAAACCATCAAATCCGGCAACTACATGGAGAACAACTTCTGCTCAATCTGCGGCTCCCTAATGTACCGCATCTCCTCCGGCTACCCCGGCCTCCTGATTCCCAGAATCGGCACTGTCGATGACTATAACCTCCAGAGTACCAAGTTCAAACCAAGACTGGAGCAGTTCACAGAGAATCGACTGCACTGGCTGCACGGTGGCGAAGGGGTAAAGCAATTCAAGGGAGCGGGACCATTGGGCGAACCTTTTGAGGGTGAGAAGGAAGTCAAATTGCATCTTTGAGTGAGCAACAGTCAGTCAGTTAGTCATCAATGCGCATTCCTGCTAGCTGAACTTGATTCGTATGAATGAAGAGCACTTCGAACAGCCCTTTGCAAGATCAACACCTGTCCCGGTGTCTCCTTCCTCTACGAACATGTGGAGATCTGCGCCACAGCTTCCCTCAACCCTTCGTCCAGCTTCGCCTCATTCCTCTTCGTCTGACACCGATTCATTCGATTACACGTCGCACCTGCCCGCAGTGCTAACGCCTGCCACAACGCTACACTAGCAGAGAATGCCAATCCTGGGCCTCAAGTTGGCTGGTCCAGACTCATTATCCTCTCGGAGACCTCTCAAGCCCTCTAAATCATGGACAATCGACAATGTGGCATTCCCCTGCTCGCGTCGCGCCCACTCAGACTGGAAACAGGCACCCGTGAAGACAGTCGAATAACCGTTCAAAACTTCCGCATACATCCAGTTGGTCAATTTCTCAAGCGATTTAGCCGTGAAGAACTTGACGACCTGGGCGCCGGAGTTACCTGCAACAACAGCGAGGTACATCAGGTCAGATGGCCGTGGTGGTGTTCCTTCTCCAGTCTGTCGCCTACCCGTGGCTGGGAGCCAGAACTGAGTTGTACCGAGACTGGCGACAACACGAGGCACGCCAACTCGATTCGGGGGCGTGACCGTTGAATCTGGTCCCGATGGAGTTCTCGCCCCTTCTTCTGGACCGACACCAAGATTGACCCAGCGGTCCGCTCTCACACGTCGTGAGAATACTTCGGTGTACACAACGAACTCATGGTCGTCACAGGCTCCTCCCGACAGAAGAATCAGTTTTTCCAGACCACCTGGGCTACTGGCGTCAGGAACTAGGCAGATCTCCTCTCCTCCCCACTTGTTGTGTTTGAGCAGCTCACTCGCACGCCTGATGTTGGTCCTGGTCATGTTGAGACTTGTTTCGACGAGGTCAGAGACTTAGTGATATGACAACGGGCCATCCACTACATTGTCCATCGAGCAGGAGCGCCATATTTGTAGGTCAACCTCTGCAAGCTATGGACGGTCTTGGACACTGAGAGTGTTCAGCATGTCAGTCGAGAACACGTGAAGCGAATCAATTCTCCCATTTCGACCAATCCTGTCTATCCGTCAAAATCGCCATCTCACCGGTCTCAGCCTCTCAGTACAGGTGCATGTGATTATGCACAATGCCCCAATGCTCCCATCTCCACCAATCAGAGCCCAAATGCAATGCGGTCTACCTTTTAACTTACCATGTCACGCCAACGCACCATCAATGCAGTGACGATGAAGCTCGACATATAAGGTCTGCTGCTGTCTCATTGCTTCCCAGCAGGTTCCCAGCATCGAGCACACACTCATTTACTCGATACAATCACAGGCCTCCTGGAGGCGTCCTTAGCCTCGATCAGGAGGTCTCACTTGGTAGCCTATCACCAACTACCGTCAATCCAGTCAGTCTACATCTACTGATCCACCCTACGAATACGTCAACCCAAACGACTACCTCCTCAAGCCCAGGTTCATCTCAAGCAGTACTGTCGCAAGGTGTCACACACAGAACATAACCCACACACAACATAACCCAACCATCACATCTGAGTATCAGGACCGCCTATCTGGATCTGGCCTTGAAACAGCAACCTTCAGTCGACGCCAACCTCAAAGACAATACGACAACCAATCCCATCCCCAAGCTCGCCATGCTCAAAGTCCGTCATCCGACCAACATAACGCTGCCAACCTCACAGCCCACACTCTTTCGACACACAAGTCAGCTCAAGCTCACGCTAGTCAAACAGCAAAGCCAAGCACAACCAAGCACCATTGTACCCTCCAGGTTTCTAACGGACCATGCAACAAGTCGTTTCCCACCATCTCAAACCTCAACAGGCATAAACGAGAAGTCCACGACAACCCGGAGCAGAAGCTCTACATGTGCCCGGTGAGAACATGCGAGAAGCGGTATAAACAACGCACTAAGTGGAACCAACATGCTCGAGACAAACACTCGCGACTGTATGACCAAGGCCGCATGGAACCACTCATGGGGTCAATCCAGTATGAGTGAATAGCTATAGCTAGCTGACGCAACTCTTACCGTCTTCTAGATTCCCATCCTGCGGACTTCGCTCCACTCATGTCCTCCAAACACCGTTGACACCAAGACAATCGGCGGAAAGTCTAACAACCCATAAGCACCACGAGCTGAAGAGCGGTCTGCAAACCATTACCTCCCGCTCCACCCTCTTCCCTCTCTGGACATGTCCCTTCCCTTTTTGCACTTCTATCTGTCACGCCCCAGTTCCGCTGTGATTACCATCTCCTCCAGTCCGCCAGCGGAAAGCCTAAGTTCCATCCTTAGGTCCTTTGGCACTTTTGGACCACGTGGACGGCAAGAACGACCCACTACGCCTATACTACCTAGTAGCTTAAAGACCTGACAACTCCCCCACGTCGTCTACCTACACCATAGCGTCTATACATCTCAGAGCGTTTGTAATCTGACTTGCCCAGGCATTTCGCTCCAAGCATCGCACTCGCTTCTGACGTCCAGCTACTTAGTATGCCATGATCTTAGGCTTTGAACTGTACTCCGTGCTGCTCTTTCGACATTCGGAAAATGGATGCAAGTGTGTATCTGCTTCTGAAGGAGGGCATGGAGACTTGGTGTCGAGTTTGAGTTGAGGATGCATACCTACCTACCTACATACGTACCTACCGGTACTTAAGTATGATGTATTTCGAATTCTGCCTACAATACACCGCACTCCTAATGAGTGCACCTAGTAGTAGACATGCAACTCCGCCCTCATGTCCATGCACCCATGATGAGACTCGCGATTCGGCCCTAGGTTCGATTCTTTTCCATTACTCTCAACTTGACAGCCGTGCTACTGTATATCAGAAAATTCGATGTGCTGGCCGGTCTCACAGGGTCTGAGCAGGTACATGTACACGTAACAATCCTATAAGATGCATATATTCGTCCGGCCACCAACACTCTGAAGTGGTGTTTGCAACATTGTGTGAGAAGAGTTCAGATCCATTCACTTTCGCCCCTGTTTGACCCCAACGCCATACATGTATAATCACCATCCACTCTGCCTGCAAATCCTCAACCCAAAGCCACGATCGAGTACAGAAGTCCAACCACCCGTTCAGATCTAGAACTTCCCAGCCTGCGCACCATTTCCCCCGGGCGCGGCATTCCCCTGCAGACCACCTGCGAAGCCCGAGCCCCATATACCCACTAGTCCCCATAGTCCCACCCTCCAGCCTCTGTACAGCCCCTCGATGCCTTGACCTTTCCTCTTCCGCCGCGGCGCCTTGCCCATCAACGCCGCCGTCTTGTCCTTTGCGCTCTCCGAGTACCCCTCATCACGCACTATGCCCCAAATCGTCGGCAATACACCTCTATAGCTCTGCGGTACCTGGACAATGGTACTAACGACCTTCTGCTTCGCTGATGATGACGATGATGATCGGGTGGGAGTTGGAGGCATGCCGGTCCATGTAGCGATCTGCGCTCTCCGCAGGACGGTCTCCAGTGGGAATTTTATGGAGAGGTCGAGGACTGATGAGGCGAATGTTGCAACGGACCACGAGGTTGTGTGTATCGCTGGGTCGAGTCCCATGTATGAGCGGAGGAAGAAAGGGGTTGTAGTTGAGAGGAGGGTGGGGAGGGTGGATGTTAGGAAGGTGATTGGTAGTAGATGCCGAGGGATTAGGTACGAGGGGGAGAGTGTTCGCAGGGAGCCCAGAAGGGTTCGAGGTTCTTCTTTCGAGGGCGTCAAGATGAGTCGAGTACGTGCAGCGTCGATGGGCGCTAATACGATGGCTGAGAGGGCGGCCGCGGCTGTGGCGATCAGGATTGTTGCTGTGGGCACGACGGAGGCCAGAACGGCGGCGTCTGGAACTGTGGAGGGCGTAGAGAGTAGTACGTCCTGCTCGGCGATGCCGAACATGGCGGCGAGGAAGCTCTTGAAGAAGGTTTCAAGGGTTGAGTTGAGGACTGTGTAGATGAATGTAGTGTTGGTGCCTCGCCATATTGAAAGTGAGCCAGACTTTAATGACAGGGCAGATAGCGCATCGACTAGTGAATGTGAGTTGTGTAGGTCCAACGTATCGGAGTGCTGCTGTGGTATGTTCGACCGCTGACTTGACTGCCGTGACGCTGTTGGTCTACCTCTCCGTCCTCTAGGCGGCGAAGGCGTTCTTGTCGCGCCGAACTGACCGCTGCTGCTGAAGAAGTTTGGCTCATCCTCGTCACTCTCTTCGTGGTACTCCTGAGCATGAATGCTGCCAGTTCTTGACCCAGGTTGTGACCTAGGCGCTTCATCGAGGTCGCTTTCTTGGGCGATTCTGCATTGTAAGATGATCTTGGCCACTTCGAATGGCTGCGCGAGCACGACGCTTGTGTATTTCCATACTGCCTGGTCGAGCAGTCCTCTGACAGAGCCTATTGCCGAGGGCGATGCATCGGGTATGTAGTCTGAGTAATCGAGACTAGGTAAAGAGAAGCTTGGAGAGGTTGAGGTTGCGGTAGACTTGCTGGCGGCGGCTGTCGCGTTGATGCTTTGCGACGCCGTCTCACCGATGGACGGCGGTATATAGTATGGTCTTAGCGGGTTCGGTCCATGTAGCGGATCTTGCATGTTGCGCTGTCTCATTCACAGACATGTGTAGAATATGATACAGAGACAGGTCGAGGCAGGTCTGTCGATGAGGTTGAATGACGCAGCATGTGGTTAGGGCTTGGCAAAAATGTTCTCGATCTCGACTTCCTGCAAGACTTCCTCCTCTCACTGCAGCTTGCAAGGGTAACATGATCGGCTCACTTCCGAGCGCAGGAGCTCTGAGAGGACTTGCGACTACTATACGGCCCAGTCCAACCATTCTTCGCCTCGGCGGCTCGAATGCTCGAAGCATCTCCTTCTGCCGACGACATGAAGCCCAGCTCCGGCTCAACAAGGAGTCTATACGACAGCGCATAAGAGCCTTAGAAGAGTCCAGACGGAGGTTTACGGCCAGCGCTTCTCGCGCGCATGGTCATATTGACAAGCCTAAGCCAGGAGAGGAACTGCATGTCACATTCATCGACAAAGATGGGGATTCACATGAATTCGAGGTTGCGGAAGGCGCGAATCTGTTAGACATCGCTCAAGCAAATGATTTGGAGATGGAAGGCGCTTGCGGTGGTTCCTGTGCTTGCTCGACGTGCCACGTGATCGTGGAGGGCGACGATATGTACGACAAGCTGGAAGAGGCGGATGACGACGAGGTGAGGACTGTGTTCCTACGAAACTGGGCGAGAGACTAACATGCGCCAGAACGATATGCTGGATCTGGCCTTCGGACTGACCGAGACATCGAGGCTCGGCTGTCAGATCAAAATGACGAAGGATATTGACGGAATCGTGGTTAAGCTGCCTTCGATGACACGCAATATGCAAGCAGGAGTCAGTTGAACATTCAGGCAGGCAGGGCAAACATGTGCTGACATGCTATAGGATTTCCAGTCCAAGTCATAGACCATCCCACTCAGACCTGTACAATATGAACACTGAGCCTATCGAATGCCCAGGCGATCAGCCGGCTGTTCTCTTCTTCTGGCCATTAATGAGGTCCAAGAACCCCTGCTTGCTCATCTCCTTCACCTTCTCCTCGCGATTGGAGATGCCCACTGTGCCCTTCTTCTGCTCATCCTTTGCAGTCTGCTCTCCTCTGGTCTGGGCAGCTCTGAAAGCATTGAAGAGTGCAACCACGCCTCGCTGGGCAATCTTCTTCAATCGCTTCTCTTCCTCGGCAACTTCACCCGTCCGGCCAGACTCGATGCCGAGCACATCTTTCACACGTCCACGTTCGAGCTCTGCTATTTTCTCTGCACGCATTTTCGCTTTCGCCTTCCTTTCGAGACGCTCGTTGGCTATTGATGTGCTTGTTTCCGCCGCCGATTTGCTTCTTGACAGCACTGGGTCTTGCCGGACTGATTGTGGTAATTTTGTTGACAGGATCTTTGATATTGATGTTGCGAATGCATCTGGGTCATTGCGCTTATGCTTCGGCTTTGATGTGTGCTCCTCGTCATCGTCTGATCCTTCACCATCAGTTGTGCTATCGTCGGCTGAAGACGCACCGGTCGAGTCAGCTTCGTCCCGTACAGGCTTGGCCGGCTTGCTCTTTGGTACTTTGGTCTTCACTGGTGACTCTCCGATCGGCGTTCTGTTTACCGGCGCTTCATCATCTGAATCCGCAAGATTGACCGGCGCAAATCGTGTTTCTGCCTCGGATTCATCTGAGGATGAATGGTAGTCCTCGATGCGCTGTCTCTTCGCGGTTTTGTGGCGGTTGGTCTTCCCTCGGACGCCTTCGTCCAGCTTACGCTTCTTGTGCGAGGGCGGCGGTATCCGTGACATGTCTGCTGCCTGTCTTTCAGTGGCTTCTGCTAGTCGTGCTGGGTAATGGTGAGAGGCTCATCTCGACCGCAGCATTCCAATATTTTTCTCCGCAGAGAATCTTCCCCAAAACCATAACTCCGCTATCTCCTCCACCAAGCATAACCCCACGTCCATTGATCATAGTCACATCTATCCCACCTGGCCTTCATCCTGCACACTACCTGACTACCACGAGTCGCAGGACGCAACTCATCGATCCCACGTCCAACCATCTCGCGCCGCCGCCATGGTTCTCCAAGACTTTGGCGGGCGCATCAGCGCCGCTGTGAGTGGGCTGATGAGAGAGCCCAACCTGGACGAAAAAGCATTCGATTTGATGATCAAGGAGATATGTTCAGCATTACTAGCAGCCGACGTCAATGTACAGCTAGTCAAGAGATTACGGAAAGACATACAGACCACAGTCAACTTCAAAGATATACCACCCACAACGAACGCAAACACGAAGAAACGGATGATACAACAAGCAGTCTTCGATCAATTAGTACACCTGGTCGACCCTCATACTGAACCCTATAAGCCCAAGAAGGGCAAGTCTAATGTTATCATGTTTGTTGGGCTGCAGGGTGCAGGAAAGACGACGACATGTACAAAGCTGGCGCGGCACTACTCGACGAGAGGCTTCAAGACATGTCTAGTTTGCGCCGATACTTTCAGAGCAGGCGCCTATGATCAATTGAAACAGAATGCTACAAAGCTGAAGATACCCTACTACGGCTCATTGACACAGACAGACCCGGCCGTGATTGCAGCTGAGGGCGTGGCACGGTTCAAGAAGGACAAGTTTGAGATCATCATCGTCGATACCTCCGGCCGGCACAAGCAAGAAGCAGATTTGTTCGCAGAAATGGTTCAGGTTCAGACCGCCATCAAGCCAGACCAGACCATATTAGTCCTGGACGGTACGATAGGTCAACAAGCAGAAGCTCAATCCGCCGGCTTCAAACAAACAGCCAACTTCGGCGCCATCATCATAACCAAAACAGACGGCGGCGCATCAGGCGGTGGCGCCATCTCAGCCGTCGCCGCAACACGTACACCGATTATCTTCCTCGGTACTGGCGAACACACAATGGATCTTGAACGCTTCGCGCCCAAACCATTCATCTCAAAACTCCTCGGCTACGGGGACATGTCCGGCCTGATCGAGCACGTCCAATCCATAACCCGGGACAGTGCTGCCATGAAAGAAACCCAAAAACATCTCGCCGAAGGTATCTTCACCATCCGCGATATGAAAGAACAGATATCCAACATCATGAAAATGGGACCCTTGTCAAAAGTGGCCGGCATGATCCCCGGCCTTGGCAACATGATGTCCGGCATGTCCGACCAAGACGGCCAGGACAAGCTCAAACGCATGGTCTACATCTTCGACAGCATGACCGCTAAAGAGCTCGACTCGGACGGGAAGATCCTCATCTCACAATCCTCCCGTATGGTAAGGATAGCGCGAGGGTCGGGCACCTCTGTGAAGGAGATAGAGGAGCTGTTGACGCAGCACAAGGTTATGGCGGGCATAGCGAAGAACATGGGGCAGAACAAGAAGAACATGCAACGGGCGAATGCGATGATGCAGGGTGGGAATAAGCAGCAGCAGATGGCGGCGATGCAGAAGAGGATGCAGTCCATGGGTGGTGGGAGAGGGGGAATGCCTGGTGGAGGGGATATGCAGAAGATGATGCAAATGATGCAGGGTATGGGCGGAGGAGGGATGCCGGACATGAACACCATGATGCAGCAGATGGGTGGCATGTTTGGTGGTGGCGGTGGTGGTGGGAGAGGGCGTGGTCGATCATGATAATGAAATAACAAAGACTTCTTTGATGGCTAAACGACGCCCTCGACTTCCAGGAGACAGCACCGCTATTGAGGTGAGCTCTAACGCCTGACCACTCAATGACAAGGTCTCCCTCGTGTCGTCCAGGCTACCAAGTCTTCTTCTGAGCGATCGAAACCGCGATTTTATTTGCGCGGCAATCCGCTTAGGGTTGGGTCCATGAGCAGGTCTTCAAAAAGCAAAAACTAACCAACACTCCAGGTCTCAAACACCAGGTCTCGAGATGAACTCGAGAGGGTACATTCGAGAGGGTACATGCCAAGGTCAGAAACTCCTAACAGCACACGCACTTCGAGCGAAAGTGAGGGTGTTATTCCACATGCTGTATTGTAAGAGTTTTTTTGTGGCTCAAGCAACACATATCGCATACCGTTATTTGGGTGCGATTGTTGGAGGAGAATTTGGTGGTTGTGATATATAAAGGATGACAGATGTGAGCGGGCTTGAAGTAGTTGTCAGGGGAGACTGAGCACGGAGTAAGGGAATGCTAAGGCAAATGGCAGGTGTTCGGTCACATCAATTTCTCAGCCGTTCCCAAGAGTCCGATCTTGCACCTACCGGATACGACAGTCAACGCCGAAGGCGATGCTGATCTATCACTGCGCATTACGACGATGCCGATCGTCGAAGCTGCGCCCGAGCGCGATGAACTTCCCAAAGGTGTCCGATCCTTACGTCAAATCTGCCTCGATCGCGCTGCAGATGCCATGCTCGACACTCCAGGCGCCTACGGTATGGTGACCGCACTTCCATGGAGCTTACAACAAGATCTATGGACACTGTTCATGGACGATCGGCGCGAGAAACAAGAGTTGAAATCCCTGGTGAATAAATTGCCCCTTGCCGACCGAGAAAAGCTTCACGACATCGACAAAAATGCACAATTCATCCGAGACCATCCCGAGAGCTTTTCTGTCGAGTTCTTCCCTGGCTTCGACGTCGAGAGAAATTACTGGACCAACTTCCTGGGAGCAATCAATGGAATCCAGCGTCGTACCACTGAACAGCACTTGTCTGAGAGACGGCATTTGTCTGAGGGAGTCTACGAGATCTACCTGGTCGAGAACTCGAGAGACTCTCTGCTACGATTCAGCATCTGTATGTCTCACGACTGCTCACACCAGCAACACTTCGCGTTACATGAGCTCGTCTCTCCCGAGCTGTTAATGCAACGCTTGCATGTCCTCCACAACGCACCAGGCTGCAGTCTGACCGACGGGTGGTCCTTCCTCGTGAGATGGGCACATGGTGGCTTGGCAATAACGATAGACATCGTTGGATCCAGCTTTCGAATATGGGCGAACTGGGATAGCAAAGGCGACCGCAGCGGTATCAGGAGTGCAGAAGTATACCTGAATGCGATACTCAGCCCGATTGAGTCAGATCATTGGCATAGCTCGAAATGGACTGGGCGAAATGCTTTTGCCAGGCGCTACGTGAAGTTGTTGGTACCAGCCGACGGAACAGCAACCGCTGGATCAAAGAGACCTCCCTGGTCCACCTGCACAAACATTGATACGAAGTTCGATTAGGCCACTGATGGTATAGAACGTCATGTCGCTGGGGGCCTCCGTGATGGGCTCTGAGTGCAACAACGCCGTGGTCAGCTTCACTAGCTTCAATTCGACGAAGGCATGGCTTGCATAACTCATGCTAGAGGCTATGGCTCAGCTTTACCTGGTGGAGCGCGTGATGCTGTTGATGGCCAATCTGGGTATGATTGGCTGGGCTGGGCGTATGGCATGGTCTTTTCCAGATGAACAGGAGCTTCCTACGGCTTACAGATGGCAGATAGCGGCGCTTGATCATAATAACATCACTCCATGATCATGGCGCTAAATCTGAATTCTGACGAGGTCCTCGTCCAAAGTACCACCATAATAAACATATGCTTCCAGGACAAATCAGTCGTTGTCAGTCGGATCATCAATGAAGAACATTTCGGATGAATGCGCTCAGGCTCATATCTGTATATGACCCTCGTGCGCTTACGTGATACGCTTTACCCGCTTCAGTGTTGTCGCTACATAGGTATTCACATCAACACGAAGTCGTGAAGGCACCTGCAATCCGAGCATCGCTCCCTAAAATTCCAGCCTCGCCACCTAAGTGCCGGATGTATCTCGGCTAATCTTCCAAAAGACATTGGCGCATCCAACCGACCATCGACTTCCTCCAACATCCTCACCACCACACCATCGGCAGGACCCCATTGCGTCAGCGCAACATGAACGGCATGATGGCGCCCGTCAGCCAAGGCGCCAACGGCGGCCTCAGCGAGCAAGACCAATACATGGTCAAGATGGTACGTCTCACACCCTCCGTCATGCTTTACCTCTCGCCCCAACTACACACCCACTAACCCTACCCTCCACAGATGCAACAAGGCATGGAGTCCTGCGTCGTCAAATCCATCATGGCCGGCGGCATGGGCTTCGCCCTCGGCGGCGCCTTCGGCCTCTTCATGGCTCCATGTCCTACGACACCGCCCTCTCCACTGGCGCGCAGCAAATCTCCTCCCTCCCGCTCAAAGAACAAGTCAAAATCGGGTTCAAGGATATGGGCAAGCGGAGTTACAGCTCGGCGAAGAACTTCATGATACTAGGAGCGGCGTTCAGCGGGACGGAGTGTGCGATTGAAGGGTTGAGGGCGAAGAATGATATGACGAATGGCATTTTGGCGGGATGTGTTGTAGGGGGAGGACTGGCGTATAAGGCTGGGCCGCAGGCGGCGGCGCTGGGGTGTGGTGGGTTTGCGGCGTTTAGTGCGGCTATTGAGGCGTATATGCGGATGCCGGGGGAGGAGTAGGCTCTGGACCAAAGCACGAAGTACCGGCTGCCGCAGGCCGAAAAGCGCAATGATGGCTGCGCCGCAGGTGGCACTGACGGATGAGCAAAGCAGACCGTGAAGCACTGCGGCCCGGAAGTCAGCAACATGGACAGCCCGATGCCCGGTTTTACCATAACGTTCGCCAAACCAACAGACACAAATCGCTCCTCATGATGCGTATCGAACGCATCGCTGCGACGTCGATCGTATGCAGGGCGCGTCACAGCCCTGGACCTGCGCAACTACTACAATCTCATCTCCACTCATCTGGACTTCATGGAGCTGCCTGCTATCAGCCAGCCTTGGGCTCTCAACGACTGGAACAGCTTTTCGCTATCTGCGCGGCGTGATCGGATCATAGACCACCCCCGTCTAGCTCTCGCGTCCTCGGTCGCAAGCTGTGAGCGATCTGTCCACATATTCGACAGTCTGCAGCTATAAAGACTAGGTTCCCGTGGTCTACTCTACCTAGCGGCCATCCAGAATCCGGCGAAGGAGATAGACCAGCATCTGCAGGGACAGCACGTCCGAGGAGTCACACTCGACACATACCAGCAAAGCCGCCGGAGCGCGATCTCTCCCACCTCTCTCTGGAATCTCGCTGAAGAGGTCGTCCAAGTCATTGTGTACAACATGTATCATATTGAACAATTGAGTCGCGATTTGCCGCGGATTGACACTCTCTACCAACAGCTTCACCGTCATCTTGCGGAGCATCTTCGAGCACTCTCCGAGGCAGTCAGGCACGCCATGTATAAATAAGCAAGTCTGCTAGCCACTACAGGGCTGCTCTTTTCTCCCTGCCAACCTACATAAGCATTTCCCAACTCCATCAAAAGTGCGAAATGTTTCCACTTTGCACTACCAGGAGATCGTCCCTTCACCCGGCCTAGCGCGCGAACGTTTACTCCCAGTTCTATATTCGGCTGTCAGGCCCGTTCAGGTCCGCACTCGACTAGCTATGGAAGCAGAAGGAGGAGATTCATCTGAATGTTTGACGCCTATTTCGACCCATGGACTCACCAGCAATCTACACTCACTGAGCGCAGAACACGGATTCTATCGAGAAAGAGCCATCACAACACGTCCTCTCTGCGTTGACAGTCGATAAGCCTCCGACACCGTTAGATCATATTCATCCTTGAACACTTCCGCCTGGCCTTCAAGACAGCCTTCGCATTCGCCCGGGCGACTCTCCAATCCATGTTACCTTGGCGAGATGGCTATCCGCATCTACGTTCTGCCATCGGCATCGTGCTCGACCTATTCTACGATCAACGAGTCGCAAGATATTGGCCACTAGAGCCACGTGGAAGTCTCTACGTTTCGTCAAGATTGGGCTGGGGTACTTCACTAGCGTCTAATCCCCGAAAAACATTTCTGGCAGCCGTAGCCTTGTTCGGTGTCTTTCTCCTGAACATTTCTGCCGCTGTCTCAGGAAAAGGCTTTACACTCGGCCGGTCAGAGCAAACTGCAAACCGGTCCGGACTCTCCGCTTCCGGCTTTAGACATCCAGTTTCTCAGCTCGTCAGAAATGCAGAGACGACGTTTCAGTCCATCAAGGCGGCTCAGTCCTCAACGCTACATCAGGCCATCGAAGAATACCACCGTCGCTATCACATGCCACCGCCGCCCCACTTCGATGAGTGGTATCACTTCGCTATCAGCCACAATACCGAGCTGATCGATGAATATGACACGATTCACGACTCACTAATCTTATTCTGGGCGCTCAGCCAGAGACAATCCGGCAACGCGCCCGTGAAGCGTTGGGCTACGACAACTCTCTCATGGGAGTTTCAACCCGTCGTGGCACTGTGCAGGTCGTCGGCTCGGGTCAGGATGACTTCCAGGCTACGGCTACCAAGGCTATGATTTCACCCTTCGCACAATGGCTCCCAGAAATGGATCTCGCATTCAATGTCAACGACGAGCCTCGAATTCTCATTCCACATGAAGATGCCGATCGCATGATGGCGTCCGCGGAGCTCGCAGTTCGGTCCATCAGAGCATTGGGCAATAACTTCACCTCGCCTAACGACCTCAACGATGGTCAGTCATACGATCAAGTCAGCGAAACCCGCTTCAATCGACTAGATCATCAACAGACGTGGACACATTCGCGGATGTCTTGTCCACCAGATACTCCTGCCAGAAGCCTTGACCCTGACATCGAAGACGCGGAGACTGGCTTCACCTTCGGTGGAATCAGCTTCGTCAACAATGTCACTTCGTTCAGCGATATCTGCCTCCACCCCTCCGTCCGCCAGCCCATTGGCCTCTTCAACCATCCCAACGTTTACTCAGTCTCTCACGATCTGATACCAGTATTCTCGCCATCAAAGCTCTCAATCTTCCACGACATCCTCTACCCCTCACCCTACTACTACGCAGACAGAACACAATACGACGAAACATCCGCAGTGAACTGGACCGACAAACGACCATGTCTGTACTGGCGCGGTGCAACAAGTGGAGGCTACAGCCAGGGCGGCACGTGGCGCACCCTCCTCCGCCAATCAATCCTCTCGAAGCTCATGTCGCCTGGCAGAGTACGTATACTCACCAGAAGTAGCGACAAGTCTGCCTGGGACGTCAAGACCATCCCCGGATTTGACGTGTCGCACCGCTACGACACACATTTTACGGAGATCAAACAATGCTCACCAGCCTCCTGCGCCGCTATGCGCCAGCACTTCGGCGACCATCCTCACGTCCCGCAGGAAGAGTCATGGAGGAATCGATATCTCCTGGATATGGACGGCAACGCGCTGAGCGGACGATTCTATGCGCTTTTGAAAAGCTGGAGCTTGCCCATGAAAGTCGCGTACTACCGAGAGTGGCATAGCCCACGAATCTTTCCATGGAAGCACTACGTTCCACTCAGCGCCTCGACTGATGAATACGCGGAAGTATTGCGATACTTTGAAGAGGAGGAAAATGGGAAGCAAATAGCCAGGACAATGGCGGAGCAAGGACGCGAGTGGGCGCAGAAGACCGTCAGACAGATTGACATGCAAGTGTATATGTTCAGGTTGCTACTGGAGTAAGTTGTCAACGCTCTGCTACCCTAAGTCGCCAGCAGAATCCCTGACCGTGGTTTGCAGATATGGACGACTAGTTGACGACAACCGACATCAGATTGGCTACAAAGAATGACACTCAGCCATTCCTGGGACAACAACTTCGAACACTTACTACACTCATGTACGAGCGACGTCAACCGAAATGGCCCAAATCCCGGGGCAATTTGATCGGAAGATTGCCGTACCAAGGCGATTCCAAGAAACTCGAGGTTGCTTGACCCCGCAAACCCACCCTCCCCCATACTTACTCAGTATACTATATGTACGCCAAGCCGCACCATACCTGCCATTTTCGCTTTCGCGCCAACATCAAGCAAGGTACCATTCGCTTCCCCTCAGTTCACTATACTCAATTCCGCTGGATCACACGTTGCTCATCTCGCTTTGTGAGCGTGCCATACCATATGTGGACATACGAGATGGGTTCAGCTTCCACCGGATGTTCCACCGGCTCACGTGGGCATTAACATGGTATGGGATAGCAATCAACTAACGCTCGTGGTTTATGTAAGTGCCGAGGTCAGGAACGCATCATCGACTTTGAGGTGAGCAATACGAGAACAACAAAGATGCGACGGTGTACATAAGAGTAAGTACCTGGGGGATCGCCCTCCTGTGAAAACGAGATTGCCCTCCGCAAACCTCGCAACAGCTATCATGTCTCCAGCCCTCGCCCTCGTGGCAGCTCTGCTGTCTCCACTTACTGCCGCACACCCAACAGCATCATCCCCGTCAGTGACCATCGATAGCGGCGTCGTCATTGGCGTCACCGAACCACTCCTCATCGCACCAGACGTGTCCGTGACGAAGTTTCTGGGCATCCCGTTCGCCGACGAACCAGTCCGTTGGTCCCCTCCACAACCCGCAACCCCGTGGCCCACACCTCTCGCCGCCACAACCGTCGGTCCAGCATGCATCCAAGAATTTCCCTACCCAGAAGCCTACCGGGCCCGGATCATGCGCCTCTTCAATACGCCTAACGGCGCGCCCGCCCCGGAGGAAAGTGAGGACTGCCTTTCGCTCAATGTGTTTGCTCCGCCATCCGCAGTACCCGGTAGCAACGGGTGGCATGACTGGTCGGACAGCAACGAGCCCCTACCCGTCCTCTTCTGGATCTACGGCGGCTCCCTCCGCTTTGGCTACGGCGGGTCTCCTGCGTATGATGGCAGCAACCTCGCTGCTCAGAACAACGTGATAGTGGTGACGATCAACTATCGCACCAACATCTTCGGCTTTCCCGGCGCGAGTATCCTGCCCAAGGGCGAGCAGAACCTCGGCTACCTCGATCAGCGTCTAGCCCTCGACTGGGTCCAGCGCAACATCGCCCAATTCGGCGGCGATCCCACCAAAGTGACTATCTTCGGCGAGTCGGCGGGGGCATTGAGTATTGATGCATTGCTCACGCAAGCACCCACGAATGATGCCGGTACACTCCCCTTCCGCGCCGCTATCCTCGAATCCGGCACCGGATCCCTACGATCCCCAATCCCAGATTTCGGGTTCTGGTGGAAGAACGCTTCCTTGACCTTAGGCTGTGGCGCCGCAGGCGACGATCTGGAATGCATGCGTGCCTTACCAGCTACGACGATCAAAGACGCCATCGAGCGAAACATCATCTCTACATGGCCGCCTGTTCCCGACAACGTCACCTTCGCTGAATACCCGCGCCAAAACCGCCTCGACTCAACAGCCGCAGACCTGCACGACTTCGCGCGCGTCCCGATCTTGATAGGCAGCAACGCCGAAGAGGGAAGGCTATACTCGATCGACGTCACGAGCTTGTACGCTTACATCAACGCGTCCTTCCCGAACCCCACCAACAACCCGGCGATCAGCTCTTTGGTGCAAACGCTGAACGAGACGTACACGGCTGTGTCGACGGACCCATTCATCAGCGTGGCAGCGCTAGTCACAGACAGCACCTTCCAATGCCCCGCCGCCATCGTCGGCCGAGAAACAGCACAAGTCGGCGTCCCCACTTACAGATACTACTACAACGCCAGCTTTCCCAACCTCGAATTATTTCCCCGCGCCGGCGTGTGGCATTCCAGTGAGGTGCCGGTCGTGTTCGAGACATTCCCCCAAGGCACCGCCACCCAATGGCAGAAGGACCTGTCCGCTGGGATCGGGAAGATCTGGGCGGATTTTGCGCGGGAGCCAGCTACGGGAGGGGGAGGAGACTTGCCGGGTTTACCGGAGCTGGCGGTTCTCGGTGGCGGCGCGCGGGCGGAGAATGGTGACAGTGACAGGGGCGATGGGCAGGTGGTCAAGGTTGTCGGGGGGGATGTGATTGGGGAGGTTGACGCGCGGTGTGGGATTTGGGAGGCGGTTTATGATGCGCGGTGTGCGAATGGTGTCTGCTAGGTTGGCACGTAGATACGTGCTTCGGCCAGGGCGTGCCAGCGGAAGACATAGCGGGGAATGAATGAATGAATGAATGAGTGAATGAAAGTTGACAATCTGTTCTGATTGTTTGAGCTCGTATGCAAAGCTCAGATAAAGGCTTGGATCTCTTTCGGACCTCCACAGATGTCCAGAGTCTTCCTCGGGGGCTTTCAGCTCAAGGATGTTATCCATGGTCTCTTCCGACTTCTATACACACACAATGCATCATTCCTGGAGTTGGGTATCTTCTTCAAGCAAAAGTCCTCATGTTTGTCCAGCGCCGAGCGAAAATGCGACCAGAGTCCTCCCTGTGGTGCGTCTTGTTGTACATTCCATCATTTCCGAATCTCGAAATGCGTCTTTGGCATTATGAGGTCGTGCCCAGAAATCGTAGGGTCACCTCATAAATCCCAAACATGATACCCGCACTCGGAGCCACACGCAACAGATGCGGCGTCATCCCTCCATACAGCCCCGCGATCCCTTCTTCCTTCGCAATCAGCTTGAAGCACTGAATCAAGCCAGTGTACTTCGCCGTCACTTTTCCAGTCTCAGTAACCATCGTGGGCGCCTGTCGTAATCTCGTTCGAACGACTTCGTGAGGGTATGTGAGTGCCGAAGCGAAGACCTTTGCGAACGCCGCAGCGATGGCTTTACCACCGAACTCCTCCGCGCTGTCGATCCAGCCACACTGGTAACTCTTGTCGGCCAGTCGACGAGCTTCGCGGCGTTCGAGGGAAAGCTTCAATCGCTCGTAGAGAACCCATTGGAGTGTTGATTCCGTGACGCCGAGATAGCTGGCTGTGAGCCCTTTGTAGAGGCCGCGGACGCTTCATTGCGCAACGTCTGCCTTATGCAGTCGTAGCTGTTCTTGTATTGTCTGCCTCGGGTTGGGTTGTCGCTTGCTCGATTCTTGTCTAGCTGCAATCGTGTCTTGATGAGCCAGATGGGGTTGGTCGCTGTTCCGGTTGCGACGCCTGCAGCAACAGCAGCTAGCAGGTGGACACTCCACACATTCTCCTTGCCTTCAGGGTTCATGTGCTCGTTAAGGATTCGTTTGCCGTTGCCGTAGACGTAGAAATTTATTGCTCGTGCTGGTACCACACCGACTAGGTTCGGGCCGAGACCTTTGTAAAGTGCACTGACACCTTCACTTCGCGCGATGTCTGTCATTATCTTCCAAGTGTCCCGTAGGTGGAAGAAGGCGGCTGATGGGAGGTTGAGAAGGGTGGTTTTAGGGAGCGGAGGTTGCGTCGCCTGCAACGCGCGGAGTTGTGCTTGGTAGACATCGGACTGTAATCTGGTGCGGAGGACGTCCATGGGTGATGTGACGAGGGCTGCTGTCATTCCGCCGAGTCTGCAGGAGTTAGTGGTCTGCACGTGTGAGGGTTTGAGAATGGACTCACCCGCCGGCTAGCAGATGTGCCCATGGCTTCACCTCTGGCTTCTTCTTCGCTGTCGATGAGCCTTTACCGCCGGAAGACGGCTGCCCTATCTGTTGTGACCGTGCGACGGCATCGAGGTCGACATTGCCTTGTGGCTGCCGCACGCCGGCTGGGGGCGCGGCAAAACTCATCAACGTTGCGTTAATTCAACTATTGTTCTGTGAGTGCGCTCTTTCCTCTCCAGGCTCCCCAGACTTCCAACCACTCAATTATTACCCAAGCGAATGTGCAATACTGTACAAAATGCAGAAGAGAATGAAGTAAGAGGCATCAGCGCAAAGACGCAGTGAATTCACGCCGATGACATCTAACGGCAATACTTCGGTCAAGACTTCTTAAGCGGCGGCATCAAGTTAGTCCGATCCGGCGCATTCACGACCAGTGACATAGCCTGTAAGTCCTTTTTCTAACTGCACGTCTATTCCAGACGAAGCCGCTGGAGACAGATGCATAGGGCATCAGTATGCCGCTCTCCTCGGCCAGAGTCTTCGACTACAGCGACGACGCCGCGGTAGCAAAGTTGTTGGCGGACGAAGCCAAAGCAGCCTCGTCCAAGTACGCCTCCCAGGGTCTTTCTGCGCTACTGCCCAAGCGGTCAACGGGCGCCGCTCCGAAGCCCAACACTCGCTTCCTGAAGAACCTGGTACGAGACGCTGATCAGCACAATACCGCATTGCGCCGCAAGGAGGACAGAGAACGGGTGGAGCGGTTGCGAAATGGAGGAGTGAAGCGGAACGAGAGCCTGCCCAAGGACGAGTCTAATGGTCGAACTAGGCCCGGCGGCTACTCTGGGAGAGATGCGAAGCGTAGAAGGACAGACGATTATGGCCATACACGAAGAGGAGACCGCGACGCTGGTAGACTTGACAGGGACTTTTCGTCTTCGCCGAAGAGGCGGCGCGATCCTAGAAGCGTGTCCAGGTCAAGGTCAAGGACACCGCCGGGTGAGAAGGAAAGAAACCGGAGTAGGCGCCATGGGAGCGACAAGCACTCGGCCGATGAACGACAAAGTCATGGCCATGAAGACAAGCACACATCACATCGCAAGCACAAACGACGGAGGTCGAGATCGGGATCACGATCACGTAGCCCGGACCGGGACGACCGCCGCCGTCGCCATCCAACAAGTATACGAGACAACCGCGACGGTGCCGATCGCGAGTCCTCCTCAGACCCTCTAGACGACCTCGTCGGGCCGCAGCCCCCAGACACACACCACAAAACGGTCCATTACCGCGGCCGAGGCGCCCACAAACTCACCACAAACTCAACAACCATCGACGACCACTTCTCCACCAAATACGACCCAGCTTCAGACGTCCGGCTGGACCCAGACGTCGAAGAGACCGATGATTGGGACTTGGCATTAGATGCCTTACGCGACCGACGAGCATGGGAGAAGAACCACGCCGACAGAATGCGAGCAGCTGGATTCAGTGCTGAAGAGATCCGCAAATGGGAAGACAGTGGCAAGGAGAAGGACGCTCGCGATGTGCGGTGGAGCAAGCGCGGTCAGACGAGGGCCTGGGACGTTGGGAAGGACGTCTTGTCTCTTGATGGCGCGGCCGATAATGATGTTGACGATTTTCAGGAGGACAATACGGGACGACTGACGCCATAGGATATGACCATATTCATCAACCAATCAGTCTCCGCACACTCGTCGGCAACCACTCCCCTCAATGTCTCCCTACCACTTAACCGTCACAGCAGGCGAGTGCCTCCAGATCCCCTCCCCTTGGCCCAGAGCAACCCCCTACGATCGACCACCATTCTCATTCTCCTCTTGTTCGCTATCACCACCGGTCAGCCTTGCATCTCTTCCTTCCAAGCCCCCGCAAGTAAAAAGGCAGCAGACTCACGTAAGCGGTAAGTTTGTGTTATCCTGCAAAGGCTGATCCTCCTCAATGCCATTGATGCGGCGCTCAGCCTCTCGTCGCCCAGGTCGTCTGGCCCCGAGCCTTGCCCGTCAGGCCCTGCGGTCTGGTCATGCACGACGTAGCCTTCAGGCGGGGTGTTCTCGTCGTTTGCGCTCGACATCGTTGGGCGTGCTGATGTGGCTTTTGGGTGTGTGGATCGTGTGTGGTGCGATCGTGTGTGGTGAGAGCGGTGATAGAGGAAAACAGAGAAAGCATGAGTGTTGCATCATGGGACCGTTGATTATATGCCCTAAGTTTGCGCCCGACTATGCTGGACGTCGCTGTTGTGACGTGGCATGCCATAATCCCAAGCCCATGTGTCTGCCTGACCTAATTCCGGGGTGTAGATGTGATTGGAAGATGGAACTTTGCCCACCGCAGTCGGGCGCAATATGCTACAATTGCATGGCGAGCTTGCAACTTCACACCCAAGATCCGACACCCCTGCTCACACAGTTTCCTGAGACCCAGCCGATACGACAACGCCTTGCTGAAGAATCCTGGCTCACTAAGAAGTACTTCACACACATCCAAGACTCCCTCTACCTCGCTTCTGCCACAGCCCATCAAGCCTCAAGCCTCAACGCCCAAAACGCCCTTAAGCACGCCTTCTTGCGCCCTAAGCCAGCGGCCTCGCTCGCCCACGAAATCTCGTCCTCCCTCCTCCCTGATCCGCTGAACCTCCTTCGCCTGCCGCGTGACTTCCTCCTTCCGACGATCCAAATCTTCGAGCTCGCGCTCAGCGCGTTCGCACTCGCGGATCTTGGAGGGGAGGCGGCGTTCGAGGTCGGCGATTTCCTTGTCTATCTGAGAGATTCGTTGGGTTTGGTCGGCGAGGGCGGCGCGGGTCGCGTCAGTGGATTGTAGGTATCGCGGATTTACAGCGTTGGAGGGTGATGATGTGGCAGAGTCGCTGGTACCAGCGAGTGCGTTCTGCTTTTGCGCGACTTCTTCTCGTAGTGCCTCGACCTCCCTCTGCAGTTGCTCGACTTTAGTAGGTAGCGTTCCCACCACCTCAATTCCAGCACGACCGGACTCGTACTTGACCGCGAGTGCCCTGGCTGCGTCCTCGAGCGCAACAACTAACGCATCCGTTTCCGCTTTCTTCGCCTGCAACTCCTCCTTCATCACCTTAAGCTTCGCCTCAAGCGCAGCATTGTCCTTCGGCGTGACCAACAGTGGCGGATCGCCGACGATCGAGCGTAGATACTTCTCCTTGGTGACTTGCTCGAGGTAGCTGAAGCGCAGTTTGGAGAAGAGGTCGCGGTAGTGCTGGAGGTCGAGGGTTAGGGAGGAGGGCGTTAGTGCTGCAGCATTCGGTTCTGGCGCTGTTGCGGCATTATTGTTGGAGGCTGTACTGGTTGAGAAGTCGTGCGCGATTGTTTGTGGATTTATCTGTGAGGTATTGGTGGTGGCTTCGAGGAGGGGTTCGGCGAGATTTAGAATTGAGAGCGGGTGGGTTTTCTGAAGGGTGGTAAGGCGGGCGTGCAAAGCGGTTGCGTCTGCCGTGAGAGTTGTGGTTGTGGTTGTGGTCATGTTGGCGGCACGATGTATGTGCTTCCGGCGGTCGATTTTGCTCGTGGTGGCATAAGTCTCATGCGATATTCCTGCGGTCAAGGATTTGTAGATGCTGCGAACTTTCGTGGTGCGGAGTGCGCGTCATGGGGTTGTGGTTGTCAAATTACTGCATCGGGACAAATGTACACAGAAGCGGATTGCTTGATCTGGGGAAGCTTGGTAAATTACAGTATCTGAACTGGTATCAAACGCCACGATACTGCCAGGTGTAACCTCCCAGCCTGTCGACTTTCAGGGCTCTCAATGGCCCCTTCTCTAGCTTTCTTCGCCGTGCTGCGGCATGACTTGAACTGCACGATCTGGAGACTGGTCGGATCAGTAGTAGGTACCTTCGCGTATGTGCTCCCTAAGCACCGCCACAGAAAAGACGCTGTGAGATGGTTTCCTCCGCCCGGAACACGACAGACTCTCTTGATTCAGGCAGTGCTGGTCTTGCGTTGCGACATTGTCCAAGCTGTTTTTCTCTCCGTGAGTATCCAGCTATCCGTCCGCCCCCGCAAAGATACTTTCGAAATGACGCCGAACCTTGGTCTTGATAACGCCGTTCGAGTGATACGATAATCTAGAACCCGACTTGGCAATGAAATCAAAATCGACGCGTTTTCGAAATATCTTGAGTGCTGCGCGACGGATACTCTTCGAGATGAGGAGGATGCCGGATGAATGGCAGTCATTAATCCAGGCACCACACAACCCATGGTGCTGATGCCAGGCGCGCCACTCGAATGGACGGTGTTGTTGCCAGTCGTGCTCTGATAGATGTGTTGCCGCAATGTTTACACGTTCTGGGATGGCGAGACTGAGGATCTTGTCGAGTATCTCGGGCGGCATACAGTCGAGTTTGGGCTCGAGTTTGACCTATACGAGTGTTAATCTCAGGGCCCAGGCACGAACAAACAGTCGCTCTTTACATACCCACGAGGGTTTGGGAATGTTTTGAGGCATGGTTTAGTACACTTGGACAAGTTAGGGACGCGAGCGCGCAAAAGCATGCAAGGCGCACAAGTGCGTGTGGTCGTCAAGCAGGATGAAGCTGACTAGAGCCGAGGATGAGTATTTGATGGAGAGCTAAGCCCGACAGATGCTGGGGCAACAGAGAGACATGTAACTCTGCCGTGACAGGCGCACTGCCCGGCTGGCTCGCTCCTAGCCGGTAGGTGAAGGTGTGAAGGTCCCTGCCTCTGACTAACTGTGATGAAGGTGTAAGGCAAGATTCACTCACACGGATCCAGGATAGCAGCAGGTACTAACGCCGACAGACACAATTGACAGCAACAGCATGACTTCAGCTTCAGCTTCGATTTAAATGCACGGTGTGGAAAGTGGGCACCAGCAGTAGCCATTCCGTCGGCTGTCCTCGCTCGAGCAAAACACGGACACGTCGCTGTGAGACGATTTGCTCGAGATAGTAAGGTCAGCACATCTTCTGCCGCTTCGATCGCCGGCCCCCAGAGAGTCGGTAGACTCGTCGATGACAGATGAGCTTCCTGAAGACCATCCTGAAATGATCCCGAACCTTGGTCTTGATCATGTTGTCTGTGAGTTCAGATATTGCCGACGGGTCGCCACTGTAACTCTCGTCGAACACCATGTAGAGCCGTCTTGAGATTATTCTCGACGCAATCTGACAAACATTCTTCGAGACGAGGAGGCAGACCACCTCCACCTCATTCTTCTATCGGCGTAATCGATGGCGTCCCACACGAACGGGCGGCTTTGTCGCCAGTCGCGCGTGCACAACCCAGCGCCTTTGCAACGTCGCACAGTACGTTGATACGTCGCCGTGATGGTGAGTTCAGGTGGAATAGCGAAGCCAAGGATTTTCTCGATTATCTCAGGCGGCATGCAGTCGAGCTTGGGCTCAGGCTTGACCTTGCAGAGAAAGTTAGTTTGGCACCCGGACGAACAATATGTGTGCACTTACCCACGGAGGCGTAGAGACATGAGACATGGTTGTGAAGACTTGGCTCAGGTTGAGCGCCGCGAAAGTTTGGAGGAAGATAAGGCCATGGATCGAGTGTGGTCGATGAGAAAGGCCAAGTTGACAAGAAGCAACGCACGAAAGGTCGTTGATTATACCTGCTATGGCAGGTGACCGTGACCGTGTAAAGCTGCCTGCCTTCAACTTTTGGTGTGGAGATATGGAACTGGATGCTTCACTCGCTCGATCTCAGGGCATGTGAGGCTAAGATACGCGACGAACGATGACAGAGATTCCTGATCTATTCAACCTCTGACCGATTACCGTACGATAATAGCATGACTTCGGCTTTGATGTCAACTGACTATGCGGTCTGGAGACTGGTCGACCAGCCGTGGCTAGTCCCACGAACTCCTCGCCTGCAAAAGCGTTGAGGGCTAAGACGCTATGCGGCGATCCAATCCAGCAGGCCGACCTTAGACTACCTGACTTGATCCTGAGCGGCGCTGGTCTCAAGGCAGGACCACCTGTTCGTGGCACTCTTCAAGCTGAACGTTCCTTGGTAAGCAGCTAGACGTTCTCTCCCGCAAACATCTTCTCAAGATGCTCCCGGATCTCTGTCTTGACCATGTCATCCCCAAATTCTAACGTCTGAGCTTTTCCCCTGGTGAAGTACTCGAACTCGACGTGCTGGAAGAATATCTTCAACGCAGTCTGGCGGATACGTCTTGAAACGAGAAGAAGGCTGGAGTCGGTGCACTTCCAGGCTGACAGATCTTTGATCCAGTAGCTAGTGACCCAGTTCGGCCAGTTCTGAAATTGCCAGATGGGCAAGTCGTACCATTTCATACCGTACGTCTGGTACGCCATTGAACGTCGATGCTTTAGCGTGATGGTGACTTGTTCCGGGATGGTGAGGACGAGGATGTTCTCGAGGATCTCGACGGGCATGCAGGCGAGTCTCGGTGTCAATTTGACCTAAAGGGTAGTGTTAGCTTGGACTGCTGCGAACATTCTTTGCTTACGTACCGACGGCGGCGCAGAGATGTTGTCAGGCATGGTCTCGTCGACCAAAGACTCTATCGCTGACCGCGAAACTGTAGATGATCGTGGTGAGCACAGGAATTCGTTGTCGGGGAAGCAAGACAAGTTGTTCATTTATGAGAGGGGCGGATCAGGGCAACAAACGAAGAGAAGGTGACAGGTTGCTCCAGTCGCCGGCCAGCGAAGGTCAAGTGACGGTCCGAGTGATTAGGCGAGTGAATTAATGGTTCCATGGATATCATTTTCTTACTTCGCATAGAGCGCACTGTGTGACAATGAAGTATCGTCTACATCTGGCTGTGGCGATGTGATGCTGTGACCCGGCTTACAGTAGTAGACCTGTCGTACTTTTGGAAGTCGCCCTCGACCACGTGAAGCGCTTTGGACTTCAACCTACGAGCCGATGACCGATCGGACACCCCTGCTCTCTGCATTCTTAGCCGGTTGCTGTTTGGTCGTGCTTCGACGTGCTTGAGCAGTGATGGTGCCTTTGACAACGCTATTGCTTCGACAACGATGGCGATGACGAACTTGGAGACAAAGTCATAGACCACTCTACTCCTCGTCCTCACCGCCCTCCTCATCATCCCCACCATCACCCTTACTCTCCGCCGCCTTCGCCTTCTTCCTCCTAACACGTCCCGGCCGACCACCACCAAACGGACTCGTCAGCGCGAAATCGATGTGCTTCTGACTATCCAACCGAACGATGAAACTCGGCACATTGACAATCTGCTTGCCAACACGGATGTGACGCTGCTTGATGAGGACACGAGCGTGGTGGATCGACTTGGCCAAGCCCAACTTGTAGACACAGGTCTGCAGACGACGCTCCAAGAAGTCTTCGATCTTGAGGGCGAGCACGTAATCGAGCTTCATGCGGGACTCGTCGAGGACACCGACACGGACGAGACGGCGGATGAGGGCGTTGCCTTCGAAGAGACGTTTGGGGTCTTTTTCGTCGAGGGTAAGAAGTTGACTGGCGCTCTTTGTTAGTATGACTTTTGACCTTTTACTGGCTGTTTGGGGTGTCGCATACCGAGCAGCACGACGGATCTTGGAGAGGGTCAACTGGACACGCCAGACCTCACGCTTGTTGCGCAGACCATATTCGCCGACGAGCTTGAGTTCGGAGTCGCTGCGAAGGATGTTAGATGATAACTCTGGACATGAGGCAGAGACAAGCTGCTGCTCAGTGGCCTCAGGTTTGTACGTACAGACGAGCCGACTCGAATGCTATGATGTTGTTAGCGCTTCATCGCTGCAGATATGCGATCGCATGTCACTTACGTCGACGAGGGACCTTGTAGGTCTTTGAGTACGAGCGAGGGGCCATGATTGCTGAACTTCAAGCGCAATCAAGGGTGTCGCAGGTTGTCGATGAGCAGTGCAGAGATGGCACGAGGTTGATTCTTGGTGTGGAAGAAATCAAAATCTTGGCGAAAGATCTCCACTACGGTTGACCGTAGAAGCCCTCAGGGCCGCCAAGATTCACCGCACGGAATTCGACTGCGGCCATTTGAATTCAACGCCAACGACACTTCTTGCTCGACACCGACAAATACCACTCCTCCTATTCCCATCCGGTATCAGTCAACCACACAACCGGCAAGATGGGTCACGCCGCCGGTCTCCGCGCGGGCACGCGCTATGCGTACGTTCACACAACGCTCACCTCGAGCCGGATCAAAGAAAAGAGGCTAACAGCGACAACAGGTTCTCTCGCGACTTCCGAAAGAAGGGTATGATCAAGCTCAGCACGTTCATGTAAGCAGCAGACCAACGTAACACTAAGTACACCGGCGTTCTGACTATAATCGTGCAGGAAGACCTACAAAGTCGGGGACATAGTCGACATTAAGAACAACGGCGCGCAGCAAAAAGGCATGGCCCACAAGGTCTACCACGGCAAAACCGGCGTCGTCTACAATGTCACCAAGTCCGCGGTCGGCGTTATCGTCTACAAGAAGGTCGGCAACCGCTATCTCGAGAAGCGCATCAACGTTCGCCTCGAACATATCAACCACTCTCGCTCGCGCGAGGAGTTCATCTCACGAGTCAAGAACAACGCGAAGCGGAGAAAGGAGGCCAAGGCGGCGGGAGAGACAGTGCAGTTGAAGAGATTGCCGGTTATGCCGAGGGAGGCGAGGACGGTTGAGATTAAGGATGTCGAGAGTTTGGCGCCGCAGGCTTATGATACGCATATCTAGATGAGGCGTGGAAAGAGTCATGGGGCAGTTATGGTGAAGTGCGAGGATCGCTGGTTTGAGCAAGCATGGTATGCATCATCGCATGTCTATCGAATCCCATGGGACTTAGGCATGTTTACCTAGCTATGGCATGCCTGAGAGACACTGCACGAGCACGGCACGAGGTCGACTTCCAAGCGGAGACAAGTGCAAATACCAAAAAGCTTACAAAGACAGCAAATTGATTTCAGCAGAACGAGAGACATTCACAACAATCTATGAAATTGCTTGTGACTATGACGAGATCAAAGTCATTTTCTGATATCAATGTTCAATCGTGCTAGATAATGCTGTTATGAAGAGGCCCATACGGCCACAGGAAGCCCGAACTTCTGGAACCGCTAGCGAAAGATGCGACTCTCCGTGCACTTCCGCTTGCCCTTCACGCCTTGTCTCGCTCTCGCCTCGTCGACGCGCACAACCATCCCTTCATCAGTCAAAGTCCTCCGCGAGAATGGCAGCCTTTTCCTCGTCAGTCATATTAGCCGGATCGCCCATCAACCGAGCTGGACGTGATGCGACAGATGGCCTCTTAGTCGACGAAGCAGCAACAGTCTCGAATGCCGCCGCGAGAGAAAAGCCTCCGTCCACAGGACTGACTCCAGACGATTCGTCATGCTGAGAATTCTGCCCAGAAGAGTAGGCTTCGGACCCACTTGAGCTCGGTCGATCGCGAGCCACGTCCTTCCGCCCGTAGTCCTGTGTGTTGTAGATGTTACCGCTGGTTGGTTTGAGGCCATCAGTCTTCAAGGGCCGAGGCGTCGAGTATGGGTCATCGGCACTGAGGCTGGACTCTTTAGTGACCTTACCATATGGAGTTGATGACCCATTGCGCGCATACTCTTTCCAATCGGCTGGCGATGACGGAGTCTTGATGGCCCTCAGAGGGGACTTGAAGATATCGCTCTTGAACACGGGTCTCTTCTCTGCTGAGGACGGACTTCCCAGCAGATCAATGACGCCAGCTGTCCCACTAGCACGTCTCTTAGGCGTATGAATAGCTTTTGGTGTACCCTTTTCAACATCGAAGGCTTCCTGATCCGTCCCAGGCACCATTTTTGACAACTTCGCAACTCCATTTTCGCCTTTGATGCTGGTCCCCTTTTTCACTCGATCAGAGGAGGAAGTGCTACCCGTGCGATGGCTGTTCCTGCGGCTCAGAGGGTCCAACTTGGCGAATGGATCTGGGTCTGAAGACGAATGGTTGGATCTGTCGGAGGGTCTTCTGAGTTCAGCATTGTGCGCATGGGACATGGAATCGCGCCTGGGAGCCGGTTGCATGCGCGAGTTGGTTGCCTCATTGGAATCGTCTCCGGTAGCAGGCTTCTGGCCCTCCTTTCTGGCGCTCACAGCAGAAGGCTGAGCTTCCTCGAACGGTGTAGACGAGGCGATCTTGCACAGAACGTCCTGAAGCAGCCAAGGGAAGCTGCAAAATGGCACCTTTGGCAACTCTGGCTCTTGCTCCTCATCGTCACGACCTGCTTTGCCCACCTCAGAACCATTCAGGCTTTCGCCTTGTTGTAATGCGGTGGTGACCTGCTCGGCAGTGAATTGGTATGCAGCAATGGCAAATGGCATGAGAGTGCTGAAACTATCACCACCTGCTGCATCCACGAGCTCCTTGCGGAATTCCTCCTTCAAGGACTTGGAGATCTGGCCAATTTCTTCGTGGAACTTGTAGTCTGTGGACTTCTTGCTGTGCGACATGACGAAAGTACTCCAGATTTCGAACTCAGTCTTGATCTTGTGCTGAGCCATGATTCTTCGCATTGCCATGTCGTATTCGTGTTTGATTGCTTGTACTTGATTGAAAACATCCCGGTCGGGCCGATCGAGGTTAAGCACTCGGGCATCGAACTTGGGCACACCACGAGCTCGGAGGTCGAAGCCAGCCACAAGCTTTTCCACAGCGTCGTATAACTGACCCAAAATCTTCCTCGAATACTGCCATCTGCCTCTCTTCTCCATGAAATGTGGCCAAGCGGTCGGCTCAAGCTGAAGCGGGAGCTTTGCTGGTACTCCAGTCTTGGGATAGTCGACAGAAACTGAATGAAGTTGCACCAGCTGCTGACACTGGTCGCTGAAGATTCCATCGTCGAAGTAGTCAGCATTGCCAAGATGAGCGTGTGCAATTCGACCTAGACTGTCGTTCTGGATGTAGTCAACGTAGAAGTCGATGATATCCCTCGTGGTAATCTCGCCCTGGGCCATTTTCGGAGCAGGAGGTTCGTAATGATGTGGCGTCACGTTCCAGACCTCTGGAATTAAGGCGGAATCCCATGTGACCAGGTAATCGTCACCATCCAGATCACCACCGGAACACATGCTGGGCAGATCGCGGTCCCCATTCTGTGGCATCACAACGACATCGACCAGGTGGTGAAGTGCCTTGACATCGACTGCTTGAACGACTCTGATGTCGCCTTGATGCAGGGAAGGATTTCGGGCAAGAATACAGATGCCTTCCACGACCTTTTTGACCCTGGTAATTGGATCCTTGATCTGAAGAAAGATCTGAGGAAGCTGTCGAATTTCCTGCTCCCTGTCCACAATCAACGGTCCCTGTCCGGCATGCTTCCGATCGTAGTGACCACGCAGAGTGTTCGTTTCATCTACAACACCCAAGATGAATGCGCCATCCTTGACAGGAATTCTTGCTCTTTCTTTCAGACCGAGTAACGTCCATGCACGCCAGAGTCCCATTAAACTCATGACGAAAGGTTCTTGGGCCCGACGGAAGCCGCTCGAGACTAGTTCATACATACTCAGCGTCGCTCCGTTGGGGTCGACGTTTGTTCTGAGAGCTTGCAATGCAGCCTCATCATCTTTCATAGCGTTGTTGAGAGAGTCGATGGTTGCCTGCTGCATGAGCTGAAATACTTGATCTTTCACGCCCAAGTTGCTCAGTACTATGATGATCTGTCGGTTGAGGAATGGCTGCCAGAATTGTGAGCATCGAATGATCTCGAGCTCCTTCGAGTTGCTCTGGAACTTGAATTGACTGCGTCGCAACCTGACCTCCCCGCGCTGAAGCGATGGATCGATTGCGAGCACACCTTTGCAGCCGCCTAGACGGAATTGGAAGCACGAGGGCGGATCCTCTCCAGGCGGGAGATCCATATTGTCTGCTACAAGAGTCGCCGCCAGCTTCGAAATCTTGCCTACTCCATCTGTGAAGTTGTGGCCATTGATTTCTATATCTGGGGTCAGGTCGTTCTCGGTGATGAGCGGGATGCTGCAGCGTATTGGGCGCGTGGTAGAAAAGCACTGACCCATTCGTGCGGCTCTTTTTGCAACAATTCTCTCGTTGTCAAAGACGCCCATCTCAGCTCGAATCATGTCAGCAGTCAACTCAGGAGTGCTTGCGAAAAAGTAAGCTCCGCGGTCACGTAGCTGGGAGTTCCCGTATGCAAGAAATTCATAGTGGCGACCGGCTATGCTGATACCGTTTGTGAGTGCTCGTCGCACACGATCGATGACGAGATTCATCTTAGCATTGCTGCCAGCGTAGATCTTGGACTGGCCGCGGTACTCATCGTCTTCGATTGAGACGCGCAAGAAGCGATCGGCACAACTCATGTACTTCCTGACAACGCGATTCGACACATCAACGGTCGGAGTGTTGATTTTGATAGCTGTGGCCGTAATAGTTGCATTGTAACTCATGTAGCAGTGTCCTGGCAGTCGCCGATTGCGGACTGGCCTCTGAAAACGGATGTCATCGAAGATCGACATAGGATCCTGAATTTCCTCGCCAATGCTGTCGACGTGAATCAGCATCTGCTGGGCTCTCGTGGTGTTGAGGGACTTGAGTTTCCGAAGGAAGGCTTTGTCGATGGCGTATTCGCTCAGGCGGCCGTTTGCCAGACATACTTCAAGCTGATAGCGGAGCTCAAATGGCAGTGTGCAACCATCGTCAAGCGGATCAAGCCCGTCTCCATCGAACTCGATGTCTTCCCAGTAAGCTGCGGTACCACCACTCAATTCTTCGCGGATGTTGTAGTCAGATGTCACGGTGCCAACTCGAATGTTGTGGTCCTTCAGCGCTTCGTCAAAGAGTTTGGCACGGACGCCGTCGACCTCAGATTCATCGATGTCAAACTTGAAAGTCCTCCAGCGGGCTACGTCGATCCGATTCAGGTCCTTCTTCAGAGAGATGGATGTTTGGTTGATATCGGTGAAATGGTTTTTGTGCCGCACGATGTCAGTCTGTCGCGTCCAGAGATCATCCTCGTTCCATTTCTTCGCATCCGGCACATGGCTCGATCCCACGGCAGTATCGAGTCGTCGAGAAAACCACGGGGGGTTTCGCAAATGGATGAGGTACGACTGAACATTATTGTTCTTGTCGTGAAGCCTCCAGATCTTGAACTTGTCATCGAAGGCGACAGGGAAGCGGTAGAGTCGAGTCCTGGCACCGTTGGTCGAATCCAAACGAATAGGAAAGTTGACGAAGATCTCCCGACGCCTCAGGTTGAGCGTCAAATGCACACTACCTGGTGGAGATCCTGGTACAGATTCTGAGTTCATTGATACGACTTGCTTGACCAACACCTCATTGCTTTTGCCCAGAACACCAAAGCCTAACGCTGATCCCTGCAGGAGGATTTCCTCAGGATACTCTATGCCGCGATCGTTGGCGGGCATTGTGTACTTTCTGCGCTGGCTGTCAGCCAACGTGATCCTGACTTGATGCGTATCATTATTGCTGGTGCGGATGTCCAGGGGTTTGACCCAGAGCGGAGTATGAGGAGGTGGCTTGAAGAAGACCTCAGCCGTGGTCGGGTGACCTCCATGGCGATCTTCCAAGATCAAGATCCTCGAGACGTTGCCGTACTGCTTGAGCAGGCGGTGGACAAGTACAGTTGTGGTATTGTTTGGCAGATCGTGGACGATGACTTTGAGGGCATCCCAGCTTCGCCAGTCATCATTCTGTCGACCAGATGCATGTTGTCCTCGAGACCAAGGAGGAGGCGTTCGTCGAGAGGACCGAGGGTACGACATCATCGTGGAATGCTCTGGTCAATCGCTCTGGAGGTACTCTGTCGTCTTACTTAGGAGTGATAATGGCGATGCATTCAACCGCCGGTCTGTTTGAATCTGCGAGCAGCTCTTCGTTCCGTGGCCAGAGCAGGTCCGAAAACGACCCCAGGCCCGCAGCGTCCTCCCCAGCCAGAAGATTCAGGACGAGTCTCTCGTACTCAATGACGCTCAAGTGAGGCTCATCTCAAACCCACCGATTCGAGTAGAGAAAAATTGTCGGATTCTTCAGCGCCCTCCCTGGCCAACTTTTTCAGACAAGGTGATGTACTCGCTGGCTCTGTCCTTATGCGAGTATCTGGAAGGAGCTATGTCAGATGTTGGGAGCGAGCGTCGCGAAATCTGGAAGGAAGCTTTATAGCAGGAGCTGTCTTGGCACTAAGCTGTCTTCACTACTGGCAGGAGCCGATCTAGGAAGTCACGCTCGAGTAAAACAGAGTGAAGGGAGATTTCAACAGTACCTCTATCGCATATTTGTGACTTTTCCATGAGAGCTGTCATCAGATAAGCCTGGTTTGTCAAGCTCATGAGGTAGCAAACTTGATAGCTCTCAGTGGGAGCCAACCCCTGCCCTTCTACGAGGCTAGGTGCTATTACAGTCATCGCGAGGGAGCATCACGCGCCAGACTGCTTACTCGCAGTGCTGGCATGATCTCCGGTAACCCAGAGCAACTTGACATGGTTGAAGCGTACCTTGCCTGTGTGGGAGAAGTTCCAAATTGCCAAGCCCTTCCAGATCAGGTTAGATGAATCACGTCGCGTACGCGAAGTGGGGAAGGCGCGACTTTGGAAATTCCGTCATCATCTCGGGTGACCATGGGTGCAGTGATTGAAGTTCCTGCTTGAATCATCATGAAGGCTTCCAATGATAGAAAGCAGTGAGGTGAGATGCTATCGTGACATGCTCTGTCGAGCACTTGAAATGGTAGTCCCCACGACTTGGGACACTTGGGAAGGAGTGGGTGACGGAAATACCGCTCGCCGCTACAGCAGCTGGAGACTCGATGGCACATAGATGTTGCTGCAGTAACGATTTGCGAACACAGAACACTCCAACTCCGCTGCAGGCCCTTTCCCAATATTCCTGACTTCCACCAAGGCCATCATTGCTCTCTAACATATCTACTGAAAATTCCCAGGATGAACGAGCAACTCTTTACATCGGAAGTCGAAGCACTTCTCGCGCGCCATTTCCAGCATCGTTTGTGGTCTGTGAATAGCATTCCTGGATGCGAGTAACTGTGTTAACGGCCGACAGAAGCTGCACAGAATACTTGACCACTGCGAACCGACTATTGTGAAAACATGGGCTGACTCAAAGCCATGCCAGGTCAAGCCTTTACTGAAGACCATCGTTTCTCGCATAGCGACGGATCCTCTGGCTATCTATGTACTTCTACAGTTGTCCGCAAACAAGGCACTTTTCGACATCGTGGCTCGCGAGGATTCTGCCATCCTCGAGACGCTGTGCATCAAACAGCTGGAGCATATTTCGACGATACCCGCAGCGTCTAACGCGACCGCCGAAGCTGGGTCACACCTGGGACCATTCGCACCATGGAAGCAGTCTCGCCTGCTACACGTACTTCCCTCGGGCGTGGCCCCACCGACTTCGTACTATGCCATGCTGGAAGCCCTCCTCATAGGAGATGAGTCTGAGCCAATAACTTCATGGCGCCAAAGAGTGTATACCTTCCTCTCCGAAGCGTCCCTGGAGACTCTTTCGAACTTAAGCGACAAGACGATAGTCACTTGTGTGCATCGATGGTCCGACTTAGGTCGCTCGAAAGACCAGCTCGAAGGCATCTACGCTGCCTACATAGCGAGTCGTCTACAACGCCACCAGCAGAGCATCTGGCAAGACGCAAGTTCCGCTGGATCGTGCCTAGCTATAAACCCGAGCTTACGTGCATGGATCGAGAAATGCGCGCACCTGTTTCGAGCTGACAACGCCATGGTCACCGTCTCCCAAGCCATGGCTCGAGTGCTCAATGCTATCCGCGATGAGCGCTATTGGGAGGCTGAGGGCATCAGCACAGCTATCATGCTTGCCAAGTCCGTGCTCACCGTCGCTATGGTTTCGCCAGACTTTCGCTGGAACACCACGGCAAGCAGCGTGATGTGTAAATTGGCGCAGAAGTTAGCAACAGTGGGGCCCAGGCTGCAACTGGCGTGTCTTTCTGTCCTCGGACTGTCGGACGTCAAGAGCTTGCTTCCAGAGCTGGCGCAAGCCATTCGCATCGTCATCCGTGCGGTCACAGAGGGCCATATCGAGGACAACGGTGGACCTGGGGTCATACTGCAGGTCATCGATAGATACATCGAACCTCTGCAAATGATGCAGCCTCACATCTCGATTGAGTCGTTTCTCAAAGAACTTGTTCAGTTCATCATTCAGCAATGCCGGCCCCACCGACCGACGACGAACAACAAAATCAAAATGATAAAGCAAGCGTCTGCCTTTGTGGACACATTGCGAGAGAACGAATATGCGCCACAGCTCACGACTGCCTTCCTGCAGATCGTTCAGGCGATTCATGGCCTCCCGGAGTGGTGGGCTTTGGACTGGTCAACGCCAGGTTCGCCAGAGAATTGCTGCGGACTTGTCGCTTGCGTTCACTATGAGGAAATGCTCAGGCAGAAGCTGCGAAACGATTTCTCTGCACTAGTCCTCACCAAGGCATCCGCCAACGAGATCCAACTACCTGCACAAATGGTTGAAGTTCTGGTCCAACAATGCTCTCAAGTAGCACGCCCTGACTCCGACATGTTTTGTGCGTACCAGCCATTTATTGCTCAGCAGCACATTCCTCATTCGCCCCTCGACGATCCGGTAACGGCCAACAACTGGCGCGACTGTTTAGAGACTTCGCTGGGTCGCTCCAATGCCAGTATCAGCAGCCTCCTGGAGGACATCGTCAACCAGGTAACGAGAGATCTGCAAACCCGTTGCGATGACGTTGAAAGACCTCTCCGAGCCGCCCAAGCAGAAATCGCCGCTTTGCAGGAGCACGACATTAGCTCGAGCAGAACCTGTCAGACGCCACAACGGAAAACCGTAGATTGAACGATGCACTCCAGACCGAGCAACAGCACCGAGCCGGAAGCGATGCAGACTTGGAAACACTAAGGTCGTCAAATTTGGCCCTTGAACAACAGCTGGCGGAAGCAGTCGAGCAAGCGAAAGAAGCGCAGGTCAGCCTAGAAACAGCGAAATTAGAACGTCAGCAGCTGATGGAAGAAAACGAGCGCAATGCTGCTGCAGATCTCGAACACGTTGAGCGAAAGCATGCAAATGAGCAGCTGAGACTGGAATCGCTCCTTCAGTCGCAGACTCAGGCTAACACGGCTCTAGAGGCTCAGACGACCTGGCTCAGAGAGCAGATGGAAGAAGCCAAAGCAGACTTGGAAACAGAACACGACCGCAAAGTCCAGGGCTTGCAACGCGATTTCGATACTAAGAGGTCAGAGCTCGAGGAGCAGACCAAGACACTTCGATCTGAGCTCTCCTCGCGCAGTGCTGATATCGACAAACTGAACGAGAGCCTCGCCACCAAGGACCAGGCGATGGCTTCTCTTCAGCAGCAATACAAAGAGACCGCGAATAACGTATCAAGCCTCGAGTCCGAATTGTCTGAGGAGAAGGAGAAGTCCGGCGATTTGAACGAGAAACTCACAGAGGCCACCACTGCCAATGAGCAGCTCGCCAGCGAACTAGGCGATCGCGAAGCTGAGCTCGAAGAACAGACTCAGCGTGCAGCAGAGCTGGAGGCATCAGCCTCGCATTGGCGGCAACGATGCGCTGCGGCGGAGAAGTCGCTGACTGAGGCGAGGCAGCGTGAGGAAGGCATCCAGGCGCTGCTTCGTGGCGCGGGCGGTGGTATGCTTGGGATGAGTAAGACTCCCTTAAGCAAGCCTGCTCTGAGCAATCGACGGCACACTTCGGCTGTGCTGGTAAGACGTTCTATGCAGCATGCTGCAGCACCAACCTTCAACCGACGCAGCTGAGCGGGATCGTCAATTCTGAGGATGACACAGACTATTTCCAGGACGAGATCGTTGAGTTGGGTCAGTAATACCTGGTCGGATGCCTGGCTGATGGGTTTTGCCGGACACGACGTGGGCGAATGACTTGTGCTGCGCACCGTTCAGTGGCCTTGGTGAGGAAAATAGAGACTGACCTCGTGCCACCTGCGGATGAGTAATAAATGATGATCATCGATCTATCGCCTCTTAGCAGAGCCGCCATCTATTAATGATGCCAATGCAAACCTTCAACCCTTCCACTCAATCCCACTCCGAGTCTCCTGTACCAGTAGTATCAACCTTCGTACTCCCCTTCAGGTTCTCTTCTTGCCCAGCCTTCCGCCTCCTACCCTCCTCCCAGCTTGCCACCAGCGACCTGATCGCCGCCTCGGCAACTCTCGCCCCTCGCTCTATAGCCTCCTCGTCATACGGCCCAGGCACATGCAGGAATGCAACCTTGCCCAGCCGCTCTCTCGACAGTGCCCTACTATCTTTGTCCGCCTTTTGGAGTTCTGCCCACCGCTGCACCAAACTCTCAAACAGCGTAAACTCACACAAGAACCTCCCCGCGTCCACACTTAACTGACACCGACTAAAAGCCCGCTTCTTCTCCGTCCTCTCCACATTCTTGAACCAATCCCCGAACCTCTCCACCGTCAACCCATTACTCTCCTCCTTTGGGACATCGTCAAACCCCAACTCCTCTTCTCTACTTCTCACCTCACTTGCCCAACGTTCCACTACGTCCTCCTCGTCCCAGCCCACGTGTAGTTTTTCGGGGACACCCTCCTTCTTCCACGCGTGTTCGCCCGCCTTCCATCCATCCCGCTCATCCACGTCCCGGATCTTGTAGCTGTCGCGATGGCCCACGGTTTCGAGGGTGTAGTTTGTGCGGCCGCCGGCGACGCCGATGTGGAAGATGTAGTCTGGGTTGTGTTGTTGGAGGAGGGTGGGGATTAGGGAGGAGACGGTGGTGTAGGAGACGCGGATTGGTGAGGGGTGCAGGAGGAGGTGGATTGTGTATGGTTCTGGTTGGTTTGGTGACGAGGTGGAGGGTTGTTGGGGAGGGAGTTTGTGCGGGAGGGCGGAGGCGATGAGGAAGGAGGGGTTTGTAGTGAAGGACTTGAACGGCTGTGGGAGGGAGCGTCAGTGGTGGCGCTTGGGGTGGAAGGGGTTGTTGGGGAGGGGAAGAGGTGGTGGTCTCGTGACTGATCTGGACTCTGATCAGGACACGTAGACAGGGCGGTACGTACGCCAAAGCCCGTGACGAGCACCGTCACCTCTCTTTCTTGTGTAGCAGATCCGTTCCGATCAAGCCGATCATCTAGCGGTGCAGTCGAGACCAGTGACGGCTCTAGTGGTCCGGCGTCGCCCATTTGGCCTCAACCCAGTGAATGTTGCTCGTATGAGGAAAAGGTAGGCCGTGGTCAGCAAGTCATACAGTAGAACTAAGTGTTTGCCACTATACCATGCGCGACGCCAGCGTGCGAGGTATATGAGTCTGCGCTCCTATACAATGAGCCTGAAAGATATGTGTAGTCAAAGAAAGTTGATCCGATGATTTGATCCGATGAATTCGAATTCGAGAAATCGACTCGGGGATCCATGACATCCCCCCACTCTGTCATCATTTGGGTGGGGAGTGACGATCGCTCGGATCTGCTCCAGGCTTCCCGCTGCCGATCGTCGCGATGCGCTTGGGACCGGAGCTTCAGGCTCCAGATCTCGAAACCTCGAATCGATATCATACCAACGACATCGATGTCCGTTACCAACAACTTCTGTTGATACAGCTATTGGACGACGGCTGGTTCTTGGAAGTTCGAGCGTCTCATCATGGCTTCCTTCCTGAGGGAGGCCAGGTAGCTCGTCTGCGAAGAAATCGAGATCAAACAGCTCGGCCTAGACGAGGCAATCCTTGAGGCTTCTCGCAACGCCCGTCTATCTCATCACATACAGGCAAACAGTAAACTGGTTCGGAAGCACGACGCGCCAGCTCACGCTTCTCACACGGAGCTCGCGGCTCTGGCTAGGACTTCTGTATGTCTCGAGTGCGCTTTACTGATGAGCCGGTGTCGCACCTGCCGCACCAATGTTATTACTCACTGACAGTCTAGCCATGCGACACTATTGCCTTGCGAGGTAAGCACTGCTTGGTAGTTTTGACACCTGATGAGACACAACAAAGCACCTTCCAAAGCCCGACGCCTTGAAGATGCAGTCACGAACTATACACGATCCTCAGATCTTCGAATCTCATTACAACTTTGCATTCTCACCTGCACCTCTGGTCTACATACTTACGTGGAGGCATTGTCGTCGCGAGGCCACCCAAACATCAGAGTGCTCTGCTCACGGTCCGCCTTCCCGGTAGGTTCCCTTTTTCCGCAGCTCTGGCTTCTGTACAGCTGTGCCGTTCCTTAAGCTCTGCCCTCCCTTCAATTCGGTGTGCCCCCGATTCAGCTCTCACTTCGACCTTGCTCTCCAGCGTTACGGCGTGTTGGAGTCGCGTTGTCCTACGCCAACTACCAGACAAGGCCCTCGACAAAGATGCCGTTCTTCGAGTCAATGGCATGCTTCGAGAACAAAGCCCATGTCCAATGTCTTTCATGCCAACCATCCTTTGTCCACAAAGCACCAACACAACAAAGCCCATCAATCCCATTGTCCACCGCCTCTCCTCCCGCCACCCGACAAGCATTAAAACATGCCACCCCAACCAGACCCACCTCAGTACCCCTTCAACCCCATAACCCAACATGCCAGCACACACAGGACACCGAAGCGGCGGCGGCCGCCAGCCTAACCGCGGGCAGAACACTCAAAAGGGCGGCCGCAATCGCGCCTCCAAAGCCGAAGCTTCCACTATATCCAACCAAGCCACCAAAGTCGCCGCACATAAAGCCAAGGAGGTAGCTTCCCGACACGCTCGCCCTGTTGAGACTGACCTGATTATCGACCCGACCATTGCCCATCTACAGTTTAGCTGTGTTGGCAAGGATCCCAAATCCATGGCTACGACGTTTCCTAACCTCGACGCCGTCGCCGAAGCACTCAATCGGGAGCCTGAGGCTATCGTTGAGTTCTTCGCTGAAGCGCTCGGTACAAACCACTATATCAAGTACGCCAACGTGACCGAGGAGGTCAAGGGTGGGAAGGTCGGGGAGAAGTGTCGGAAGGCCATGCCGAAGTATTTCCTTGGAGGTGAATTCGAGCGGGCCACACTGCAGTTTGCTCTCGACCAGTACGTTGTGAGAATTCAGTGCCCGATTTGTTTCGGGTTTGAGACTCAATTCGATGAGGAGTGCGAGGAGGTTGTTTGTGAGGACTGTGATGCACCACTGACAACAGCCACTACACAGAAGCCAGCGGCCAAGTCAATCGTCACCATGGACGTCAAACCCTGGGACAACGAGACCGACGTAGACGAGCTCGTCACCAATGTCAGGGCTATCGAGATGGACGGTCTCGTCTGGGGTGGTCACAAGCTTGTTGCGGTCGGCTATGGCATCGAGAAGCTGCAGATTAATCTTGTCGTCGAGGACGATAAGGTCTCCGTTGATGATCTGCAGGCCAAAATCGAGGAGGATGAGGATCACGTGCAGTCCACCGACGTCGTAGCCATGCAGAAGCACTAAACGCAGCACAGCATAGAGGCCGTCCTGGCGGTCAAACCGCATCAAAGCATAAGGGAACAGGTAGGCGTACGGCCGTCTTGGACGTGGCATACATCTCTAACCTGATAATAACATCAATTCAAGTCTTTGAAAACATACTTCTGTTCTTCGTGTACTGACTTCGTGCGTCGTGCCTCGCCCCTAAAACTTCGACACTCGGCAATTTCAGTTCGCTGCATCTAGACATCGCTGCAAATGACAGTGGACTATAGTGGACTTCGAGTGGCCGGCAGTCTCGGGTCGGTCGATAGAATAGAGCTCTGGCACGGCGAGGATTTCCGCAAGCATTGGATCGACGACTTCCTTGACACGCTTAGAGACGAGTCTCAGGTCTGGAATCCATGGAGGGTCCCAAATGATCCGGATCTTATTAGAGCCCCAGCCGAGCAACACAGCCCAGTTCCTCAGCACCCCGACCGTGTACTCAAGTTGTAACGTATGCAGTTCTGCGATGACAACACGGAAGATCAGGTCAAGGATTTCCGTTGGCATTGTGGTGAGCGTTGGTGCCGGGTTGTCCCTGTGACCTTATTAGCACTTCATATCACAACGGTGGCTTCGTCGAGGACGACTTACCCGCTGCGGCGTTGAGACCAGAGACATCATCTTGAGCTTCGATTGTCTGTCAGTGAAGACGAATGGTTGTATGAGCAACTCAAGAGGGTGTTCAGGTCGAACAGAACGCAAGGCTGAGTATTTCTGGTCTTTCAAGAGACCGGATGACTCACCTTCCCCTGAACAGTTCAAGCCTGATGCTGTAGTGCAGAATGGTCAAATATATTTGCAAGGCCGATTGCTCTGTCGCTTCGGCTGTTGTCACCTCGTCCGATTCACGTAGACATGTACATACTTGGGCTGGAAGAAAAGAACACATATGTTGCACGACAAATCAATAACACGGTAGTCAGTACATGTATACACTCCTGTAAGGCCTATACAGCGCCTGGAATCCCATACTCCCGTGACGCATCCCTCGTCGCACATCATCAAAGACATCCCCGACTACTATCGTCTAAAGCAAGTAAACATCCCCACTGCCCTCCTCAAACATCAACTCGTCCCGCTCCCCCATCTCCCTCAACAGCCACACCACCTCCTCCCTCCCAAACTCCTCTTCGTCCCCGTCGCCTTCCTCGTCCAACACCTCGTTCACTTTCCTTCTGATAGCCTCCGCCGTGGCCTTCTGATCGCCATCAAACAGTGCTGTCCGCTGTAGGGGACCGAGGATTTGCTTAAATTGGTTGAGGCGCTCGCGGGTTGATTTTGGCTGGGTCTGGAATTGGGTGGCTGCAGCGCTGCTGCTTTGCTGGGTAGATGGGAGTTGGGACGCGGGCATGGAGGAGGCGAGGGAGAGGTTGGAGAGTTGTGACTCGGCTCCGTTGGTGGTACGGGTGCGGCGGGAGGGTTGTGTGTCTTCCTCCTCGTCGGCGTCATCGTCGTTCTCATCTTCGTCATCCTGTTCATCATCGTCCTCGTCGTCGTCCGCAACGACACGTCGAGATGCAGTCCCATTCGTGCCGTTCGTGCGGCCCGAGCGCTGACTTCTGGTGGTGGGCTTCGCACCATTAGGTCCGGGACCCGTGCCACGGTACGTACCTCCATCGTCCTCATCATCATCGTTGTCATCGTCGTCCTCCTCATCGCTGCTCTCAGCATCACTATCCATCTCCGCGTCACCATTCGCGTCCGTCGGCCGCGTCTTCCTGCGCTTGCGGCGGTCTTCCTTGACAGCCACCTCCCGGAAGAGGGCGAATCGCAACACTTCCTCTGCGACCACCGCATCACTTTCCTCAACCCTAGCACTCAGCCTGCTCTTGGCGTGGGCGGTCGAGAGACGGATCAACGTCTCCAGCGTACGTGCCGTCAGAGGGCTGGTCCGCCGCTTATTGGCATCGATATCCTCATTCCGCAAATTGCTGTACGCATTGACAATATAGTCGCTCGCCTCCTTCGTCAAGATCGGCTTGCATCGACTCTTCGCATACTGGATGTACTTCTTGATAAACGCCATAGCGATCGGGCTGACTTCTTCCGCTTGTGTGCGGCGACCGCGGCCCCGACCACCTCCGCGGCGTTGTTGCTGTTGCGCTTGCTGAGCGGGCTTGAAGCCGGCGTGGAGGACAGCATTGTACTTCTCGTAGACTTCTGTGCTCTTTGAACCCTGGCTGTCCGCGTCCTCGACCCCGATACCGAGTGTCTGCCCGCCCGTCTCACGAATAGGCGCGCCTTCTTCGAGTCCAGGCGGGCGGTACGAGTGCATGCGGAGGACATGTTCGCTGATATCGCGATCGCGCTTGTCGTCGATATCGTCCGTGACTACGAAGAGCAGATCGAAACGCGAAAGGAGGGAATCTGGCAACGCGATGTTCTTGTGTGGGTCCTTGTTGCTGTCGTACTGTCCGAAGATTGGGTTGGCGGCGGCTACAACACTGCAGCGAGCATTCAGTGAGGTGTGGATTCCGGCTTTGGCGATAGTGACGGTCTGCTGCTCCATGACTTCATGGATGGCGACACGGTCAATGTCGCTCATCTTGTCGAATTCGTCGATGCAGACGACTCCGCGATCACCCAAGACCATGGCACCGGCCTCGAGGCGGCGTTCGCCAGTCTCTTTGTCGGTGGTGACGGCTGCTGTTAAACCGACGCCGCTGGAGCCTCGACCGGTTGTGGCGATGGCGAGGGGTGCAGTGTTGAGCACGAAGCGAAGGAGTTGTGATTTGGCTGTTGAGGGGTCGCCGACCATGAGAATGTTGATATCTCCTCGCAAGTGCGTGCCATTGGGCAGATTCTTCTCCATGCCGCCGAGAAGCATGAGCAGGACGGCTTTCTTGATGTAGTCGTGGCCGAAGATGCTGGGAGCTAGACTTTGAGAGAGGAGGTCGAAGACATTCTTCTCTTTGCTCATTTTGTTGATGTTGCGAACATCGAGATCTGTGATGGCCGCTTGAGCAATGCCGCCGCCTGACTTCGAAGATAGTAGGACCACGTTGTTGGCCAGAATTAAGGTGCGGAAGATTGAGGAGCCTCCACCAGTGTTTCGGTTACCCAGCGAGCGGAACGTGCCAACAAGCTGTATCCGATCACCAGGCTTGACTCTGTCTACCATGTCGTCGTCCATGATCACGTCGACGCCACGAGGGAGCTGTCCAGCAGGTGCCCTTTCTGGCATTTCTTGTATAGAGATAGTTTGATGGTCCCGATACGTGCAGTAGCCGTACTCTGTGATAAGCTGTACACTTTTAGCCACGGAACAGCTATACTGAGGGTCTTTGACTCACCGGATTATCCTGATCGTCCTTCTGAGGATACACACTCAAACTCCCAGGCTTGCCCACACTCATAGTTTGATCCCTGTACTCCCTGAAATGGAACATACTCTTATTCTCATTCCAATGCACGCTCTTCACAACCTTCGGCCTAACCAGACTACACCGCGTAACAATCCCCTCAAGACACACCATACGATTCAACAACCCACTGTTCAGCGTCCTCGGATTGCATGAGTTCTCGCCGAAGCTCCCGCTATACGCGACATAGTACATCGTCTCCTCATCCGTTTCGAACGCCGCTCGATTAGGCAGAGTATCGATAACATTCTTCAACGCCTGGTCGAAGCAGAGACTGTAGTCGAAAGGATGAAACAGAATGCCATCAGCAAGCTCACGATTGTGAGCGCGGATGTCGTCGAGTGAGACTGTCAGCCGCCGCTGGCTGCGATTCAGCATCGTGACGATGTCGCCGCGGTAGGAGCGTGCTTGGGGGTCGGTGGGATCAAGGAATTCTGTCGCCAGACGAATGCGGTCTTTGACCGCTTCATCGCGGAGTTGGTTCGAGTCGAGCGCCATGCTGAAGAGTGATATTGCAGAGGCTGGCTCAGACGGAGGTTGTTGTTCAAATAGGAGGATCTTGTGAGGAGAGTCGTATGAATCTTGACCCCTCGCCAAAACGCGGTGAGACGCGTCCGGACGCGCCAAGACTCTTCTGTGGAGCTATGCTAAAGTGGTTGCATTAGCGCAATCTCAACGTCAATGCTTCGGATACTAAGTATGTACTGTGGTATGTGCGAGTCATACAAGTCGCTGGGGGATGTACAAAATGACCGTATGCTGAGCCACTCTGACGACGCAGTGCCGTCGCGATATTGTTACGTCTATTGATAGACTAAACGGGTTCCGCTACACTACAACTAATCAGCACAATCACAGCCGAACATTCTTGCATGTCAAGGCTGTGTTCAGGAGGTGAGTATATTGCTACGCGAATTAGTAGATATACAGTGCAAATACAGCTGCTGTTGCACGTCAGGGCCAGCCTTCAGCCTCGTGATGATGGGGCTCCCTTAAATACATGCGCCTTTTACGGTACCGCATTTCCTCGACCACTCTCCTTCCTCTTCCTCATCGCCTCCTCCCTCGCCACACTCTGATAAACCGTCCCCCCAACAGGAACATGCTGCGGCGTATCCGTCGGCGGCCCCACGGGCCTCACCAGCACCATAAACGCCGCCACATCGACCGTCTCGATCTGCACGGGCAAGAAACTCGACAGCTTCGCCTGCTTCTCGAACCCCTCCGCGCTGCTCAACACCAGCGCACCAATACCGAACGGCCTCAACTCCCCCCACAACCCCGTCTTGTCCTTGTGGGCGACCTTGGGTGCCTGAATGATGGAGCTGACTCGCATGTCGAAGATTTGTGGTAGTTGGGCTTCACGGAAATGGAACGCGCGGAAGAGCGCGTGGAAGATCCAGTGCTGTTGCGCTTTTTTCGCTTGGTAGGCGCCCTCGTTGATGATCCACCGGTCGCGTGCGATTATATCGCGGACTTCGGAGCGAGGGACGGGGTAGGGTTGTTGATTTTCTTCGTCGAGGAGCTGGCCGTCGGCAATGTGACCGTTGGCCACTGCTCTGAGATAGGCGCCGATGTTCCATTGATTCAGCAGGTCTTCGAAGCGGCGAAGGGGACTGGTGACGCGCGCATAAGCACCAACGCTCAATCCGGTATGCGGAACAGGGACGTCCCGCTCGGCAGCTCGGGGCCCTATGAAGAACGCAGCGTCCGCGCCCTTGCCTTTGTTTTTGCGCATGGTAGCAGCAATCTTGTTCAGCTCACCAACCGGAAAGGAAGGGTCGCACAGAGCACCAGTGTATATGGCAGGAATGCCCCGATCGCCCATCCACTTGCCGGCACTTTCACAGGTCAGTATCATGAGATTGGTGACAAGGCTCGCTTGGGTGCGGAACATGTCTGCAGGGACCAAATCCTCTACTGTAGAAACAGGCGCTTTTACCACGATAGTCGGGTCGCCTTCGTAATGAATACTTTGGTGTAGTCTTGTGCTTTCGTACTCCTCGAGGAAAGAGACTTCGATGTCGCTTTTAGCCAGTGATTTCATGGGGAGGTTCAGAGGCTCGAGCACTTCGCGTTCTCTGGCATTGATGCGCGCAGTCAAAAGCGACCTCATCTTTTTCAGCGTCTTCTCGTGACGTCTGGCTTGATCTATGTGCTCTTGATGCTGGTCGGGACCCGATGACGGCTGCATATCCAGGTCGGAGCCAACAATGAGGCTGACGTTGCTCGGTCGCTCTATGCCCACTACGTGATCGACGGCAGCGTGGGTCAACGTCACAACATTGTGAACGCGAGTCAGTCTCATCTTGGTATCCAGAATCTGACCCTCTTCACTGAGCAAAATGCTCGTGGTCAGGGCCGCGGCTCCAGGCTCCAGGTTCAGCGATTCGCCAAGCACATCGGGAATCATAGGGTACACAGCGTTGGTGGTATACCATGATGACTGCTGGTTTCGGGCAAGGCGACCGTATTCCGACCGCGCGTCGAAAGAGGCGGCAGGGTGTGCTACGTGGGTATGTATCCACCAGCAGTTCGGTCGGTCGATACACTCTTCCAAGGATACGCCGTCGTCTACGAGAGTGGTGCCGGCGTCGTCGATGCAGAATACCTCCATTGAGCCAAGGTCCTCGCGCAAATCAGCCATTGTGTCTTGCAATTGAGGGTGCCCGGAAGCAGGTTGCTTGGGAAGCTTTTCCAGAGCCGCTTCGGCTGACTCAAGCAATTGATTCGTCTTGTGGGCTGCTTTGCGGCCTGGTATCGGGAACAGAAGGTTGTCATCGGCAGCACCAGCCCACGGCGCCATGGCTCCCATCTCTTGTAGCACGAGGCGGCCGATCTTATCTTCTAGCACCATATGGGGATAGGCACCGATGGCACGAAGGATGACAGTGCTAACAGAATGGTGCTTGGTTCTGTTCAAGTTCGCAGGAAGGCGGATGTGAGTATCCCAGATGAATTCGAGAATAGCCTTGTCGCTGTCGCTGAATACCTCGCCAGACGGTCGCAAGGAGACGGTTCCGTCTTTGTCGGAGCCGCCTTCGCCATTGACTCGTGGGCCCCGGACATTGCCTCCTGTGGGACCAATACAGCCAATGATCGTAGGCTGGCGAATCGCCCTGCTTTTTTTGATGATTTTCCTGGCCTTCTGCATGAACATGTAGATTGGACTGTTGACCATTCTCGCCGAGATACTTTCTCCTCTGACGGCGACGGCGGCCAGTTCCTGGTATTCTCGGGTCCATTGCACGACCTTCTCGAAACGTCTGACTGCGCTCTTGGGGCCCATGAGAACCTGCAGAACTGATTGGTCGAAACTGGAGAAGATGAAGGTCTTGGTAGGGTTTTGAATAGCTGTACGACATATACACAGCCTCGCAGCGTCGCCCAGGCGGTCAGCATCATCGCCGAGCAATTGTCGTGCGAAATCGGAAAATTGAAGGGTAACGAATTCGTTCTCTTGAGCGAGACGCTCGTAAGCATCATCGAGCAGCGGGTGGAACTTCCGACGAAACTCTACGATCTGCTCCTCCAGCAGCTGAAGACGGCGAAGGAGTGGCTTCTCGACATTGTTGCTATGCTCCAGATTCGAGATGAAAGAAACACCAACTGGAATGCCATTGTCGTTGCGTCGAACGATCTGCTTCTTGGGCAGCAAGGCTCGGATGGGTGCCATTTCCTCCTCAGAGGCCCAGCCCTTGATGACATCGGAATTATGGTGGTTTGTCTTAGCTTGAGCCCATCGCCCGGTGCTCATAAAGTACTGCTCTTGACTTTCGCATTTGCCCAGATAGACGGTAGCAATGCGGCGGGCTCCATTGAATTGCCCCAGCAGCAGATCGCCAGGTTCGAAACGATTGCGTGGCAACCCTTGAGTGAGGTCGTCATATTGATCGATGGCGGATTGGTCCTCGCCGTCATTGCGCTCTGCCTCGGGCTCGTTCATGAATAACGAGTCGGGCAGATGTTTGATTTTGCCGTGTTCTGCTACCTTTCCATCGTCGCTTTGCACCTCGACCTGGGATTTGACCTCTTCCAAATGCCGTTTGAACCACCCTTGTAAATGCTGTCTGACTTCCGGTACACCATTCTGGATCTTGCTCGGGTCTAGGCCGCTGATCGAGCCGATACCTGCAAACTGAGCAGCAGAGTGACTCGGGATGGGTGCGCTCTCGGGAGTTGGAGTGGCTCGTAAAGGCGAATGGACAGAATAAGGTCGCGTCTGTTGACGGTAGAGGGAAACTCGAGTCGGCTGCGAGGGCTGCCGCTGAAGGAAGTGACATCGCCAACACACTCGATTGACCATCGCTCAGGACCACACAGACGCCTGAGAACCCCCGAGTTGAAGATGGGGTCGTCGAATGGATGAACGACCTCGCGAGACAAAAAGTCGACGACGTCTGTTGTAGTCATTGTCAATAATTTCTCCACTGCGGAGAAGGAAGAGATGGTATTAATGTCGTAGCCCACGCGTGTGACTCTCGGTCTGCTCTGTTCCTCTCACGCCTTACCTCCAAGATGCCTATGATACAACAGCCCGCAAACGTAATAAAACTCACCAACGTCTCGCTCGTCCGGTACAAAAAAGGCAAGAAGCGCTTCGAGCTCGCCTGCTACAAGAACAAACTCCTCGAGTACCGATCGGGGACCGAGACCGATTTGGACAATGTGTTGCAGGTGCCTACTATTTTTCTGAATGCGAGCAAGGGCGAGACTGCGCCGAACGCGGAGTTGGTCAAAGCGTGGCCGCTGCCTGAGGCGAGTGAGAAGGGTGGTGGAGGGGGAGGGGGAGGAAAGAAAGGCGGTGGTGGGAAGAAAAGTAAAGGGAAGGGTGGTGCGCATATCATGATGATGGAGATGAGGAGAAGTCGTGGAAGGATGCGATTATAGAAGAGATCCTGCAAAAAGGCGAGATACAAGTCAATGCAGGCGAGCGGAAGGAGCTACTCGACCGCATGGAGCGTGAGATTGTCGAGGAAGTCGCACAGCGACTGGTCGATCCACAGACGAAGCGAGTCTACACGACGGGTATGATCAAGAAGGGTCTGGATGTGCTTTCGAAGCAGGGTGGGCACACGCCGCAGCAGGACTCGTTACAACATAAATTGGGAAGGCTGAATTTGGGCGGTGAGGGACGCAAGAAGGGCCAGCCGACACCGAAGGGTTCGAGTGAGAATAGCGGGCTGGCGACGCCGTTGACTGATAATGACGACGCGACTGCCTCTGCAGAGAAAGGAAAGGCGAAAAAGAGTGATATGCCTATGTGGACCGGCGTAGTGACATCAAAATCGACAAAAGCGCAAGCACTCGAAGCCATCAGAGCACTCATTGCGTGGCAGCCCATACCTGTTATGCGAGCGCGGATGAGACTGCGAGTCAGCTGTCCGACCAGCATTGCGAAGCAGGCACCAAAAACGAAGATTGGCGCCGGCCAAGCTGAGAGCGTCTCAGAGGAAGATGGAGATCAAGGCAAAGGAACTATCAAGGACAGGATACTTTCGTTCTTTGAGCAAGTCGAGAGTCAGGATGTGCTAGGCGAGGAATGGGAAGTCGTAGGATTTGTCGAGCCAGGTGCATTCAAAGGCTTGAGCGAGTTCTCATCGGCCGAGACCAAGGGCAGAGGCACAGTGCAAGTGCTGGACGCCGCTGTGATTCACGAGGATGATTGAAGGTCAGGTAGCTGTGCACGAGATACCCAACGCAATAGATTCATCAACGAAGATACGAATTTATGGTCATAATGGAACAGTGTTGTAAGAGTAGATTGAAGTATCGTCTACTGCTGCCCATCGAACTTGATGGTCACGCAACGCCGAGCTCGAGATTCGAGCGGATGCAAAATGCTGTTTGGTCGTCTCTCATAACTCATTTCCTCATGCTGCGATGCTACCATCGGATCGCACTACAATCGGCCCAAGTACAGTACCTCTCCGTGGTCGAAGACTGGCTTGTGCCATAGCCTGTTCCAGTTCCTCAGCAGTGAAATGATTCTCGAATGTAGGTACTTTGGAGGGCCTAGCGGTCACCGTCCTCTCCAGAGACAGCTCATTTCTGGATTCAGCAGCAGTGATCGAGCGCGAGATCGCACTTAACTCTGGTGAATCCGTGTCGTCAATCAAACTCGGCGCAGAGTCCTGACTTCCGCTCTTCGTGGCAGTCCTTGCTTCTGCGCTGTCTGGGCTGTCGTCTCGATCCTCGGAGACGCTGTTGGCGGTGCTGAGGTGTGATCGAGCTCTGGCGTAACTTGCTCGGCGACTGTTGGCAGCACTGGGAGCCAGACTTGTGGCGCCGCTCTGTGCACCCGTGCCACGTGGAGAGAAGGTACCCGAGAGGGCCATTGAGGCTCGTCGACGGGCAGTCGAGAACGCTCCTTCCAGAGAGTATGCATCTAGCGTTGCTTGGTGTACCTTGTCGACCTTTCCTCTGTACTTGGACTTTGGTATCTCATGTGGTTTATAGTATTCGATGTCTTTCCGCCGTGGCGGGTTGCCATCCGAAGCATCCGACGCTTCTTGGTAAATCGTCGTTTGAGGTTATCTCTTAAACCCATGCTGAACTGAATGTGTTGTGGTCGAAATTGTTTAGCCGTGGAGGCCGCTGAAGGAGTGTTGTCTACGAAGTTCGACTGGCTTATATCATAGCTTGGTCGATGTTATCTAAGGCGATGAGTGTTCAGTGAGTCGGAAGTGGTCGGCCGGAGAAGGTTCTTGGTGTATCTGGTTCTAGAAAGCGTTGGACTGCAGTCTGTCGTTACATACGAACTTTCGATTTTGGTACAGGTGTGTCTCTTGAGATTGTAAGCAGGTGGCAGTTGAGCAGACTAGGCGGCTAGGGGACAGCCATGGCTGATATGGGGACGGATCATGAGGAATGGCCTGAGACAGATGCGGAGCGTGGTAGTGGTTGTGGATACTTCAACGGAAGATAACTTGGTCGAGTATGGACCGAGCAAGATGATGGAGCCAAATTCGTCGCTAGGATGATGAAGTTCCAGTGGTCGTTGTTCCGTGCATCGCCCGTCTTGGGCCGGGATCTTTTCGCCTCCAGGGTATGACCAAGCCCCAAGGTTGCTTGTCTATCAAACACGTTCTGCGACTCGTAGCATTCGTATCGTCATGTGTGTTGCAGAGCGAGTGACCTTCATACTTCAGAAGTCCTCGAGCAGCGCTGTCAGCGATCGCCAGACACTGCCGATCGATATCCATCAAACACGAGGAGAATGCAACGGTAATCGCGGCGTGCACCAGGGGCGGCTCTGCTCGGCGAATCTCTGCAGATTTGAGAACTCAGGTAGGGATTGACTTCCTTCGAGAAGCACCACAGAAGGTCGGTCGAACCTGGACCCGAGGCATGATGGGCAGCGATAGGCTGTACCTGCGTCGCAGCCAATAGCCTATGCTGCCGCCAGTCGTTCTTTCTGCTGCGAGCTGAGGCATACAGTTCAACGTCGCTCCTTTAGTGATTTACTCATCAAATAGTTGCCCCTTGATCAGTCTTCCGATGTGTGTCTGCAGTCTTCATCGCCGGATTGTTATGTACAAGGAGCGGTTCCAAAGTGCTCATGATCGCTTGTGCGATTGCCCGTTAGACACTCTTATCAGGCCAATTCTCGGCTGTCAGATATGGCGTTCCAGACTGCCTAGCCCAGTAAGGACCTGAAGGTGTGGTATCGAGATCCGGGATGTCCGAACTTGATGGCCACCACTACACGGCTTGCCACATTGCGTGGGTTGATCAATCATGTCACTCACGTCTTGCGAAACTACTATGGGATAGTTTACCTCTCATCCGCATACTTGAAACGAACACGCAATCGCATGAACTTTGCCAGGTTCCCTTGGTTCCCTCCAGTGCGGAGAACAAGACCGACAGTTCCGCCCCTAGCCGTTCATGGAGGAGATAACTTACGAAGTAAGTCCCAGTCCTACAGGCGATAACATACACCGTAGCATGGTATCTAGCAAGCGGCCAGGCCTCGTTCCTGTTGTGCCTTATCATCCTTTTGGGAGCCGCACAAATGGGCGCAACGCAACGTCTCTGCGCGGGCCATGTCAGCAACGAGTGGTGTAGTCAATCGCGCAGGTAGGCTGACTGTTCGCTCTCGAAGAGGCTGCTTTGCCCGGCCTGCATGTACGGTTGTTGTGTCTATGGAGATAAAATCTGTTCCTTCCCTAATGTCTAATGGCGTGGTTGTTCGACTCTGCTGACAGCCATGAGATGCTTTTGGCGAGGTCGTCTAATTCCAAGTGGCATTGACTCGCTGCGGAGACGCTTCGCAGCAGTTCGCGCATCTGCCAACGCGAAGCAGAAACATTCGCTTCGCAGGCGCACCTTGAGGCCCGTCTGCTACGCTGAAATATGGACTTGCTACTTGTTGGGCTGACCTATCATCATTGCAAAGCCGGAGCCCAGCTGCCTACAAGGTTAGAGAAGGTTGTAAGTCCCCAGACGCTGGCACACAACTATAAGGTAGGAAGATAAGAATGTTCGGATCTTGCCCTACATCTCAAACCGGTTGACACGGCTCGCTTACTATTCAACCCCCGACCTCGCTTGAGCATCCAAGCATTCGTCTACAGCACAGTACATAACGAAAAAGTACTTCCCACATTCTACTGATCATACGTGGTGTCAGTAAATGTGCATTGCTGCAAGTGCCACGCTTGCAAACCCAACCAGCCAACTTTCCCATCCAACTCCAGCCACAGTGTCATTTTCTTTCTGTCAGTGTCGAAGCTTGGTGGCGCGCCGCGTCGCCCAGAATGTCTAAATTATGCATCCCATGACTTCATCGAGCTTCAGATCTGCCATTTCCCCTCCCGTTTCTTCGATTCTTATGGCATTCGCGTTGCGCGACGGCCTGGATGGAGCCAATAGATTGGCTGTTGCTCCAAACTCGTCCCGCCTTTGACAGCTGAAGCGGTCAGCTATCCTGGTAGCGTTCTAGGCCGCTAGCATACAGTACCAACACATGACGCATTGCCTGGCATTCTTTGTGCAATGATTAAACCAGGTCGGTGAAGTAGCAGGTTTGACTTGATTTTCTTCCCTACGCCTATCTTTACCGTCCACTGCTCGATATCCTGCGTGAAGACACTCGCCTGACAGCACGATGGACAAGTTAAAGCAGACCTTGTAAGAACCTCTCCGATGGATCTGGGATCAAAGCTGACCATACAAATAGTAGCAGGAACAAGGACACTTCGGAGGCCACAGAGTCTGCAGGCAAAGGCTCTGGTCAAGGCTCTCACTTTCCTGGTAACGACGATCTGGGATCTACAGTGACTGGCCAGCGAGACACACCCGGTACACGCGATGTTGCGGCGGCTCAAGGTACAACTGGCCCAGAGGCCGGCGGTGATCAGCATGTTGGCACTGTAAGCGCAGGCTCACAGGCACCGTCCACTGCAGCTATCGGACAGACGTCAACCTATTCCAGCCATCGCCTTGGCAAGGGTGACCCAACTGGCAGTGTAGCAGATCCCCAGTCCACCGATCCTATATCCTACCAGAAACCTGAGACTGCCACTATCGGTGATGCAGGCGTTCCTGAGGGATCAGCTCAGATTGCAGCCACGAAGGCCCTCGAGAAGCTGCCTGGCATGCCCGGTGGCTACCCTGACAAAGACTACACAAATCCGTACAAGGCTGAGCACTTGGATCCTCGCGTTGATGGCTTGCCCATTCGCTCGAAAGAGACTGGCTCCAGTGGCGGCAGTGGGACTGCAGCTGCAGCAGCAGGTAGCGCTCTTGCAGGTGGTACGGTCGGCACGCTGGCATCTAAGCCGCAGTCGTCAAGCACGTCCGCACCAGCAACCACTCCCGCACCGTCTGGTCTCACCTCAACCACCAACCCATCTGATCGACACCCCACGTATTCTGAGGCCGAGCGAGACCATGGTACAACAGCAGCTGCCACAGGCACATCTCAGCAGACGGATTCCCAGGCTTCAGGCTTCGTGGGCAAAGCACTCGCTGCTGTTGGTCTAGGCGGTGCCGCGGGTGCTGCTGCAGGCGCTGCAGCAGATCGCGACCACAAAGATTCGGCCATTGCTGATACTACACCGTCAAGCTCGATTCCACAACCTTCTCACTCCAGGAAGGAGTCCATTCCCACCACAGCATATCCAGGCGGCGTGTCCTCGCCAGCGCCGATCAACGCCCCAGTAGGTGGAACTCGTGAGGCTGCCCGTCAAGACGAGCCAAGTGACAGTCACAGAGGGACTGCGGCTGCTGCAGGCGCTGGTCTAGGTGCTGCTGGTCTCGGCGCAGCGGCTGCAAGTCACGGCTCAGCAAGCGAGCCTGCCACATACCATGACGCAACGACAAGAGGCCTCTCGTCCGGACAAGATACTTCCTACAGCGGCCCAGGAAGCACTCAGCTCAGCCAGCCGACTGGGACGACGTCCACACCTACAACGCTAGCTTCGAATGAACCATATTCCAGCGAACCTGACCGCAGCAAGCGCAACGCTGCCCTCGCTGGCGCCGGTGGAGCAGCCTTGGGAGGTGGAGCCGCCTATGCTGCCACTCGAGATAGCAAGCAGGATCCATCTGGATACACGATCCATGGTCCCGACAGCTCAGCGACATCTACTCAGCCGCGGACCAGCGCTGTATCGCAGCCACCTACTACTTCAACGCAACCGGCCTTCACTACGACCCATCCCGGCGCCTCTAGCGCAACACCCCTGGTCCCAGCATCAGCTGGAGCTCCGCCTACTGCTAGAGAATCCGGTCTGACAGATAAGGATGATGATCACACCGGACGTAATGCCGCCTTAGCAGGCACTGCAGGCGCTGGCGCCCTCGGTGCTGGTGCATATGGTCTGCACGAGCATAACAAACGAGCTGAGGACCAGCCTGCATCGGGAGGAGCTGTGTTGGGGCCGGCAGGCGCCGGTACCCCGTACACTGCTAGGGAGTCTGATCAGAAGGCAACTCAGCTGGGCCCAGCAGCTGCCGGTATCCCGTACACTGCCAGGGACGACCACCTGAAAGACCGGGATGACGACCACACGGGCCGTAACGCAGCCTTGGCAGGTGCAGCAGGCGCCGGTGCCGTTGGGGCCGGCGCGTATGGCGTCCACGAGCACAACGAGAAAGAAGCAGAGAAGGCACGAAAGGAGGCTGAAAAGGAGCAGAAGGAGGCCGCCAAACATGCGGAGAAGGAAGAGAAGAAGCACCAGAAAGAAGTCGAGAAGGAGGAGAAGAAGCATCAGAAGGAAGTCGAGAAAGCCGAGAAGAAACACGAGAAGGAGGTCGAGAAGGCAGAGAAGAAACACGAGAAAGAGGTCGCCAAAGAGGAGAAGAAACAGGAGAAAGAAGCCGAGAAGCTCGAGAAGAAACACTCCAAGGATGCCGGTGCTGCTGTGGTCACACCACAATCAACGCATGAAACGACCCGAGGAGACAGCCTTGAGTCTGCAGAAAGCCAACACGCCCGAGAACTTCAAGAGTACGAAGCAGAGCGACGGCGCAAAGCCGACCACGCCAAAGAGGTCGGCGGTGTCGCCCTTGTAGGAGGGGCTCAAGCCGGCATTGGTGACAGAGAGACGAAGCCGGGATTGCTGAAGCGCATCTTTAAACGCCGCAAGAACAAGGACACCGGCGCAGATGAGGAATACTCGACCGATGAAGAGGACTCCAGCAAGGGCGACACTGTCGTCCCAGCCGCACTGGGCGCCGGCGCCGCTTATGGTGCTTATAGCCACCACGACAAGCACAAGCATGACGACACTTCGAATATCGGCACAGCCCACACGACCGATACTGCCACCACCGAGCCACAGACCAAATACGAAGCCGTCAGCGGCGGTGCCGTCAAGCCAAGCTACAATCCTCTCAGCAAGGACCCTGTCCCAGGCACAACCACAAGCGCAACCACAAAACCCGGAAGTGCAGCCTTGTCTGCTGGGACTTCTGGTCGTGCTCCAGTCGTGGACGCAGCGGAGACAAAGGCAGCACAGCCCTCGCGGCACACCGAAGAAGCGGCTCTTGCAGGCGGCGCCGGTGCCCTCGCCGGAGGTGCGGCCGCCAGGCATCACGACACGACTGATCCCACCTATGGTACAACTAGCACCACTTCAGGTCCCACCAGCACAGGCTACGCCAACGAGCCATACGGACACACAGCGATCCATGGTCCCGACACCTCTGCGGCATCAACCCAGCCCGCTGTCGGCACCACCTCCTCGAGCACCCACCCGGAGGCCGTCACCACCAACCCCGTCGCAGCCCGCACAGCCGAGAAAGCGCTGAACGACCCAAACGATAACCGTGACCGGCACATCGAACCCACGCTGGGCATCCCATACGATCCTGCAAAAGACCCTGCGTAAGTCCTTATGCCGGCCCCTTTACCCTTCTCACTAACACCGAAATAGAGCAGCACAACGCCTCGACGAGCGCTCAGCCCAGCACCTCGCCGAAGACAAGTCTGCAACCACCCCACAATCCTCAACCTCGCACCAACCGTGGCGAGAGGGCTACAACACACACGAAACCCCCTCCTCACCAACCACCAGCAGCACAGGCACCGGCGAGAAGAAAAGCCTGACCCAAAAACTCAAGGAAAAGATCACAGGCCACAAAGACGAGCCGGAGCACGTGCACGGGGAGGAGCACGGGGTGCTGCATAAGAAGCCGCATCAGGTGCCTGAGGATGTTAGGGGGAGCTATGAGGGCTCACGTTGAGGGTGTGGGTGGGGATGAGCAGAGAGATAGCTGAGAGTATGGACAAGACATTTGGATGGAAGCACATAATACCCATATTTTAGTGCACGATAATGCAATGATGCGATTCAATCCAATAGTCGAGGAGGAGTCTTCTACGCTTTAAACGTATACTTTCGCCTTCTCTACAGTGGGCACCTGCGGCGCGACCAGAAAATCGCTCGCTGCGTTCGCCTGAGGTGGTGGCCCTTGGGAAAGGCCCATCTAACACTTCAAACGAACTATAGACAGGCAATCAACGCCCCCAGCACCTCCCCCGTATCCCTCCCCCTATCCGTCTCGGGCGCAATGCTCGACAGCTGTCCGCTTAAGCTCTGCTTAAGAACTGCTAGACCTACGACCTGGTCGATCTTCGCCCTCGCTCCGCCATCTTCTGCTGCTAGCCAGCTCAACACCACATCCAGGGTCTGCAAGCTGAACAGTCCCGCGTCGAGGCGGCGGGAGAGCCATTCGTCTTCGAGCTCTGCGTGGTCGTCCTCGTCCGCTGTTGTGCCGTTGCTGGTCCTTTCTTTCTCGATCTGAGCATCGACTCTCTGCAACCGCACCTGATACTCCCTCCTCAACTCAACAACCCGCGTCGTCTTCTCGTACTCCCGCTCCACAAACTTCGCGAGCGTGCGTATCCGTGCCGGACTCTCAGCGGGTGTGTACCGCAGTAAGCTGGCGAGGATGTTGATGAGGTGCTCTGCGCTCTCCCTATCTAGCCCTCCGCCTTTCTTATTCGAAGATGACGATGTCGCCGCGTCCTTGTCCTTAGTCTTCATCAGCAAACCGAAGAGTGTTTTCAGCCCACCCGCCTCCACGACCTGTCCACAGACCGCTACGGCGCCGTCCCCAGCCATACCGTGATCCAACACCTTCAACGCACGCGACTTTGAGACTTTGCCCTCGCGCAGCATGATCAGGCACAACTCCATCCCCTCCGCCTCGAGGAATTTCGTGGCCGGTGGCTCGTCTTCGACGAGGCAGGTCAGGCAGTCGAATAGATTCTCGACGAATTCCTCCTCGTCGCTGTCCCGTTCGGGGTCGTGGTTGCGGTAAGGGGCGAGGAGTTGGAGGATTGCGTCTACGCCATCTTGCTCGGCTACGAGTTTGCGGTTGGGTTGGGCGTTAGTGGGAGATTGCAGGAGGATCGCGAGGAGTTCGGCTGCGTATTGCCTGTTCTGGCCGACGCTGGCACGCGCGGTGGTGGGTCTGGTGTTTGGATCCGTTTCAGCAAATACTTGAATAACGCAGGATCATCGGTGCCGGTGAGTGTGGGCTCTGTAGGGCGCTGGAGGTTTTCGAAGACGGAGAGGATGTGGTATACGCTTCCCGGTCGGCGTCGCTGGAGGTTTCGTTGAGGCGGGAGAGGTTGGAGACGAGCAGAGGGATGATGCCGGCGGCGGAGAGCCCTTTGGCTAGTGCGGTCCATTGTTCGGGGGTGGCGGACGTGTCTTCGTCTGTTAGTTCTTCGAGGACTTCGGCGGCGGAGATGGCGATGTCTGTGTTGTCGTGGGCGAGGAGGGATACTAGCTGTCGAGACTGCCTGATTTGACGAATTCGGGGAAGAGGTGGGGGTATTCGGCGAGGAGGGAGAGGGTCTTGATCTCGCTATCGAGGTCTGCTTCGCTGGAGACGAACTTGAGAGGGTCGTCGGCGTATTTGGCTCGTAGTTCGGCGTTCTTGTTGATCTTGCGCTCGAATGAGAGGGCTGTGCGTTTCAGCCAGGTGAGGTCTATTGTTTCGGGGGCGTCGAGGTTGTCTGGGTCGGTGTCGTTGGCGTTGATGATGTTCATGGCCTGTCGCTCGGCGTCTGTCACGCCGGAGCCGAAGAAGCGGCCTTCTTCGTCCTCCCCTTCTGGGTCATCCTCTTCGTCTTCGTCTGGTGGGAGTGCTGGGCCTGCCTCCATATCGTCGTCCTCATCTTCGGGCGGTGGTGCTGGTCCTTCCTCTTCGACTGATGGAGGCGGAGGTTGAGACCGTGAAGAAGACCGTGCGGAGGAGCCATTTGCTAGTTTCGCGGATTTGTTGAACGAAGTAGTTGGGTCGGCAAACTTGCGCTTTGGTGCCGTATTGGGCCTGCGGAAGAGGTCGTCGACCGATGCCATGGCTGTCCGCGCCCGTCACCGCCGTAGGAAATCTTACAAATGTTGAGCTAGATCACCATGCAGCATTCCTGGCTAGGAAGGCACCATTGATGTTGCGCTTCGCTGGCAATGGCTGCTTTGCCGGCGATGAGTCGACTCCTGACAGTTTCCGGTAATTGAGGGCAGGCGTGGAGCTGGACTCGTGAGCGCAGAGTAGTGGGCACGCTTGTGTCTGCTTGCGCAGAGGTTGTTCAGATCTATTCATCGAGAAATGTAGAATGCGGCACGTCTTCACGGAAACCATTTCCGCTCCGCAGAATTTCCATGAGAGCATCGCTTTTCGATTCCTCTCTTCCCATACACTGACTTCACCATTCACCTGCGTCCCATCTCTCACTCATCTCTTCACTTCTCACGATCCATCGTCGTCACCAGTCGCGCGACTTTTCGCTACGTACGTCTACTGCGTATTCGCTCACAGACCGACCTCTTCCATCCTCCACAATCACCTCTCATCTTGAACTATGCCACCCAAGCGCATCCAAGTCCAGCCCGCCCGCCGTCAACAGCGGCCAGAGGGCTATCTCGGCGGTCTCTACAGCGCGCTGACGTCGGAAGAGAACAGGAGTGTCGTTATCAGTGTGGCTATGTTCGGCGTAAGTCCATTCTTTCCCCCGTGGCTACGCATGTGAGAAGTCCACTGGCGAGGGTCGATGGGCAGCTACGCATGCGAGAGGAGCTATGCTAATATACGTGGATGAATCAGGCCGCGATCACGTTCCTTAACAGCGAGTGGGCTGAGCTTTTATTGCCGTCATAGGGAGTTGAAACCGGAGGAGGTGTACATTATGGATGCAGGCGTTGCTGGACTCTCAACTTTTGGGACAGTATGTGGGCATTCGGATCCGACCGGGACGAGAAAGTCGTTACCAGCGGACGAAAGAGTTTGTGTTCGAGAGGACTGTAAGAAATAGTCGTGGATATTCGAATGCGGGAACTGGAATATTCCATGTCATGCTAGGTGGAGGATAGATTCGTGTCCAAGCCCGCTACTGTTCACAGACTCATGGCAAGGCAACAGCACTGGGTGGAATATGCTCTCCGCAACAGCAATCTAATTCTTCTAGACCACTCGCCATGAATCCCGGCAGAGTATTAATGCCACCATCGGCCACACAGATAAGCTCTGAGAGTCTTGCAGGCCTGGGACTACCTAGGAAGGCGGTGCACCCTCGAAGCTGTTCTCACCAGTTTGTGGCAACCAACCCGGACGCAACTTGTCGAAGATCTCAGCTGCTGGCTTGCCCCATTTGTCAGTACCTTCAGTAACGCAGTTCGAATGACGATCGTGTCGGGGCCCATGACTTTCTGGTGGTGATAGGCGTTGCTGGTGCAGTTTCCGCAGTAGAAGCAGTCGACCTCATTGCCTGAGTCGCCCTTGTAGGTGTACTGTGGTCTATGTTAGTTCTGGTTTAGTAGCGGACGGGTTCTTGGGGTGCACTATACCTTCTTGAAGTCTCCTTTCGTGATCTTCAGTGCGTCTCTGGGGATGATCTGGTTCTCGGTGCTGTTGAGAGTTGTCAGTAAGTCGGACTGGGCATGCTTAGACCGCGAGCGTCTGGCGTCATGACAGGTTGCGAAGAGGTCTCCGACAGGGCTTGTTCTAGGAACATCCTCTGGAAACTTACAACTCTCCTCCAGACATAAGCTTGCAGGCGTTGCAATGGCAGAGGACATGAGCTTCGTCCTTGAGATCAGCCGTCCATTCCGTCGCGCCGCAGTGGCATCGTCCTTGATAGGTAGGCATATTCTTGGATCAGTTGGAAGTATGGGTATCCTGTGGTGTCTTGAATGATCTTGGGTGTCTGGTTGTTCGAAGTAGTTTGTCTATGTGAGAACGAATCGTCGAAATCGTGTGTTCAATGGTAGTAATATATGCCTGAGATCATCACGGTAGCTCCTGCTAAAAGTTATTTGAGATCGCGTTTGCGTTGCGTCAGTGGTATCACCCCTCACAGGTACATCACACTGTAGGCAGTCACAGAGCAATTACTGCTAACAAATGCCCCGCGGATATCCCGTTTGCACTTGCCTTGCCTGTTCTGGGCATGTTCGATCCTCTTTTGTGAACTGTCAGCATGGCTTGCTGAAAGGCCTCTGTCGGCCCGGCATTTGTGAGCAGTCACAGGTCCAGACTTGTCCTGGATGTGGAAATGTTCGAGCGCAACGACATTCGCTTTGAGGCCTGCGGCGCGAAACCCGTCGGACACCCGGGGTTGTGGTTGTGGTTGTGGTCACAGTCTTTTCCGCGAGTGCTGTCCGATTATTTGCATTAATGATTGCCGGGGATGACATTGTGCATCTTGAAGGCCCACCTTGCTCCAGATTCCAAGCGGAGTGATGTCAGTTCCATCCCGTCAGGCGGGCTCGGTGCCCACGGTAAGGTGTCTGTACGATTTGGGCAGTTGCCTATGATGCTGTTGCTGTCGCGCTATCGCGCGAACGATGCCCTGACGAACACCACATTCCAAGCCCCAAGCGAGACCATAGGCACCCGTCGCTCGAAGCTCACCTTTATGAGCTAAGCCGTTGGGTGGACAGACGAGCAACTTGCTCAGCGCATTATTTCAAATAATGGAGTGAGAAATCTCCTTGTGATCCTATTCGCGGACAGCTTAGCGGAGGGTTGTTCGGACTGATTCGAGGAGTTGGCCTCACGCAAGCAGTTGATAGAGCAAAGGAGAAAAAGTAGAAGATAGAAGCTCGGCGAACAGACAGTTGATGAGATGTGAACCGAGCTTTTATATACACATATACATATACGTGATTCCGCATCGCCATGTTGCGATTACTATTCAACTTTTGAGGACCTTGCCATACCTATTGCCATTTTGAGCTTCGATGATTCAATCCGCATCCAATTGATCTCAGACGAGTACCGACTCGATTTTCATTCTGTCCAGCATCATGTTCCATAGGTGTGGCCATTGCCATTCGGCATAAGGTGTTCAGTAGCATTTTCAGCCTCATCCTCGAGCTCTTGCCGTGCCGCTTTCCTACTCTTCACAGTCACAAATGCCACCAAAGCTCCGCCCACAACCACAGCAGTGCCAGTCAGGATTGCGTTGACTGGGATCGGGTTCAAGTCGAACACCACATGAGTCACCGCGTCCAACGGACTCTGGAGGAAGTTCAGAAGCCCAGCTAGGCAAATGATCAATCCATATACTTTTCCGAATGTGACGAACCCGAAGACTTTTGCCGAATAATCAGAAACTGCTGTGTAGTAGAATGGCCTGTATAGAACAAACAAGGCAATATTTGCGATTGCGGCCCATGTATACGGTAAACATCCAAGCACGCCGATGACTGTTGCTACCAGGACCAGAGATCCGAGAGCAAAAGGCGTTGATGTGTTGTCCAAAATCGCTCCAATGAAAGGTATACTCAAAACGCCACCAACAGGCAGAGCAATATCGAAGAACTCGTTGACTTTGCGTGCCTGCTCTTCGGATCCCAGCAACCACCTTTCCTGTGACCGTACCGTCGCAACGAAGTAGTTGATGCGTGTCATCTGAACGACGGTGAACAATGTAATGAGGATGAACCAGGGAGTCTTGATCTGTTCCCAGGCAGTCCGACCATGCAGAACTCCCCATACGCCTGACTGATGATTTTTCTTCTCCTCACGAACCGCTCGTTTCGAGTTTGCTGGAGTCTCCAGAAGGGCGGTGATCTCACTGACGGCACTTTCTCGTCGTTCTCTGAACGTAATCTGTTGCTCTTCTGTAGCCTCTGGAGGCGTTGGAGCGTTTGCACCTTCCTCGGCTTCCTTCACAATCTCGCTGACAGATTTGTAGGATACCTTCGGCATCACAAAGATCTGCACAACGAGGATGAAGATTGGCACTACCAGGTAAATCTTGAAAAGCTTTTCGGTATTGAGAGAACCTTCTGTGCGCTCGTAGAGTATCCGGAAGAGGAGAAATAGGGCCGAAGAAGAATCGAAAGCTCCAGTCAAAAGAGCCAAGATCAATCCCGACCTGTGTGGGAAGGTGTTCGATAGTTGAAAAGACGAGATGAACACGAAGGGACCTCCCAATGCCAGCAGGAAGTATGCAGGTGTGTACAAGTCGGCCTTGACAGATGAAGCAAAGGACATGAGCATTGCGCCCGCAAAGATGAGCACACTGCTGATAATGCCGCACACCCTCGGTCCAAATTGATCCAGTATGGTTCCTATGGGCAATGCTGCGACATTGGTAGAGACTGCTGCAATAGTGAACATGAGATTGAGGCGAAGCTCTTGCTGGTAGCACGGAGACACTCCTTCCTCGATCTCCGACGGCGTACACAGCTCGTCGAAGGCGCCTTCATCGATCAAGACGGGTTTGATGGCTGCATACCCGAACACTGGCCCTGCTGCAAACAGGCAATATATAATGGCGATAACGACTTGTGCTAAGAGATGTTAGCAGATGCCCGCCTGAAACGCCCCAGGTCGCTCACTAATTCTCCTCGCCTTTGGCACATCCTCGAATTCCAGCACATGCTCTGCAGTCTCAGGAGGTGTGTCGTGCTTCGGCGGCATCCAGTCTGTCACCGGATTGAACGACATCCTCCTGTGCTCGATACCAGAGCTGTCCGCATTTCGCTCAAAGTGGTCAGTCGAACTCACGCGACTCAACGACATAGTGAGGGGTTATTGAGTGAGCGCAAAGTTCAAATGCTTGTTGCTTGATCCGTGCCTGATTTCGTGCGCCGAGCCAATGCCCTCACTGGAACGAGGTCAGATGAGCTGCAGAGCAGCACGAAGCGGCAACAATGCGGAGAACTGTGGGGGAAAGGACAGGTAAGCAGTAATTAGCCGGGCGAAGTGAGCGACGATGATGAAAGAACAGCAGCAGCTTTTCTTGCATGCGATTCACTGGCATATAAAACAGAGAGAGCTTCTCGGTTCAGCATAGTCGTTGAAAATTTTGAAGCCGTTGAGCTACCTAGGCATGTACTGCTGTCTTATCAGACATGGCGTTGATAAAGCTGCAGAAGTTCACACCATGATGAGAAATTTATGCGGGTAATTCTTTACTCCGCTCCCAGGAGTCAGGGCCAATCACCTCGCGGCGGGAACCAGCCTCATCCTCATCCCAATCACAGCTAGCTATCTCCAAGCTACAACCAACACGTTCCCCATTCAAATGGCACCATACCTAAGACCTCATCCGCACAGCGTGCGAGTGCTGCGGCTATTATGAGATCTAGCAAGCTCCCATGATGAAAGCGCAACATCCGCCATCGAAAAGCTTCAAACCGAACGCGCAAGTCATCCATGGCACGCGCGTAGCTCCTCCATCACGACCGGTAAGTCAGAGCATTGTGAACGCGTCTAGGAATCGCAAACTGTCTCGACTTGTCTCGGAACCCGCAAGATCGATCTCTGGGTATCCTATAAAACCAATTAAGTGCTTTGTGCGGCTGGGTCTGTTTTTAGAGACCCCCAGACGCGGCCGGCGGCTAATTCTATGGTAACGATGCTCTGGCCAAATCCGGCCGAAACAATGTTTGAATCGATCCGAACTATCTTACACCACAGCTGATCGATGTCTTTGTATCTCTGTGAAACCGAAAGCGCGGTTGAAGACAAAATGGAACAGGACGACCAAGGATCTGAGATCCGCTGTGCCCGAAGCCACACGAACACCGCCGCTCACCTCTAGCTTATAAGGACCGCATAGCGTCCGCGTTTGATCGTCGACCTCAATACAGCACATTCCCTTAGGTCTTTTCCTTAGTGTTCTCAGCAGATCGTGACTAGTAGCCGGGTGACGAGCAACCGTTTACTTGACAACAACAGGCATTGACTCGCCGCAAAGAGTCAACAACAATCCTTCCCTCGAAGTCCAGTCCAAGTTCGCCTTACAAGCAAGCGATCATACACTCCTTCACTATGGCAGGTCCTCAAGGCGCTCTCGCAGCCGCCTTTAAGATCAGCCGAGCACTACAAGCTGCCTGCTTGATCACGATTATCGGATTGACGGCGAACTTTGTCTCTGACATGGTCAACGCCAATACTACACCACCACGGATACTGATCGCTACACTAAGCATCGTAAGTCGGCACTTCTTTCTGCGATGACAATCAGCTGACAAGAGCAGGTCTGCGTAGCAGTCCTATACTGCGCGATCACATTCGTTTTGTTCCTCGACAACGTCCTCCCATACCTTATCGGCACTGGCATTGACGCCGCTTTCCTTATTGCGCTTGTTGTGGTGTCTGTTGTGGTTGGCAAACCGGTCAGCTACCTCGACTGCACCGTTCTGGATGATATGTCGAAGGCGACTTCTAGCTCCTACGACTTCACGTCTGCGCTGGGCAGCAGCTTGACCAACAATGACGGTCGCATTGATTATTCCAAATGGATTGGCACGTCTCAGGCGACGTGTCTGGAAATCAAGTCCATCTGGGGGCTGAGCATGGCGCTTTGGTAAGCAGTTGCCTTCCCCAACGACAAAGATCAGACGACGGCTAATCTTCATATCAGTGTCCTGTTTGCGTTTTCGGGGATCTGTACTGTCTGCCTGTGGAGGAAGGCCAAGCAACTTCCATCAGCCAAGGGCGAAGCATAGACTGTGGAACTGTACTCTGCATAAGCAGCAGCGAAGGTTTTACGGCAGAAAGCATACAGTTGCGGGCTGGCAGGCACCACAGAAAGTCGTCAGAGATGCATTATGCAGGGCAGCTGTGCTGCTGCACAAGTCACTTGCGCATAGTTAGTGCGAGTCGTTAGTGTCACTCGAAGTCACTTGAACATTGACTCGACTGGGACCTATTTTCAGTCAGCCTTATTCCCGGATGCATGGTGACAGCCAGAAAGTGCGCACGCAGCTCATGATCCGGTACATGAACCCTTCAGTGAATACTTTGCTCCGAGTCTGTAGAGTGAATTTGCTCCGGTCTTCACTTCGTCGAAGAGGTATAAGTAATCGCCTTGCCCACGACGTATTTCGCTACTTCGTTTGCCATCATCGTGAGACAGCACCCTCCCCATCATGCCATACCATTTTAGCACACGTTGCTAGCTGGTAGGGCGAGGTGCTTTCATCGTGGGTTGTACAAGCCACGTTCGACCGGAATGAGGGGACGCTGTGATAGAGAGTCGCTGTTTGTACCGACCCAATGGTACTGATCTTTATTGGTCCGGACGAACCTTTTGACATCGTCGATCATCTTTTGCCTGTGCCTCACCGCCAGCCAACGAAGGGCCGCGCAGCGCTTGCGTTGAGTCAGGAATGTTGTTGCTCTCTAAACCTATGATCCGAATCCATTGCAATCGTGTACGGAATGCTCGACCAAGCCCAATCACATGGTCCCGAAAATTTGGTGCGGCCCTGACCGAATCCGAGAAAGAGGAACCATAATTTTAGTGCGTGCTAAGCACTCTGTCGGTACGGGTCTGTGCTCCCTCGCATGGCCTGAACCCTGTTGGGTGCCAACACATACGAGCTCTGAGTGGTCCCCAAGAACGCAGAAAAGGTAGAAAATCCAGCGCAGTGGTTCAGTCTCAGAGGCGGACCCGGGCGGCCTATGAAGCTAGAGTTAGGTGCATTTGGTTAACCATTCAAGCGGGTTTGAGCAATCATCCTCTCCTCGTGCGAATATGATATATCGTAGAAGCCTTTCTTCCTAATGCGCTGTCTCTGGACAAGACTGGATCCTCCGTCACTGCACATGCCCCTCTCTACGGCAGTCGTCTCAGACATAACGCCGATACTACTGCAATCTCGTTGAACAGTACGACGGTGGGTTGCCACAAAGTTCACGGCGGGCAAGTGCTATCCCCACTATAACGCAAGTCCGACTCGTTTCATAAGCTTGGGAAGGCCCATACTGGCGGATCTGCTGATGACATTTCTAAACCCGTCCTCCCCCAAATAATAATACGGCCTCATGAGTTTGCATTCTCGCATACCACAAGACCTGTCAACCACGTTCCTTCTCCCGCGCGACACTTGGACTGGTCGTGTATACATTCTAAGGTGAAACGCTCACGGGACGGCACGCTTGACTACCTGGTCTGTCTTTCGGCCTGAAACGGTGCCTATATCGCCAGCATTCACCGTCTGTCGATCATACTGTCACCATTCACCATGCTTTTCTACTCCCTGGCTTTCGCATAATCACAATTCCAGGACAGGTCGTGTCCGAACAGGAACTAGAGCATTGAAAATTGCTTCACTCCATGGAATGGGTCACCAACATGTCACCGACTGGAACTGGGAGCAAAATGGATGACCTAAATCTCCCAACTGAGATCCCTGTCGACGAGAACTATGAACTCAGTGCCGAGCCCGAATTCGATGAAAGCTCCCAGTACTCGATAGCATCGACTAAGTACAACTTCACGTGGGAGAATGGGCGACTATACCATGACTACAGATCTGCTCATCCGTTCCCATACGACCAGCGCGCCCAGGAGAACGAGCAAGTCTTCCATGCAATGATGCTTTGCATTCTCGAGGACAAATACTGGCTGTCTCCCATCGCCGGCGAACGAATCAAACACGCACTCGACCTCTGTAGTGGCATGGGCTTGTGGGCGGAGGGTGTGGCCGATCGATATCCGGATGCAAATGTTGTGGCAGTCGACTCAGCTCCGGCACCTGAGACTATCATTCCCAATTGCCGGTTCGAGTTGGCGGACGTGACAGAAGAGTGGCTCTTCACCAGACCAGAAGAAAAGTTTGATCTCATCTACCTTCGAAGCCTCTTCGGCTCCTTCAAAAAGGACGACTGGGTGCCGCTGTATACACAGTGCTTGCAGTATGTCCACATGACGGACCCCTAGGTCGACGGTGCACTAATCGATCCCAGAAACATGGCGTCCGGCGGCTACATCGAGCATACCGAGATTGACATCAAACTCCTCTGCGATGATGATACTCGTCATCCCGAATCCCAGATTCAGGCGCTAGCAGACAACGCAGCTGCCATGTCGGCTGCTCATGGCAATCAGTTCGACCCAGCCGGCGATATGGCGACGTTCATGAAAGAGGCCGGCTTTGTCGATGTCAAGGAGCTCAGATTCAAGCTTCCGCTGGGCTGGTGGTCCGCTGATTCCAAGTACAAGGAAATCGGCACATTCTTCGAGCGCTACTACAAGACTGGTATGCAGGGCTGGTTGATGCAGGTGTATACTAAGGCCATGGGCGTGAGTATGCCATCAATCCTTAAAGGTCCTCCTAACATTGGTTCCAGTGTACTCCGCAGCAGGTGAATGACATCTGCCTCAAAGTATTCGCGGAGATCGACTCCAGGAAGCATCACTATTACTTCAACCTGTAAGTAATCTCAGCCTCAGTCATGGCCCACGGACACTAATTATACACCAAAGCGTCGTCTGCGTAGGTAAAAAGCCCTGAAAGCGGTCACTGTGCCGAACACTTGATAGAAGGCCTCAATTGTCAGCTTATCGCTTACATCGGCTTCCATGACCATCATGTCGGACCAGACAGTATTCTTCCGATCGCAGATGGTGCTTACGAGCATCAATACTCAAGCGAGCTCGCATCACCGACGTTCCTTACGCGTGGGATGCAAGCCTAGGAATGGCCGGAAGATTTCCCCCCAGGGCATAGGTCGAGACCCCCGACATCCTCAGCCTTATGCCTACCAAAGCTTACTGCCGAGAGTCTATGGGCGATATCACTACGGGATGATGCAAACGGCTCTGCTGACGGCGTGGCCTGCTGACAGCGTATGTCGGCAATCATGGTCCAGCGATTCTGGTCGATGTTGGGGGAAGATGCCCTAAAAGGTTGAGTGAATGCTGGACCTGATACTCGCGCTTTGACGCTCAGAGGTCGTGGATGCGCAAGCCCCAACAAATGTTGGACGATCCTGGCTTTTTGTCTATCGATGAGGGAGTGTTGTTGGATAAGGGCCATGGTCATTGAGAAGTTCGGGGTTTCGGCGGAATTGGCAGGCTCATATCAAGCCTCACAGCCGAAAAGTCATGATTTACGAAGCAGCATTGCATTGCATAGCATGAGAAGCATTAGATAGAAAGAAGCGACAGCTCAACACATCACTAGGAGCTCAACCTAGAGTGAAGTGTACAGAGCATCTGGTGACAATGAGCAACAGTGCGCTAAGCCAAATCTGAAGAGGCTGTCTAGTACATTCCGGTGGCCAGCAGTGAAACAGAACGCGTCTTCCTTTGCCTGCGGCCCAAAAAGTTGCTGCCATCGCCATCTTCACGAAAGAGTACACGCACCGTCATCCCCATCCTTCATCGCCTTCGCTGTCATCTGTCCCAAGCCGAGTCACCGACAGATGCTGCGCGCGCCATACACGATCAACAGACCGCGCTTTGGCGCACGTTCGGGTCGCGCGCTGCGCTGAAGCTGGGAACATTGCCTCATCCCTACGAGTCGCCTCCGACCTGCCACCACACGACGGCCATTCGGGGCTCCTCCGCTGAGCGCTTAGCAGACACACTCCGATCCCGCCGCCAACATGGCCGACTACGGCGATCAGTTCATGTCCAATGGCGACTATGACGATGAGATGGGCGGCAATGAGTACGATCAGGACATCTCGCCCGAAGACTGCTGGAAGGTCATCGGCAGCTTCTTCGAGCGCAAAGGTCTTGTCTCGATGCAGATCGACTCATTCGACAAGTTCATGTCGCAGACAATCAAAGATCTCGTGATGGACAAGGGATCAGTCACATTGGATTATGGCAAGCACCCTGAACCAGACGAGATCAACCCGGTTGTCATCGAGCGGCACGAAGTCAAGTTTCTGGATGTCACCCTCTCATACCCAAACGTCGTCGAAGGTGATGGTGTCACCAACGATCTCATGCCTCACGAGGCTCGCCTGCGAAGTTTGACATATGCTTGTCCAGCGTTCATCCTGATGTCAAAGAAGACCTATTACGCCCGAGAAGCGCCGTCAGATTCGTTCGAGAACCTGGAAGGAATGGTCACACAAGGCACCGACGGCATGCAGCTGTACTGGGAGGTTGGTCACTCAAATGATGATATTCCAGAAGATCGGCCTGAGTCAGTCTACATTGGCAAGATTCCGGTGATGCTCAAGAGTGGGAGTTGTTGGCTGAATCAAGATCCGAGCAAGACCAAAACAGCGCGAAAGATCTACAGTGATCAAGATCTCTTCGCATGGGGTGAATGTCCATACGATCAGGAGGATACTTCATCATCAATGGCAGCGAGAAGGTTCTGATCGCGCAGGAGCGGAGTGCTGGCAACATCGTGCAGATTTTCACAAAGGCGTCGCCATCACCTTTCACCCATTTAGCTGAATGTCGGTCTGTGGTTGAGGGAGGCTCAAGACAAATGTCGCAGTGTACAGTCAAGCTATACAGAAAGTCGGACGGTCCAGATGGCACCAAGATCGAGAATACTCTGAAGGTACAATTGCCATACGTTAAGATGGAGATCCCTCTTGCGATCGTCTTCAGAGCACTGGACATCGTGTCAGATTCAGACATCATTGAGAAGATCTGCTTCGACCACAGCGACAAAGAGATGATCGACATGCTCATGGGCTCTTTGCAGGAAGGTCAAGCCATTCAGCGAGGAGAACTTGCACGTTCATTTATTGCGACCAGGACAAGCGACAACAAGATGACCGCATCCCAGAGACAGACGATGGCCAACGATATTCTGCAGAAGGAATGGCTTCCACACATCGGCAAGGGAGCTGACTCGCTCACACAGAAGGCGTATTATCTCGGCTACATGGTCAACAGGCTGCTCAAATGTGCGCTAGGTCGGACAGAGCCTGATGATCGTGATCATCTGGGAAAGAAGCGTCTTGATTTGGCCGGTCCGCTCATGACCAACCTCTTCCGCAGTCTTTTCGACAGAGCGACCAAGGACTTCTTCCGCTACATGCAGAAGCGTGTAGAATCTGGGCAGGACATCCACCTCGAGCGGGCTTCAAGGCGAACATCATCACTAATGGCCTCAAATACTCCTTGGCGACAGGCAACTGGGGTGATCAGAAGAAGCTCGACAAGGCGAAGGCTGGTGTGTCGCAAGTGCTGAACAGATATGCCTATGCATCTACAGTTTCGCATCTGCGGCGGACGAATGCTCCTATCGGTCGTGAGGGCAAAATCGCGAAACCTCGTCAGCTACACAACACTCACTGGGGCTATGTCTGTCCAGCAGAAACGCCGGAAGGTCAAGCTTGCGGTCTGGTGAAGAACTTGGCGCTGATGTCGCTGGTGACCAACGACGTTCCCGTTGGGCCTTTACGACAATACATTCTTGAAAAAGATGTCGAGACTATAGAAGACTGGGAACCGAAGCTCAATTCTCAGGCCACGAAGGTGTTCCTGAACGGTGTCTGGTTTGGCGTAATTGTCCAACACCCACGTCGACTCGTTGACCACATCAGAGAACTCCGTCGCAAGTGTATCGTAGACTCGACTATTGGTCTCGTGTGGGACATTCGAGAGAAGGAGTTCCGCATCACCGGTGAAGGAGGACGTATCATCCGACCGCTCTTTGTTGTCGAAAACGACACGACCAGTGAGAACCACGGAAACCTCAAATTGACGAAGCAACATGTCGATAGATACAGGCGACCGAAGATGCACGAAATGGCGGCCCGCCACCTGAAGAGCCTTGCAATTGGGATATCTTACTCTCAGAAGGCACCGTGGAGTATCTCGATGCCGAGGAAGAGGAGACCGCCATGATTGTCATGACGCCTGAGCACCTGAATGACTCCAAGATACGCGATGGCGGCGGAATAATAGAGACTGGTGATGATCCACTAGCTCGACACGATCCTCTGCTCACAGGTGCAAACACCATGTTCACTCACTGCGAGATTCACCCAGCATGATCCTTGGTGTTTGCGCCAGCATCATTCCCTTCCCTGATCACAACCAATCGCCTAGAAACACATACCAATCTGCTATGGGTAAGCAGGCAATGGGTGTATTCCTTACGAACTTCGAGCGACGCATGGAGACTATGGCCAACATTCTATACTACCCGCAGAAGCCTTTGGCGCGAACGATGGCTATGGAGTACCTCAAGTTCCGAGAGCTGCCTGCAGGTCAAAATGCAATTGTTGCTATTGCTTGCTACTCAGGCTACAATCAGGAAGATTCCGTGATCATGAATCAGAGTTCAATTGACCGAGGTCTCTTTCGATCACTGTTCTACCGCACATACCAAGAACAAGAGCGACTTGTTGGGCAAGGCGTCATCGAACAATTCGAGAAACCCACTCGCATGGATACACTACGCATGAAGCACGGCACATACGAGAAGTTGGATCAGGACGGCATCATCATGCCTGGCGTTCGTGTCAGCGGTGAGGACATCATCATGGGCAAGACCACTCCAATGGCTCCAGACGCAGATGAGCTGGGTATACGACAGAAGACGCATGTCAAGCGTGACGTCTCCGTCCCTCTCCGATCTACCGAAGCCGGCGTGGTCGATCAGGTAATGGTAACAACCACTGCAGACGGCAACCGCTTTGCCAAAGTCCGTGTCCGAACCACCAAAGTCCCGCAGATCGGCGACAAGTTCGCTTCACGCCACGGTCAGAAAGGCACAATCGGCGTCACCTACCGTACAGAAGACATGCCATTCTCGCGCGAGGGCATAGTGCCAGATCTAGTCATCAACCCGCACGCCATCCCCTCCCGCATGACAATCGCCCATCTGGTCGAATGCCAACTCAGCAAAGTCGCCACCTTGCGAGGCGACGAAGGCGACGCCACCCCCTTCACCAAAGTCACCGTCACCCAAATCTCCGACATCCTCCGCCAACAAGGCTACCAATCCCGCGGCTTCGAGGTCATGTACAACGGCCACACCGGCCGCAAACTCGTCTCCCAAATCTTCTTCGGACCCACCTACTACCAACGCCTGCGCCACATGGTCGACGACAAGATCCACTCCCGCGCCCGCGGGCCCACTCAGATCCTCACCCGCCAGCCCGTCGAGGGTCGTGCTCGTGACGGCGGTCTGCGGTTCGGAGAGATGGAGCGCGATTGCATGATTGCGCACGGCGCTTCCTCTTTCCTCAAGGAACGTCTGTTCGATGTCTCGGATCCGTTCAGAGTGCACATCTGCGACATCTGTGGGCTGATGACGGTGGTGGCGAAGCTGAAGAAGAATACATTCGAGTGCAAGAACTGCAATAACAAGAACCAGATCAGTCAGGTTTATCTGCCGTATGCGGCGAAGTTGCTGTTCCAGGAGTTGCATGCTATGAATATTAGCGCAAGGATGTATACGCGGAAGAGCAAGTAGAGGGGCCGCCACCGACCCACCGCGGCGAGCGAAGCGAGCGATTCTCTGGTCGCGCCGCAGGCGCCCCCTGTAGAGAAGCGAGCAAGAGCCGGTTGTGCGCTGCAGGAGGCTATGGGGTTTGCTGGTGGGAGTGTGCCTAGGTCGGCAGGAGCGAGTGGTTTAGACTGTGAACTGGAATGCATGCATACAGCGCGGCGTCTTTGATGGAAAGACTCCTACGGAAGCTGGGAGATTGCAGACCTGGGAATTTGGCGGTGAGGAGGGAAAGTGCATGCCATGCCAGGACTCTGATGGTGACATGGGGTTTCATCTCGTTCTTGCTCGCTCGACGGGCGCCGAAAAATGTATAACACGGTCCTTTCATGCATCAATCACTACGCTGTCTTTGTTCCGCTGACGTGCTCGTGGTGAACTTCTCGTGGTCGTCCTTTTCAAGGCCTTGCTGTATGACAGTAGTCGTGTTGGTGAAGCTGGTATAACGTTATAGATTCCTTGGTTGAGCATCGTAGAGCCTCAAGAAAATATTCCGCGAGACCGGATGACTAGCGATATTTTGGGGGATCTTGGTTCTGGCAGGACCAGCAGAGGATGTCCTGCCCACTAGATCTGACTAGAAGTGAGTTACGGGAACGATCACGACACCTGAATTATGCAAGAGGCATGGGCAATACCCGTTGACAAAGTCTAGGGGTCATGTCATACTATCGCTTTTTCTGATTGATGGCTCTGGAGAGTCAAGGACACAAGCCCTCCCTCCAGAGAGCACGAGCATATCCCTGTTCCCTACCTGCTGCTCCAGCCAGGTAACTGGCTAGCTCCCTAACGCAGCTCATCACATATCCGTGCCCTCCAAAAGCGCGTCCAAATCGTCCTCCTCGGGATTGTTCGGCAATGGTGAGGATGAGTACGTCTTCAACATTTCCTGTGAGGCCGTTATACCACCTTCGAGCCCCTTGTTTTGACTCTCTTCATCGTTTCTAATTGGCGATGACAAGAAGATCATGTCTGCTGCGGCGAGATCTTGGGCCTCATCTGCTTGCTTAACCGGTGTTCTGTTGTTGGTCTCTGTTGCCGCGACCTGAGCTGGAGAGGTCGGCGGAGTCACTTCGCGAGGCTGGCGTGGTAGTGGCGGGAGCGTGTTGTTGGCATCGTTCGCAGTATCGTTCTCGAGCTCACCTTCGGAGTCGGAGTCGTCGAAGATGGTGCGTTTCTTCTTGCTGGATGAGTCTCGCGTTGATGGGCGAGAGGATGAGGCAGGTTGTGCGTCGGGTGGTTGGACTAGTGCTGGAGCTTGTTGGCGGGTGTCTTGCTCTGCGAGGAGGGCGTCTAGGTCGTCTTCGTCGTCCTCATCTTCGGCAGAAGGAATTTGTAAAATTGGTTTTGGGCCGCGCTCCACGTCGCGACGCGAATCTTGCTCGGCGAGGAGCGCATCGAGATCATCCTCGCCCTCAGAGTCGTCTTCTCTCGCTGCCGCAGGCGCAGCTGTGATTGCTGGAGCCGAGTCTTGCATAGCAAGCAATGCGTCCAACTCGTCGTCATCCTGATCCTCAGTGTTGCCAGTCCCTGCGGTCTGCGCTGCCTTGCTCGGCGACGGGAAGAACATGTCCTCATCATCCAACGGAACATCATCTTTCACTGCAGCTGGCGCCTTCAGCGGCTGCCCATTCTCTCCAACACGCATCGTCGACGGCTGATCCTCCGCACGCAGAATACTCTCAACCAGCTCCGTTCCCGGCCTGATATAGCCCGGCTTGCCCTCATCAATCCACTCCTTCCTCATGACCTGCATGCGTTTGCTATGTCCGACCTTCTCGATCAGCTGTAGGCCATCCGCGAACTTAGCTCGAGGAAAGAGGCCGTCTAGCCAGAGCTGGTAGAAGTTGAGCAGCCTCGCGATGTCGGAGAACTCGTGGCCTTTGCCTTTCATTCGTAGCTTGCGGGTGACTGATGAGGAGCGGGCGATGGTGCGTAGCTTGGGTATGCCGTCGGCTCTGAGCAATCTGCGGTATGTCAGTGATTACGCTTTGCTAGGCGGGTTGACCGTGGAGCGTACCGGTCCTCATCAAGCTTGACGACAGGTCTTCGCTTCTTCGCGATCTTGACCTCCTCGTTGAGGCCGAGGAAGTCATCGTTATCGTCGGTGGTCTTTCGCTTGGTGCCTCGAGGTGAGAGCGTGGCCTTGTCGTCGCGGACTCGGCTTGTTGGGTTGTCTGCGAATGGGTCGTCGTCTGATAGATCGTATTGTAGCAGATCTGCTGTTGTTTCGGCAGTCAGAGGATCTGCTGCCATGTCGAGGGGTGGCCGAATAGTCGCGCTCTTCTCCAAGCGGTCAGAAGTCAAGGTTAAGTGGATAGAGAGTCGCTCAGTCGCTCACCGAACTGCAGTGATTGAGAAGTTAGAAACGCGTCTGGGACTTTCAGAGACGCGCCGACCCCACGTCATCGTCAGACGGCGTCTTTTGAACCACATTTCTGACCCCGAGCTTTGGAGTCGGGAGCACCTCAGGCTTGGCAGGTCCCGAGTTCAAAGCTCCGCAGGACCTCACCTTCGACGACTGGAGGACAGTCCGCGCAAGAACGAGCCACAACAGATAGACACCATGGCGCAAGAACCGCCACGGGTGGTGCAGCCTGGTCTGCTCAACAACCGATTCCCGGTGAGCACCCGTATGGGATCACAGCATGAGGATGAGAGTGCTAACATCAACGCAGGTCATTGACACAGATCCGTATGTCCCACACCCTCCAGACCACCATCCTTGACCACAATCGAGCCGTGAGAGCACATTACTGACAAGAACTCATCGGACAGACACTGGCGACGAGCCTTCCGCTACGCACGAACCGAAGACTGGACCTTTGGCGCCGGCATGGCAGCTGTCGGCCCTGCCCTCATGGCAGTCACAGAGCGATTCGCACCTTCATTCGCGGGTCGAGGTGCCTACCCTCCCATCTTCCGACTCAGTATCGCTATTGGTGCGGTTGCGGGGTTGGGGCTGGTCTATGAGCGGAGTTGCTGTACGTTCACTACGACCGGGCTATATACGAGAGTGCTGCAGGAATGGGATGCTGACGAAAGTGATGCAGTGCGATTCATCGGCATGAACGAGAACGCGCGGGAGGTCGAGATGGATATGCGCGAGATGGTGGATAAAGTCAAGAAGGGCGAGCCGTTGTATGGCCACTCGACGCTCACGCCGCATATGCAGGGCATTGCAGCCAGGAATTCGCGGTATTCGTCGTTGTGGACGCATATAATGCCGTGGGCGAACTTCACGAATCATAATCAGGTATGTTTTGAATATGTGATGGAGGGCAGGGTAGCTGACGTGGTGGTGTAGCATGGTGTCGATACGGCAAAATACTACCAGCAAGCGGAACGGGAATTGGAGGCTGAGAAGGCTGGTAGATGAGACTATGACACGGGGTCGCGGGGATCTGGGCTGGTGCGAGGAAAAGCACAATCAGACAAATGCTAGCATGTGTATGCCCAATAAGAGACGAATGATACTAAACGCCAGCTCGTCTGTGGGTGATTTGTGGACACAAAAGATTGACATTGCACATATTCGCGACTTAGCGCGACGATCAAATCGGCCAAGTCAGCCATCACTAACCCGCGAGCGAGCTCTGTTGCGACTGTGAAGAGGGGTCGAGGGAGGAATGCATGCCTAGTAGTGGCCCGTTTTACTTCTAGGTTAAGGAGGAGCTCGGCCGTCCCAGTCAGAATGCAAATACATGAGGACTTGTCGCATTGGCCAGCCATCGGCGGACGGATCGAGATTCGGATCGGAGGCACTTGCCGCTGACGACTTACGAGAGTCTTTCACACTCTTTGATGTCGGCTTGGTCGTTGCTGAGCGCATATCATGGGCCGTGTCTTGGATGGGGGCTAGGCAGATGCGAAGACAGAGGCAGATGATGCTCTTACGACCATGCCACCTCAACTCACGAGCATATTGCGGGCGACTTCGGGCCTGTCGGAGCAAGTCTACACGACAGGCTTCGTTCGACACAGTCCGTTGCATAGGCAGCAGAGGGCGAGCCTTGCCTTTCGCCACGAGCTGCTGGAGTTCAGCAGTCCAGCTCGTGCTGCGCAAGGTGTTGACCAAATCTCGGTTGCGATCGTGTGCTGAGCCTGTCCCTGAAGGAGCGGCAACTTCGTGTCTGCGGGCGTAGCATTTTGCTTCGTGCCCTATTGCCACTCATCCTTTGCACCGAGTCAGATGTCTCGGGCGTGGTCCAACACAAAAGACTCTCGCTTATTCGGCGACTTGCTCCGTGAATTGGCCACGGCGCATCTGTCAGATCTGTCAAATCAGCCATCTTCACCGAACCACGTCTAAGCACGAGCAAGCCTGCCTGCCCCCAACAACACTGTCACGTCTCCTGATGGTGTGCTACGACACTCTTTGAGAAATCATCAGGCCGCATTAGGCACCGCAGCGCCACGCACAACTTCGTGATTGTTAATTCTGGCCGGTGAAGATGAGCACTGACCTTTCCGAGAAGAATGTCTGACACGCGGTTGAGTTGAGATGAGATGTATTTATCTCGACGACTGCATGTAGATGAGGCAGACAAGATCTGTCTCTCAAGTTCGGGATACTGGCAAGCATGCTTTCGTTCCAGTCGGTCGCCTCTTTTGCTCGATCTTGGCAGTTTGTCTGTTTTCTCATTGCCTTCTTCTTATGGCGTGTTGTTAAGGCAGTACGACAGTATCGACGCCTTCGACACTTCAGAGGCCCGTGGTGGGCGGCGTGGAGAGAAGTCTGGCTCTTCAAGGCGGCAATCAAAGGCGACTTCCACCTAGTTGCGGAGGAGCTGTTTCAAAAATATGGTATCCGAGATCTCGATGGTAACACGATCGATCTGACAGCTGACGTACGTTGACAGGCTCGCCTGTTCGGATATCGCCTAACCTCTTAATCACCAACGATCCGGATATGATCAGGGCCATGACGGCACCACGATCAAAATTCCGTCGAGGCCATTGGTATCGAGGCATGGGATTGGATCCGAGAATCAACAACACTCTGTCGGAGCTGGACGAGCGGCGACATGCTGAGCTCCGAACAAAGCTCTTACCAGGTGTAAGGCCCTAACCTCCCTTGTCTGCCACGGCTGACTCCAAGCAGTACACTGGCAAAGATGTGCCAACGCTAGAAGCCAGAATTGACGGGCGGGTGTTGGAGCTGGTTGGTGTTATGCAGCACTATGCCACCACTCAGAGGAAGGTCGACTTTGCCCATGTGTCGCAATACCTGGCTCTGGATATTCTGACAGAACTCGTTTACGGACAACCGTTCGGTTTCCTGAGAGAGGAGAAGGATTTGTTTCAGTACATCTCCAAGAGTGCAAGCTTCTTACCTGTGATGGAGCTTGGAACGAATCATCCATGTATTCACAGCCTGCTTACCAGTAGATTGCTTGCCAACATGGCCGGACCCAAGCCGACGGACAAGACAGGTCTTGGAGCTGTGATAGGTGTTGCAAAGCGCGTGATAGCGGCCCGAATCGAAGGGAAGGCAGACTTGGGTAAGGATCGAGACATGCTCGACTCTTTTCTGGAGCGTGGACTCACTCAAGTCGAGGCCGAGAGCGAGTCATTGCTGCAAATACTGGCAGGAGCGGACTCTGCAGCCACCTGCATCCGGATGACTCTGCTATTTCTTCTCACAAATCCTGTGGCATACAGGAAGCTGAAGGGTGAAATTATGCAGCGAGTCGACGAAGGGAGGATATCGTTCCCAGTCGTGTCAAACAGCGAAGCGGCTGACATGCCATACCTGCGAGCGTGTATCAAAGAAAGTCTGCGTCTGTGGGTGCCCTTGAACGGATTGAATACAAAAGTCGCACCCGAGGAAGGTGCCACCGTTAACGGCGTACATATTCCGGGAGGAACAGAAGTTGCCCATGCTCACCACAGCATGATGAGAAGGCGCGATATATTTGGACCGAGTGCTGACAGGTTCTTGCCGGAACGATGGCTTGATGAGGCTGACCGGGACATGCTGAGGCGGCAGGAGCGAACATGGGAATTGTCGTTCAGCTACGGGCGTTTCGAGTGTTTAGGCAAGTCGATCGCGATGATGGAGCTAAATAAGGTCTTTGTCGAGGTAAGCATGTGTCTAGGCGTTTGCTGCTTGACACAGAAGTTGACCAAGTACAGCTACTTCGTCGTTTCGACTTCGGGCTCGGGAACAGCACGAAGCCGATCACGACCAAGTGTTATCAGATTCACATCCAGGAAAACATGTGGGTGTATGTCCGTCCATCGGACACTGGTTGGAAGTCATAGGCTGTCGTCTCATGTGAAGGTATTCCGTTGCAGGCGCATTTCGGTTGGGGATCCATATCTGCTGTGACAGCACATTTCGGGGCCCTTCGATGCTATCATTGTTTTTTCGCAACCCTGTTCGTTGTGCAAGATAGAATGCTTCGCAGCGTTGTTTGGCGGGTCTCGCAGAAGCCCAAATTTATCTGATCATCTGATAATCTAGAATTTTGGCAAACAGCCGGGGTCTGAAGATCGGATCAGCTTGAAAGTTTCGTTTCTCAAGTGTAATATACCGTTTATCGCGCACACACAGAGCCCGCCGGGCGGGTAAAGCTGGTATTGCAGTTTCAGTGACTTTGATTTTTGATTTCCATGACGCATCGATGCTCCGGTTAATCTGCACTCTAATGCACGCTTGGTGGGCATAGCCGCTGCGAAACGTGCGACATCAACCAAGTTTGGTAGGGCATTGGCAGCTTTTACCGTTCGACTGCCCCGAGACCTGCATGTGCCCCAGGCGCAGTCCCGCTCTGACCTTCCAAGCGGTGTCGCAGAGCACTAGGTATGTTGCTCTGCTATGAACGGTGCTGCCTCACCTGATCATGTCCAATCGCCCTCTTCGTCCACTGCACCACACACACCGCGCTGCTCCGACCTGGAGCTCGAGGACTACCCATCCTCGCCTACTCAGACACACTTGCTAGCGGAAGATGCTGCTACGCAGTCCAGACCACGCCAGCGAGTTTCCGGCAGCACACCCCTCAGTTCTGCTGGCGACGACAGCGGCGCTGGTCCGTCTACGGTAGTACAGAATCGACCTGCTGGCTGGCTCACCAAAGCCTGGCGGACAGTCATGTCTCGCGCTCCACTTCTGATGCGGTCGTCGCCCGCCTTGGGCACTGCCTCCTATGGCGCCGTCCCGATCCACGACCTGTCCGATTCTGAGGAAGACGAGCCATATCTCGACGAGGCCACGGCGACAGAAGAGGACGATGCTATACATCCTGTTGAAAGCTCGCCGGACGAGCATGGCCGCCGCATCAATCCTCGACATGGACCTTCTTCCTCGAACCGGCGAAGACGTAGGTCGTCTATGACCAGCGAGGTTACTATGGGGCCAGACGCTAAAACGTCCTTTGGATTCGCACCGCCGATACACGAACATAAAGCTGAAAGTTCCAATGCCAGTCTACGAACACATAACGAGTCTTCAGAGGACGAATGGAACGATGAGAACCCTCCGGACAATTCTGTCTATCCTGAGGTGAGGGCATCTGTCTTGCCCACTGACAATACAACGGTCTCGATCAATACACCTCGGATGTGGATCTTGTCGCTCTTGTTCGCCATTGCGGGGTCTGCGACCAATTTGTTCTTCTCTCTACGATACCCAAGCGTCGCTATCACGCCCGTCATAGCTCTCGTTCTTGTGCACCCTCTGGGCAAGCTGTGGGACTTGTTACTCAAGCGAAAGTCCGATCCAGGGATACTCTTTGCGGATGGTGACGCTCAGGAGCGAACTACCGGGAATGGCGACACAACTTGGGCGACGCGCTTACGCTTATGGCTTGCGCAGGGCAGATGGAACGAGAAAGAGCACGCCTGCGTGTATATCAGCAGCAACGTATCCTTTGGCTTCGCCTTCGCGACGGACGTCATCGTCGAACAGCACAAGTTCTACAAGCAGGAGGTGCCGATCCTATATCAGCTTCTTCTGACCTTGTCGACTCAGATTTTAGGTTACGCTTTCGCAGGACTGACGAGACGCTTCCTGGTACGACCCGCGGCGATGATCTGGCCAGGGACGTTAGGATCAACTGCCATGTTCACAACCATGCACAAGAACGAGAACAAAGTTGCGAATGGCTGGACCGTGTCGCGATACCGCTTTTTCGTCTATGTGTGGGCCGCTGCATTTGCCTGGTATTTCTTGCCTGGACTTCTCATGCCAGCTCTGAGCTATTTCAACGTCATCACATGGTTCGCGCCGAAGAATGTCGTCGTCTCGAACCTTTTTGGTGTTGCGTCGGGTCTCGGCATGTTCCCGTTAACCTTCGATTGGGCTCAGATAGCATATATCGGCTCCCCCCTTCTCACACCGTGGTGGGCAGCTGCCAACGTCATCGCTGGTATGGCCGTGGTGATGTGGATTCTGGCCCCGCTTTTGTACTACGCCAACGTGATGTATTCAGGATACATGCCAATCATCTCTGCTTCGGTGTTCGATAACAACGGCAAGATCTACAAAGTCAGCAAGATATTGACCCCTGACTTCATTTTCGATAAAGATGCATACGAAAGCTACTCACGCGTGTATCTACCGATCACGTACGTCCTCTCATACGCAGTACAATTTGCAGCTCTTGCAGCACTCGTCACGCATACGGCTTGCTGGCACGGCAGCGAGATCCTCCGTCAGTCCAAAGACGCATTCCATGAACGCGAGGAGAAGCAAGACCGAACAGGCTACGTCCCAGTCTCACAGTCTGCCGAGTACAACGGTCGCAGATGCGATGCTGCACGCAAGTCAGGTTTCGACGTCCACAACCGGCTCATGGAACGATACCCTGATGTGCCGATGGTCTGGTACGGTATCACCTTTATCGTCATGCTGGCAATCGGTATATGCGTGGTCGAATACTACCCTGTGCACCTGCCGTGGTATGGGTTAATTCTGGCTGTCAGCATTACAGCAGTCCTGTTCATCCCAGTCGGGATCGTCATGGCCATCACAAATCAGCACTCCTCACTGTACCTGATATGTCAGCTGATTTGCGGTGTTGTCTTCCCAGGCCGACCGGTAGCAAACATGGTCTTTGTCACTTACTGCTACATATCCTCTGCGCAGGGCATCAAGTTCTCAAGCGATATGAAACTCGGGCACTACATGAAAATCCCGCCAAAGTTGTTGTTCAAGGTCCAATTTGTTGCGACGATAGTGGCTTCGCTGGTACAAATTGGTGTCCTGAACTGGATGTTCATCAACATACCGCATATCTGCACGCCTGAGGCCATCAATGGCTTCAATTGCCCAATTGCTCGCGTTCACTTCAACGGCAGTATTCTATGGGGCGTCGTTGGTCCACAACGCTTCTTTGGGCCAGGCGCCTTATACAGACCCCTAGTGTGGGCATTTCTGGTCGGACTGCTCGCTCCGATCGTGGTCTGGCTGATCGGCCGCAACTCAGACAAGAAATCAGTCTGGCGGAAGATCAACCTTCCAGTCCTGTTCGGCAGCCTCTCCTGGATCCCGCCTGCCACCGGGCTCAATTTTAGTATCTGGGCCATCGTGTGCTTCCTGTTCAACAGTCTTGCCCGAAGGAGAGCTCCTGCCTGGTGGAGCAAATATACGATGACGATGAGTGCTGCGTTGGACAGTGGACTTGCTTTCGGGCTGGTCGTGGTCTTCTTTGGCTTCATTTATCCTGGCTGGGGTTGGGTCGCGAATCTCAAGTGGTGGGGAACTGAGATCTACAAGCAAGGGTGCGACTGGCAAGCGTGTCCTTATTTGAAGCTGGGACCGGGCGAGAAGTTCGGGGCTTAATGACTTGCATGATAGATGATGTTGGGATAGAGCCACATGTATAGAATCACGAATTGTTGATGTGATCGTTCCATGGCGGCGCCGCATAGGTACATCTCTATGCCGTTAGGTGCCCGCCAAGCATCGTGGCTGGACTGACTTCTTCCCCAATCTTCAAAACCCTTCGCTTTGACTGTCCACCGTACATATACGCGCGAAGAGGCAGTGAGTATGCTACGGCAACAACATGATCAGATGCCGACGTTACAACGGACTATAAGCATGAGATCATTTTCCTGTTCCGAGGGTGAAAATCTGGGGAAACCTCTCTCTAGCTTCGAGCACCCCGCAGAGATCATCGCTACAAGCGGTCGCTACTACCTGAGCTGGTGACTGCCGGGCTTCCCAGCCACCCAAGCTCGCTCTTACCATGAGGGTCAAACGCCGACGGCATGATCGCTTGGTTGAAATGGCAGCAACCGCTTGTGTTCCAAAACAATGGTGCGTACATGTACCACATGGACCATCATAGCTGTTCAAGGTGAATTCTAGAGCAACTTAAGCCCCTCTAACACTTCGAACAAACGCACTCAAGGATTTGGCACTCAACCCGCCGGACGAAGTACTCGAAACTATCCAAAATGACACAATTATTGAGCGCCGTGCTGCTGGCATGCAGCCTACAGCTGGCACGAGCTGCAACGCCCATTCAATTGTCCATCTCACCACCAAGCAATGCCAGTGCGCCCATCCGGAAGTCTTTTGTGTCATTCAGCATCGAGTTCTCGTCCTTCCCAGATTTTGCCGGAAACAATAGCCACCCCAACAACTTCTCCTACAACCTTTTGAACAACCTAGATGGGCTTCAGGGTAGCAAGCCGATCATCAGGGTGGGTGGGAACACTCAGGATTATGCGACCGTCAATGCTAGTCAAGAGGCAGCTCTTATAGGCTCGTACGACTTCAACAAATCGAAGGACTATCCGACTACGATCAGCATTGGTCCAGCTTATTTCGAGTCCTACAACACATGGCCTGGGTATGAGTATATTCATGGACTGAACATGGGCAAGAACGGCACGATCGGCTACCAAACACTCGTTCAATCCATTCCACTGATCTGTAAGGCGTTGCCTGTCGACAAGCTTGCGTACTGGACACTCGGTAACGAGCCAGATCTTTTCAAAACGTCGGCTCAAGGACCAGTCCGACCACCGAGCTGGAACGAATCTGCTACGTGGCCGAATACATCGAGAAGACCCGCCTCATCCGTGACACCGTGAAGCTGAACTGCCCAGAAGTGATTGAGTCTGGGAAGCTTCGATACTACAGTCCAAGCTTCGCTGGCACCTCGAACAGCCTCAACATCATCAAGACCTTCCAAGTCGGGCTCGACGAAGACGGTGGGATAGCATTCATCGACAGTCATAACTACATGGGCGGCGCAACTCAGCCTGGCGTGACACTACAGAAGACTTTGATGAACCACACGGCTGTCGTGCTCAATGTCAATAAGCACTTGAACGAGAGTACGCTGCTTAAGAGCCTTGCAGGCATTGATCTCCCGTACTTGCTTGGGGAGACGAACAGCCTGTACAATCAAGGTGCGCCAGCCTTGTCGAACAGCTTCGGTGCGGCTCTTTGGGGAGTCGACTTCAACTTGTACTGCGCGGCCACTGGGATCGCACGTGTCCATATGCACCAGGGCAACAATTATCGGTACGCGGCATGGCAGCCAGTCGACACGGCCAACGAGACGATTGGAACCAAGGCACCATACTATGGCAATGTGATGGTCGCGAGCTTCCTTGGTAACCTGACTGCTGGTAACGTGTCCGTTGCGAACATTGATCTCGGCAATACCATCTACGAAAGTGCTTATGCGGCATATGTTGATGACAGACTTGAACGTATTGCTTTGATCCACATGCAAGAGTACAACTACACGGTCGGTGGGCCGAATGCAGGACGCCAGAAAGCTGCATTCACGTTGCGGCTGCCGGTCAATTCCGGTGTGTCAGCTGTTGATGTGAGCAGACTGATTGCGAATGGAAGCAACGCTATCACTGGCGTCACTTTCGGTGGGGTGTCCTATAATTACGAGCTGAACGTGGGCAGGCCTGTGAAGCTGGCGAACACGACTGCTGTTGAGACGATCAAACCCGAGGATGGTTCAATAGAGATTGACCTGCCCTGGAGCAGTGCGGTCATCTTGCAGTTGAAGTACTGATCTTGGCCGGCTATTTCTGACACTGTACGTCTAAGCACATTGATATCGCGAGGCAACGAAGCCGTTCGTGGTCTTGTTGACATAATATACCGGGAGAATTGCTCCGACTGAGGGCATGCCCGCATTTGGCGATCAACTTGCCCATCTTGGAAAGTGCTGCAGCCAATGCCTTCACTCTTCTCATCGGTACGCTACTCAAATGCGAGGATTGGGAAGCTATACAGGACACCAACCAACCTCTTTTTCCTCGTTAGGAAGCAGTAACCAGGTGTTTCCCCAGAGTCGGCTACCGCGCCGACAAGCGGGTACGGCCACGAGCAACGATTCCTTTGATGACAGATTCTTAATCCGTGCAAGCACTCGGAACAGCAACGAGCGATATCATAGCTCAGATGACACGTCAAGCCCTCCAGACAGACGCCTGATAGTGCTTGACTGTATCGTCGTACTCGACGAGGTAGCCTTCCTTGGATGAGGGTACTCTTAATGGCAACGAATCGCGATACTTCATTTCGCCAAGACCCTTACAATGAAAGAGGTTACCGTCGCGCGAAAGCAAGCGTCGTTCTTCAGAAGATCATGCTGCCTAAGCGACGACTCGCCGCGACGTGGGCAAATCCACCACAGCCGATGGGAAGTCTGCGTGTGCTCGACAGCGCCTGCCGCATTGACTGGCGGCTTGCCACCGAGCAAAGGGAACTAAACCGTGTGGCGGACCCCTTACACTCATGGAGCACAGTCCAACGGTGTCAGTGGCAACATCTTGCCTGCTCTTCTCGGAGTGTTGAATTCAGGTCTCAAACTAAATCCTGCATCGGGACTATACGAACGAGTATCCGCTCTGACCCTGTCAGGCTAGGGTAGAGAGCCAATACTCACTATATCAATACCGTCTGTTCCTGAGATATACAACATGATTTGCTCCAAAGCACTCTCACCATGGGATCGATCACAGACACCAGCAGCTTGTCTGCGGCTCTTGATACCGTAAGGCAAGCAGCTGCTCTGGGAGATGAACGCGTCACGGCTCATCTTGCCAGCTTCGCCAGAGAGCTCTCCGCTGACTGTGAGGAGCCTGCCGACTACATCCATAGGATCGGATACACGGTAAGTGTACTGTATGCTGCTAGCTACACCCTACTGACAACGCTAGGCACTTCAACAACCAGTTCTAGCCGCCATTGGCAGCTCTCGAGGCATCTTCAAACATGTTGTAACCGGACAAGAAAAGACTACCTCGCTGCAAAGTCTTGTCGAAGCGTCAGGTCTACAGGAGCAGCTTCTGAGTCAGTATACGGTGTGCTAGAGATGCCAAGCACCTGTCTAACATCATACAGCGCGTCTTCTCCGCGCCATGGTCACTTTCGGAATGCTGGACTCGCCGTCATCGGGTCATTATTCTGCCAACAGAAGGACACATGTTCTCGCTCGAGACTATGCCGATGCCGCCCTGCAGCACTTGTAAGAACTCACCATTCCCCTGTCAATGCCATGATACTGACATTTTCGTCAGCTTGAAGAACACCGGTACGGGTCTTCTAGGTATTCCAAGATGGATCGAAGCTCAAGCCAAGTCTTTGCCGTCAAAGCCTACACCATACATGCTACACAATAATACAGACCTCACGTCCATGCAATCGATGGATATAGCTGGACTGTCAGCATACATGCGGTATTGTACCCCAGACAACGGCCTATCGGCGGTATGGTCAAATGCATATCCAGTGCAAGAGGCCATCGCGTCCAGGACTGGTTCAACGCGTCCATTCTTCATCGACGTTGCTGGTGGTTGGGGTCATCAGACATCCGAAATGCTGCTCAAGTTCCCTGATATCGACGGGCGTTGTATCGTACAAGAGATTTCCTCGGTTGTCGAGCAAGCGACGTCTTTGGCCAACGGAGCGTCCAAGATCGAGTTCAAGGTTCAAGACTTCTTCAGTCCACAACCAAGCTCTGAGCATGGCGCAAAAATCTACTATCTTCGCTACATCATGCACGATTGGTCTGACGATGAGGACGTCCAAATTCTTTCGCATCTACGTGATGCTATGGCGGATGACAGTGTCATCATCATCGACGAGGTCCTGGTTCCGGAGCAGGCTAGTGGCTTTGATGATCCGTGGCCGGCTACGGTCGACATCGTGATGCTGGCTATGTTCTACAATGCCCGAGAAAGGACTGTGAAAGAGTTCACGCATTTGGCTGAGCGGGTTGGTGGTTTGAAGGTGCAGATGGCTAAGCAGTATGATGAGAGGAGGGGTAATGGCATTGTCGTGCTTGCAAAGGCGTAGGCAGATGACTTCCATCAATGTCAGTACTTCATAGATGGAAGCACATTCCAAAGCCGCTCAACCTGTAGCTATGTGTGTTGCCAAACTCTACACGCCGTATCGCATGAGCCGTGTAAATTTCGTTTTCCGTTTGCCACCAACCCCGCCAGCGCCAAGTCTTGGCATCACCTACGTGGTCGTTATATATTATTGTTACAGAAATCTGGTTCGCAATCAACCACGAGTCGATAGGAACGAGAATGCCGAGGCCCTTCACTTCGGTGTTGAGTACTTGATAGGCGAGTAGTAGGGTTCTCTGACTGTACTCGGTGAGTGGGCGATTGCTTTTTGCACTTTCAAGTCCATCCGCTGCTGTTAGTTTGAATTTCGTTGTGGGCATTTTTCGTTTTTGCTGTTTGCGACCTTACTGAAGTTATTTTGAGAAGCTCTGACTCCAAGCCTGCACATTCGCCGCTGTCTCGTTCCCATTCTTCGCCAGCAACTGCTGCACGTGATCAACAACCTCCGCACCCCGAGTCGCCGCGAAGGCACCCAGCACCAGAGCTACAAGCACCGCCAGAATCATCTGTTCAAGACTGAACTGCCTCCTCTCACCCACAGCACCCTTCGAATACGCCAACTTCTCCCCCAGCGGCCCCACGATCTTCTTGATCGGCGCGACATCATACTCCTTCGCCGCCCACGTCGCCCGCTTCATCCCCGGCAAGCCATCCATCGACCACGCATTCTTAAACGCCCAGTACTGATCCATACTCTCCTTCGCATCGCCCGTCTCCTTGAACTTCTTGTCCTTGTTCTCAAAGAAATTATTCAGCACATCCCGATATCCCTTGAAATCATAGAACGGCACACTAAACCCACAGCTCGATCCAACTTGGTCGATGTCTACGACGATAATACTCCTCGTGCCGGGAATTAAGTCGATCTTGTGCTTCGCAAGCTCAGCCTTGTTCTCGACTTCGCGATTTCGCGCCTCCACGAACTCCTTGAATTCGCGACTCCCGTTCTCAAGTACCCGACCCGTTCCCCACAGCCTCACGATCTTCGGTGCGCCCTCGTACGCATTGAACATGATGCAGATCCTTGCATTGTTGGGTTCGTGCAGATGCGAGATTGTTTCATTGCCGGAGCCCGTGAGTTCTTGGTACCAGAACTGGGAAGGGGAGGTGAGGCCGAAGTAGGGGCCGCCTTTGGGGGAGACGTTGATGTGGCCTTGGGACGAGAGCGGGGCGGTTGCGACGTAGAACATGTGCTGGGTTAGGATCCATGCTAGGAGAGATGGGGGAATTTTTTCGTAGTAGGCGCCCATTCTGACTGGGTGTGTTCCAGCGGGGCGTATGCACGGATAGGGTAGGTGCAGCGGGTCAACGGTTCGTTGGCGAGTGCTTGTTGGTGCGCAAGGCGAGAGCTCCCTGCTGCGAGTGCACTGACGATTGGCCTGCTTACAGGGAGGAATACAAGCAAAGACGTTTACGAAGAGGCGACAGCAGCCATGAACTTGTGACACACAATGGTAGATGGTCGCCTTTTTCCGATGTCGCAAGGCGGGGTCGCTGCCTCGTCCTGGGCCTCGGACGCGGGACAAACCGCTGTGGAGCCCGTGTCACGTCGCGTTCTTGAGACCGGGAGGACGGTCGAGGTCGAGGCCATCTCTAGACTTCACCTACCTAGCTGGTCGCAGTTGACGTCGCTCTCGCTGCGCTGCACAAATTTAGAGCCAGATGCTGACGTCCACGATGATGCGTCTGTCAACACATGAAATCCGTCATCGCAGAGATCCTCCGAACCGGCGTGCGTCATGTCCCGCTCCTTCTTCGTGTCGAGCGCGTTATTGTCCAAGGAGGGAAGGCAGTCTCGGCTGAGGGGAGCACAGGCAGGCGCAGGCGGCGCTCAAACACCATACATAGGCTCTATCTCACCGACGACGAATTGATCGTACAGGCACTCCTTCTGCCCGAGTTGGATCTGGAAGTCAATGAAGGAGATCAGCTTCAGATCCATAAGTACGCGGTGCGCAAAGCAGCGCGGAAGGAGCAGACCGGGCACGTGGTCTTCTTCGGGATTGAGGACTGTGACAACCTCACGCGATTACGACCAGATACGGCGGCTGCGGTGGAGGAAGAAGGTGGTTTCATTCGCGAACCTGGGAGTGCAACGTTCACGAGCGCGCAACCGTCCACCAGGAAGCGAAGCGCTTCCTCCGTATCGTCAGAGGACTTTGAGAACACGCTGCTGCCTCCATCAAAGCAACCTCGTCTCGAATCGAGTCTTGACATTCCGTCGGACGACGAGATGTCGACACCAGGTGCAACCCAGGAGTCGGAGGATGACTTCGAAGCGTTTACACCCAACGCGAACATAACACAGCATAGACGACAGGCGTTGCGCGAGCTTGATCCAAATAGATCATTCTACTTCGATGCAGTAACGTTCACGAAGCCGAAGCCATCATCGACGCCGGCGCCTGCAGCAAAGCAACCACAGCCCACGGCCGGCAAGTCACCTGCCTCCAAGCTTACGACAGCAGATCGCGCAGGATCGACTACCAAGGCACCAGCCTCGATCCCAATTCCATCTCCATCGCCCCCAACACCTCTCAACGCCCTCGAGATAACGCCCCTCTCCGCCCTCCCGTCCCTCGACCCCTCAAGCCCGACCACAATCCTCGGCATCATAACCTGGACCTCCCCGAACCTCCTCCGGCCCTCCCCGGCCTTCCCTCCCAAACGCCACGTCAAAATTCACGACATCTCCATCGGCCACCTGTTCTCCGGCGTCAGCCTCGCCGTCTACATTGACGCTGCAACCTTCAAGCCCCAGCGCGGCACCGTTGCCTTGCTACAGGATGTGGTTGTGCAGCGCTGTGGAAGTGGGAGTGGGGAAGTCAATGAGTGTTTTATGCTGAATGCTTATGCGAACTTGCCGGCAAAGTTGGCGGAGAAGCAGAAGAAGGGCATGAATGGGGATGGTGATGGCGGCGGTGGTGGGAGTAGTGGTGATGGGAAGTGGTTTATTGATGATGAGGATCAGCTGCTTGCGTTGGGACTAGAGGCAGAGGTGGATGAGTTGAGGACGTGGTGGAATGAGAGGGAGGCGAAGCGGGCCGGGACGGCGGCGCGGTCTACACAGATCGCTACCACCAGGACTGAGTCGACTTTCGTCGGAGTGTAGGCCATAGTCGCGACAGTGCTCTTCCTTGATACCCCAATGTCTAGCTTTCAGACAAAGCCGGGAGCTGCGACCAATACTCGTCCCTCTGCCCTTATCGCGCGAGACTCATCTCCGCCAGGCGCCTGTCATGCATCCTCAGCACGTACTCACCAAAATCCTCTACTGCCTTCGTTCCGTCCATCTCTTCTCACTGAACCTCTTAAGATCAGTGCACCACTCCTCGAACTTCCTCCCCAGCGTCTTCCCATACATCCACTTAACCGTATGCGCCAGCACGCCCCCCATGACCTCCCACGTCCTCACCTCACACTGCTCCTCCCCCGTCACAATAATCTCATGGAATCGCTCGGTGTTCAGGCCCTTGGCAAAAAAGTCAACCTTGTCACCCTTCCAAGCGACGCGGTAGACACCCGAGAGGTCTGTCGTGTAGCCTGGGAACTTCCCCGCTTGGAGCGATTCTTGAGGGATATACGTTGAAGGGGCGGAGGGTGTTGAGATGTCGTTGATGAGGAGGTGGGTGGGTGTTGGTTTTGAGCCGGGGTGGCCCATGACTGCGTGGAAGGTGAATTTTGTGCCTCGGCGGAGGATGGCGTGGTTGTTAGTGTCGGTTGTTCCTGTGTTCCGATCCTGGGTTGCAGAGGAGGGTTGTGAATTGATGGTGACTTTGGGAACGAATGTGCACCACTCTGGGTAGGTAGATGTGTCTAGTAGTATGTCGAAGACGAAAGACGCTGGGGCGTTGATTTGCGTTGAGGCTGTTATTGCTAGTACGCGCTCAGCCGCGGAGACGGTTGGTGTTGAGATGCCGTCTTTCGGCGGCCATGCGTTGCCATCCATCGTGACGGCTCGTGAGCGACGTCCTGCCTAATGGATAGATTTGAGGTCCGTGGAAAGTGTAGCAATACAAAAGATGAAGCCAGCTCGTTCGGTCATTGCGACACGTCATAGACTCAGTCTACGTACACCTGGAATATATACGGCTAGCGTTGCGGGCGCAATAGCCCGCAATTTATACGTGACAGGAGGTTATCATTTCAACGCAGTGAAGCCACTATGTTCGCTCCTTGGGAAAGCAAGCCTAATGAGCTAGCTCACATTTGATCAGTTTTCAGTCCAACATCATTGCTCCGAATCCGGATGGCTGCCAGTATCTGTGCAACGCAGAACGAGCCTCGGCAGATCGACTGCGAGAGTGCGATCAAGTGATATAGCGGAAGCTATCATTGATGTCAGTGTAAAAGTCCCAAGCCCCTCGTAGATCGGGAAGAGAAAAGGAGAATACTCACGTAGGATGCAAATGCCCCAAATCCCTCTGCTCCTCCTCCGTCAACCCATCCAACCGATGATCCCTCTTCCCCTGGTTCCGCAACCTGTTCTCCCTCATACACCAAAACACCCCAAATGTCGCCAACACCAACACCACAACCTGCATGCTCAGATTGATATTATGTCCAATGTGATACAATGGCGCGTCATCAACCAGATACGCCCATGTGGCCAGAATCCCACCCATCGTTCCAAGACTGACGATATACCCGCTCGCCACAGCACGAACATTAGGACCCGCGCTATTGTTGACAGCCCAGCTCAAGAAGCCCGGACCGCCGGGGAAGGCGCCGATGACCACGAGGTACACAGCGGCGTAGCGAGCGTGCTCGTCGTGGTTCCAGCGGAGGATGGAAAACCCGGCGATGCCGAGGAAGGTGAAGGAGGCAAGATAAATGCCGCGGCGGCGGGTCTTGTCTGAGATGAAGGCGATGGCGATGGCGGCGAAGCAGGCGCAGACGTAGGGCGGGACGCTGTAGAGTTGGGCTTTGGTTGCTGTCCAGCCTAGGTCGCGGAGGATGGTGGGCATGAAGATCGACACGCCCTGCACCGTAACATTGATGCAGAAGAACCCTCCCGCCGCAACAAGGTTATTGACATTCAACATCGCCCGCTTCACATGGCGCGGCTTCACAGCCTCCATCGGGTCAGACTTGTACTCCCGAATAAGCCGCTCGTGAGCGATATACCGCTCACGGTCGTTCAGCCAGTGGGCTTTCAGCGGCGATTGAGGCATCCAGATGGGCGCGAGGAGCCCGGCGAACATGGTGATCAGACCCTCGAAGAAGAAGATATTGCGCCAGGTGTGGATGGGGGCTGATTCGGTTCCCCAGCGTGGGATGCGAGCGAGGCCGGTGGCAAGGAGGCCTCCGAAGGCGCCGGCCATCGATGCTGCTGAGACGAAGATACCTATGCGGAAGTATAGCTCCTGGCGCTTGTAGAAGCAGGAGAGGAACTAGAAAGGAGCTGGATCAGGCTTGGGGCATGGGCACGCGGCGGTAGGACTTACAAAAGCGAAGCCAGGCATAGCTCCTCCTTCAAAGATACCAAGAAACGCTCGAGCCGTGCAGAGCTGCTGAAAATTGTCGACGAATGCGGTACACATCGAGACGAGGCCGAAGCCGACGACCAGGGCGGGGACTATGGTATCTTGTCAGTATTTCGGAGTGCTAAGTCCTGTCAAGGCACTTACGGTAATAACGTGGTCCGATGCGCTTCAAGATGATGTTTGAAGGCACCTCGACCAGCAAATAGACAATGTAAAAGATCGAGGATGCCCAGTTGAAGCGGTAGCCGACCAGGTTGAGGTCGGTCGCCATGCCTTGGATTCTCGCATTGCTGTAGGACGGTTAGCTTTTACTTGCTGACGAGGGTCGACTGTGGCCTCAACATACCCAATATTTGCACGACTTTGGTACAAGTTAGCTTGGATTCGTAAGAGGAAGCACCATTTGAACTCACTCCAAGAAACACAAAAGATACAATGTTGTAACTACCAAAGTTAGTCGATATCTCAGAGGTGGCGTGTTGGCAACCAACCCAAAGGCACAATCATCCAGTCGATCTTATTGCGAATCCTCTTCTCCTCCTCCTCGGTCCAGGTGATTTCCGTTGGGCCATCACTATCGCTGCTCTTCTCATCAATCTTAGAATGGTGCTCGACGTCCGCTTGGGCCTTGTAGACCTGGTTGTACACCTCGGTGGCCATGGTGACGGTGTTTCAGGCACGAAGCCGGATATCCAATTCAAATGTGGTGTACCTTCAAGTCTCAGACGAATCAACAAGTGTCGAAGAAAAATCTGAGAGGTCAAATCTCTCTAGACCTAGCAAGTGAAGTCGCCTGATCACCCTCAAATATTGTAGCCGCGCCTGCATAAATGGTGATGACTACAAGTATATATCAGCCAGCACAGAACCTGCAAGCACCATCGGATGAAGCACCATTACAAGAAGGAAAAGCGTCCACAAACGCGCATAACGAACACGACAGGCGGTTCCAGCCATTATTGCCTACCGCTCGACTTTTCCGGGGCAGGCGCACCACGCGGAGACCTGCAAGATGCGGGCTCAACTACAAACGTGGAGGGAAGGTCTGAAATTTGGCTGAAATCCGGGGATGGTATACGTGTTCATTGGTCGGGTTACACGACATACTCCAGAATGGTCAAGCATGGCTAAGGCCTGCCAGCCGGGTTTATTCATTTTTGTGCACGCAGAGTGGTTGTCGTTGACATACCCTGGCTCGCTTCGAGATCGACAAACGAGTTGCAACTCCGCGTTCGTCGCTCCGCGATTCTTGGCACATCTTGGCGCGGTAGAGCGCCCCGGCAGTTCGTTGACTGACAGGTGCCGATTCAGCCTGAATGTCTGGACCCGTGTACGTGGTTGCCGTAAATGTCGATGCTTCCTGCAGACTTCTAGTGCTCACGTGGTGGGACTCATGGGGCCACGCTGCAGACAGTGCGGGTCGGCCATCGTCTCAGGTCCGAATAATACGATGGCTGTTTCTGAACGAGCATAGCTACTAGCAACGTGGAAAAACCGAATAAGGTAACAATGGCCTTGCCTCAGTGAGGAGAGCCACAGTGCTCCCATCATCATCCCCATCCACACCACGACAATGATCGTTGGAGCATTTGCAAGCCCTGACTCACAGCCTCCGGGCTCGCCGTACCCCTGAGCCCAACCATTGCCAACGCCATTCCCTCAACAGTCTGCCTGAACATCAACCCCGTAAGCGCAAGCCCCGTTGCCACCACGTACCCGCAATCAAGCAGAATGAGCAGCGCTTCAATGTTGTTCAGCAGTACCACCCAACCAACGTAGTTGGACGCATTCGACACAAATGCCTTTCCGAGACCGCGACCTAGTGATGCCTCCGAGTCCGGCTCGGAGGAGTCGGAGTTGGCGGTCGGCCAGATGACCAGCAGGATGGGGAAAAGCTTTGTGCAGCTCGATACAAGCAGCGCCGTTGAGATCGCTGAGGGTGAGGCGCGGCCTGAGACTGTCTCGTCGCTGCTGGGATCGCCCGGCTGACGTTTGTCGAAGCGGTCCATTAAATATCTCGACAGGAATCGGATGGAGGCATGCTGCGCGACGGTCGCGAGAACGTTCATAGTCAGGAAGAAGAGGTACTGCGTGATGATCGGTGCATTAGCCAGCGCCCATTCTGGCCCTCCTCCTTCGCCGTGCTCGGCTCCTGAGAGGGAGGTGTTTGAGCGTTCGATCCGGGCCCAGGTGATGTAGACATCGAACAGGACGAGTAGGATGCCTAGGCGTAGTATGCTTGGGTCGAGCTTGTTGTCTGTGCGACCTAGGCGGTTATAGAGGAGGTGGCGGTAGACCTTGGTTGCCATCGTTAGTGAAGTCTAAATACTGCCTGGTATCGCGTACCTGAGGCTTGATCAACACAAGATCGATGAAAAGTACCACGAAGTCATGTTCGACATATCTAAATGCGCGTCAGCCTAGCTGATATGACTGATGGGCATTGCTCTCGGAACGCACTTGTCGGCAAAAGATCCACACCTGGTACACTGAGTCAATCGCACTCCTTTCCCAAGCGATCTGTCATCTGCCTTCGAATACTTGGTATATAGGTTCTTCACAGGCGAGTTGCATGTTATGCAGATTGGCATGTTTGCAGCGAGACATCACTGGTCATTGATGAAGTGCATATGATGAGATAGCAAGCAGAGACAGTGATGCCTTAAGTTTCGATGATCGACCTGCCAAGCCTGCCCAAAGTACTCGTGACAGACAGAAGTCCCAAACAGGCAGGTCACCTGCTACATTCTCAACAGTTCTCAGAGTAAATGAAGATTACGAGACAACCTGAAAGGTGCGAATAGCGATTCCAATGCTGCGATTGCTCCTGCGACTGGGATTCTGCGAAGGCGAAAAGAAGCAAGCTTGAATTTGGATACATTGTTTGTACAATCAGAACCGACTGCGCTCAAAGGCTGCTAGTGCGAGTAGAGTAGAGAGTAGGTGCCTTCCCTGGCCACGATAATCACCAATAATCCTGCCGCCGTTATGCAAATCATGCTGCAAGCCCAACCGATCCCATGCACATCTCGTGCAACGCTGCAAACGCCACGCTTGCTTGCATTCCTGCGCAAGTACCTAGCTCACAATGAATATGTGCAGAAGATATCAGTACAACCCGCCTCTGCGCGAAACGTTAGCTCTTGTCCCCTTAACACGAGTTCGTAAGACATACCTTCCCCTCCCGCACCGAAAAGCACACCAGTCACACTACATGATTTCAATCATCATCAGCCTCTTCTTCTTATACGCGTTTCGCCGACGGACACTGCTCTCACAGTCGCTACATACAGTTCGATCGTCGCACCCCGTGTTATGGAAGATGCAGTATTCGCTCTTGCAGAACCGACAGCAGCGAGTCGCGAGTGGCGCGCATGCTCGGCAGACTTTGCCGCATCCCCAGCAGTCGCGTTGGACGGCGAGGTCTGGATGGAACTGTGGAGGAGAATGGTCTGTCAGCGTGTGGTCTCAAGACAAGTAGCGGAGGAGGGCTCGGTGTGATTTTTGGGGGCGCCTTTCGAGAGAGAAGAATCGCAAGAACAGGGAACTCCCGTACATTGGCATCATGATCCCCATGTAAGAGTTCTCTCATCCCCACATTCCTCCCGCTCCAGCGCCCGCCATTTCCTCAGCGATCAGGCAGTGCTCGACACAGAAACCATTATGTACCTTGATGCTCGATGACTGGCCGTCATTTGCGGCCGTGGCCTGGATATGAGGGTTCTCAGCGTTGGCGAGAGCTTTGCCTTTTCGTGGGTTGTAGCAGTCGGGGCACCACCATCGGTGACAGCTGTCGCAGTGGCGGTTGTCGATGCACCACTGACAGGAGACGATTAGTCGTTGTGACTTTGTTGGGCCCGTAGGTGGTCGGGTTGCGTCCACGATGTTGCCGGAGGAAGCTGGTGGCCATACCAACGGGAATTCGTCGAGGCTGCTACGGCCCCAGATTGGGCCATCCAGTGGGCCACGTCCGCATCCTTCGCACCCGGAAGGACCTAGGGCGATGGTCGCGACCGTAGGCATTGTTGGCCGCTGGTCCTTGACGTGATCTCCCACTACCGCGTCCATCTCCGTATGCATGTGAGTACACAGCACGGCATCGAACCAAATGATACCTCTGCAAGCTGATATTGTTTGGACCCACAATGTCGAGTCAGATTGTGATATGTTCATCAAACGACCTGTTGGCGCGTAGTATCCAGCAGTACGGCCTGACTTAGCCGTCGGCAAAGCGCCCAACTGGGCTCCATCAACCGCTGTTACTCCCGAGGCGTCCTTAGTAGTTACTATCTGCAGCGGGTCGGTGAAGTAGTACAATCCACGAAGACGTGGCGTATTCTCTGTCCGACCGGGCCGGCACAAATACTGAAGCAGTTGCTGCAGCTTGTACTGGTTGATGTTTGGACACTTTCGGATGCTGAGCAGTCTGATGTTGTATTCTGTAGAAGTGACAATCTCGTGTAGCAGATCGTTTGTCACTGATGCGAGCTGATCTAGAATCAATGTCTTCACTGACGGTCTGCAGCTATTAGCACTCGTACACTGGAGCTAGCAAGAGCTTCAAAACCCCAGACTATCTGCGCTGGTTGTGCTGGCCCAAACCCGTCGTCACTTCCCGCCAAGGCCAGAGGAAAGAGGACTCACAGGATCTTTCGCCGCCTCAAAATACTTAACACACCACGCAGCGGACCAGCATAGAAGTCGTCCTCGGTCAAGCTCTCATCCATACGCTCAGCCCGAAAAATCTGCCCGCCAGAATCCACAGGCCCGATGTAACGCGTATATGTCCCTCGACATCGCGACAGGTCTAGAGACCGGAATGTATCGGGGGAGTCGGCGACAATGGCTTTGAAGGCTTTCGAAGTTCTCCCGAGAGCAAATCGTGATGGAAGTGGGAGATGGTCGATGATGGCGTCGCTGATGATGTTGTTGGATAGCAGGGTGATCAGTTCAGGTGGCAAGGATGCTGTTTCCATAGTACGCGTGGAAATGCTCGTGAAGTCCGAATCGGTATCAGGTCGAAGCTGAACGTGTTCTGTGGTGGTTCAGCTGATGACGCTCAATGTTGGTACATATTATTGATACAAAAGCAAAGGCATGGTCAGTCATGAGATGATGTATAAGAGTACGGTGAGGATTCGAAGTCAGTTCGAGACGTGCATGCCTTAGGTCAGCAGGGATTTGCCTGATCCAATGCTTACTAGCGTGGGGTCCCAACAGAAGGTACGGTACCTTATGTACAGTAGGGCCGATTCGCCGCCCACCGCATTATTGCTCACAATGTTACGGGTAAGTGTTACGCGGCACTCAATGCAGACAGCGGACGGGAGGCCGGGAGGGTCTCGTTTCGGGTCTCACGATCTGCACTACGATTATACGATGATGGATTGATGCCTTCATCGAGGCGTGCTAACAATGAGATTACGGTGAGACAGCCAGAGAGCCCGTTATGCTTCACTTCCAGCTCTTCGTCCTAGACATACGTATGCAACCAAGCCGCCAATGGAACGATCCTTGTACTCCATGCTTATAACCGCAGAATGCCAAACACCTATGCAACAAGTAAGAAGACCGCGATTCGATGCTGATGAAACTCCCCGGATATGAGGATCCGGTCGCCTATCCTCGCTTATAACTCGTGCCCTGCATAAAACTTCGGCTTCGGAGACACTGAAGGCGCCGCCTGCTGCATGAGCATGCCCGGATTAAGTGCCAGAGTGTCGTAAGGGTTGATACCCAGGGTATCAGTGTCGGTAACGTAGCCACTCAGGTAGAAGCCCAATAGCACGACTGCGTACGTGAGTACAAGAATACTGCCCTTGAAATAATTGCTCTTCCCTTCCGTACAGATGTAGCTGAGCAGGAAGACACAAAGAATGGTCGTAACCATGTCCCATTGTGGAAAAATGAGTTGGAACGTATGCTCCAGGAGGTTGGTCGGATCGATGAATCTACCGTATAATGCGGAGTATAGCACAAGAGCTGGGATCTGCAGCAGGCAGACTTGTAGTGCATAGGCCGATCCAATTTCCATACTCAGGGCGATGTTGCCGTTCATTGCGAATGATATGGCGTTGAGAAACTCAGTGGTGTTGGGCACAAGGGCAAACAGGGTGATGCCTAAGAACTTTTCGTTGATGTCGGAGGACTCGAGCACCACATCAACAGTGTCGACAAGGACCTCAGCGATGAGAGCGTACGCCACGGTGGCGGTCAGAAGGATGACCAGTGACTTCTGTCGCGACCAGTTGGGAGCATCGTGTCCGCCTGTAGGATGATCGGCCACACCTGGTGGACCTGGTGGAGCTGCAGGCACATGCACAGGAGCACCTATGGTGTCCAATCGTTGTGGCATGGGAGGCTTAGGAGTCTTATCGTGTCGTTGATGGGTTGCTTGGTATGATGCTTGTCGTGGATTCGAGACGGCATCACGAGCAGCTACAGTAGCAGCCGTGGCTGCAAGTTCTGCCACTTGACGAACGAGATTACTATTCTCTTCGGCAGACAGACCAGGCAACATTTCGGGCTGATGTCCAGGCGTTGAAGCCCCACTGCGAACGATCTTCGGTGGTGGTTTATGAGGCAAGTCATTCTGCAGCTGCTGATCGATACCGTCAAGCTTGGCATCCCGCTTCGACTGCTCAGCGACTTCTCCATCTTGAGGAAGGCCAGCTTGCCGAAGGGATTGTCCAAGAATCTTCTTGTACAGTTGCGAGTCTCGAATGTTCGCGCGCGATACATACGTACCATGAGCGACATGGGACCCAGTCGGAGGGTGAATGCTCTGTCGTCTCGTGTCGGTGGGACTGACATCCAGGGTCTGAGATGCACTGACTGGCTTCTTTTCGTCAACTTCGCTGCTCCAGATGATGGCGGCATGTGTGCGCAAAGTGAAGAAGCAGCCAATGATGTATGACGAAAAGAGTAGGATGGCCGCAGCCCATGCAAAAGGTCGGACGGCACTTTCGTAGAATTGATCGTTGATCGCAGGGACTTGACGGAAGTAGCATCGACGGCAGTCTCGATCCTCATCGCTGTTCGTGCTACATTGCTTGCAGATCAATTCGTGACTACCGTAGATCTTGTAAAACAGCGTAGGTGCGAAAGCTGCAATCATCGCAAACAACAGCATCGTCGAGCTGGCGGAAGCAGACTGCACATTGAAGCGTTGTGTTTTCCTTTTAATGGCGCCGAAGATCATTGAGAGTCCAGGCAGGAAGAGGATACCGGCGAAAATGCTGCCAACGATACTTCCTTCGACTAATTGACCCTTGCCCTCATTCAGAGCAATGCAGTAGAGGTAGACCTCAACCACGGTCGAGAAGAATGCGTTAACGGCGGCACCCATGCCCATGGTTGATTGTGCTGAGATCGAAGCGACCGCTTGTCCTATGAAATAGGCAAGAGGGATGATTGACACTAGCCCCAATGTGAACAGCAGTCCAGGTCCCGTGCACCAGGTGTCGATGTGCAAGGTCTCCCTGAGGATGAAGTTGTCGAATATCACGAACGCCACTAAGCCCAGGAGATTGATCAGGAAAATGTTTGTGCCATCCAGGGTGTACTTCCAGTACTTGATACCGACAGCTCGATATGTGCAGAGCAAGATCGAAGATGACCTCGAGTCCCTAGCCTGTGATTGATCATCGTGGAAGCTGAGCGCCAACGGCCTTTTTCGGAGCTGAATGAGGAGGATCTGCAGGACACGGCCCATGGGAATCCAGAAGACTAAGAACCAACACATCAAGGAGACCAGCACCATGAGAGGCGCCAAGTTAAAGTAGAAGAAGACGAAAAAGATCACACGTCCCAGCGTCCACCTCCCACGACCGAATAGCCGTCGCTTGTTAGACGTACTGGCCTCGGTGTCATGCCGCTCGCCTCTGCCGGATCGCTCAAGTAGGCTGTCGTGCTCGCTAGCAGTGTCGATGCTGTTGCGTCGTCTACCAACAATGGAACCAGTGTGTGTCAACGTAGGGCCAAACATGAGTCGGCCGTATTCGAGATCACCAGCCTGCCATCGTTCATATTCGCCGATGCTCCTGCCCTCTCCTTCGTCTTCGTCTGCGTAGTTTTCATCCTGTTCGAGACGGACAAACTTCCCGAATGGCCAGAATAGATACTTTGACACGCCCCAGAATATCCGGCCATACGCTTTAGCAGACGGTTCGAAGGCAAAGAGAAAGCAGACAAGTGCTCCAATGACAGCAGCTATGGCCAGCCACCAGCCGAAAAGGACAGTCCATAGGACATTGAAAGACCAGAGCCACGGACTGACTATTTGGCTTGGCGAGGAATGAATGTCGTCCTCGGCATTCTTCTCCACTGATCTGTTCTTCTTGTACAATGCAGGCTTCCAGATCCTGATGCCGAACGGATGGGTCTCGTTGATGGCCAGCTGACGGTCCTTGAGAGTGAAGCTTTCTGCATCGCTGAGATCGACGTCATCTTCCTGCTCTTCTTCTTCTGCTTCGGCTGCCATCTCCTCTTCCGCTTCCTCAGCCTCTTCGACCTCTACAGGAATATCGGGACGCTTTGGGGTTTGTGGCTCAGCTGCGGGTGGTTGCTCTTCGATCGCTTCTTCCTCCTCCCTGCTCGAGTCTACACGCGGAAGCTGGGGTGGGGCATAGGTGGTCCGTCTCCGGCGTGTTGACTGCGATCTTGAACCTGGTCGAAGGGTCCTTATGTCTCGGTCTTCTTCTACCTCGCTGGGGTCGTCATCCACGGAGAAAGATTCTCCGCGATGGGGCTTGTTTGTCGATGCTCGGCGTGCTGCTGGCGGCCTCTTCATGCGACCTGGCTGCGGAGACAGTAACGGGAAATAGCCACCACTGTCTGGATGCCTGGCCTCGGTTGGGGACTGCGGCTGGAGTCCTGTCGCCTGTCTGGTGGCTCCGCGAGGACGGGAGATGGATATGCTTCCTGAATACTGTCAACTTGCTCTCATGTTTTCCAAAACTTTGTGACGTACCATATTCACGTGGCGTACCCAAGCGACTGAAACGTCTGCGCTCCTCATCGTCCCCGATTGAACTTGGTCCAGACTGCTGCTGACTGCGTGTTGTCTGCGACTGCTGTGACTGAGACTCGGCCAGCGGTTCAAGTCGCGGACTGCGGGGTCCGACTGGAGTGCCGTTGCCAGACATGTTCGGGTCGTTCAACGGCGGCATACGTCCGGAGATGCTAGGAGAAAGGCGAGCGCCTTTGCGCGTGTTATGATGCTGAGTGCAGCCGTAATGGCTGTTCAGATGATACTGATCTCGTCCATGGAATGTACGGGACGGGACGACGGCCAGCACATCATCTGATCTCGATGCAATATGTCTGGCAGCCTGGAGAATGATTTGAGGCCGATGTGTCGCAAGCTTGACCGGGTGACGATCAGTCCACGCAAGCAGTCGCAAGCAGCAAGCACGTGCGTTCAAGGCGTCCCAAGGTGCAGTAGGACTCCAGCAGTGGCTTTGTTAGGACTTGGCTCTCGGCTTGCCCAGTGCCCTCGCCGGATGAGTCCCCTGGTAGTTTCGTAGCCCCTAGCAACGCCTATATCCTACAGTCCTCCTATGTGTACACACTGCAGTGATGGCAAGCATGTAACTAGATTTTCATCATGGCAACGAGTACTCACGTCAGAGAATACAATGTTCGCTTGAAGATGAACAGTGAACAGTAAGGATGCATTCAGTATATATCTCATCACTAAATTGCTGTGAAAGTGTGCAAAGCAATTGCTTTGTGGACATTGTTTACGTGCTTTATGGGAGGTGACTCTTCTGCTTAGCGCCTAAATTGCTGGCAGTGAATAGGGTCCCCCACCACCCCATCACTGCGCCTGTTTTCTCCTCGCTCCTCAGTTTCATCCTCGTTTGCCCTAGCCAAACGGCAGTCCGCAGCATTTTAGGGTACAACTCCACTTGTTTAGACACCTCATCTGCCCGTCATCAATACTCGAAGTAGTCTCCTCAACATTGTCGCATTCTCTGGCGGACCAGTATTTCGACGTTGGATATATCAGATTGAACACATCATTCACCGGGCGATTGCCAGGTGCAACACAGAGACCTCCAAGGGCGAAAACTCGAGTCGATACACCAATGCAGCTTCCTTTGGCGCCTCGATCGTACCTTCCTGACGGCGCCTCTCAGCTCACTTTCCACGATGCCGCCGTCGGTGTCTGCCTTCGCAGACGGCGACGACTCCTCTACGATCTCATCACTTAGTGATCTGTCTGTTCCCGCCGGTCTGCGACACCTGACTCCATCATCGCCCTCCTCCGAGCTAAGTTCAGCGAGGTCGGTCAGTCCACCACCCGCATTCCTTAGACCACTCTCGCCGCCAGCGTCGCAGGATGCAGGCGAAGACATGCAGCCTGCTCGTAAGCGCAGGAAATTAGAGTCGCATCATCGGGTCACGCAGCATCTGGACCTCCTCTCAGACGATGCGCAATCCGAGTATGACCGTCAGCAAGCTCTAGATACACTCCTCAAGGCGATCAAGAAGAGGCGGAAGATCGTAGTAGTCGCCGGCGCCGGTATCTCTGTTGCTGCAGGCATCCCCGATTTCAGATCGGCGGATGGCTTGTTCCAGAGCCTCAGAGCAGCGCACAAGCTGAAAGGCTCGGGCAAGGAGCTGTTCGATGCATCCGTCTACAAGGACGACTCGGCGACATCTTCCTTTCACGACATGGTCCGCCGACTTGCCCTTCTATCTAGAGACGCAAGGCCCACACTATTCCATCGCCTGCTCGCCAGACTGTCCGCAGAAGGCAGACTCCTACGAGTCTATACCCAAAATGTTGATGGACTCGAGAACAGATTACCACCACTCGCCACGACAATTCCGCTCCCACATAAGGCGCCATGGCCGAAGACGATTCCGGTACATGGTGGGCTCGAGAAGATGGTCTGCCAAAAATGCCAGTATCTGGCTGATCTAGACGAGGAGCTGTTCCGTGGATCAGTTCCACCGCCGTGTCCCGAATGTCAAACACGTGACAACATTCGGACAGAGCACGCTGGCAAGCGAAGTCACGGTATTGGGAAGCTACGACCACGTATGGTCTTGTATCATGAAAGCAATCCAGACGAAGAGGCCATAGGTGCTGTCACGGCAGGTGACTTCAAAACCCGACCGGATTGTGTAATTGTCGTCGGCACTAGCATGAAGATCAAGGCAATGAATCGCATCGCCGAGGAAATGTGCAAGATTGTTCGAGGTCGGAAAGAAGGCACAACAATTTGGATCAACCACGACCCGCCACCTGCGAAGTTTGAGAACCTGTGGGATCTTGTCGTTAGGGCTGACGCCGACGATATCGCGCAACGTGTGAATTTCAAGGAATGGGATGATACCACTCAGGACATCGTCGAATCGTACACCGACTCGGACGTCGAGAGAGCAAGAGGCAGCAGCGGAACGCCCTTGGTTCAGGTTCCATCGCCCAAGAAGACTCTGATCGGCTCAAGACTCGCATCAGATACGCCTCCAATGTCGCCTCGACCTACGAAAGAGCCCGAAGCCGCATCAAACTTCATCTTGGAAGTGCAGAGATCTCCTACGAAGCCCAAAGCATCAAAACCAGCAATGAAGAATCCAGCCAGCAAATACCAGCCGCTCAAAAATCTGCCTGGATTCACCAAAGACACGGCACAGAAGTCGCAAAGAAAGCCCCAAGCAAAACGCCCACCAGGAAAGCCCAGACAGCCGAAAGGACAGATGGCAACAATGTTCAAGTCAACGAAAGTCTCAACTCCAACGACTGTGGCGGTCAAGAAAGAAGTCAAGCCGCTTTCACCGACCCAAAACATCCCAAAGTCACCTGTCACGATCAAGTTCAGGTTCGGCACCAAGTCCGAGTACTCTAGCACAGAAGCCACTCCACAGCCCGAATCACCACGTGAATTGCTGGTCGATACACCTCCGGCTCAAAGAGCATCACCTCTGCCATCCGATTCGAGACCTGGCTCCAGTAGTAGTAACCAGGAAACTATCAGTCCATCATCGATACCCAAGGGGATGAAGGATCTACTGTGCTGATTGGGACAAAGGAAAGAGAGATGCGAGGTATCCTTCGTTGTCTCGTATACCCAGGTGCCGTAGCTTTAGCACATCGCAGGTGAAACTACATGAGCAGCATTGGCAGCTACATTACAAACACTCGTGACTTATGCCTAATAGTACTTCCTTCTAGTTTAGCAAGAGTATTCTCCGAGATGAGCTCATTTGCGCAACGCCGACGAGTGTTTCCCTCTGAGCCGAGAACGAGGTGTGAGATGCAATCACAGTCACAAATTGGTGAATGCGTTTACTGTGAATGTGTGCTGATGCCTTCCTGTGCAACTAGCCGCTGCCACTCGCGACGTATATGTATATAAATGCAGACTCCTACTCTTCGAGAGACTGGTTCGACCGGATTCATTCTTCAGCATGTCAGCACCTGGTTGACGAAGCAAGATCCATGCAGCGTAGCAGACCACTGATAAGGTACTAGGTGACACTTTGCATGTAGCAGCAGATCAGACAACAGCACAGCAGACCAGAGAAGGATCAGAAGTTTGGATCATCAACAGGTTGTGTCATCCGGCTCGAGTTCAGACCAAAACTATATCACATCATCCGGCTCAAGTTCTGACCCGATTTACGGCACGTCATCCGGCTTAAGTTAAGATGGCCTAATTCTATACATGCCACTTTGGCTCGTCCAGGTAGAGAACACTCTTCTGAAGGACTCTTCGTAATAGGCGACATGTACATAACACAGACTCTGATGCATGACCCAAGACTTTGCTCACCGTTTGGATATGTCATAGATACTACATGTGCATATGAGAGATTCGTTGTATGTACTGTGGTCGTCAAATATGGACAGGATCCTTGGTTCCCCAGGATGTTGCACCCTCTACTATAACCACACCTTCGTACTTGGCCAGGGAATAGACTCGGTAAGAACTCGAGCAGCTCACATCGCCTGCCCGACGCCGCGCTGATCACCGTAATAGCCTCCACCCTGCATACTCCTCCTCATCCTCCCCCCACTACCCATCCCATCGCTCCCAATCGGACTCACCGGACTCTCCAACCCACCACTAAACCTCGCACCACCCCCAGGCCGACTCCAACCACCCGGCATCCCATGACTCACACGCCAGCTCTCATCACTACCCGCGCTCTCTTCCTCACTACTCATCCTGCTCCCCTGCGTAGTCATCGTGTTTCCCCGACTCGCGCTCCCACTCCTCCTTCCCTCCGAGCCGGGCGGCGGGTGGCTTTGGGGCCCATGACGCCGTTCTGAGCATAGTCGTACTCCCCACCCGACCTCCTTCGAGGCACGTTGTGGTGCGGGTAGCCGTTATCCCCGACTATAGATTTCGACGTGTACGGCGGTGACGGCGGGCGGTTTGCGCCGGGGAAGGCATTGGGTGGGTAGTGGGCTGGGTTTGTTGGATCGAAGGAGGCAGACTGTGGGTAGATTGGTGGGACGCTATCCCGATGGAATGGGTTGTCGTTGTAGGAAGTTTGATACTCACCGCTCTGCCGAGGTGTTCTGCGCGGACTGCGGGAAGGCAGAGGCGGCATGGTGTGCGCTGGAGGATAGTAGTTGTTGTAGTCGTCGGGATGGTCGGGGAAGCTGCGTGGGCGGGAGTGGGTGCTTGAGGAGCGCGAGCGGATTGAGCGGCCGCGGGAGTTGGAGCGGGAGCGGGAGCGGGATTGTGGGTGGTCGCGGTGTGCGCTGGCGAAGTAGGATCGACGTGGTCGCTCTAAAATTATCTGGGATTCGGCACTTTTGCAAGCACAGCATCAAT